TGGCAGTTGCTCAATGAAGTCCATGAAGATGGAATCCCATGGTCGGACCGGAACCGGCAGAGGTTTCAACAAGCTGTAAGGCTGATGGCGCCAGGGCTTATTGCAACCGCAAGTTGTGCAGGAGGTAACGTAGTCACGAACAAAGTCTCTGACCTTAGGCCAGGTGTATTGACGACGTACAGCCTCTAGAGTTCGGTTCTGGCCAAAATGGCCTGAGAGGCAATGATCATGAAAGTAGCAGAGGACTTGAAGGCAAAAATCGCTGTGATTCGGAACATAAATACGGTCATCAAGGCGTAATAACCCATCACTACCTAAGCTTCAACGTTCATTGGAAGGATCTTTTGCAAGTTCCAAGCCAACAACAGAGCTCAGGTCCTTCGGAAGAGCGAGAATGATAGCTTGATGCAGAGCTTCGATTCCATAACAATAGAAGCTTGGAGCATCGGGCCTTCTAAGAAGGTAGCTCAAAGAGAAGTAGTTAGTTGCTCATTAGTGAAGATAGGTCGGAAGTTGTGAGGGTTGACTTGTGCATAGCCAATATCCCCCTCTTTGGGATAGATGTCCCAGTGTCTAGTTATCGAATCTGGTTTTTCACCGAGCTTCCCTGGTTGGAAGCGAATCACCATATTGAATTGATGCAGATATTCTGACCAACGGACCTGTTGATGGGTGAGAATCTTGGTAGTGGAAAAATACTCAAGATTTTTATGATCGGTGACGACGTCCACCGGATCGCCAGAACCTTCCAGATAATGACGCCAAGCTTTAAAAGCTTTGAAGATGGCAAGGAGCTCTTTGTCGTGTGTGTCGTAGTTGAGCTCCGCAGCGTGAGGAGTTCTGGAAAGGAAAGCTAGAGGATGAATTTCACCGTCAACAGTCTGAATGGAGAGAATCGCTGCAATGGCGTAATCGGAAGCGTCAGTTTCCACGATAATAGGACGATCGGGTTCCCAGGGAGCGAGAATAGGTGCAGAAGTAAAAGCAATTTTGAGGTTTTCAAAAGCCTCTTGACAGTCGTTGTCCCAGATCCAGGGGGCACCCTTCCGGGTAAGCCGAGTCATCAGCACAACGATATCACTATAATTATAAATAAAACAACGATAGAAGTTTGCCAAACCCAAAAAGGACTGAATGTCCTTAATCTTCCTAGGAACAGGCCATTCCAGAATGGTCTGTACTTTCTCTTTGGACATGGTCAATCCGTCAGGAGAAAGAATGTAACCCAAGTACTCAACGGTATCCATATTGAACTTGCATTTGTCAGGATTGGTGTAAAGCCGATGTTTCCGTAATCGCCGAAGAACTTCCTTGACGTGTTCTCGGTGTTCCTCCGGCGTGACAGAGTAAATCAGAATGTCATCGAGATAGACGATGACACAAACATCTAGCATGTCAGAGAAGATGTCATTAACAAAACGTTGGAAAGCAGCAGGTGCGTTCATAAGACCGAACGGCATAACCTTCCATTCATAAGAACCGTAATGGGTCCGAAAGGTGGTTTTCCATTCGTCACCTTCTGCTATTCTGACTAGATGATAAGCATGAGCGAGGTCCAATTTCGTGTAGATTTTAGCTCATTTTGGAGCATCGAGGAGATCTGAGATCACCGGTAAGGAATAGCAGTCCTTCTTGGTGATACGGTTGAGACTGCGGAAGTCCACGCAAAGCCGAAGTTTCCTGTCCTTCTTGGGAACGAAGAGTACCGGAGCGCCGTGAGGCGAGGAAGATGGGGTAATGGCACCAGTGGCCAGCTGTTTGTCAATAAAGTCTTTAAGGGCGACCAACTCCTTTTCAGACAAAGGATAAACTCGACCGAGAGGCGGCGAAGCGCCTTTTTCCAAGTCAATCTTCAGACTGTAAGGTCAGTGTTCAGGTAAGGAATCTGCAGCAATCTCGTCGAAGATGTCTGCAAACTCAGCATACTCTTCTGGAATAGAATGAGGAAGTGGAGGAGCGGTTGGCGGTGTGGGCCGCGACCTCTGAGTGGATAGCACGAAGAAGAATAGGTTCCATACCAGCGTCCTTGCAAGCCCTATTAAAGACTGCAGCACGGGCGAGTGCAATGTCGACCTCAGGAGTTTCCAGTTGAGCAGTGAATTGAGAGACCGTAGGATAGGAATAGATGGGTTCAAAAGGGAATTTAGACGAGAGGGGCTTGGCCCGTCACATCCGAGAGTGGGAGCGAGAGCGAGAGCAAAGTGAGTCCCCGGGAGGGGTCTCCAGAATTGTCAGTGAAACCGACGGCGAAAGTTCCGGTAGTGGAACAGCAACCTTTGCATCAACGGTGTTGGTGGCAGAAGGCACAGACATCTGTAGAGAATCAAAGTGTGAAGTGTTACGGAACATAATGTTTTGAGATGCCCAGTCAATCAACGGATTGTAGCGGGATAAGAAACTGTAACCTAATACTGCTTTACAAGATGAATCTAAATGAGTAACATAAAAGGGCAAAAGAAGCAGCTAGCCAGAAGGGAACCAAACGGCAATATTCACCATATCGGTAATTGGTTTAGAAGATAATGAGCCATCAAAGAGAAGAAGATTAACAGGATAGATTTTGGTCGTAGGAATAGAATTTTGAGAAACATAATGAGTATCAATGAAAGAGTCAATAGAACCAGAATCAACAAGAGTAGGAAATTTAAGAAGAACAGAGATAGGTTCAGCCGGTGCGGCCGAATTGGATAATGGAAATTCAGTAGTAAAAGATATTACAAGAGATCGTTCAATAGAAGAAAGAGCGGACACGTTGAGATATAACTCCCCAGGTGAGGTACGAACCTGATCAACGCAGCTCCCATTTCGTACCGGGGAACAAGAGCTGCGGACTAGTTTTCCGATTCCTCTTCAACAACCTCAACGGTTGCTTCAGGGGTTTCTTCAACCTCGGCAGCATGGCCCTTCGATTCTCGGGCCTTTCGCTTGTTGCAGTCAGCAATCTGATGCTTACCACCGCAGAAGAGACAAAGATTGTTCTTCATCCTTCTTTCCTTCTCGGAGGGAAGGACTTTCCCATCTGCACCAAGATGGTTGAAAGCGGGGCGCTGACCGCCGGATTGGCCGGAATTCGAAGGGTTCTGGGGTTTACCATTGTGGTTAGGCTTACCACCAGAGAAGGGTTTAGGCTTCGGCGTGAACGGCGCCGAAGAGCCAGATGGCTGAGAGTTGTTTTGCTGGTTCCGAGCAACAAAAGGCTTACCAGCCTCATGCTTTCTGGTTTCCTCGCGTTTCCAATAACGGTTGTCAATACGAAGAACTTCCTGACGATAATCGGCGAGCGTCGCCGGCTCGGGCAAATGCGCCATTTTGTCCTTGATGCGCTCAGCTAAGCCTCGTCCATAAGCCCATTTCAGGGCAGCAGAATCCCAGTTGGTACTCGCAGCCAGGGTGTTGAACCGGATGTTGTATTTCCGGATGTTCTCGGTTTCCTTCATCTTCAGGTTACCGAGAGAATCTTCGGCCTCGCCTTGGGCGTCGTAAACGCCGAAATTATCCTGGAGCTCTTTTACAAGGGCTTTGAAGGAGGACGTCCAGGCCGGCAGCAAGTCGAGATCCGGGTCGAGAATATCAGGGACAAACCATTCTTTGGCTGACCCACTGAGATAGGAAAGGGTGTAGTTCACCTTCCGTTGGTCGGTGAAATACTTGGGACGGTCATTGAAGACCAGGGCGAGATTGACGAAGAACGTCTTGAGTTTTCGGGGATCCGAACCGTCAAATACCTCTGGCTCCTTGACCTTGCTCTTGGATTCAGAGCTGTCAGAGGGACAGCCGAGAGCGGCGAGGACGGTACCAAGGGTCTCAATGGAACCCTTGAATCCCGAGAGGAGTTCCAACATAGCACGTTGCTCGTTGGGGATGTCAGGAGAGATAGGAGAACGGGGTCCACCAGGACCGCCGGGACCGCCGGGACCACCAGGTCCACCAGGTCCACTGGGGTCACCAGGCTCACCACGCGGTAAACCGCCGGAATCGTCATCCAGATCGTCATTATTGTTGTCGGCACCCGGATCGTCGGGGTCGACAGGAGGGTCTTGATCATCGTGATCACCGGTGTCCAAATCGAAGTGAGGAGGTGGGTCACGAGGAGATTCAGAAGCAGCACAACGTTGGGGTTGTTTCCCCGTACGGCGGGCTATGGCTTGGAGAATTGGAGAATCAATTCGAGTAGTAGACCGGCCCCGAGCCGGAGCGACCACAGGGGGTTGTCCACGGCGAGGGGTCAGGACTTGGACAGGTTGTCCGTCACCGGTATACAAGATACTGTATTCAAATTGTTGTTCTTCTTCCATGGCTTCAGGAAGAGTCGACGTAGTAGGAACAGTGGCTGGACCAAAACCGCGATTACGGCGACGTGGTTGCCCGATGGCAGAGATAGAGTCAGTGAATGGGGCAAATGATTGGGCTGTGGTGAAGAAAGTGTTTTCTTCGGAGTTAGCTCTAGATTGAGCTCGAGTTTTCGGAGGCATAAAAAATGATAGGTCAGTACAACGTTAACGGATTGAGTTTAATTATACTGTTAAGATCATGTACACCGTGTAACCGTGCCAAAGCCACAAGGTGTCTAAGTGCAGAAGACGAGTGGGACAGTAGTGAAGTTATTAACAACACCGCCGTTACGCCGTTAGTCCCCGGAGATTGAGAGTAGAGAGAGAGGAGCTAAGTAGCAGCCAGGTCGGAGCGGCGGTATCGCCGGTGACGAGGAGTGAACCAGAGAACGTTTAAGTCCCAAGGTTATAGTAGAGAGTACTTCAAGGCGAAGAGCCTGAAGACTTAGAGGAGCACAGAGTTAAGAAGGGAATCTAAGCCGATAATTAAACTGAGGAACTACAGTAGCGTACAAGCAGTATTTATATCTACGGAGCGGCGCAGCAGTGCGGAGCGCCAGACTAACTACTAGGAGTTATACGTGTAGTCCTGCAGGGTAAAGTAAAAGACAATAAGGAAGGACTAGAATGAAAGGGTATGTGTAGTGAGAAAGAACAATAAGAGAAAGATTACAATAAAGGTAGATCTTCGGAGTACCGAGCAGCGGAGTGGAGGCCCAAGGCATGGACTTGACAATCGTCAAGCATGTTCAACTCGAGGAGGGTGGAGGTCAACGAAGTACACTCATGAAGGGCAGTGTCATATTGACGCCATGTACTTACAGGAATACCCCACGTCGATTGGTGTGCAGGAGTCCCATGGAGATCCAAAAACCTACGACTATAGGCGAGATCCTGGTTGCAGCGACGAGCGAAGTACCGATAACAAAGGATCTTTCCCAAACTACATTTCTTTTTTGCGGAGCAATTCGTACATCGAGGGGAGTTCGGCAGAACCTTGCATTTAGCCGGGGATTTGGAACAGTTAGAGCAAGGGGAAGCTATCTCTGCCAAAAGAGGCCACAAAGGATTGTCTTGACAGTAACCCGATAGCGGCTTGCCAGTATTAAAAACCATCTCGAACAACTGAAGTTGTGGACGAGACGGAAACTCGATAGTGAAGGCCAACTGGTTCTGTTTGACCTCCCCATCAGAGTCAAGATCAGGGGAAGGTACCTCCCCCAAGGTAGTAAGAGTAGGTAACTGAGGGGAGCGAGTGCGTGAGTTGGAGCGACGATTGGGAGCAGACATTACAGTTGAAGGAGTTTAACTCGTAAAACTGGCGTGGTGGAAGAAGTGGAAAAAGCAGGTACCTGACGGACTTCAACAAGAAAATTCTCGGGTACCACGTGAATGTCAGGGGACCTTACAGGAAACACGACTAACCATCGCGAGGGTGTGAAGGGGTTAGAAGGGGGGGTAATGTCATGCCCTGACCCCAACCAGACCAACCCCAGCACCAGCCCACACGCTTCTTTGCACCTCCCCAAGACATCCCCGAGGTAGTACGCACCTCCCCAAGACAGTACCACTGGTAGTACACACCTCCCCAAGACAGTCCTGACAACCATCCCGACACGCGTATGAAACTCCTACACCAGCCCCATTAAGTACCAATCTCGATCACCTGCCTCTCTCGATTATCTGCCTCATGTCCCCTAGACTCTGATGTTCCCTTGTTCACTTCCCATACCTATTTAAGTAGCTCCGTAACGTCCCCAAGCCCCAGCTTGGTATATTTTGAACACACACCCTTTACATAGGTCCAGTCCCTGTCCCTTTGTACCTGCTACCTATACAGATTTCTCTTTGTTCTCTGTTTCCTTATCTCAGTTTCTCTACTCTTGTCTCTCACCTCCTACGATCGTCTAAACGATCCAATAAACACTTTTACTCCACATCTAAGCAATCCTCCCCCAATTCTCCTCAAGCCCCCTAATTGCTCCAAGAGCTCTGGGACCTTGATCTAGGTAACGTCGGAGCTTCCCCTCATGCCCAACCCAGTGCCGCTCCTCTGTTACCACCTCCACCCCCCAGGACCTCTTTCCCAGGCTCATACTCTATTGGGAGCTCTCACATCTGAACCTCCCATTGTCTACTAGCTATAACGATCCTACATTGATATTCCTAGCTACTACAATCCATACTACGCAATGCTCCTACGTCCCCTAGTTCCGGTTACCTCCACCCTCCTCTGTTAACATCCTAGGGACCTCCCTGGACCTTCTAGGAACCCCTTCAAGGGTCACCTCTCACAACCAGAGCTACTACTAGGTCATTCCTGTCCTCGGTCGCGGTTCCCATAGCTACCTTTGAGCTCCAGCTTGCTCCTAGCATGCTACAACATAAACCTCTCATACTAAACCCACCCTTAAGATCATGCAGAAAGGTTTTAATACATGTGGTATATATAGTAACCACCTATGACAATTATCCTGTCATAGTAGCCTTTTGGCTCAGTTGGATTTTGTGTTAGTGGTTGGGCATGAATTTCACAATTTCCGACCCAGGTCTTACAACAACACCGCTGTTATGCTGTTAGTCCTAGGAAGAAGAAAATAGAAGAAAGGTATGAGTAGCCGCCAAGCTGGTTGCAGTGGTCATGCCAAAGACAAGAAGCGGACCAAAAGACTATAAGTTTTAAGGTCAGAGTAGAGAGTACTCAAGGGAATAAGCCTTAAGACTTCAGAGGATAGAGAGTGTCAATCTAAGTTGATAATTAAACTGAGGAACTATAGTACAGTACAAGAGTATTTATACCAATTAATTGGCATATCAGAGCAAAGCACTAGACTAGTTACTAGAGGCTGTACATTTAGTCCTTCAGGGTAGAGAATACAACAATAGAAGTAGACTAGAGAGAATGGAAATGTGTAGCATGGAAGAACAACTTTAAGGAATAGATTGCAATAGATGGCAGATCTCAGAGTACCAAGCGCCAGAGTGACATGCTGAGGCATGGTCTTGACAGAGCCTGGGTTTGGTCTAGGTATGGTACCATCAATATAGCCAGTCAGTCCCTTCAACTGCACCCGTGAACTAGATTCCACACTTATAACATCCTCCAGTTTTCCTCTCCCACAAGTTTTTTTTGCATCAGTGAGTTCTTGATATATTCAGACTGCTTCCGAAAGACAATTTTTGGTGAGTGTTTAACATTAGATTCTCTTATCACTTTAACATTAGATCACTATAGCCAGTCAGTCCCTTCAACTGCACCCACAAACTAGATTTCACACTTATAACATCCTCCAGTTTTCCTCTCCCACAAGGTGTTTTTTTTTCGCATCAGTGAGGTCTTGGTATGTTCAGACTGCTTCTGACAAAAAACAATTTTTTGGTGAGTGCTTAATATTATCACTTTAACATTAGATTCTCTTATCACTGGTAATTCTTTTCTTTTAGGTTAGACAATGAGTCTTATGATCTGTTTAGGTTTAATTAATTAACTATGGTTGGTTAATACACCACGGCTGGCCGTATAATATCCATGTGAAATTAATTGGGATACTAGATATGGATAAATATTACAGTATTCTACCTATTTTCCGCCAGATTAAGTATATCTATAACTTTTGATTCACTTAGTGACATTTTTTATTGTTGCCTATATAGTTTTTGCGTGATGTTGGGATTGTAATTGATGTGGTCTTTCGACTGGAATAGAATATCTTTGTTACTAGAAAATGATTGTCTATATCGGGAAATCAATACATCGAAATTGAAAAGCTTTTTCAACATGAAAGGCTTCATATCAGGATAAGCTAGTTCTCTAGCCAAAGAAAAGCTTGTACCATGTCTTTCGTTCGATATAAAGAGTATTGTTTTGTCGGGAAAAAGAAAATGGACGCTCGGTGGTCATTTGTTGGGAGCAGAACGGGATGTCAACAGGCTCTCAACCCCTGCCAATTACCGCGCTGAATGACCAGTGTGGGGGCGCATACCAACCCTTTCTTCAGAATATTGTAGTAACTTTCGCTCCTTCGTACATGTGGTCCAGTCATCCGGTTTCTCACCCCATCCGCTCTTTTCTAGAACTGTTAACAGCCAGTTTCGTCTCGTTGAGATACAGAGACGTCTTGAACAAGCCATATTGCGACCATAGGGGAGTACCGACGAGGTTGCCCAAATATCGGGACGAGGTGATTGTAACTTGATAGAGTGAAATAGCTCCAGATTGCTGAGGCCGGCGTGAATGGTCCGGAAATGGGTGAGGAGGCTACAGAAGATGAGGCAGATGAGAGTCGGAGACTGAAGTTGCGCGGTGGCTCCACTTTCGTTTAATATCGGGCCATGCACTGGAAAATCAAGAAATACGGACGTCTGTTCGCGAATGCAACGGAGATAAGTATTGATTCAACTATATTGAACGAACGCATTACCTGAAGCCCCGCTTTATAATCAGAATGTCCATAAGAAGGCCCTGGAAGATTGCCTGGGCAAAAATCAACATTCGCCATAATATCATCCTCGATCCCGGTGTAGCCAGCTCGGCGACTGATCGTAGAGAGAAGAAGGATATGAAGGATGTTGGGGATGTGCATATTCTGAAAAGACGGAGGCGGCGGGGTAGGGGCATTATTTGAACGAGCAATAACCTGGGGAGGGGAACCAAATAGGTTGTTATGCTGCGTGTCTTTCTTCCCAGTATTCGCCGCTCTGCGCCTAGTATACTTATGTTGTTGAATAAGGCCATCTGTTGATCAATCGGATCTAGCGGAGCTTTGACCAAGGAGAAGGTGTTCCGAGGAGTGGTGCAATCAGAGGGACACGCCAGGGAAGCTGTTCGGCAGGCCTCTACGAAAGCTTGGATTCGCAAATCCAACACAGTATGAGATAAGGGGAAATTCGAAGAAAAAGCAGCTTACAACTTTATCCTTCCTGTAGCGTAACGAATGAATCGTTTTGGGAAGATCGATCGTAAGAGAGACTGGAACATACTGGCGCAGATTGGATATCCTTAACCTCTGATTGACCCATATCAAGGAGATCATCGTAGCTTTCCTTAATAATTTCCCTGAAATTTAAAATCCCTTGACAGTATAAAAACATTGGCGGGTTGAAATATTTTTTTGGACCGAGAAAAAATCGATGACCTGGCGCCTGTGACCCACATCTACCCACACGAACAAACATCGGTGATATCGGGTGTTCGCGTCGACTCTACTTGGAAGTCCTTTGAAGAGTGCATGACATCCATGTCGAATACCTCACAAGCAGTCACAGAAATGAGGTTATATTGTGTAGCAGCAAGACTCAAAACGTCAGTTAGGTGAAGGCTACTAAGTGAGCAGAGTCAGGGCAGAGTCCTGATGATTTGGTCCCGAATTCTATTTGCGTGCTTCCCATGTCGAATGAACGTTAGTTTTCCATCACTCTCGTGAATTCTGGCTTGCGATACTACTCGCGTGTAGTCAAAGCTGGTTTCAATACTTCGTGGCGAGTCAAGATGTGAGGAAGTACATCCACTGTCTTAATATACTTTAACGACTCCTGATATTGTATCTAGAGCTAAGAGGTTGTTCAACTGTCGTCCGATTCGTGGTTCAATTATGCTTGGCATCATGTTACGAGGAAAGAAATTTCGTTCCTACCGCTTTCTGAATTTGTCGCAAGAGGTTAACTACATTTGAGCCTGTTTCATATCTATCTGTCTTATACACAATATACGCACTTCGAATTTCACATAGCTTTACGACGATATTCGATCAAAGCCTCTACAACAATGTGAACTTCTTCCACAGTCTCCAACCATTTGTGCTTACTTTCAGTCTTCTCCGCCAATTGATATTGCAGATTTGTACCCCACCATTTTAAGCAAACCAGAATTCCAAACCAGCCATTCAATCCAAATTTGTCGATGTGTTTCCAGTTATGAGAACCTATGTTTTGCGAAGACGATATGTCTCTACCAGATTCCTGCCTCCATGCTGTCTGCAAGGAAGACCACCACTTCTTCACACTTTCAGCAAAATCGGTGCCACAATCCTTGTACATGTCGGGTTCATTCAACCTAGATTTGTATCGCTTCTTGTCTACCCACTCAGCCAGCAGGGTTGGACGGTTGATAGTTGGGAGCCGCACACTAGGATTTGTCTTCCACTGGCTGGTTCGTTCAAGGGCAACCCACGAGGATATTAAACCCCTAAACTCCGGGCCCAAATCGACATTCACATATGCAAATGCATCCGGAAACCAAAGCATAGCCTGCTGGTTAACAGCAGCATCTGCGGGATATTGCATAACATCCACGACAGTCTGTGCATGTAGGTCAATAGAGACAAGTTAAGTAAAATCCGCTTCACTCACTAAGTGCTGAGGATCAAATTTGAATTTGTCAACTTGCGAGCGCGCGATTTTGGCACTTGCTTCGACAGTGATACATAGCTGTACGGCCGTTCAGTCCATGAGAACTACTCAGCATGTGGAAACTTATGAAGACGCATACGTGACTATCGGGAATCAGAGGAACGGCCGAGGTCCCACCTTGATCCTTATCGAGAATGGCTCTTGCGGTGGAAACAGCTTCCTTTACACTAATCAGCTACGTGTGTCAAACGATGAGCATCACTTACTTTGTCAAAGCATTCTGCGATGGTCAATGGCTGCCAAGTTTATCTCAAGTCAATATTATACTTGCACACGAGGGGGGCACTACCAGACTCCGAAACAGTGGAAATCTGTTTGCAAAATGACGGAGGACGAAGTATATGTCATAGGCTTACCCACCTTCCGAGTTTCAGGGGAGGAACTCTTGATGTCGCCTTGAGATACGATAGAGGGAAAGCTCACAGCAGTAAAACTCTGTCGTAGGAGAGGCGTCTGCATGGTAACGTCTTGAAGTTCCGGAAGAAAAATAGTCTGCGTGGTAACGTCTTGAAGTTCCGGTAGACAAATATCCTCGCTGGGCTGTACTGCTGACTACAGCAAAAGTGTACATCGGTATGATCAATGATTGCTTACATGAAGAATAGTATCCGTTTGTACAGTGACCTCCTTCATTTCTTTTCGAGCATCTACAACATTGTTTTCCTGTGAATGGACAAGGTTAGCATAAGATACATCAAAGAACAGAAAGCGACCGTCAGAATCATTGTCCTGAACAGACCTGAATCGAAGAAAGTCTTAGCTTCAATCCATGATTCTGAACCTCGAGGCGAGCGATCTTGGCCTGGTAAGTCACTGAGTCCTTGTACAGCTGAGCAACTTCTGACTTCGCATGTTCAAGATGAATGCTTTCGGAGTACTAACATAAACTAGGATGATCAGGTAGAAGTGGACTGAACTAATATACGAACTGTTAAACTCGATACTTCTTCATTAAGGGCTTGTACTTCTTGTTCGAGATTATTTATCCTTTCCTGCAGGGATCTGGTTTGAATGTACGTTCTTGTAAAGAAAGCAATGCAAATTACTTGTTGCCGCTGTAGGATTATCGAAGAGCTCTGTGCACTGGGGCTTGGCACCACTCGAACTTTAAGCGCCTATATATAATAGTAAGAATTCAGCACTCTTCCAAGGCTTGAAAACTCAACCTGATCATCATCGGAACGATGTCTCTTGTACGAATCTCTGCTGTATGCACTAGTGTGCATTATCGGTGAAGGACGCGAACTTTCAGAACGGTAAAACTTTCGAATCGTTTTATGGCGTTCTCTCATCGGTGCCCTTTTGAACTTAGCAGAAGGCCTTTGTGATTTCGCTAAGATATATGCCCTTTGTTCTTCGGAGCAGTCACTGTGAATATGCTAGGAAACACGAGGCTGATATTCATCGATCCTTTCTTTCGTTCAACTATGACCTTTGACTTTCACCTTTCGAAGACCTTACAAGGCCTTGAAGGCTCGATTGCTGCTCTGGCATTCTCAAACGACTACCGGTATTTGGGCAGTGCAAGTCAAAATGGTTCGGGAGAAGGAATTGTCAGAATATATGATGTGGAAGCTCAATTCCAGACCTTCTGGTCGCATCGACGGCCATCTCAATTCGGCGTCATCAACTGGGATAGGGATTGCAGATTAATTATGGGCACTGTGACAGGAGAGCTGCTGATGATCAGTCCCAAAGCACAAGTAAGAAAGATCTCCACGTCTTCCCGAGCTTTATCATCTATCACTGTATCAGAAACTCCATGCAGAGCCCGACGTTATCCATACATTCTCCTCGCCCATCAAATCAATCGAGTTCAATAAGTATGGGAACAAAATGTTGATCTGCGCTGGTCGGGATATCAACGTCATGGAAAAAACAAATGGTAAGGAGAGTCTGCATTGTTCCATAGATATCTTAAATGGCGCAGATCGCTGGATGTTCCAAAGGCACTTGCATTGCACGATCACCTGTGAAGCAAACTACAGTCTCCAATATTTACCGGTCGTTGTCAGTAGTGCCCACTTTTTGAAAGACCAGAGGCACTCTGTCATTGCATTCCTGCATCATGGGCTTTGGTACGTTTTTGGCTCTTGAATTATAGAGATCTTTCTAATATACCCTATCCAGGAAAATCAATCTTGAATCAGGCCATAGCCAATGGATCATCTATCCGGAAAATCGAATGTAAGGTCTTTTTTATAAGTTCATCTTCTTCATCTGACAAAAGGCAGAGGAGGAACGGCAATCACACCAGACTGTGCGGTGCTAATCACGGCAGGCTCTAGGAAAGGCCTTGATTGCTACAGTGTATCTACGGACCCATGGACGAAGATAAGCACATCTCTTGGGCGTGAGGAGCTACCTATCACATCGAACACATATCTGCCTATCAGGTTTATGAATAGGGGCCGCGCGGCGGTGATGGGGACTGCTAATGGTCGTGCAGTAATCTTTAACGCGGAACACGGAGAAAGGATACAAACCCTTCTTCATTCTTGTGAGCTCTTTTCCTGAAGATTTTCACCTGTAGTTGAGACCCTTTCCTACAGCCGATGTCATGATAAGCGGGCTGGTAAGAGTATCTCTTCCATCGTACACCACCACTCACTAACATTATTTATAGGCATGCCACGAAGAAGCTCTTTTGATAGTGACCGGAAATGTGGATGGCAAGATTTGTGTCTGGGTTCGTGGGCCCCTAGAAAGCGAGCAGATTCCATATCTAAGATCGCTGGTTCTCGTAATGACGGTCAGCTTACCTGCTATTACTGTTATGAGAACTACTCCTGATTTTACTCTATGCAGGTTCCTACCGTGGTAACGGAATACTTGCGTGCCCATGCAATGCTCATTTTGCTGGTATTAGCCTTCATGCTTCTTCCATCTAGCCTTCAGCATGACTTTCTGTATCTTTCTTGAATTATCTACATCAATCTCCTCTGCCATCGAACGTGTTCGCAACCTAAATGTTTTACTTACTGTCTACAAATTTATTCAATGGATGCGGGCCACAGTTTTCCGGAGCTGTCCTTGAGGAGCTCATAGTGTTTTTGAGCTGTTTACCAGGTGTGACAGAAGAATGATGAGGTTCGGAATGACGACGGTGAAGCTCGATAGAACACTCATCAGCCCGTGAGTGGACATTCGTCGCTTATTGAGTTGGGAACGTGAAAGAAAAGTGATAAACCATCAGAGTTGCCTTTGGAAAAGTACGGGGGTGTAAAATGATGGAAATGATAATGGCGGCGGGAAAGAAGAAGCATTCGTAGCAGGAGGGGTCAGCAGAAAATGTTCTGGACATGCGCTTGAACGAGTTAGTGTTTTCAATCATGAAAGCTGGCTTTAGGTCTGAGTTCTCCCTGTTGGCTTTCCGTGCCCCAAGATACCTATTTTATTCCGCTTATTTATGCTGACTTCCGGTGACTCCAAGCATGCTCAGCGGCAAACTCATAGCCTTAAACGCAATCCTGGAGATTTAGATTGGAATGATCTATGTATATACTTTGACCGTACGTATAATATCACAACTTTAATTGCGAAGCGTCGAGTTAGGGAACCGATACTTTCCACGTCTCTTCATCGGAGGGCGGTCACTAGAAAGATAGTGATCATTTGCATTGTAATTTCGATACCGTCGGTCTGTGTAAACGATGTGTAAGTAGAGGCAAACTGCAAAATTACGACACTGGACTTACATCGAGGTTTGTCTCTCAGGTATGCTGCGGTGATATTGTGTCAATAGATATATATCAGCAATGAATGAAGCTTACATTGCTTGTAAGAAGGTGCTTGAGGTACAACGGAAGACGGGCGGTGGCCCATCGTCTCTTGATCACCTGTAGTGCTCGTCAGAATAACATTGTATTCATTAACAAGGGAAATCATCTGACCAACTGCACTGAAGTTCGGTCGTTGGTAGAATCGAGGTTCGCGTGGTAAGTTCGTAGTAGAAGATCCTTCGATTCTCGGATTGAATACACACTGAATAATCGAGGAAGTTATCTCACTGTTTAGCGTGGATGAAGACATTGGGGCAGAGCAGAGCAACTGAATCTTGGCGTGATTGGGACCTAGCGAGGAGGTGAGTGGAAATAGACATGGACTTTAGTTGAAGGAAGATTGGACGACTTACCACTGCTGCTTGTCTTTTCAGACGATTCCAGTCGGTTCGAGGTGTCAACAAGGCTCCCTAGAGCATTCAAATATTACATGGTACTGGGTGAGGAGCAAGTCAACTCACTAGATCCACCAGAATTAGATCGCTGACTGAGTCGTGGGTCGCGTATTTGGGTCGACGCAGAAAAGCATTGGGATTCTATGATTCCATTCAATACATGAAACATGATGTAGAATGGATCTTACTGTCCACGCCCGGGAAGTTCGCTTTTTCCAAAGACAATGAGGTCGAAAGAGAAGGGATTGGTTGAGTCTTCGCGTTATTAGGGCCTGACCCAGCACAAAGGGATATGATTGTCATGAGGAACGGTGGGAGAAGGGCTTTGTTCTTACCAGTGCCGTTAACCCTTTCATTCGCTGAAGGAGCCGCTTCCATTGAGATATTTACAGGGCTATAGGCTAAGTCAATTTCATGAATTCACGAAAGCTGCTTCGAACTCACTTAGGTCCTTCCACAAGAATATAACCTGCTTTCCTATCTAATGCGAGGGTGTAATCCAATCGCACCTGCTCTATCTGTATGAAATATCAAGATTTTTGACGGATCGAAATGAAAGAGTGTACTTACTATCATTGGAACTAGCGTGCAGAGCACAAGCGGTTGCTTGAGTGTCTTATCACCAGGCTCTTCTTCTCTGACCACACTTATGGTAGTACGACAGAAGCTGGAGTCATTCAGTTTGTTTGTCAAAGCGGCATGATGTATTGCGAGACGATGCCAGCCTCCGACGACTCCAGGAAACAGTTCCTCGAAAGTAATCTTGGTATTCGGGTCTACAACAATGCTCCTGTTGAACCTATGAGCTCAATGGAGTCAGCTTTCAATCATGATATTGGACTTACCACATTCTTTGGTGCGGAGTCTGGATCCCGTGTGATTGAGAAAACAAGAAAGACGTGGAAAGGGATGAAGGCACGGAGATATTCCTTTTATACGGCTCGTGGTTAGATCCTGCATCGTGTTCCAAACCCTTTGTTTCCTTTGATAAGGCAGCCATTTGCTTATCATGTGAGCGCGTTGAAGGAGATCAAATGAAGTTGATACGATAAGAGTGCTTTATGAGTATGGAAAAGGAATTTTGATTGATTGACACTCACCGTCGAAAGCTACGTAGCCGACATTCCAAACCGCTTCAGCACCAGACAAAGGATCCTTGAGTAGCTCATGACGTTTTCGACTTTGTGATGATATTGATTTTCGGCCAGTGCAAGTTGCAAGAAAAGAATGGCGATATTCGGGATAACGACGGTCGAACGTACGACCAGTCTTTTTCCCACAAACATTCGTGACAGCATCGGTATTCATATTAAACATCATACTACTTACTTATCTAGAACTTGAGACGCTACTTACCTACAATACTCAAGTTCAAACCAGACATTTTTGGTGCTCAATGACGGATAATGTCGTCCAACATATGGAATAAACAATCTTTCGAAGGTTTGTTACCCTCATGGTGAAAGTCCAGCAAAGCCATTCTATGAATGGAACGAGCGACATATTTCGTCAACTTCATAGTAACGGGGCATATGATCGCAAATACTGTATCGTGGTGACGTCGAAACCCGAATTTGGTGAGGAACGACTGGGACTTGTCAGACCAAACTAGACGATAGACTTTCCAGGTCCAAGGATTACAAGTGAGGTTGAATTCAATTACAATCCGTGAAGATTGAAGACCTTGAGCGCGAATCGAGTGGCGAATTTCATCACGACATGCTATAGCCTGGAGAAGACCTCGGAAAAGAAGTTGTACTTGAGCCAATTCACTGATCATCGGGCGCGTATCGTCAGGTGGATAATTCATGGGATGAGCTAGTGAGGGAAGTTTAAGTTGGAAATATTGGTTAGGAAGAACAGATAACCTACTGGAACGTTGGACATTGGCCTGGGAACAGTTGTTTCGATGCCCAAATTTCCAGTCTTGCCGCTGGCAAGACTTCGAACAATAACTTGCGATCAGGCAACCGCTACAGAGCTGAGAATGTTTTCCTGACCAGTAACGATGAGGGCACTTGCAAGAAACGAGTTCAGATACTACAGCCTGAGATTAATGTGGGCCCAGTGAAGACTCACTTTCTCGTTTGTACATGCCTCCTTTAAGGCCTTTCGGAAGGATGTGGAACTGGCATAGCGTGCGTCTGAAGAACGAACCTCGCGCGCTAAGTCTACCCACAGCTTCCATGAATTTCCGGCACCCAGATAATCTTGGATATTTTCGGATCGTACGTCCCTCAAATTACGACGGATTCGTCGCCAAACTGGTCTATAGACCGAATGAATCAGCAGCGCGTGAAGAATTTTTTTGACGATCTCGAACATCGATGACTCTGATTTTGACTGGGGCCCAGTTTGATTCCAAGCCAACGTCTTGGCTAATAGATACAATAACTTGGCGTCGAGAGCTTTCACCATCCAATTTGGACCGCCGGTGGTAATAAGTCGCAAAAAAAACCTGGCGATACAATGGACGGACATGGTACAGTTGTTCTCCAGGTACGAGCGGGGTGTGTCGAGGTATTGGGTCCAAAGGGCATATGCTTGTGTGAGGATAATGTGAACATTATCAAGTGCTGGAAGGGGCTGGAAGTAGAAGGTTGTTGCCGCTAAAACCATTCCGCGGTTTGCTGTTACGAACCGATGATCAGGATTAGGGTAATGGGAGGGCGCCTGCTGTCCGCATAAGTCTTCAACGGCAGCTGACCACGTCGGTAGTAACTGAAGATTCGGAAAGGCATTCCTTACAGCAAGATGGAACGAGTGATCGGAAGAATCCTCCCCAACAGTAGAATGTAACGCAATGAGAAACTGCATCATAGGGTAGTAGACAGATAACGACCACTGTCTCGTGAAAGAAACTACCCAGACTTTCGCCAAGGTTCGTGATGTTTCGTGATGTTTCAACATTTTGTTGACGAAGTAGTCGAATTCGGCAGGAGAAGTTTGAGTAGGAGATGCAATAGAATTCAACAATGAAAAGACTTCCATCAAGCAGCGACTTGCTGTGGTAAGAGGAAGCTCCTGTGATGCGGATTGTGCAGGGGTAAAGGCGTCGAGTGGCTTTAGAAGAGCTACTAACCAAAGCCAAATTCTAGTCCATTCGGGTTCCACGATGGCATAGCGAGTTCGAAACGACGGTAGTTCGTATAGATGGGAAGTCATTAACTGCATGGCATCTAGCATTTGAGTGACTTCAGAAGCTAAAGGCCTATCTGCATGAATGACTGGAGGTGGCCGAATGACATGACGAAAGAAGTTTGAGATGATATTCTGCAAGGATGACTGATTAGCATGCAGAGTCGCAGCCACGATTGCTTACTGAGTTGGTCATGTTTGTTTTCAATTCTAGAAAGCGACGTGCAAATATGATGACAAGGATATCGGAAGTACACCCAACGACATGTGCACTTATATATGTTGGCTGGAGAAACAAAGGAAGCCGAAACAAAGGACGAATGTTCTTTGATGGAGTTGATTTCCAAGATAGATTTCGACGAACGGGAGGAATAAGTAGGCTGAGGTGTAAACCGAGTCATATCTAACGACAGCAACCGTGAGCAGATAAGAATTGTTGATGAAGTAGAACTGTTGCGGACAGGGGTATATTCTTAGCAATCGGTGCTCCCTGACCTATAACGCAGGTTCCGGTATGCTGTGAATCAGTTACCGGTTTCGAAAATTAATGATAGGTTACACAGGAGAATGGCCAACACCCATTGTCACGCACTGAGATGATTCCCAGTTTGAATTGCCCTGATGACCCCGTTTTCTTTGAACTAAAAAGGCGATACATGGAAGCCGGTTCAGAATGGGAGTCATGAAAGGTAGACCTGGACCCAGCGATGTAAATCAGTTCTACATCGACTTCCGACTACGAAGGCTCATCGCACATTAGGGAATTAGGTCTTTTACAGCACTCCTTACAAAAGGTCGATATCCGGGTGCGTGAAATGTACGGAGAACAGAAATTTCGGAGCCGGTACATGATGACATAAGTACACAGATATTAAACTATGTACAGAGACCGCACATAGAATACAAAATGATTAAAAAGTTTGGTCTTCGATCTTTAAAGAGGTAGCGGGAATCACAGCCTCAATTGCGAAGTGGCAAATTCTTCATCGGAGGGCGGTCACTAGAAAAATTGTGATCATTTGCATTGTAGTTTCGATACCGTCGGTCTGTGTAAACGATGTGTAAGTAGAGGCAAACTGCAAAATTACGACACTGGACTTACATCGAGGTTTGTCTCTCAGGTATGCTGCGGTGATATTGTGTCAATAGATATATATCAGCAATGAATGAAGCTTACATTGCTTGTAAGAAGGTGCTTGAGGTACAACGGAAGACGGGCGGTGGCCCATCGTCTCTTGATCACCTGTAGTGCTCATCAGAATAACATTGTATTCATTAACAAGGGAAATTATCTGACCAACTGCACTGAAGTTCGGTCGTTGGTAGAATCGAGGTTCGCGTGATAAGTTCGTAGTAGAAGATCCTTCGATTCTCGGATTGAATACACACTGAATAATCGAGGAAGTTATCTCACTGTTTAGCGTGGATGAAGACATTGGGGCAGAGCAGAGCAACTGAATCTTGGCGTGATTGGGACCTAGCGAGGAGGTGAGTGGAAATAGACATGGACTTTAGTTGAAGGAAGATTAGACGACTTACCACTGCTGCTTGTCTTTTCAGACGATTCCAGTCGGTTCGAGGTGTCAACAAGGCTCCCTAGAGCATTCAAATATTACATGGTACTGGGTGAGGAGCAAGTCAACTCACTAGATCCACCAGAATTAGATCGCTGACTGAGTCATGGGTCGCGTATTTGGGTCGACGCAGAAAAGCATTGGGATTCTATGATTCCATTCAATACATGAAACATGATGTAGAATGGATCTTACTGTCCACGCCCGGGAAGTTCGCTTTTTCCAAAGACAATGAGGTCGAAAGAGAAGGGATTGGTTGAGTCTTCGCGTTATTAGGGCCTGACCCAGCACAAAGGGATATGATTGTCATGAGGAACGGTGGGAGAAGGGCTTTGTTCTTACCAGTGCCGTTAACCCTTTCATTCGCTGAAGGAGCCGCTTCCATTGAGATATTTACAGGGCTATAGGCTAAGTCAATTTCATGAATTCACGAAAGCTGCTTCGAACTCACTTAGGTCCTTCCACAAGAATATAACCTGCTTTCCTATCTAATGCGAGGGTGTAATCCAATCGCACCTGCTCTATCTGTATGAAATATCAAGATTTTTGACGGATCGAAATGAAAGAGTGTACTTACTATCATTGGAACTAGCGTGCAGAGCACAAGCGGTTGCTTGAGTGTCTTATCACCAGGCTCTTCTTCTCTGACCACACTTATGGTAGTACGACAGAAGCTGGAGTCATTCAGTTTGTTTGTCAAAGCGGCATGATGTATTGCGAGACGATGCCAGCCTCCGACGACTCCAGGAAACAGTTCCTCGAAAGTAATCTTGGTATTCGGGTCTACAACAATGCTCCTGTTGAACCTATGAGCTCAATGGAGTCAGCTTTCAATCATGATATTGGACTTACCACATTCTTTGGTGCGGAGTCTGGATACCCGTGTGATTGAGAAAACAAGAAAGACGTGGAAAGGGATGAAGGCACGGAGATATTCCTTTTGTACGGCTCGTGGTTAGATCCTGCATCGTGTTCCAAACCCTTTGTTTCCTTTGATAAGGCAGCCATTTGCTTATCATGTGAACGCATTGAAGGGGATCAAATGAAGCTGATATGATAAGAGTGCTTTATGAGTATGGAAAAGGAATTTTGATTGATTGACACTCACCGTCGAAAGCTACGTAGCCGACATTCCAAACCGCTTCAGCACCAGACAAAGGACCTTGGAGGTTGTGAGATGAAAGGAGCCAATTACATAATCGCTGCGGTCCTTCAATGCCCATTGTACCCTTCAGCGAATATGACTAGCCTATGGCACGCTATATAACGCTGCTGGGTCTGCTTGTCGACGTATCAGGTTCCCCTCAAGTCTTTCTAGGTCAGTTTTATACCTCATATGGTCGAGTCGCACTTTGCTGCAAATACTGAAGCATCCAATATTAGAATGCGCTCGAAAACTACTTCTGTCACAAAAAAATCTCGCCCTCAAACGCCAGAACGAGCATCCAAATATCAACTTATCGGGTCATCTACTCCCCGCCCTCGTATTACCTATGGTAAACATTCTAGAAACCGATCGTTACCCGACAGTCCTTCCCGTTACCACCAGAGTCTCGCAGTTGTATCAACTTCGACCACCTCCATGCAATCATTAGCATCGGACTATGAAGAACCAATCGTGGTCCCAGATTCTCCTCAACTTATGAATACACCGAGTCTTTCTGCTTCGAAGGATACATCGTTCGCTTCGGCGCCGGGTATCGAAAAGATAGGCTTATCCACCAATGTTCAGGTGTGATTTCTCTTATATGCATCAATTCTCGCTCAGAATTCTTCCCTTCCTCTGCTTAGATTGACCGACAAAATGAAATCGACGAATCGAAAATCTACCCGCAAGTAAGTGTTGTCGTCTCTTGGATTGTGTTTTCACTCATCAGAAGGATACAGTCTTCGTCTACTAGATCCACCAGAGCATCCACACGAGAAGCTAAGTTGAAAGATGCGCTCGCTCGCACTGAAGAGAATCTCAAGGTTGCCCTTCAAGATGCTCAGGTGTGTATCATCGAAACTATATATACAATGTTCACAGCTGAGTGTACTAATGAACACCAGGATGCTAAGAATGAGATTGAAGCTCTTAAAAAGGCCGAGGAAGTCCGCAATGAATGTCCTTGTTGCGCGCAAGTGATGTTCCAGCCTTTCATGTAATTTATCCAAACTACTGCCTGTTATATGACGCACTAACTATTTGAATCAGCCTTTCTTGTGGTCATACGTGCTGCAAAGAATGCCTTGTCACATTAGTGGGCCTTTATATCAAATCTCACATGAATTTTGCCTGTCCCAGCTGTCGCGCGGTACAGGGGCGTTTTACACCAATTCCTAACTACGCCTGCCAATCTCATGTCGACGAGATGCTAAAAGGCAAGACACCTACCAATCGTCAGCCGTTGCAGTGGCCGCGCCAGTTTCGATCTGGGCCAGTTGTTCTCCCTTACCCTCCGAGCAATGGAACTTTTCCTGTCTTACATCCTCGGGCACCCGCTTCACCTGTATTTCCCATTGTAATCGACTAAATAGTCTGCCTCTTCTATCTGTCTATGTGACCAATCTGTCATATCTCTTTGTTTAACTTTCGTGACTCTGGAGTCGACTTTTTGTATCTCAGTACCTATGCATATGTACCACCGTCCATATCCTTCGGTCCGATCCTTTGATAATTGAAGTACGTCACAATTATTGAACCAGTTCTATCTCTGCACCAATCTTCAATGATAAGGACGTCTCTACATCTACGTCGGAACTCCAGCATCAGCCTGCTGTTGACAAAATTGGCAGGTGACTACAGCTTCAAAGAATGGCATTGAAAATGATGAAACATCAGCTGTCGCAGGCCCTCGAGTGTTGGTACGGGCGTGCTGTGCTAGTGGGCTCTGATCGTATGGAAAGAGTGCGGTTTCGGAAAGTAGTCTTGAAATTACATTAGAGATGAACTGCATCGATCAGTCGGTTGTAGATTGTAATTCAGGTGAATATAGCATTGTTCGAAGCTGTATACTGCAAGAGTTGCCCTTCTAGGCCGAATTTCTCCTGAAGTACTGTATGTAGGTCAGTAGTGTCGTCCGATTTACCCCTTGAAGGTTTTTGCTCATCCGTTCTCCTCAGTCCCGCTTATCTCTGGTTCGATGTTTTTTTCATAATGAATCAAATTGACATCCTGTTATTCTACACCGAAATCATTTGTCCTCCCCCACCATTGCACAGCTAGTAAGAGTGGTAAACCAGCGGCATGCGACCGTCTGTTTGACTCAATTGACCTTTTTACTCTGCTTCGTCGGTTCAGCCAGCTTATTGGACGGCTTCGTTTGCGACTAACGGTAATCAGTGAGAGTTTCTTTCGCGACTCATATTAAAACATGGACACACATATACAGATGCTCGGGGATTCTTGAACAGTCGGTATTCTCTATTATCTCCTTCCTAAATCAACGCAACGTTGGAAACAGCGATCAAGTAGACAGTAAGTTCTTGCCTTTCTTCTCAAACTCAATGCATATTTGTGTCTGGTTGCGACTTCCGTCCCCACATTAGCATTGCTCAGACTTTTCTTCAGACCTCTCCACGATTCCACATCCAGTGTTGTAGGTGTATTCGAGTCAGATTGAATCTGTACAAAGAGTGTTAATGAAGTAGTCCATCATGAATACTCAGAGGACTGCAAACGTACAGCGGGGTTTAGCGGTGACTCAGCACCAATGCAGTCTGCAGGATTGGATGCCAAAGTATTAAGCGACTGTTCAGAGATCTGTGACAAGTGTCGTTATAAGACATATGATTCTACCGTTGAAAATAAGATATAGACCCCGAATCGTAAACCGTCTTCCTGGAACTGAGCTCTCAGTCGAGCCTGCAATTGCAAGACCTGATTTTCCAACACCTGATTCGAATTCAAGGCGGCGTTCAATTTTTTCTCTTCTGCAATCCTTCGGACTTCAAGTGACTATCGAAGAATTAGATGGAATGATGAACCCCCAATCACATACACAGGCCTTACCTTGTTGTCTTGTTTCACCCGTTCAAAGGCGATTCGATAATAGTCAGCTTGCTGGCGGTGCTCCTGCAACTATTGAATTTTGTTTAGAAAGGTCTAAGGATACAACTGTACTCATTGACCTTGGACACTCTCTTCTGCTGATCAGTATGAAGGTCATCTAATTCAGCACGAAGGGCTTCCACTTCGACTCGCGCCTAAACAGCAATGAGAAAACGGTTGAATGGGGGAAACACGATAACTACCATGGTGTACTTCCTTTCTTTGTTCAGACGATCTTGAATAGTATAGTTTGTACGTAATTTCTGCAATACCATGAGCACTTCTTCCAAGGGAGGATGAGCTAGCAGATCACACCTGAGCAATCGATAGTTGGCTGGTCCCTTCTTTAATGCTTTGAGCGTCGATTTTTTCGTCCTTTGAAGACTTGAGTTTCCGTAATTGAGCCTGGTTAGTTATTTGAGGGTTCTCCAGCGTGCTCTTCAATTTAGACTGTTGAGAGTCAGTTTGTTTGTGCAAGCTTTCTGATTGCATGGCCAGATCAGTGGACCCTGCTTGTGCATTCATGAGATGGTCATTCTGAGCTATGATGTCTTCAGCGTTAGTCTTAACGTTCTTGTAAGACCCAGACTCCATGTATTGAGCTTGATGAGTTGTTCGTAGGTCTTCAAGTCTCTGCTCCATGGTCGCGAGTTCGCACTTTTGACAAGTGTATTGTTCCAGCAAGTCATTCAATTGCAAAGTCAAACGAGACGTTTGCGCCTGCTCATTTCTAAGCTGTGTATCTTTCTCTGCGACATGTGCTTTCATGCTCTTGATGACAATCGAGAGAGATTTGCGGTCCTGGTTATTATTATGTCGTTAATCATAGTACCTCTGTGAAACAGGAACACGTGCACCTCTGAAATACGCTTAAGACTCTCGTCTGAACTGAGCAACCTATTCCGCACAGCTTGTAGGTATTTCTCCTGTGATCCACGCGCCTTCTCGAGGATTCGTATTTGTTTCTGTAGATTGACTGTTTCGGCACGCGCTATTACCGTATCCACGTCCTGGGTAGGCTCTTTCAATTGCGGAGCTTGCAGCTGTTGCGCTCGTTCCTGTTCGTGCTGAAAAATCTGTGGTAATGAGGTAATATAAACGCCTACCTTTGCCAAGTCCTCCGCATTTTTGGCCATGTCGTCCTTGAGATGCTCAAGTTCCTGATACTGAGCCTGGTTAGCTACCCGTAAACCTTCTAGTTCCAGTTCCTTGATATGGAGTGTACATTGGTGAGAATCGTGGAAATCTTTCAGTTGGACGGTCAATTGAGAAGTTTGATCCTGCTCATCAAGCAACTGTGTGTGCTTCTCGGCAAGAAGGATTTTCATCTTGTTCTTGTCGATCTCAAGAGATTTGCATTCCTGAAAATCATTCCGTCTGTGACCGGGTCTAATTTAGTGGAGCAGGGACGCACCTCTATCATATTCTTGAGGCTCTCATCTGAGGTGAGCACCTTTTCCTGCATGCTTTGAAGCTCTTTCTCTTTTCCTTTACGATCCTCTTCGACCGCTTGTAATTTGGTCTTCAAGTCGGCGTTTTCCGCGTGTGCCATCGCCAGTTCTGTGCACAAGTCGACGACTACAACATTGGGAGATCCAGAGCCTCGCACTTGTTCCTGTTCAGAATGTGTATCCTGTAGTAACGTAGTGAAGATGAGGAGGGAATGTATATACCTTCACCGTGTCTTCTGCGGCCTTGTATGCCTTTCCTGCCTCAACTAGTTTGTGCACTTTTCGTGTTGCCCGTAGTCGTGTCCCTGCCTTGTCACTTTTCATCGCTACCACCATGTGAAAAGTAAATAATCTATATGAATTTGGTCGAATAAGTTCATACCATCCACGTGTGTAGTTCTCGGTTTTCCGGTTCTCCCCTTTTCACTCAGGTCCGCATTGCTCTGAACATATGTTATTTACCAGGCGACAACACGGGCGAATGATGTGCGCACCTGAGATTCATGGTTTTCAGGTGTATGTGCATTCGTTAGTAACGCAGTTGCCGGCATGGTCTCTTTTCCCTGCTTCTGAAGCCTCTGGTGGGTCGATGGTTCGGGAATGAGAGGGCATACCAGCTGAATGCGAGAGCCATTAGAACACAGAAGAGACTCCCTCGATATCGCACACGCACCGCGCGCTCCTCGGATAGTACCGCTCGGTTCTGTAAACTTGAAAGTTAATCTACTGTATTGATTGGAGTCGACGTCAACGTACCTCTGTCATCTCGTCTGCAAAAGATAGCTGAGTATGCAATGTCGTGCATAACAGATCGACGCCCTCCTCTGTTGTCCAAGAATTGTTGCTTTTAGCTTTCGGATCATCATTTTCATGAACCGTTTGCGTTTGGGCATCATTCGTCACTTTGATGTGGCCAGTTTCTGTCTTCAAGTATCCGTCCTCCCTTTCTAGAGCTTCGGATTTTTTGGCCTGTCAGTATAGACCGAGAAAGATGTCAGAGCTCATAGATAGATATAACATGATGTGTACGTACCATCTCTTCAGCGTCCTTACATGCCGAGTATTGCAATTTTCCTAACTCCTGCCTTGCAGCATCAAGTGCGCACTTCAGCTCCTCCTGCTCTTTGTGAAGTCTAAACAATTCCTTCTCTTTATCGACAAACGTATCCCTCATGTTCTTCATAATTTGATCCTTTTCCTTGACCAGTACACATGCATCCTGCTTGTCCTTATTGAGTATGGAAAGTTGCAGATTTATCTTCTGCGAGACAGTAAGCATTGCAAGAGAAAGCTTGAAGGTTATACGCACTTCTAGCTCCGCATCATTTACATCCTTGATGGTTTGCATAGAGGAACGAAATTCATTGCGGAGATCTTCTACCTCTTGGCATTTCGATGAAAAAGAATGTGCTAAATTAATTTTTTCCCTTCGCAGATCTTCGAGCTCCAAAGCTTTTTTCTAGAAAATAAAATAACAAACTCGTCAACACGAAAATCATTACAAGGTTCCGCTGATTCCACCTCAATCTGATCTGTCAGAGTATCGACTTGCTGCGCTTTTACATCCTGAACTACAACAAGTGACTGAAGTTCTTGATTATGATGCTGCAGCGACTCAAGGGTTCTGCCAGCATTGACTTCCATGTCAATCAGTGCCGCCTTGTAAGTATTGAGTTCTGATGTTCTGCACTAGTGACAATTGATGATGAGAATAGTAGAAAGCGATAGCCGTTGAGTCCGTACCTCGAGTTCATGATCTTTGGCCATGATAATCACACGAGATGACTCCATGATCCTCTCGTTTTGTTTGCAAAACATCTCCCAATCTCTCTCGTGATTGCAAACATTTTCGGTCACCAACTGTTTTCTCTTGCAACCTTCAGTTTCTTTCTCGTTCTGGAAACTTTGAGAATACGAGACGATTGTTAAGATTACGAAAGCAAGATGCACCTTGAATGTTTCCATACCCGCAAACTTGAGAATTTCGATTGTAGACTTAAGGTTCGCATAATTCTGGCGAAGCTCTTGATACTCCCGGTTTCTGTGATCCAGAAGGTCAATGTTCTCCTTCCGGAGGCTATCCAACTCCTGCGCTTGTTCGTTTTTCTTATACTTGTTGTATGCATCAGTCATCGAAGCCCTCATTTATTGTGACAGGGCCGCCCACCTGAATTTGATCAATCGCTAATTGTAGTTCTTCATTCCGCTGCTTAAATGACTGCAGTTCCTCCATTGTAACTTCATGAGAACTCTGCGCATCTGTTAGGCTCGATCGCAATCCTTCGACATCCTACGACAAACGAGTTCAAACAAGGTCCAATAAGTGAAACGTATGTAACTGACCCTGGAAAACTCTTGTTTCGCGACCGTGATGTACAATTCGAGTTCATCGTTCTTTCTCAGAGCAACTTGGATTTCCTGGACCTTTGCATTTCCGAACCGTTCTGCATTTGCCGCGGAGATCTCCAGCTGTTTGATCTTGAGCTAAGCGGCCATTGCTCAGTATCATCTGGAAATAACGCCTAGAACCATCAACTACCTTCAAGTTTCCGGAATTTCTATTCGCACTTTGAAGAGCGCTTTCCTTTGACTATCAATAGTTTCAATAATGGTAAGTCAGATGATATAGAATGTTAGGCCTCCATATAGCCTTTTTACCTTCAGCAGTTCACTGAGCTCAGCCTTCTCCGATTCAAGTAGTTGAACAGTCCTCTTTGCCTGATTCTTCCATTCCGCAGCTTCTTTTATGGTTGATGCCTGGTTTTGCTAGAATTTTGCTTATGAGATATCTCCATCCACCAGGCGGGTTGAAAGTATACATACATTATTCTTTTTGAAAAGTGCTACTTGCCTCTCGAGACCTTCAGTGACTGTGATTAAGTCCGTCATTTTTTGTTTCTGAAGCCTGATTTCATTTTTCGACGCCTTGTTCTCTTCCTGGATCGGAAGGTGTATGGGCATCTTGCTTGTAAGAAATTGAGATTTTCTTACTTGCTGTTGTCGCTCGAGATCCTTGATCTTCTGCGACAAATCCTTCTTCAGGTGAAAATCTTTGTTGACAATGTTCTAAAGGACAAATTATGAGGGTTTCGTGTCTTGAGGCTAACGATAGTTTCTTGCTTACCTTAACTCTTTCCAGCTCATGTGCATAATACGTAACATTGGCTCTCTGTTTCTGCAAGGTAATTGCGCAATGAGTAAATTAATACACAGCAGCAACAAAATCTTACATTTAGTTCGATGTTAGTAGCAGATATAGTTCCGATCAATGACTTCTCGGTCATGCTGCTTTTTACTTGTGCAATCTACAGTGGGACTGAGACACAACAATGAAGCTTTGACGAATTATGACTGACATAAAGGGCTTCTTTTTCCGCCTCGGCCAAGTCATCGACATTATCATTAGACTGCGTCCGGAATCTGGCTAGCTGCAATTCCTTTTCAATCTGCTCGTATTTCTAATAGAAAATTTAGTTGCCTGATATTAGAGGGATAAAGTAAGTTGTCACCGTCCATAGCGCTTGATATTTATCCTTGAATGAGCGCAACTCCGCGATATGCACTTCAACCTGTGAGGTATGAGATCGACATGCATACTTCGGGCAACTAGCATGAGACAAACCTCGGGATGTTCTTGGAAATTTGGCATCAATAATCTTTCGATTGCGGTATCAAGACTCTGTAAACGATCTATTCAAAGAAGAACTTGGAGTCTTTAATGCTGGATATTTGCGCACCTGGACAGATTTTTCTACAGTCATCATTTTGATATTCTGTATAGGCTGTATCAGCGAATAGTCAACATACTAGCTTCAAAATAGGTCTACCGAATCATCCCTCTGCAATGCGACAAGTCGAATCTTCTAATAAGTGATTGGTGAGACCGTGCCACTGTATCCAACATAAATGCGTACTGTGCCATGAGGTGCTTCTGCAGTGGGACTTGAACGTCTTCTCTTCCTCGATGGATGGTCCACTTCGGCGCTTGGATGTATTGATGACATCGGAGTAGTGCAAACGAAGGAGGCAATAACAAAGGACAAAGCAACTTGTTTAACTCGCTGACATGATATGACGCGCGTTGAGGTCGATATTATGGATGAACGTGGCCTTATCTGACGTTCATTTGTCTACGAATACGAGATATGTGTAAGGATAGTTCTTCATAATACGAGAAAAACACGCACAGGAACCTCAACAAGCCCTTGGTTTTCCCTTGATACTAGCACCTACTCATCTTATCACTCTCGAACGAAGGCCGCAAAAAATTGGCGTTGTCAACAAGATTGGCTTACAGTAACAAGCTTCAGCATGCTTTTCTCTCGATAGGCGCCATTCTTTCTACAAACAGCAGTCATCACATCAGTCCATTGATCTTATCCATCCCATTCTTCTCGGCGAAGGGCGCCTTCATATTGTGGCAAGCAAGGATCAGGCTAACGCAGTTGGTGGTTTATTTCAACACTATTGTACTCGACTACGAAGTGTATTGTCATAATAACGCTCAACGACATGAATACATCTCGATTATTTATCCGTCATAATAACAGTTCTATAGTTAGAAGGAAGGTATGTAAATGCTCAAATCCAGTCCCGGGAGTCCACATCTTTTAGGGGCCTTGAAACATGTTGAGCCTCCGAGATAACATAAGCGTCGACAATGCTAACAGAACCGGGGACATCGTATACATGGGTAATATCTGCGTCAGTAGTTTTCTGCGATCCCACCATTAACGAGTTAGCTTGCAACATGGATTGTACCTGGAATGGCCAAAAATGTCACGTCGTAGATCAGCTCGAGGAAAACAGTACAGTAACATACCCAAGGAGCATGAGTAAGAGCCAAAAAATAAAGACCATGGAGCATCAACAATATCCCGAGGGTCATGAAGATATACCGAAACACAGAGCTTCTGTCCGCGAACGTGCAATGAAGACTCGCTCCCGCATTACCGTTGGACTTAGAAGTTGAAGTGGGGAGATGACTCTTTATATAAATCTCGACGTCAGATGAAGCTTGCATAGTCGATCCTGCAATGGCCACCAGAAACCCTTCTGTGGTTGTGCATGCCTAAGGCTGGCTCAGGCTCTGCAATACTCGGACATGATAATGAGGTACTTACGGCGACAGGTTGAACCAAACCACCCTTGTTATATTTGAGATGTTGAATCTTGGCACCACTTGTGACGTCAAAGACCACAGCACGCCCCTTGTCAGTGCCTGCAATCAGGACGGTTCCATCCTCGGCAAATGTTACAACCTTTGGGAAGAGGACTACAGGCTCCGGGCCTGAGAATGTTCGTATGTGCTCAATGGTATCGAGCCGGAACATTTGGAAATCTTGGCCGGTGCACGCCACAAACAGTTCACTTGAGTCATCGGTACATACGGTTCCCCTGGAGTAAGATTTGAATCAAAATAGTATGAGGAATATACATGAGGAATTCGCACATGGGGTCAGGTCCATATTTCTGGTTCGATTTGATATCACCACTTTTGTCGTCGAGTCTCAATCTATTAATGTAATGGTCAGAATATCAATGGAGGGTTTCAATGTCGAAGGATTTCACTCACATTGTGCCACCATTCAGTTCAAAAGCATAAACATCTGCGGTCTTTTTGCAGAACCTTGCAGCGATGAGTGTAAAATCTTGGACGGAAACTGAGTATATTTCCCGAAATTCCCCAGATGAAGACAAAGAAGAAACCGTAGTTCGATCGTCAGAAGTTGCGACCACAACGCGGGCGAGTTTTCCGATCGCAATTTCGGCCTGGTACACGTCGATGGAAAGGACCTGGAAATCCGAGGGTACAGGAATGACGCGGACCATTGAACGAAAGACCTAAAGAATGACAATGACATCGCATCAGTTAAACTGACACCATTGGAACAAGTTTATTTATGCACCTTGTCTTTTTCATCCCATTGCAGGATAGATACTGTCCCCCCCTGCGATCCCAAAAGGAGGACATATCGATCTGCTTGTTCGAAATGCAGCCAAGCAGAGGCCGCGTAAACATGATCGGGATTGCGTGGGTTATAAATGCTGTTAGGAATTGGTATAGCTTCGAACGATTCAAGGTCCCAGACTGTGACGCCGCCATAACCTGTGGCGACATGAGCCCTATAAGATAAGTGTTAACAAAGACAATTTGCCCACCTGCAGCGGCGATGAACTTCGCTTGAGGAGAAAATGAAAGAGAGATAACAGCATCTCGAGCACCCTGTAAGGTAGTAAGATGTTGGTACATAATGAAGTCGAGGAAAGTAGGAGTGGCGGGGATTTGCACGGTGGAGTATATATATGGATCATGAATACAATGTCACAGATAATGGCTCACCGGATCAATGAACCCTTTTCATGGCCTTTCATCCATTGATGAATAGAGACAACGATCGAGCATAATAAAGCAATGTTGTTGCCGGACGCCCTCCGTAAACGAAACCGAGAGCCAGTCGCCAATCACCCATCCAAAGGGTATCTTGCTCGTATGCAAATTCTCCGTAAATACCTGTTACTTGGATTGAGATTTGTCAGATTTTGAAAGGCACGCAGCGCTCCGCAAAAATTGTTGAAAAGGAGCAGAGGGGGAGGTGCGAAGAAGAAAGTGAATTCAGACGTTTGCAGGACGTGTAAAGCAAATGTTGGATCAGGATCAATTTCCGGTATTGATAGGATCATCATGATTGATGAGCGGCCGCTCGAAGCCGCTTCCATGCCACACTCTGCGGGTAGGGTTAAATACAAATCGTGGTTCTAATTAGATACTTAGAAGATCGAATAGTACTACTATAGTACATAGTTGATAGATGTACGGACGTGTTTGAAATATTATCATAGGTATACTAATGCTGGGAAAGTGCGTCTCGTCCTGAAAGGTGCTATGTATTGCGCAAACCTGAGGAACAATAACGTCGTTAGACATGCGGACTAGTAAAGTGACCGTAAGAGATGTACGAACCTTTTGACAGCTTTGTCTGCTGCGCGCGCTTCCAACCTGGTTCGAAAGTTTTTAACGCCAACCTTTGTGCCACAAGCGACAACTAAGACGTCTCCATCCATCGGAGCACCGATTAGCTGGAGAATCGCTTGGTTGATGGGAAGTGATTTGTGTCGTTTAAAAAATACTCTGAACTTGTACTGTTTTCCGCGGTGGACAACTTTAACGATGGAATCGTGGATGTAAGGTTGAGTTTTAGGATGTGACAGTTCCGTTGACGCAACGACGAATCTTCCTCTCTCCAATCGAAGAGGATCCTCGCGGTAGAAAACCTTTATTGAAGCTGGATTTGGATTATCTGCACGGTATATACGTGCGCGAACGCTGCGAATAGTGATCTGAAGAACATTGAGCCGAAGATTCATGATAATGGAACAGCACCAGACTCACTCCGCGATTAGATGGAATAGACAGTTGATTCATACCCATTGTGCTCGCAGGTTTTGAGACGGGGCAGCAGGGGGTAGAGGGCATGAGAAGGATTGGAATAACTCGTGTACTGATTATAATTATTCTTGACGAACAAAGGATTTCTGTCAATGATCAGAGAAAGTAATCACAAAGACATTCTTCGGCATATCAATATGAAAGGATATCGGAGATTCGTGCATCTGTCCGAATCAAAGGAAATGAGTTTATCGAATAGAAAGAACCAAGTACTCACTAGTGACATTTTGGCAAGAGATACATATATTGTCTAAAACGTGTAAAAGCTCAGCGCTTGCCACTTTGGCCGGAATGATGTTGATACATAGGGGTCTCTACGTCACAATCCTTGAACCTCAATGAACCTCCGTTGCGCGTTAATGAATATTGAATGTAATTTTAGGATTCGAATGATGTTTGTCCAGCTGTAGTATTGTAGAAAATGAAAAATAACAGCGAAGGGAAGAAGGGGGTGAGAATAGGAGGTATCAAGTACTTCGATATAACTCAAGAAACGATATATGAGACCGAATTCTTGAACGTGATAGACTACCCTACTACTTCTGCTTTCGTGCCTCCTTCTCAGCCTGTGCAAGACGCTGTCGGACCTCCTTGATCTCCTTTCGGGTTTTGGCAGCCTCATTTTGAAGAGATATTTTCTGGAGGGCTTGTTTGCGGTACTTCAGGTGGCATCTCACGAAATCATCAACAGCCCAATAATCGTGGTAGTCATCTAGAAATCGAAACTTCTTCACGGCCTGAAGACAACAGAAGAAAACTGAGATGTTAACTATGGTAACAATCGCGGGAACACGCTTACCAGCGAGCGAACCTCCTCGACTTTGGATGCTATTTGTTTAGTGAGAGGCTCGGTGCAGTCCAGGTGTTCTTGTACGAGCTTATCAATGTACGCCTGGCATAGAAATTAATGCAGGCTCATCATTCGTAAGAACTTTTTCACGGACCTTCACTTTATCGAAACGTTCAGTCGACCACTTGAGTTCCACACGTAGATTATATCCACCACGCCCAGGTCTACTAACCTCACCCTTGGGCTTCTGAATTTTCCGCAACGCAGACTCGTCGTCTGTGCCAACTTCAAGATCTTGCTCGCCATCGCCTGACACTTCCTTTGGACCCTGTCCTGCACAAGGATCTGCAGATGCTGCCTCTTGAACCAGCCCAGTTCTAGTCATGATACGGGGCTGAGGGTCGGAAATTAGTTCAAATGCCGGTGAATGGTATGGAGTGGCATGAGGTTGAGCAAAGTGAGATGCAGAAGCAAAGGCAACGCGTTGTGGAGTGGAGTGCGATTTGATCGAAGCGGACATGGAAGTGATAGTAGGGGAGGAATGAAATTTAGGGTCTGGAGAAGGAGATCGATTATAGGGCGATGTTCGCCGAACCATGCGCGAAGCTCGTTGATTAAGAATACGTCGGTCAACTGATTTAGCATGTACGGGAGATGCGTGTAACTCGACGCGATCGTGATATTCATGATTTGCGTGAGCAGTGTAAATATGTCGAGTTTGACGATTCGGGCTCATGATGAAGGACTCAAAAGATAAATTCGGTCTCTCGATTCCTGAGATGATATATGAGCTATGCCAAGGACAAAGGGGATGTCCTTGTTTTTTTTTCTTTTTCCGCTCTGTGATCTGATCAATCTTTCGAAGTCTTAACCGTCGAAAGAGAAGGATACTTGAAGTGGTTCAAAGGTCACAGATGAGCAGAATAAAGGGAAAGGGATTTGTACCATGATTGAATAGGATTGAATGCGTCTATTGCCTGTGATGTTAGGGTTTTCCAAAATCAAATTGACGCTTAGTCGAGGCGCTTATGTAGCTAATAGGATTTTTTCGTGTTGCTTCATTTTGTAATGTTAACGACGTCGCTTGCAACGACTCTTACACTTGTGTAATTTCAATCACCAATCTAGCTAGACATCCCAGGATATTTCACTAAATCTCTTACAAGAACGGCTCCAGAATAAAGATTTCTTTGGTACATCTCGCCTCGAAAAGGCTGCCGAAACAATGAAGATTATTGCTCGTCAAAACCCCTTTCACCTTTCAATCATTAGCTCATTGCGTTCAGCAGACGCGGCTCCCAAGTTCTTCACAGTCGAAACAATCATTTCTTTGCGAAATGGAGCAAAGAAGAAATCTTCAAGCTAGTAACTTTTTATATATATAGCCAACCGAATTCGAGTCAACGACACAAAAATTTCCCTATGACCTCCAACTCAGGCTATCCTGACGTCCACGGTATTGTCCCTTCATCTATTCGTAGAATTCCTTACGACCGCATCGAACTTCGCTCCTCTGCCACTCCAAGGCCTGCCTCAGTCGATCGTCGCATTCTTCGTACTCCTGGTGCTTTGAGGACTCCTCGGGCAACTGTCCGGACATCCCCTTACCATAATAGCCGCTCGCTGTCTCCAGATCCTAGCTTCAAGCCAACCTCGATTGCTGTAGAACTTACATCTTGCGATGGCTCCACCTCCTCCGACACTCGATTTGAGGATATGCCAACATTGGCGAACTCTCAACCCCGAATTATCTCCACCCGAAGTGCGACCTCTAGGGTTGAGAAGACAGCGGCACAAGATGGATTGGGAGATGAATCTGATTCAGATGATAAGATTGCAAAACCCTCGGGCGAAGTTGGTAAACCCAGTCGGGGAGGCTATAACTTGCGTATCAAATTAGGATGGGCGGACGATAGGTTCGATGATGTTGAAGTCTGTATCTTGGTCTACTTATGTTGGATATCTTTCTAATACTCCCTTCTACCCAGAAATTTATCAATGGACTCATCGAAAGGAAGTTGAATGTCACGCAACCTTTTGCTCAGCAGGATCCTTCGGACATCAAGGAGGTTCAGGATGTGGCAAGTCGAAATTTTTTCCCCTTGTCTCCCTAGTCCTAATTCTCTATCCTTCAGGCTTCAAGAAAGTTCCCATTTCTCCACGAGTATCGTAGTTACTGGGTCATCGATGATTTCATCAAATGCAACTTGAAACATCGAATGCAAATTGCGACAAAATCTGGTGCTAGGAAAGGAAAAATATAAATTTCACACCGAGGCGACCGGCTAGATAAAGGGTGCGATAGATAGTATACGGACAGCGCGCATGTGAACTTATACCCGATAATCTGACGTCGGTCGGTCTGACACCGACTTGTCGTTCTTCGTTTTCGCGAAATGATCACATAGGTTTTGCGTGAGCGTGAGCACTATATAACTAACACCTGTGAAACAGTATGGAGTAGCAGGTGTATTTGGACATTGAACAAGCTATCTTGACAACTTCAAATTCCCTCTTCTCCGATTTCTGAAATTTTTTCACTGACGTGTTACTGTTCATCTGAAATGTTTTGGCAGAGCGATTAATCGAGCACAATCTAATTGAAATAGACACAACCTCAGTCCTGCTTATGGATCAGTACTCCCAATCTTGGCTTGAGACAAATAAGAACAGGCAACTCACCCGCCCGAGAGACAGCACTACCACACAGTCTGCCTGAATTTTCCACCTCGCTGTGTGTCCCACAACTGCATCTACTGTGACAACATCATATCGGTCAAAGAATTGGGAAGATACTGTTCTACAGTCAAACCCTCGATCAACAAATTGCGCGAAAGGATCACAGTCTCGAGGACATGGTTTACTTGGTTTGATGGCTAATTTGGTCTTCCCTTCGTGTTCGAAGATATACTGGATTTGTCCTGCGAGCCACGATTCCTGAACTCCTTTCGTCTGATAGTAACAGACATAGCTATTCCCAACAACAAGACTAGGGATGCTGTAAAAGCCCTTAACCGCAGGAATCTGCGAGTAGCATCGTGGCTGGATATTCCCCGTTTGCTTCGCGAGCTTCAAAGGAAGTTGCACCAGTCCTGATATCACCTTGTGGCCAGGTGGCGGGCGGTCGTTCCTTTTACCGTCCATGATTTCCGTGACCCCAGAGTCGCCCAGCTCGGCGTTTTCGTTATCATCCATCTCGATACTGTTATAACCATATGCTTTATCCAGAAGATCTTTACAAAATTTGAGGAGGTCGGGACAATCTGGTCGCATGAGCCAACGACGAAATAAGGCACCCTTGAAGAACAGCCGCAATAAGGTGAATTCTAATTGACCTAAATTAGATTCCGATGGTCAGTGGATAGATATGTCGCGCGTGTGGATCCTCTTACCAATCTTATGATTTGTGGGCATCCTTTGTACTTTACCGATCAGTCTCTCAAATGGGAATCCCCACCAATTGCGTACAGTAGAAAAGCTCTCCATGAAGTCGTATATGTGGAATGCCAAATGATGTGTAGGTAGAATGAAACCTGGAAAGATCTGTTTCAATCCGAGGATATGTTCCCTCAGAGAGGATCTAAATTGATCGCGGGTTTTGGGGGATAAACTATTCCGAGTCATCAAAATGGAGACACAGGTTAGATGCATGGAAGTCTCCAAGACAGGAACCATATCGGCTGCATTATCTACTGCAGAAGGAGAACCTTTGCCCCACATGCTAATCAGAGCTAAGGGTAGGTGGATGTTGAACAGAACTCGCCAATGATCAGCTTTTAGAGTGCCTGCCTGCGGAAGCCCCATATCGGATGGTGGACGGACAATCCAGGAGGGCACACTGATTTCGCGGATCGCTTTTTGAACTGTCTGCAGAACCTTATCCGAAGCAATAACCACTCGTGGCAACGGCTCTAAAGGTTTGGTCAGGCGCTAAGTGTCCATTGTGAGAGTAGAACACTAACGGAATGCAAGTAACTACGCACCCATTTGATCAACTTATCGATAAGTTCTGTCTTGCCGAATTTTCCCTCGGGCAGAATGTCAAGGTCAGTGCAAACGAAGGCCAGCGCTATCAACGTTTGCCTATTGAGGTTAACTCTCAGATGTTTTTCACTGACTTCGTTGTTGAAAGGTTGAGTAAGGAAACGATGTATGTGTCCGACAGCATGAGCGCTGTGCCAGTTGAAGTGTTTGATGGTTTCAGCCAACAGACCGAAGCGACCCTGTATCCCTGGTATGCGAAGGGGGTCCATGCGTTGCTTTTCATGGATGTCGTGTAGTCGTAGCCAAGGAATCGAGGGGGCGGGCCTGTCCTTTGGTGTAAAAAGTGGCCATTCGAACGCCCGACCAGGGTCAATTATCCGTTCCGATAGCTTAAAGAAGTTAAGTTCGAAATATTAAGTAGTTTCCAATAATTTGCTCACCCAGCGGTACAAGGAATCTCCGAACTCTCGCCGACTGATACCTTTTTGACCTCTGGAATGAAAGCGAGTTTGGGATCGTATTTCCTCCTTCGTGTCTGGTATCTCCATCAAGTCATTACATACATAGGCCAGGACAACCCATTTGAATTTTCCCAACCGTTTCCGAAGACGATCGCGATCAACATTGGAAGCTGGAAGGCCCCGAGACAATAAATAGTGGAGGTCAGATATTCCTTGGAAGGCTCTAGGATCCCCTCGAATCTCTTCTTCAAGTTGTGTCATTCTAGCGACATGGGCGGTTCGCTCAACAGGGGAGAGATCGCCCCATTCGAGTACGGAAAGTCTTTGATCTGAGGCTTCAGGTTGGTCTAATCCCAAATTCCCCGTCATAATTGGGGTAGCTTGGATTATAGAAGCGAGTTCGGATGAATGGGGGGGTGGAGTAAAATCATGATAGAAAGAAACGAAGGATTTTTTTTTCTGATTTTTCTTCTCCGTTGTCGACTTTTTAGGTTCTCCGTCACTAGAATCTGGGTTATCGAGGCCCAAGACCTCTCGAGCAAACCTTTGCATCAGAATGAGAAACAAGATATGCATAGGATCGACCATTAATTGTTTTATGGGATTCCAATACGGTAGACGCCAGAGCTCAGAATATCGGGTGCCGTAGAAAAATTCGACTTCCTCGCGATCTTTAGGTGTTTTTGCGTTACACCATGCCTCGGCTCCTTCTTTCAGAAACTCAACGGCTGCAGTTTCCCAGTTCTCATAATCGGTTCTTCCAAGATGAGCACGATGCCAACACTTGCACAAGAAGCAAGTGTGGTGAGAAGTGACGTCGAGAAAGCCGGCAAATGGACGTGCAGCCTTGAAGTCCATCAGTACGCCTGCAATAGCGACTCTGAATACACGTTCATTGAGCCCCTGACCATTGCAATGAGTTCGATAAGTGTGATAAGGTTGCAATCCACGTGAGTAGCCAGCGGAGAACTCGTCAATGAGGAGACGCCAGTAGTGACGATGTTCTGCATTCTTAGCATCAGGCTCGGTTTTTCCTTGGATGAGACCAGGAATGAAAATCCACGCTGGGTCATTGCGCATGGTCAGGGGCAGATTGAGGCATACTAAAGATGTGATGCCTGTCGACCTTGTCTTTCCTCGAATTCGATTTCCCTCGACGTTGAAGAAGTCGGCATGGAGAAGGAAGAGCCATCTTCCCTCGCTTCCTCGATCGGCAAGAAATAGTTTCCCGTCGTGCCCCCTGAAGGTGTGTATGAACGAGCCGTCTTTGATATCCCGTTTTACATCAGGGATTTTCTCGGACGAGGTAATGTCATCGCAGAAGCGATCTCCATACTGCTCTATTTCTGGGTGTGCAATGAATCGGCCAAACCATTCATAGAAAGAGTAGGCATGATAAGTCTTGATTGGTTTTCCTTCCTGCAATAGGAGTTCCATACACGGCTCTGAGAGTTTGGTCAGACGTTCGCCGCAATGGGTCGGGTAAACAGGATCAGAACACCCATTAGGGTATGTGGGGGCGTGCGTAAAGCTGCAACGAGGGCACACAGCATAAGGAATGCTCGGAACTTCCAGATTCAGAGCCTTTTCTACAGTTTCAATCGATTCCGGAATATCATTGAGAGCCTTCCTTTGAATGTAATTCGGTTGTCCTGCAAGTGAAACAATGGAATACCCAAACAACTTCAGCATTTTGAGCAGCACCCCGGAACCGCGGCGTGCTGCTCCCTCAAATACTCGATTTACAAGAGCAATGGTATATGTAATAAGGGTGGCTGTATTCAACTTCTCCTCAGGTCTTACGAAAGCATTTGCTACACACAGAATCAATATCATGTCAGGTGAAGGATCTTCAAGTATTCTGGATGTAAACTTACTATTGTTGATTTTAATGGGCGATGTATTATCTGGATAGGCTTTACGCCAATCGTATAGGAGGTCCTCCAGAGCATCTACTTCCTCCCATACGGCCCTGACTTTCTCTTGTGCGTGAGAGTGTTTGATCCTTGAGAGTTCGAAACGGACATATGCAAGGCTTCGATCAGCTGCATCACAGACGGTGTAAATTTTCTGTCGATCCGAGGTGCTAGTAAGCTCCTGGAATCCATTGCGCGCATTCACGATGACATCCCGAAGACGATCGGCAGATTTCAAGGCTTTCAGAGCTAAAGCGCCAGCTCCAACACCAGGATCGTTCAAATCATGATCCTTTGAAACCTGTAATGGGGTCAAATCATGATAGTGAGATCAAGCAAAGTCACGGACGAATTCCCTTCGATTAACTTCAGCTGTTGTCGCGTTACTATCAAGGCTGGGGACCGTTGAAGATGAGGTAGGTAGAGATGGTGCCGCTGCGATGTTCCTCGTTTCTTCTTCAATGAGATCTTTAAGAGTGAACTTTTTCTTCTTCCACTTAGCCATTCCGGTGAGAAATCGTTGTGGTTCTCAAGAAGTACAGAAACTGAGAGATTTGTCAGAATATGATGTAAGTAGGACAAATCATCAATCTAACAGTTGTGTATTCTACTCCTATAAACCAACGAATGACCATTCAATGACCATTAAATTCCAATGCATTCAGCAAGTCATATTAGATAGACCAAATGGTGCGAGTTCGATGTTCAACCCGCAAGTTGAAGGAGAAGATACAGGACCGAGAAATATGTACATGAGATTGATTACAAGTGCAGTAGCAGCATGTCAGTCACATTTTGCGTTCGTCGAGCATAGCTTCAAACTGAGGATATTGTTAATTGTCAAGGATTCACGATTCATAATATTGTCGAGCGTACATGGATGATAGGACAGTGGGGTCTTCCTCTATTCCTAACCTTCTAACAGAAAGAAAAATGTTAGTTCAGGGCAAAAGAGAAATTTCAATGCAATTTACCGACGATGGCGGCAACGAAATTTCATATTTTCGTGCGGTAGTTAATCGTTGTGCGACAGGGCCATGATGACTTTCCTTCAATACTGTGAAAGCAGTCGCCGTGTTATCATTTGACAGCGAGGAATCGATATTGCGCGAAACGAAAGGACGTTGCAAGGAATCAAGACCGACTGAGGCGACCTACAAAATTGATTCGCAACTCAACTCAGAGCATAGCAATCCTCATGACACGATCGACGTACCTTGCTATTGATGGGTGATGGAAATATAGTCTGTCTTGGACTTTCGTTGTGGTGATTCAACCCTGTGCTCGTCGTTCCACATGACGACGAGATGAGCGAGGATCGCATGACTCTCGAAGGGCAAGGACTTCGTTGAGTAGAGCGACAGTCTATATCAACCTGCAATTGGTTTAGACATTGTTTCTGTTGTGAATTGTGTGCATACATTGCGACTAAATCGTGAAAGCTGATGGGTAATGTTGGGTGCTTTTGTAGTAGGGGGCTCGATCCAAGAGTTAGTACGGCAACACATGTCACTGTTATATGCATGAACGTTTACCTCTAAAAAATGTCCGATAGGTTCAGAGCATCAGGCTGCGAGTAACATCGACATATTAGCCATGAGCTTCCGTACCTTTTACTTCCACTTTTATCTCTCGAGGGCCGACGACCTCCGGCTCACCCTCTGAAAGGATATGCCCCTCCCCATCAGTTGAATTAGCATTCAGAGTTCCCTGGAGATCTTGTAAATAATGATCAGACCGGGATGCGGCAAACCGTTCACTTGCCGACGCCATGTATCCTCTCCCAGATGGCACTTCAGCTTGTTGGGGATTTGATTGTGCTGTAAGCCAAGCCATTTTCAAAGCTCGGACTTCCTTCTCTCGAGACTGTAACTCTCCTTCGAGGGAATCACGAAAGTCCTTTGTTGTGATCGCTTCAAAGGTAAAATAGTTGAATCAACAAAGTGCGAACCTCTAAACATTTGATTTCCTCTCGAGAGTTCGACAGTTCCGTTTGAACTATCTGGAGGAGGTTGTTCTAAATGAACGTAGGAGATAAAGCCGGAGATGAGCTGGGAAAGTGAGAATACACGCACCTGCGTCTCGTATTTCGAGGTCGTCTCCTGTTCAGATCTTTCTAATTGGAGACAGCGTCGTTGTAAACTTAACAACTCCTTATTCTGCGCAATCAACTTAGGGTGTTCTGTAGGTGCTTGAGGAAGATGCTTTAATTGAGCTTCGACAATGTGAGATTGGTCGATTTGAGTCTAATAAGGCAAGCTTTAAAGCGAGTCGTGGAGTGCTAGAACAGAACAAACTTACTTGCACTGTCGACATGTCCAATTCCAGGGTCTCTTTCTCCGCTTGTAGCGATGCCAGGTGTCGGTGACTGGCTTCGAGCTTGCCTCTGTGTTCGTCTAAGTCATGCACTAATTGAATTTGCTTTTCTCTGCCAGTTGAAAGCTCGTCCTGATATTTCCGGTGTGAGTTTTCCAACTCTTCTCTGAGCTCTTGCGCGAACTTCTAAAGATGACGAGTGAGGTGGACGCGGTGCGAGTCTGGGAAAAGATTCCATACCTCCAGCATCTCTATTCTGGGTTTGTAGGTGCCCTCGAGCAACTGCTCAAGCTGAGCTTTGCAATTTTTGGTGTCGTCGAGTTCGGACTGTTCTAGATTGTGAATATGACACAATTCATAGTGAAATAACGATACCTGAAGAACATTGTTTCGGGCTCCGACAGTCTCCGAAGAATCAAGCGCGCCTTGAAGTGATTCTTTGAGCTGAGATTCGCGATTTATGGCGCGCTTGAACTGGGTCTGATGGGAGGGGAGAAAACAAAGATAAAAAGTCGAGCAGCGCGACAGTCAAACAGCCTGTACCTTGAAGATCTCCATCTTTGTTTTAAACCTGCAGGTTTGCTTGAGCGACAGTTCAAGTCGAACCAGCGCGTTATCGAGGTTGATCTGTTGAAATCGTTAATGGTAAGTAATTTGAAGAATGATACAGATACCTGAAGTGCATTATTTTTGCTTCGCGAAGTCTGCAGTAAATCGCGAGCGTCTCGAAGAGATTGTTCAAGCTGAGCCTGGCAACGGATTTTTATGTATTAAGGGCAAGAATTGGAAGGAATCAGACGTTCGAGGGCCGCGCATGCTTACTTGTAGTATCGACATGTCCGATTGCATAGATCTCTTTTCCCCTTCGAGCGCTTCCACTTTTCGGAGAGCATTTGCAAGCTTGCTCATGTTTTCGTTAACCTCCCGTTTATACATTTCTTGGTACCTCTCTTCGATCAAAAGCTCCTTCTGCTCATACTTTTGGTGAGAGGAGGTTTTCAGCTCCGATTTGACTAACTCGAGCCCTTGAGCACGTTTCTGATAATGGTTAACTCAGTTAATAACCTTGGTATGATGATAAAGCCCGGGCAACCGTGATTTATACATACCTTAGGCATATCCACTTCGCTGGTTGACTGTTCGAGCATCAATTTGATTTCAGCAAGTTGGTTCTGTTCGATAAGCAATTAATTAAATGAGGTTCGAAGAGGTGGTATGTAGGTATACCTGCAGCGAATGTTTTTCTGTGTTCAGTTGGTCTATCTGCTGTCTATAGTCTTGTTTATGATCCTCCAACAAGAAATGTCGTGCTTCGATGTGACCAAGTTCTGTACGATGAAGAAGTATGTCGCTTGTTTCGGTCTGAACTTGATTTGGCTTCGAAGATTTTCCAGAACTAGCAGGATTCAGGCTTTCGCCTGCATCCGTGGTCCTACGCGCCTGCATTTTCTATGTAATTTCAGAGATAACCTATGGGTCATGGAATCACATTTTTTACCTCCATCTGATTTCCCGGAGTTTCCAGATTTAGCAAGAGTCAAGTTGTGGTCAGAGGAACGTACATAACGCACAGCGATATGAACTAGCACGGACATACCTCTGACTTGTTTGCTTTCCCATCATGACACTGTTTGATTAACATGAGGCTTATCGAGTCAATGAAGACGATTTTGATACGTACCTCAGAGGCCTCATCTAGATGGCTACTGCTTGGTATATCTTTCGCTGGTTCAAATAGCTTGTCATCTCGTGCATTTTTCTGCTGGAGGAACTTGAATGCCTGATGATAGATATTTCAGCATAGTATAGATGAAGAAGAACTTATTGTAATTTGCCCTCCATAGCTTATTATAGGCTTCCACGGTGAATTGCAAATCAGTCAAAAGTTCGTTAGAATGCTGCACCAAAAACTAAACAAAAGTATCAGAGTGTCAAAGATAAAATCCACGATGGATCATACTGAATTATCATCTTCGATACACCTGAATGCTTCGTTTGCTGTTCTTCCTCTTTCTAGGCGTTGAAGTATACCGACCAGACTCTGAGATATCAGTTGTATTTAATGTCTTATGACAAAATCTTCCACGAACCTCAATGGTTTGTACGAAATCGTTCTGCTGCTCGTACGCGTAATGTCCAGGCTAGCATGAAGACATGTATCAGCGATTGCGGTATTTTCAAATATGATAGAGGTACCATGAGGCCTATCCGACTCTCCATGTCAATGAGTAAAGCACTTTTAGCTTGAAGTTGAACCTCTGCGACAGTGAGTCTAGAGGCAAGATCGTTATTCGCTTGCAACGCTTGTCCGATTGCCAGGTCTCTCTCGTGGGTGACTTGCGCAAGGCTTGTACGGAGAGTATAGTTATCAGCTTGGAGCTGATCAACATGAAGTGGGGATATGAGTCTGATTTTCGACTTGTCAAGTCAGTATCGGTGGTAACACATAATGCTACTCGTGACATACGACTCGTTCTGATGCATTGTCAGATTCGTCCGAATCATCTGTTGGTGCGGAATATTTGTTCCTTTTTCGAGGCATTCTAGTGGGGAAAGAAGTGAGAGGGACGACAAGGCGATTCACCATAGCACGGAAACGAGCGATCAATACTTAAGTAGTTTGCCGAATGTCCTTTCAATGGGGGGTCGCTTTTGTTCTTTGCGTTGAAATAATTTATTGCAGGAGCAAGGCACGTTTATTGTTCAGAATGAATGTCTTTGTTTTAAGTTACTTTGTTTGAAATGATGACCTATGATGTTCATTTGAGGTATCCACGAAGAGGCCCGGCCTATGGTGTGTCTAGGAGCGTGCCAGTGCTCCAAGAAGAGACTAAACCGTACACACATGTTTGTAGTAGGAATGACGAATACGGACTTAGAGTTCATAGTAATCGAAAATTGCCATGGGGCGTCCCGGTTGACCGCGGATTCCGGTTCGAGTGAATGATCGCGATAAGATGATAATATTACTGTGGAAGATTGACTCCTAACAGTTCATTGGATAATCTGTAAATTTGATTGTACTTACATCGAAAGAAAAACTACTGCGCGATGTTGAGTGCGCAGATATGGAAATTGAGCTTGCGTCCTTTGATAAAGCAGCCATTCAATGCTTATCATGTGAACGCATTGAAGGGGATCAAATGAAGCTGATACGATAAGAGTGCTTTATGAGTATGGAAAAGGAATTTTGATTGATTGACACTCACCGTCGAAAGCTACGTAGCCGACATTCCAAACCGCTTCAGCACCAGACAAAGGACCTTGGAGGTTGTGAGATGAAAGGAGCCAATTACATAATCGCTGCGGTCCTTCAATGCCCATTGTACCCTTCAGCGAATATGACTAGCCTATGGCACGCTATATAACGCTGCTGGGTCTGCTTGTCGACGTATCAGGTTCCCCTCAAGTCTTTCTAGGTCAGTTTTATACCTCATATGGTCGAGTCGCACTTTGCTGCAAATACTGAAGCATCCAATATTAGAATGCGCTCGAAAACTACTTCTGTCACAAAAAAATCTCGCCCTCAAACGCCAGAACGAGCATCCAAATATCAACTTATCGGGTCATCTACTCCCCGCCCTCGTATTACCTATGGTAAACATTCTAGAAACCGATCGTTACCCGACAGTCCTTCCCGTTACCACCAGAGTCTCGCAGTTGTATCAACTTCGACCACCTCCATGCAATCATTAGCATCGGACTATGAAGAACCAATCGTGGTCCCAGATTCTCCTCAACTTATGAATGCACCGAGTCTTTCTGCTTCGAAGGATACATCGTTCGCTTCGGCGCCGGGTATCGAAAAGATAGGCTTATCCACCAATGTTCAGGTGTGATTTCTCTTATATGCATCAATTCTCGCTCAGAATTCTTCCCTTCCTCTGCTTAGATTGACCGACAAAATGAAATCGACGAATCGAAAATCTACCCGCAAGTAAGTGTTGTCGTCTCTTGGATTGTGTTTTCACTCATCAGAAGGATACAGTCTTCGTCTACTAGATCCACCAGAGCATCCACACGAGAAGCTAAGTTGAAAGATGCGCTCGCTCGCACTGAAGAGAATCTCAAGGTTGCCCTTCAAGATGCTCAGGTGTGTATCATCGAAACTATATATACAATGTTCACAGCTGAGTGTACTAATGAACACCAGGATGCTAAGAATGAGATTGAAGCTCTTAAAAAGGCCGAGGAAGTCCGCAATGAATGTCCTTGTTGCGCGCAAGTGATGTTCCAGCCTTTCATGTAATTTATCCAAACTACTGCCTGTTATATGACGCACTAACTATTTGAATCAGCCTTTCTTGTGGTCATACGTGCTGCAAAGAATGCCTTGTCACATTAGTGGGCCTTTATATCAAATCTCACATGAATTTTGCTTGTCCCAGCTGTCGCGCGGTACAGGGGCGTTTTACACCAATTCCTAACTACGCCTGCCAATCTCATGTCGACGAGATGCTAAAAGGCAAGACACCGACCAATCGTCAGCCGTTGCAGTGGCCGCGCCAGTTTCGATCTGGGCCAGTTGTTCTCCCTTACCCTCCGAGCAATGGAACTTTTCCTGTCTTACATCCTCGGGCACCCGCTCCACCTGTATTTCCCATTGTAATCGACTAAATAGTCTGCCTCTTCTATCTGCCTATGTGACCAATCTGTAATATTTCTTTGTTTAACTTTCGAGAGTCTGGAGTGTAGTACGTAATAAGATCCTTTCGGTCCGTCCTTAGAGTACTATAGAAATAAATAAACAGATGTTTTCCTGTCTGCACTGGCCAAGCAGTAGATCAGTTCATGTTCGTACATCTCATTATCTCTAATGCTTGCAGATCAACTGTCGTGGTGAACAAGGGTATCAACAGGTCACAATTGAACATGGAGGATGGGTTGTCTCGATTATCGTGATATGCACGGGAGGATGTAACACATGGAAAGGAAACGAATGATTGGCACAGTGCCATTGAGGAACGACCGGGTCCCATACTTATGATCATAAATTAGAATATGGTTGCGGTAAGCTATATTATTTTTATAGTTATGCATGAACCTCATCCCTAGTCTCGTGGAGCAGAATTTGCAAGTTGAAAAAGACTTTCTTCCATCAGGGATTATTCGGACACACAATTGTCCTCCAGTAGCGTAGATGTTCGTCAGAGATCGAGGTAAGCCTTTTCAGAAGACGACACTCATTGCTCTCAAGATAATCTCATAAGTAATGTTTATGTTGTTTGGGCGTATTTCGCGGATTTTTTGTCGATTACTGGATGAACTCGACAACCGGTTAAGTGCCGCCGTGCGGCACTTTCTTTGTTATAAGCAAGTTCCTTTCTCTTTTTCTTACATCCATTGCCCCAGCTCATGCATTCGTGTACCCCAGCATCTTCGCCGAAGCGACTTTTGAATCTTGCTCATAACGCCTCAGAGTCCAATCCCATAGTATGTCCTCTAAAGCACTTTCCATTTCATTGCCACTGAATTCATTAATAGAAGGTCCGATTAGTATCTGCGTTGGACACCGACTCTCAGCAGGCGGAGATCTATAACTTAAACCTCCAGCTTGCCCATTCAGCAACGCGAAACAATATACTTCTTCGAGCTTTGAAAGAAGGGAACTTGGACCCAGCTTCTTTGTTTCTGGGAGCGGACAAAGGTCGGGCTATGACGAAGGACGGGTTGGAATCTTTGATTGGGCCATCGGTATACTGGAAGCCTTTTTGTTATATTGATATACTTGACAAAAACTGTAGTGTGATCACTATGAAGCCCGGAAGTTTGCAGTGGAAGTCATCTTATATGTATGTCGTTGTGTGCTCACATCAAAGATAAAATTAACTCTTTGTTACCTCAGGACCTTGAACGGACAATTGATTATTTGAGAGAGGTCCGTAAGGGCTCGTCGGACTCTCCTGTGGACAACGATCCAGTATGTACCAGATCTCCTACAGCTTTCAAGGCGCATTTAATGTTCTAGTATGCAGTTCTCGATTCCCTGTGCAAATAAGGCAGAAACAGAGTTACAGAAATGTCAAATTGAGTACGCGAAACTCAAAGAGGTTAGTCTTGTCTTTGACGATCATATCACATTCTTGACAATTTCTCAGGCATACGAGACTATTGAGGCGGAAATTTTCAACATGTCCATGTCCAACAAAGCAGCAACCCCCACACCTGCAAGCCAAATTGATCCGGTCTTGTACACTTCCCCCGACAACAGCACCCAGGGCGCACCGATCATCGGATCCGAGCCTGTGGAAGACGATACTGAGCACTCGCCCGCTCATTTAAATATCAATGACCAGGCAAAATCTGATTTGAAGAAAGCACTTGATGATAAAGTGGACCAGCTTCTGAAAGCTGAAACATACACTTCCAAACTCGAGAAGATCATAGAAGGATATGAAAATCGTGAGGATGGACGGGATGAAATTGAAGTAAGGTCGCAATTACTACATGATGTTATTTATGGTCTTACTTCGCACATGACAGAACCGACTCGCCCTTGATTGCGATGCCCTCCGTGAAGATATGAAGAACTTGGAGGTCAGTTCTCATTTTTCCTTTGTCAACGTCTAATGACACAAAGAGTGATAGAAAACCCATGATGAGCTCGAAGTTGATTTGCAATCCCGTGAATCGGAAATTCGAAACTTGCAAAGTACTCTACTGGCAAGAGATCAGGAAGATGTGAACTTCAAGGTTTGAGTTTCTTTTTTTCCTTCTTTACCTGGCTCTTATCCTTACTCAGAACCAAATTCAAGCCCTTCGCCAAAAGCTGTCTCGCATCCGGGAAGACAGAGTCTTGAAGGTGATGCTATCCTTCGTGTATTCAATTCCTTTCTAACTTCTAGACAGAGCCGTTACAACGAGCTGGAAAGTGCCTATAATGACCAATTTGTTTGAGCTTAGCTTTATGTAGACATCGGACTGACATTTCTGACATGACTTATATCGTCCAGGATAAGCTCAAGCAAATTCAACGGGATTCTCAAGATAAAGATGAAGAATGCAAAACTGCTGCACGCACACTTAAGGTATGTAAATTAGTGGACTCAGGAGTGAAATAGCTGAAGATTTCTCTTGTAGTTGTCAGAGTCTCACAATTTAGAATTGCAAGATGAACTGGCAGTGTCTCTGAACCATAGAAATGCAATGGAAAAAGAAATTCTCCGATTGCAATCAGAGGTCGCACGTTTCCAAGCAGGTATGGCTGGGGGGCAACCTGCACAATTATCGATGTCAGATCATTCAAATGGTCCTGTGATAGTACAGTCGCAGTCAAGTCAGAATGTGCGTGTTTATATTTTTGAAGAAGGATATCACCAAACCAATGTATTGCCTCCTTCCTTCCTCGCTCTGTAGTATTCTTACCCTTTGCCTGGAGTTATCTCCACTTCATTGCCATTAGGAATGACTAGCGTGGGCACCTACAGCGGTCTTCATGAATGGGGGAAACCACCAGAACTTAAGATGCCCTATACTAAATCGGCATTTCCAAATGTAAGCCCAACTCATCCTTATATAATTTTGAAATTTAAAAGCGATCTAGGAGGTTGGGTCACCTTCTGGATCTACGTGGCAAACCTCTCACTCTCTACATTCTTCCGCTTCTTACCTCTCACCACAACTGAATGAGACAAAAGGGATGCCGTTTGGAGGTTTAAAAAAGGCTCTTCGCGATGCTCCTGTCGCGCATCATTTAGCCACCAGAAGGACGTATGCTCTGAAATTTTCGCACTCGGTAAACCCACCTTATATATACATGACTGGCATTGTCGATACTTGAACTACTAATAACCTACCTTCTTTCAGGGGCCAAATGCTCGCCGCTCATTGCCCAAAATCTCATCTAAAGCCAAAAATTCCAGATATGTGTGTCCTTCGAATCCAATTTGAAGAGTCATTAACCGAATCAACTTGATGCTAGTCTCGAGCTCAATCCGATAACGATGATAATGATGATGAGCAGGAGGGTAATGATGCTGCAACCGTCCTGGTTAGTCTCGCCCGTAGCTTCAATCGCCATTCTTGATTGACCCTTCTCAACGATAGAGGAATAATGGAAAGCAAAAAGCCCCGGCTACTGCAAATGAGTTTGGCGGGGGCGCAGGTAATTATACGAACGTTGGAACTTCCAATCTAAGGGTAAAGACCTGACTTTCACAGTTTATGTGCCTCTGATGAATTTGCATTATGGTAGTCAAAGAAATTTCTACCCGCGAACGACACGAATCGGCCAGGCCATGATTCTGATGATCCTGATGACCCGGACGACGACGGTGACGACGGCAATGACGGTGACGACGGCAATGACGGTGACAATGGTGACAACGGTGACGACGGCGATGATGAGGACGACGACGACGATGAGGACGACATGCAAGAGAGCAATAAACGTGTAATTGCCGCGAAGTGGAAATTGAAACATTTCACCAAGCCGTTCAATGTCAAGAACAATCTTAACGTGAGCGTTGACGTTAATCGATAAGAAAACCCTCTAATAGTCAGCCAGAATATGACTCGAGATATCTATCAAAAGGCTTTGAATATCGAGGACAATCATGACGTTCTTCGCTCGCAGTTTCCATCGACTCCGGAGGCTCGGCTTAAATCCCACTCAGATGGCATGGAGGCAGCAAAACCCATGCTCGTCAATACGACACTTCATTGGCGAGGACTTACAATCCAACAGATGCGAAAATCTCATTGGAACAACGCCCTGCAGGTTATTCTTTCAGAAGAAGCCGAAAGGATATTTTCAACACACAAAGATGGTCGATTTGGAGATACTTCCGTAGATTTTGGCGCCCTTTTTCGGGCCAGGTTCAACAAAATATACCGATTAATTGATAACTTCCGATTCCTTCCCAACGAGACACCAACACAAAGAGCAAGTCGGATTACTGAGGCGAGCGAACGCCAACGACTGTCTACCAAGTCCTCAGGTCTTCGCCGCTGGGTAAGTAATTACCGCCTCAGCCACTAATACTATCTCACCCATCTATATAGAAGTTTGATACTCGCTTGAAAATTGCAACCATTATGGTGCAGTTCTGTGAGGAAGCTGATGATGATTCAGGATTAACATTCTGGTCTTACGTCGTTGATGCTCTGCTGGTTTTAGGAGATGGCGGAATGTCGGACGAGGAAAGTGGAGAGGAGGATGTGGTCATAGATGGGGTCAACACCAAACAGGATGTGAAGAAAGTGACAGTTCTCTGGTTTCGACACGAGACCTTTGAACCCATATTCAAGCAGGTTGATGAGACACCCAAAGTCGAACTCAAAATCTTCACCCAACAAGGTCGATTGTCTGTCAAACGAATCCGTTCAAACATTATCGACAAGCGGGATCCGCCTAAAGGCTTACCCCAAGACATTTTTCGACAAGAATATTTGGATGGTCTGTTCCCTTATCAGAGGAAACAGTTTCGAATCTTGACAAAGAAACGGTTCCCAATTCCAACAATGAACTAGTTGACCTAATATAAAGTTGTATGTTTCTTGACGACGTAGTATGGTTGACATTCTGTCTAAAGTACATTTTAGTACAACGTAGATCAGAGAAATAATTTTTTTGTGTCGTTCTAGTTGAATCCTCACATCGCGACCGATGAAGATGAAAATCTTGTGTGATAAGCATCAATTAGAATGCACTGCTCTGCGTCTTATTTTACACGGATAGGTGAATAGATAGTATATGTCGCAAAAGTAACTTGTGGTGAATCTAGTTGTCACTCTGTTCGAAAGTAAGTGCAAATAAAGTTGCACATGCAAGTCTCCATGGAGTCCGTGCCAACGATGTAGTTATTGTCGCAAATTGGGGTCATAGTCTGGTCAGTATATACCACAAATCAACAGCTGTACTCTATGTTATGGTGCTCTTCCTTCTGGGATTTCGCGGCCGGAAAGTGCCAGCTAGACATCCCTTTTTCGCTGTGAAGTATTCGGGGCTGTTCCGACAGCTTCGCTATGATTGGCATCCAGAATTTATTGGTTTAGAGACTCCGGACCTGCTGATCAATCCTCGTGTAAGGCGCGACCCAGTCGACTGCGGGTGCCGTGGGGGGTAAGATCTGTTCTTATTGGCGATTTTTAGTAGTCGATCGTAGTTAGCGAGAATGCACCGAATCATTTTTGTGGAGAAACGGACCCCGAAAGAAATTATCCACCTCCGCTTTGGATACGGGAAATTCTTGTCTTCCATCCATTGTCAGGATCTGCAGGTTTTGCTTCGTCAGCTGTAACGGCCCTCCTTGCTTGAATTGAAAGCTTCAATAACTTTTTCCGACTCAGGCTTGACGCAACCCGAATCATCAATGGATACAGCAAGCATACCAAAGAAATCTATAAGAAGAACCGTCATCACTACCTGCGTTCCTTGGTGTCAAAGGGTCCCACCCAGATATCAGCACTGGCAATCTCTGGCCATCTGTGATAAGCAGAGTACCAGAGGCTGGTGAATAGATTTTCTGCGTTCCGGGAGGCGTAATGTACTTGTTGCCCACTTGGCTTCCACAGCACGAGAGGGAGACAAGAAAAAGGACTAGTACTGGTCTGTCGAAGTCAAAGTAGTAAATGCAGAGCCAGCTATTTGTTCATGCATTCCCACAACTTCAGCATCTACTGTAGAAGGCTCGAGTTCCTGGTGCAGCTTGCCCTCTCATGTCTCGATAGCACGGACGATCTTCTTGAAATCTTCTTCGCTTGTCTATCCACTAGCAAAGTCAGCTACCTCAACAAATGAGCGCGATTTTACGATACTGCTTTACCCGCTTCTTCTCGTCCGCCTTCTCCCTCGGTTTTGTATGATAATAACCCTTAGAACGCACGCGGAGACTCACTAAAATGTGAATGACAGCTGACACCTACTGGGTAGAGGTAGCAAATGTCGAGATACTTGTGCAAGCCGAAGTACGCAGGGACGAGAATTTCGCGGATATCAGTAAGAGGCGTCATCGAGAAACAAGATGAATTAAACTCAGCTGCAATCATCATGGAGTGTGCTTGAATATGGCTTGCATGCACTGTACCGAGACGGTCACCGTTCTCGATAACAGCAATGTCCTTCCCCATTCCTTGGACGAACTCTATAATTCCCTTCCACGTTCCATCATTGCTCCTTCCCTGTGTCGCATATTTCTCGTCCGACAATTGACCTTCAGGGCGCTAACTTCTGTGTTGATGATTCGTTCGACAAACGTCAGAGTGTCTTCTTGTGATGGTAAGACGAATTTCGGCTGACACGGCTTTCCTGGGAGCATGGATTCCTCGAAGATTGAAGAGGATGGATCAGAGAAGTTCCGAATTGGAAGAAAACTGCCTCCGTTGCGTGAAAAACGGCTTTGGACATCCACAGTTGTGATCGAAGCCAGTTAAATTTTGCAGCTTGGACAGCCACCTCTGGGTCTGCAATTCTAATCTAGTACATGAAGTACGGATTTGCGACAAGATGAGATGTCCGGATAGCTCGAGGTTTGCTATTGTATGAGACGACTGGATGTCGTTCCATGTACGGACTAAGATTTTGGCAGTAGATTCAAAAGCATTGTTATGATAAAAGAGGATAAAAGCACAGAGCATGCGCACAGTACTAAATGAGTGGATGGTATTGAGCTGTTTTCATGGAGGATCGGACCTGCGTCGGACAGTGATCAGATTCAAAGTTCAATATGAATGGTGGTAACGTGATTGGTATCTAAATCTATGTGTGACATAGACATTGACACGATACTTATCTTTATATTCTTCCACGTTCGAGGTGCAATTCTGAAGCTCCCTCATATTGAATCACACAGATGCGATTGCAGGGCGAGAATATTTCGCCCATATACCTTGGAACTATACGTACGGCGTCCCTTTTCCTTCCACATACTTTTATAAGAATTTCGCCATATTTCGACCACGAAGGCAACTTAGAGCTTGTTTCTCTTCCATCATTGCCATTGTAGGCACCAAAGACGCCGAGAACATATCCAAGCACTATTTCCCAAACCACTGCTCACTCAATGCAAACTTCTGAGGAACTAGATGTTGTGATCGTTGGTGCCGGATACTCTGGCATCCACTAGTCATACCATTTCGGTAATGAGTGCCTTAATCAAATCACTCTACATTTAGTTCTGATTCTTGGATATAGATACCTAGGTGCCCGAGTTGACTCTGAATCTCCCTTCTACCAATTATCGATCGAAGAAGTATGGAAGGACTGGGTATGGACAGAACGTCTCCCGTGTAGAGATGAAGTATGTGAGTACCATCAGCACGTTAAGCGGACGTTGAGTATAAAGAAGAAGATACGGTTCAATACAGTTTCAGAGGAATCTGCGTTCTGGCCTGAAGTACTAGTTACAATGGGAAAGTGTGTAGCTGTGTTAGGAACAGGTGCCTCTGGAGTCCAGGTACCCGTCTCTCTCTCCATTCTTCCATTCACTCCGTAGTAATTGCTCTTTCGTGGCTGCAGGTTATCCAAGCTATCGGTCCAGAGGTAAAACATTTGACTGTTTTCCAGCGAACCTCGTACTAAGCGCTGGCCATGCAACAACAAAAGCTAGACAAGGAGATTCAGCAAAAATCGAAACGATTATTTCCTGACATGTTCCGCCGCTGCAGATAAACTCCGAGTGAGTTTGTGATTCCTATCGAGCATCACGCCTAAAAGACTGATCAAGCTCATTTTTCGAGGTGGTTATAGTTTGATCGATATCCCCAACCTGAGGAACGTCTCTTGTTTTTCGAAGATCTTTGGACAGCCGGTGGACGGCGCTTCGTGACAACAACTACCATAGACATCTTTTCTGATCATGCCGCTAACGATGAGGCTTATTTTTTCTGGCGAAACAAAATCTGCGAACGCGTACATGACCCGGCGATGCAGGAGAAACTCGCACCTAATTCACCACCGTATCCTTTCGGATCGAAACGCCCTAGTCTCGAAATTAATTACTACGATGTTTGTACCTTTGGATTCCTTGCTAGTCCGATCGGAATTGATGATTCTGAATTTCCTTTAGGTATTCAACCGAGCAACCGTGGACCTTGTCGACTTAACTCAATGCAAAATATCGAGATTCACCCCTTCTGGAATACAAACAGCTGACGGGGTTGAACATACATTCGATATTACCGTGCACGCGACGGGTTTCCATACGTTCACCGCTCCCTATACGGATTTGACTGTCCAAGCAGCTGATGGGACCGATATCTCAGAAAAGTGGGCCAATAACAGTCATCTTGGAGTGACAGTGCATGGGTTTCCCAACTTCTTCTACATGTATGGGCCTCAAATTCCGGGGGCGTGTAACAGTCCCACCTGTAGTGTATGGTATGTCTTATTTACAGCTTCCTAAAAATTTATTAACAACGTGCTCAACAGGAAGTCCAAAGCGATTGGATCGTTGGCTGCGTATCTCATGCGATGAAACAGTCCTTCACTCACATCGCGTGAAGCCGAGATTGAGTATCGCCTCATTCTCGAACTGAATATACGTTCGCGTTCGAGGTCGACTTCGGAACCCACAAACTTCAAAGGAGATCTGGCTCAATACGAGCTATGGTACAGCTACAAGCCCTGCACTTGTAAATGAGTTCCTCCAATCCTCTCGTGTACTCAAGGTCAATTCTTGTTGCACTGCATAACCGTATATAAGGAGCCACATATAGACGACCTAACGTCATAATTTATTGGCGACCAAGATTTTCTCAAACGGAAAATTGGAGGAAGTATCGCCGAGAGTACGGAAACGAAACCTCTCTGGTGGCACCTTAAATACGTGAATATGCGCATCGATTTCCAGGCAACAATGCAAGAGTCTTTCAGTTCGTTCTAACATCACATGGTTACTCGGGTTCCAGTTTTCAAGGCAAGCGGGTTTCTTCGTGCATAACCCGCGTAATTACAAACGACCTGGAAGTTGGTATTGGAGGAAGAATTGCTTGTTCTATTTTTCTGGATTTTAATTGAATGTCAGGTGGGTTCATCGCTTGTCCACAAAGTTCATTCTCAAATGTCCTCGCTCTAGATTCAATTCTTTGTGGTGTAGTGTTCCCTCAGCACCATATCTACCAATTCTCTTTATAAGTCCCGGATATGCCATTCAATGTCCCCAAGAGATGGCTGAAAATGATCACGATAAACAAGAACCAACGATGAAGGAGTGTGCTGTTTGCTTAGTCGTCGGAGCGCCTTTGCCGCGCTTTATCCTGCTCCTCCCTATACAATGACTCGTCGGCCTACTTATCGATTACGGAAACTCTACACTCGACAACGCCTCCGAATCATTTCGCCATCTGATGGACGTGGCTGGCTGTATGCTTATTTGGATGGGGGCGTCGAGTGGAAAATCGGCATGAGCAAGGATCTTGTGCGGCGTCGACACGATTGGGAAAAACGGTGTCTGTGTCGAAACAGGAAGTGGTTTCCACCCGTTCCTGTCGCGAACCGACGGCGAGCTGGTAAGGCGTCCAGATTCTTCCTGATATCGAGCTTCTAACCGTCTTTAGAATCTCTCGCCCATATTTTGCTGGAACTACAGTGTATCGATCGTCCCCAGATTTATTGTCAATCGTGTATGGATCTTTCAACTCATTTCTATATTGACCTTAACGTATAGCAAATCAGGTTACCGAGTGCACATTGAGAAGTTTACCTTCACTGGCCATTGGAGGCTCGTATGGAGGGAAATCGTTAAACCAGCACTGCAGAGGGCGGCAACCATTTGAAGGTACGTTTCGCTTGGTTTAAGACTTACAAATGACTTACGGGCGGTTTTTTAGAAGGAAATTCGTGGATTCTTAGCTCTGATTCGTTGTATGTAATTAAATGTGTAATGTTTGCACTGTGTTCATACTGAGGTTAATCAGTCCATGAACGAGGAAAAAGCACTTCAGGCGTTCAGAATGAGTTCTCTCTCATATATCGAGTCTTTCTTCAAGTTCATACGATATTTATAGACCATACTCATTGAAGAAATCGCGCTGAATCACAATGCAAGAGCGGACAATCGATACGACGAGGCATCGTGAGCAGGATCCTTCAATACATGACTACAGAAGCCTCAGGACTCTATCATCAATCTAGCTGAGTCCGTTGTCACTTGTGTTAGTGATATTGATTGATTTTTGCTGCAAAACATCATCACACTAGTGAATTTTCGAACATTAACGAGTGTTCGATATGGCAGCATATTGGTGCGAGTATTGGTATCTAAAATCTGTGCTTTTATTGAATGCTAAGTATGCTTGGGGTCGATGTGTTGTGTTCGGGCGCTGTTGCGGGGTATCTAATGTCCTTAGAATGTCCGACTTCCTCCTGACGGGCTCCTCATGGATGTCTACTGAGCGACTGTTGAGCGGCCATTTTCTTTTTCCTAAGAAACCTGTGTACTTTTTTTCGGGACAAAGGCAATGATAAAGCCTTTCATTTGCGTCATCTATAGTTAATCAGTGTCCAAAGCTATCCACAAAGAAATCTTTCATCCATTTCATTCCAAGTAACTAGATATATAGATATACAATTGCTCGTATCAAAGACATTGGTTTTCGTCGAATATCCAGTATCAATCTCACGCGAAGTATTGTGTGAAATCAGTATTGAAATTGATTATAATTTTCATATTTCGATTCAAATGTGAAAAATATCCTTTTTCTGGAGATAATTGTATGTAAATTTATAAGCTTTATCAATATCCAATATCACTTTTATTTTGTCACGAATATTATAGGCTCAGCCGCAGTGATAGTTAGTTTGGTATTGTAGAGGATTGTTTAGTTTAGCGCACCTCAGTTGAGTGTGAAGTGATTGAGGTGTTTGAGAGGTGTTGTGTTGTTGTTGTGTTGTTGTTTAGTCTAGGTACTGTATAGTATGGATGTAATGATACTGTCTTGTAACTTTACATATGAAGGGATATCTGGGGTACGTATGGGATGGGCTTGGAGAGTATAGAGTATCCTTCAATGTTATCCAAGTGAGAAGACTAAGACTAAGATGCGGTTGGTTGGGCTGTGACATACAAGGACTCTGGACTCCAGACTCAGTATTCAATACTCAACATCCCCAACATCCCCAACACACTGATCTACATACACCATAAACAATTATCTGCATTTCTTTTCCTTCAGAATATACCCTCTGGAGTTGGACAAGTCTATGAGAGGACTCAACAACTCGGACCCAACAACTCGGACCCAACAACTCCGAGTCAAACTCCGAGTCCGTGAGAGTTTTCTTCCTTTTCCTCTTTCTCCACTAATTAGTAATTTTCTCGGATCACGTCCCGGAATTTGTCGTCACTTGTGACATGTCACGTTGAGTTGACTCTTTTTTTTTTCTTCTTCTCAACGCGTTACTCAACAACGACGACGACGGCAACGAAGACGAAGACGAGCAGGTGTTTACTCAACAACGACAACGAAGACGACGACAACGTGTTGAAGTGTAACTTGTCTATTTCGACTTATTCTCTGTGCTTTGTGTTTCGTGTCTTTCGACGACCAGGCATTTGTTAAACTCCCACCACCAAATCCATCGTAATGTCCTCGAACCCCTCCAAACCAGACCTCTCGCAGTACAACTACGGTGCCATCTCCTCGCTGGTGTTGACCGCGGATCGTTCTGCCTTGCCACGTCGAGACAAGGAGCCAGACGGGGCACCGACGAGTCTGGCTGGGCGGATCGACGTGAAGGATATGGGGAGCCGTGTTGTGCGGGAGGGACCGGGTGATCTAGGTGGGAGGAAGAAGAGGGATGAGAAAGAGAAGGGGAAGAAGAGTAAAACCAAGACAAAAACAGAGGAGATAAAAGGAACAGCTCCAAGTGGAACAACAGCCTTCGGATTCAGCGGGTACACCGACATCCTCGACGCCACGCACCAAGTCGAGGGACTCACCTACCGTCCGAAGACGGTGGAGACGCGGCAGGTGTACGAGCTCCTTCTTTCCGAGATCCACACCATCCTCGGGGGGCAGGCGCAGGACATCGTGCGTACAGCCGCGGACGCGGTGTTGGAGATCCTCAAAGACCCGTCGCGGGGTCTGAAGGATTTGGATCGGAAGAGGGAGATGGAGGAGTTCTTGGGAGGGTTGGGGGAGGAGAGGTATGGGGTGTTGGTTGGTCTTGGGAGGAAGATTACGGATTATTATATGGGGGAAGGGGAGGAGGGTGGAGAGGGGGATGGGGAAGGAGGAGGAAGAGGGAAAGGGGAAGGGGAGATTGATGATGAGGTGGGGGTTGCGGTGGTTTTTGATGATGAGGATGAGGAGAGTGAGGATGATGGGGAGGGGTTTGAGGTTCGTGATGACGACGACGACGACGACGAAGAGTCTTCGTCTGAACCCGAAGTGGATGGACCAAGAGTAGCTATCGAAGGAGATGACGACGAAGAAATCGTCATCGGTGACAAACCCTCTTCATCAAAGAAACAAACGTCCAAATCCAAAAACGCATCATCGAAAGACGACGACCTGGTCTCACCCCACTCCATCGACGCGTTCTGGGTCCAGCGTCAAATTTCCCAAGTCTATCCCGACCCACACACATCCTCCACCAAAGCCTCCGAGGTGCTCTCTATTCTCTCTTCCACAACACCAGCGGGAGGGACAGCACCCACGAATCTCCGAGATGCGGAGAACCAGCTGATGGAGGTGTTCGAGTATGCGCATTTCGATCTTGTGCGGAAACTGCTGAAGAACAGGGACGTGGTGGTGTGGTGCACGAAACTCATGCGGAGCTCGCGGGAGGAACGCGCTGATGTCGAGGTTGCCATGAGGGAGAGGGGGGTTGGGTGGATTTTACGTGAATTGGATGGGGAGCGAAGACCCAATACCACTAGTAACGACGACGACGACGAGCAAATGGACGTCGACGACACCAGCCCAAAGCCCACACCTCCAAACCCCGCCCTTCGTCTCCCCAAAACCATCGACCTCACCGCCATGGCTTTTTCCCAAGGCTCCCATCTCATGTCGAACAAGAAATGTGTTCTCCCCGAAGGCAGTTTCAAACGTGCCCGCAAAGGATGGGAGGAGATCCACGTTCCTGCTGTCAAGAGTCGGTACTCCACCACTGTCGGAGGCTCAGACGAGTTGGTCTGTATAACTGCTTTACCGTTCTGGGCACGAGCAGCGTTCACTGTGCCCAACTTGAACAGGGTCCAGAGTAAGTTGTTTCCTGTCGCGTTTGGGACGGATGAGCCGATTTTGTTGTGTGCTCCTACTGGTGCTGGAAAGGTATTTGTTTCTTGCTCTTACAATTAACACTTATATTTATTATATTCTACAGACAAATGTAGCCCTCTTAACAATCCTCTCTGAACTCTCCAAGCACCACTCTCCTCCTCCCGACTCTGACCCCTCCACCACCCCCTTCACCCCTTCCAACACCGACTTTAAAATCATCTACATCGCACCAATGAAAGCCCTCGTCCAAGAAATGGTCGGCAACTTCCGTTCCCGCCTCGGTCCATCCACCCCGTTCAACCTCACCGTCGGGGAGCTCACAGGAGACAGCCAAATGACCAAAGACCAGATCCGCGAAACCCAAATCATCGTCACCACCCCAGAAAAATGGGACGTCGTTACCCGCAAGGGGGGGAGTGCAGGCGGGGGTGAACGTATCACCGAAGGCGCAGTGAAAGTCATTATCATCGACGAGATCCACCTCCTCCACGACGAGCGCGGTCCTGTTCTCGAATCCATCATCGCGCGTACTGTTCGCAAAATGGAGACCCAATCCAACGCCTACGTGCGTCTCATCGGTCTCTCCGCGACCCTCCCCAACTACACCGACGTCGCCGCCTTCCTCCGCGTCAACCCCTCCACCGGTCTCTTCTACTTTGACGCCACCTTCCGCCCCTGTGCCCTCCACCAACAATTCATCGGTATCACCGAAAAAAAAGCAATCAAGCGATACACCCTAATGAACGAAATCACGTACGAGAAAATCCTCGACCAGCTCTCCCCTTCCACCTCCGGAGGCCGGAACCAATCCCTGGTATTCGTCCACTCCCGAAAAGAAACCGCGAAAACCGGTGTATACCTCCGCGACACCGCACTCGCAAAAGACACGATAACGTCCTTCGTCAACCCGTCTTCCGCCATCCGCGAGATCCTCACCTCCGAATCGCAGTCTATCCAGAACCCCACTCTCCGGGATCTCCTTCCCTTTGGAATCGGGATCCACCATGCAGGGTTATCCGCCACCGACCGCGCGACGGTAGAGGATTTGTTCTCCGACGGATCGCTCAGTGTGTTGGTGTGCACCGCAACGCTCGCGTGGGGAGTGAACCTCCCTGCGCATGCAGTCATCATCAAAGGCACGGAGGTGTACGACCCGCGTAAAGGCCGGTGGACGGAACTCAGTGGTCAAGATGTTTTACAGATGCTTGGAAGAGCAGGGCGTCCCCAGTTCGATACGTTCGGGGAGGGAATCATCATTACGAAAGGAGAGGAACTTCAGTATTACCTAAGTCTTCTCAACGCACAGCTTCCTATCGAATCCCAACTCCTCGGTGGCGCTTCCTCCTCTTCCACCTCTTCTGGCACCGGCACCGGAACCCTAAGCAACGCCCTCGGCCCCGGCAAAGGATCCAGCAAAATCGTCGATGCCCTCAACGCCGAAATCGTGCTCGGGAACATCCGCACTCTCTCCGACGCCATCGACTGGCTCAGCTACACCTACCTCTACATCCGCATGCTTGCCTCCCCTTCCCTCTACGGTGTCTCCCACGACTACCTCCTCCCCTCCGACCCCACTCTCCTCCTCAAACGCTCCGATATCATCCACACCGCCGCTTCCCTCCTTGACCGCGCTGGTCTCATCCGATACACTCGTCCTTCCCCCGGTTCCCCTAGTTCCGGGTTATTCCACTCCACAGACCTCGGCCGCATCGCCTCGCACTACTACATCACCTACAACTCCATGCTCACCTACACCCTCCTTCTCCGGCCCACCCACCGCGCGCTCGAGCTGCTCCGCGTCTTCGCTGCGAGCGAGGAGTTCCGGGATATCCCTGTGCGTCAAGAAGAGAAGATGGAGCTGGGGAAGCTGTTGGAGCGGGTGCCGATTCCGGTGAAGGAAGGGGTGGAGGAGGGGGGGGCAAAGGTGAATGTGTTGGTGCAGGCGTATGTTAGTGGGTTGAAGTTGGAAGGTGGGTTGTATTGTATCTGTGCCTCTACATTTGTTGGGAAAATGGAACTGATTTTTGTTGGTTTTGTTTTTGGTGGCAGGATTCGCACTAGTAGCGGATATGGTGTACATCCAGCAATCGGCGGGGAGGATCATGCGTGCGTTGTTTGAGATTTGTTTGAAACGGGGATGGGCGGTCCCTGCGAAGGCGTGTTTGGAGTTGTGTAAGATGGTGGAGAGAAGGATGTGAGTTCCTCCTCTCACTAACTCTTTCCCTTTCCTCAATCCCCCCTTTTTTCCCCTCGTAGGTGGGGCTCAATGACCCCCCTCCGCCAATTCAAAGGCGTCCCCCAAGAAGTCATCCGCAAAGCCGAAGGCAAGCAATTCCCCTGGTACCGCTACTTCGACCTCACCCCGCCCGAAATCGGGGAACTCATCAATCTCCCAAACGCCGGGAAGCTCGTGCACCGTCTCGTGCACAGTTTCCCCAAACTCCAACTCACCGCCCAAGTCCAACCCATCACCCGCTCCCTCCTCCGCATCGACCTCTCCCTCACCCCCGACTTCCTCTGGGACCCCAAAATCCACGGCACCTCCGAGTCTTTCTGGATCCTCGTCACCGACACCTCCGACGACCTCATCCTCTACCACGCCCCCTTCCTCCTTCTCCCCCGCTACGCCCAGACCCACGACGAACACACCCTCACCTTCACCGTCCCCATCTCCGCGTCCCCGCTCCCCCCGAACTACTTCGTCGACGTGGTGAGCGACCGCTGGATCCACGCGGAGACGCGCCTCCCGATCTCGTTTAGGCATTTGATCCTCCCGGAGAAGTTTCCGGAGATGACGCGGGTGTTGGAGTTGCAGCCGTTGCCGTTGGGGGCGTTGCATAATCCTGAATTCGAGGCGATTTATCGGGGAGAGGGTGGGGGTGAAGGGAAGTACGCGGTAGAGACATTCAACAGGATCCAAACACAGGTCTTCCAAGCCCTTTACACATCAGACGATAACGTGTTCATCGGTGCACCCACCGGGTCCGGGAAAACTATCTGTGCCGAATTCGCTTTGCTCCGGCTGTGGTCTACACCCTCTTCCTCTCACCCCAAACGCGCTGTATGCCTACTCCCATACCAAGACATGGTCGACTCCCGTGTCTCCGAGTGGCGTGAGAAATTCGGGCGGGTCCAAGGGGGGAAGGAGATCCTTGCTCTGACGGGGGAAACTACAGCGGATCTCAGGGTGTTGGAGAAGAGCGATGTGGTGGTGTGTACGCCTGCGCAGGTATGTGTGTTGTTGTCTTTATATTTTAGATAACTTATTCTATATTCCTTGTTCCTCTTTCCTTGTTCCTTGTTCTTTTTTCTGTGAAATAACACCACAACTAACTAACCCTCTCCCCTTCCCTTCCCTCCGTTGTTTATTAATTCATCAATCCCTTATTCCTTCCTCTTCTCCTCTTTCCTTTCTCCAAAACACCACAACTAACCCTCCCTCCCTTCCCCTCTTCCCTTCCCCTCCCTCCACAGTGGGACATCCTCTCCCGCCGCTGGCGCCAACGCAAGAACATCCAAACCATCGCCCTCCTCATCGCCGACGACGTGCACCTCGTCGGAGGCGAAGTCGGTCCCACGTACGAGATCGTGCTCTCCCGCACACGGTACGTCGAGGCGCAGACGGGGGTACGCACGCGCATCGTGGCGCTTGGTGTGAGTCTGGCGAATGCGCAGGATCTGGGGGAGTGGATTGGGGTGAAAGGGGGGGCGGTGTTTAATTTTGAACCGAGGTGGGTGGTTGGGGTTTTTCTTTCTTTCTTCTTTTTCTTCTTTGATTCTCAAATCACCAATCAACAACTGACGAATTCTTCTTTCTCTTCGTTTTGGTTTTTTGTAGTGCCCGTCCACTAGACATGGACATCCACCTCCAATCATTCTCTATCCCCCATTTCCCCTCCATGATGTCCGCCATGTCCAAGCCCGCGTATCTCGCGATAACCGAACACGCCGGTCGGAAACCCGTTATCATCTTTGTACCGTCAAGAAAACAGTGTCAACTCACGGTGGATGAGATTCTTACGCATGCTGCGTGTGATACTTCCTCTTCCCCTTCCTCCTCCTCTACCTCCAACACTCTTGGTGCAGATAGCGCAGACCCACAACAACAACAATCAGAACGCGACAGAGCCGACCGATTCCTCAACCCCGATATCGAACTAGCGGATCTCGAGAAACATCTCGAGTATGTCAGTGATGAGGGGCTAAAAGAGGTGTTGAGGCACGGAGTGGGGTATTATCACGAGGCGTTGAGTAAACAGGATAAGAAAGTCGTGCAGAGGTTGTTTGAGAGTGGGGCGGTGCAGGTTTTGGTTGCGTCGAAGGTATGTACTCGTTTCTTTTCTTCTTCCCTATTCCCTTCATTCTTCTTTCTCCTTCTTTCTTTCCTTCATTCTCCATCCTGAAACCCTCCCCCCCAGGAAACAGCCTGGTCCCTCCCCCTCTCCTCCTACATGGTCATAATCCTCGGCGTCCAATCCTACGAGGGCAAAGAACACCGCTACATCGACTACCCCGTCATGGACGTCCTCCAAATGATCGGCAAAGCCTGTCGTCCGCGCCACGACCAGCGCAGCCGCTGTGTCCTGATGTGTCCGCAGACCAAGAAGGAGTTTTATAAGAAGTTTTTGGGAGAGGGGTTGCCGATTGAGAGCCATTTGACGGCGGTGTTGCATGATTATTTCATGGCGGAGATTGCGGTGAAGACGGTTGAGAATAAGCAGGATGCGATGGTGGGTTGAATGGTTTTCTTTGGGTTTTTTGTGTTTTGCTGACGTTACGTTTGGGTTTTTTTGGTTTTGGTTTTGGTTTTGTAGGATATCTTGACGTGGACGTACTTTTATCGTCGGATGACGCAGAACCCGAATTATTATAATCTGCATAATGTCTCCCACCAGCATCTCTCGGAACATTTGTCCGAATTGGTGGAGACGACGTTGAACGATCTTATGAATTCAAAATGTATTGCTATTGGTGAGTAGTTGTTTACTCGTGTTGCTGTATTCTTGTTCTGACTGCTATGATTGTTTATGAATGATTTTTGCAGAGGACGAGTCGGACGAAGTCAGCCCGCTTAATTTGGGAATGATCGCTGCGTATTATAATATCTCTTGTGAGTGTTTCTCATCTTTCAACTATGAACTGGTAAAACTAATGTGTTGTACAGACGTCACAGTCGAAGTCTACACCCTCTCCCTCAAAGAACGCACCAAACTCAAAGGCCTCCTCGAAGTCGTCTCCTCCTCCGCCGAATTCGAAGCCGTCCCCATCCGTCGGCACGAAGACATCCTCCTCCGACGCCTCTACGACCGCCTCCCCGTCAAACTCGACTCTTCCTCCGTCAACTACGAGTCCCCGCACTTCAAAACCTTCCTCCTCCTCCAATCTCACTTCTCCCGTATCCACCTCCCCGCGGACCTCGTCGCGGACCAACGTCTCGTCCTCGAGAAGATCCTCAACCTCCTCTCCGCGTGTGTGGATGTGCTCTCGAGCAACGCGTGGCTGAACGCGCTGAGTGCGATGGATCTGGCGCAGATGTGTGTGCAGGCGGTGTGGGAGCGGGATTCGCCGTTGAAGCAGATTCCGCATTTCGAGGCGGAGGTGGTTAGGAGGTGTGTAGAGGCGGGGGTGGAGAGTGTGTATGATGTGATGGATATGGAGGATGAGAAGAGGGTGGAGGTGTTGAGGATGTCGAATGCTGAAATGTGGGTAATTGACTGGTTCCGTTCTTCCTTCCTTCCTTCCTACATTCCTTCCTTCCTTCTTTCCTTGGACACGTATGATTTACTCACCCATTTCTTTTCATTCCTCACAGGCAAGACGTCGCTGCATTCGTCAACTCCTACCCCTCCCTCGACGTCACACAAGAACTCCTCAAAGGTGAATACACCGCCGGCGCCCCGATCTTCCTCCACGTCACCCTCAGCCGAGACGTCGACGACGACGACGATCCCTCCTCCAGCACCGACGACCAAACCGTCATCGCGCCGTTCTTCCCTATCAAAAAGATGCCCAACTGGTGGCTCGTCGTCGGTGAACCCTCCACCCGGCAGCTCCTCGTCATCAAGCGCGTCACGCTCAACAAAACCCTCACCGTGAAACTCGAGTTCACGCTCCCCAAAGGGAGACACCCGCTCAAGCTGTATGTGATATGTGATTCGTATGTTGGTGCAGATCATGATATTGGGTTGGGTGAAATCGACGTCGCGGAAGGAGAGGACTCGGATGAGGATAGTGATGAGGAGGGGAGTGATGATGCTATGCAGGAGTGATGTGGATAAGAATAATTGGGAATCCTTACCTTCGCCTTTGCCTTTGCTTCCTCGACTTTATATTCCTGTTGTTATGAATGAATTTCTTGCTAGGACACCGTGTAACAATGTTATCAAAATTTGTTTTTCCTGATTCGAGAAATGCCTCAATCAATCCGTTTGAGGCTTTGAGCGATATGGGCCACCTGTTAGTAGCGAGCCGCGCCTGCCCAAACCTTTACATATAATGTGCAGTACCCACTCAAAAAAAATTAAACCGCATCTTTGAGCACTGCCACTGACCCGCTTTTCCATTATACAAGTTCCGTAAGCAATTCATTTCCCGCCCCCCCATCATGATCCGTCTCTCCATGTCTAGTTTTCTGGGTTCTCGCCGTCCGTTCTCGACATCGCCGTTGGTTTCCAATTACCTACTTTCCTGGGACCAGCATATGGAGGTCGTACGGTGTCATGCAGCCACCATGCAGAAGCTTAACTTGGTGCGTGACTTGGGTTTCTCAAATGTGTAGGAACACTAGACATTCATGACCATTTGTTATTCTATATATCCAGAAACTCGCAACTTCACTTGAATCATGGAGGGAGGAGACTATAGAACTGAACAACCTCATTTCCAAGCTTGAAGTTTGAGCTTATTCTTCTCATACTCAACCTTTTCAACTGATCTCTATCTATCACCAGCGAGAGGTCGGGAATTTGAAAAAAGAGAACGCAAAAATCCAAGGATGTTTTACTGTAATGACAGTGTTAGGTATGTCTCCCCAGAATCATCTGTTTATCTCTCTCTTTGTATTCACAGCCTGTTAGAAATTATTACAGATCTGTATCGCAACCGCCTTCCCAATTCAAAGGGCAAAGATGTGCAGACCATCCTGGACATGATAGTTAAGGGGCGCTTTGACAAGCAAAACTTGATCACCTACGCCGATGCTCAAAGTGTTGCCATCAGGTCATTCAGTCCTTCTGGTACCTTCACAAGGAAACTGGTCAACAGTGCTGCTTCAAAGATCTATCACACACTTTCACAGCATCATCACAGTGCAGAGGATGATCCTATTATAATTCGAGAAAAGGACTATACCCAGGCTGAAGCTATTGCCATCTTCAGTTTTGTACATTTCGCGAGAACTTGCAATCTCCGCATGCTATATCTCAACAGTGAAGGTAGGCTTGTACATTCTGTATAGCCTGGACTTGTTGGACTTGTCTGTATTTTGTGATGTTCTCCTGTACTAATTTGGTTCACTAATTATCATCACTCATTGTACAATTCAGTATTTACATGTCTTGTTTATACACATACATACAACTCAATATTAGAGTGTAATTCAATGTATCACAAATTGCACTTCTAGTGACAGCCTATGTAGGCCCTGGCAATGATGAAAATGAAAAATTAAAGCCGATTTTGGGACAAAAAGTATCACTGACCACATTGAAGAAAGATAGTGAGAACTTCTATTCCATTCTCATTTCCGTCTCACACGCAAGCTGCTTATTAAAGGGCTGCTCAATTCTGATTGTTTTGAAATTGATTTACAGGGTTTTGCATAATTTTGTGAACAATCTTTTTTTCTGTTGCGGTCCGAATCTATCCTATTTTATCAGCCACAAGGTTCTCACTGGGTCACTGAGTGAAATGCATTGGATTCTCTACAGTTTCTCTACATATCCTTTGTATGCCTCATAACCAAGCTGTAACAGCCTCTGCTTGACATCTCCTTCGGAATATCAGCTTTAAGTCTTCCATTGCAACCACTCAACCTCTAATGTCTGTGTCCGTAATCTCATCTAATCTGTTGAGCGAGTGAGGGGAGGGTCCTCGGCCCAGGGCTGAAGATATGAGATCCGGCTGAGGACAGCCTTCCGAAAGCGTTCCGATTCGTTCATCTTCCTTTCTCCTGTTTCTATCCTTCGCTACCGACGGATATTTTATCCCTACGGTTCGTTATCATCATTAAAGGCTATATATTTCCAATACTACTTATCAGTTGAACTACCTTATATACTACGTTTCGATATCGAAGCACCCTCAGCTTTTACCATTAGCTGAGGGTGAGTACAGTTTCAGTCCGTATTATTTATTCACTTATTCTAACTATATTCTTAGTTTAACACTGTTTGATAGGTAATTCAATATACACGAGCTTTTACCATTAGCTGAGGTTTAACACTGTTTGATATAATCTAGTTGATTCAAGCCACTTCCAAGCCTCAAATTCTTCATTGGAATGGCTTCTTGATGTGGAGAAACACAGTTTGAGAAGTTAGCAGATATATCAGATGTTGGGTGTGGCTGTGCTCTCCGCACATCATTGGTGCAGTTGTGTGTTGTCCTTGTGTATGCTTGCTGCTTAATGTGCACTGACATCATATACTCACTTCACTCCCACTTTATTGTCTCTCTCGGACTATGAGACTCTTCTATCCAAGTTGGTGCTTGAGAGTGCCACCACTATGCACCCTTGTCTGCCCATAATCTGTTGAGCAGGCAGGCAAGGGTGCATAGTGGTGGCACTCTCAAGCACCAACCTAGATAGAAGAGTCTTATAGTCTGAGAGAGGCAACAAAGTGGGAGAGAAGTAAGTTGGGATTCCAGTACAGAATACAGCTACTTATATACATAATTGTATGACAGTATTACATTAAGGAAGTACTGAGGAATCTGCATGTGGTATATGATGTCAGTGTACACTAAGCACAGACTAGGATAACACATGACTGTATTAGTGATGTGTGAACAGCATAGCTGCATTCAACATCAGATATCACCATCATTGAGTTCTCGAGGATGTCCCGTATGTCCTGTATATTTACTATGACCTATGATGACCATCCCATGGTTCTCCATATTCTTCAGCACTTTTTCCACCAGTCCAACAGAACATCCCTTGATGCACAATCCTGAATAGTGAGACCCTCCTCAGTATATCACTGCTACATGCAATTTTTGAGGTCAACAGACACAGCAAGCATGGGGTTGAGAGACACTCGCATCACATTTAGACATGCGATTGTAGGCCACTGCACTACCGTGCATGGCAAAAACTCGGCTCCTTCCTTGTGGGTTATTAAATATCAATTAAATATTATGGAATCAAAAAAACGGGGGCGCCTTCCAGGCGCCGACATTGATTCTTTGAGAAAAGCAGAATAAAAGTAAATTTACTTATCTACATATGGAGTAACAGGGAATAACCGAATGAGACAAGAAAAAGTAATTGTGACAGAGGGTGACAGTCCCGTGATATCCCGTGCCGGTCACAAGAAATCAATACAATTCAACTCAGTGTTACATTTGGCCAAATAAGGTGAAACTACTACCATAAAAGGAAATCAAAATTGTATGCAGCGGCGTATATAAGGACGATACTTCCGTAAACTACAGCCTCGTAATATTCCAAATTGAGAACAGATAGATTTGGACTGTAAAAGAAGAAAAAAACTTGGTTGTTCATGAAATTATGCAAAACCTTGTAAATCACTTGTGAACTTTAGGAACAGCCAACAATGCTGATAGTGCTTACATGAGGCACAATGTCTGGGCAACAGTAGAAGTATAGTGTGACTGACCAACACAATGAAGTTGCCTTTAATGGTCCATTGTTGTTTTCAGCTGAAACCATCTGTCTTGCCAGTGGCATGTAAACATCTTCAAGTTACAGATGTCCACATCGGTGAAATCATCAAAGCAGGGGTAGAGGGGGGGAAGGAATCCCGCCTACACCCAAACCGCCTCATGCAGGTGAAGGAAACCCTTCCCCTACTCCCACTACAACCCGGTTCTGGGAAGAGTTCATATATACAAGCTTTGGCAGGATCGTTGAACTATAATGTCTGTCTTTTGAATCTTTCTGAACGAGGGCTTGGCGATGATAAGCTCACACATTTACCGTGACTTTCTACGGTACCGGAACAAATCCTTTCCCAGCTAGTATGCTCTACAACGGCGCCTTGCTCCTCTTCTAATGCTACGCCAAATTCCAAGACAAAACGTAGCCTTACCTTCAAAGTGAACCCAGTCAATCTACGCATGATTACTTTGTACTGGAACATCTCTCAAGAGTAGTACTCTCCTCATTCGTATTGAATTTAAAAGCTAATCTCAGTGTCCAGATTACATCATTGAGGCTTGTACCGTCACCCTCAATGGCACCAGATTGCAAGGTCTCATTGAAGTCTTCTTCTCTGCTGTCTCTCAGTCAACTACGGATTCTCACACTTGGAAACTAACTTGCCAGTCTAGCGGATGCACAGGACTTGGGAGAGTGAATTGGTGTGAAGGGGGGTGCGGTGTTTGTCCCCTCACAAAACCAATGCCAGCTCACTGTAGATGATATCCTTGCACATGCTGCTTTTGATACCTCCTCCGATTCCAGTACTTGTGGTGGAGACAAAACTCAACAACAACAACCATCTTCTGACCGAGTCGACCGTTTCCTCAACCCTGGAATCGACATGGCGAATCTGGAGAAACATTTAGCTCATGAGCGATGAGGGGTTAAAGGAGGTGTTGGGGCATGGAGTGGGGTATTATAACGAGACGTTGAGTGAACAGGATACAATCGTGCAGCGCTTATTCCAGAGTGGTACCGTGCAGGTTCTAGTGTACCTCAGAGTGTATTGCTATCGTTGAGTAGTTCTTTGCTCATGCTGCTGTAATCTTGTTCCGATTGTTTATACAGAGGACGAGTTGGACGCAGTGAGCCCGCTCAACTTGGGAATGATCACTGAGCACTTGAATATCTCCTGTACGCCTTCTCCATGTTTGATGTATGAACTGTAAAGCTAATATAGCACACAGATGTCACAGTCGAAGTCATCTCTATGACCGTCTCCCCCGCAAACTCAACTCCTCCTCCGTCAACTACGAATTCACGCACTTCAAAACCTTCCTCCTCCTCCAAGCCCACTTCAGCCGTATCCACCTCCCCGCGGAACTCATAACCAACCAACGTCTCATCCTCGAGAAGATCCTCAACCTCCTCTCTGCATGTGTTGATGTCCCTCGAGCAATGTGTGGCTGAAAGCGCTGAGTACGATGGCAATCGCGTAGATGTGTGTGCAGGCGGTGTGGGAGAGGGATTCGCCATTGAAGCAGATTCCGCATTTCGAGGCGGAGGTGATCAGACGATGTGCGGATGCGGGGTTGGAGAGTGTTTATGATGTGATGGGATATGGAGGATGGAAGTGTATTGATATTGAGGTTTTGAAGATGTCTAATGCACAAATGTGGGTTTAAACCAGTTGCGTACTAAATTACGTTTTTTTTACTAACTCGAGTTATTTCACCAGGCAAGACGTTGCTGCATTTGTCAGCTCCTACCTCTCTCGACGTCACACAGGAACTCGTCAAAGGTGAATGCACTGCCAGTGCATTGATATTCCTCCAAGTCACCCCCAGGCACCGACGACGATGACCAGACCGTCATTGCACCGTTCTATCCCACTGAAAAGATGCTCAACCGGTGGCTTGTTGTCAGTGAACCCTCCGCATGACAGCTCCTCGTCATCAAGCGAGTCACAATAGACAAAACTCTCACCGTGAAACTCGAGTTCACGCTCCCCAAAGGCAAACACCCGCTCAAGCTGTATGTGATGTGATTCGTATGTTGGTGCCGATCATGATATTGGGTTCGGGGAAGTCGAGGTTGCGGAAGGAGTCGGATGAGGATAGTGATGAGGAGGGAAGTAACGATGATGCTATGCAGGAGTGATGTGGATAAAAGTAATTGGGAATCCTTACCTTCGCCTTTGCTTCTCGACTTTTCTTTTCTTGCTTCCTGTTGTTCTGAATAATTTCTTGTTGCAGTACTTCGATTGGCCATGTATTAGCAAAAAAATTGTTTCTTTGACTAAACAGATTGATTTTGATGCGTGCCACTACTATGGTTCACAGGGTACTTCCGCATTTTCGAAAATCTCATATTTTGAACGTTTTAGGTCGATAAATGCTCTCAGACTTTTTATGTAGTACTTTCTAGGTTCTCTATAAACATACTGTACTATATGAAATAGATTGTATTTAGGGGATGCATATGTACAAGACCAAAATACTGTAATATACAAGCGTGACTTTAGATTGAAGCCTCAGGAACCGTACGAAGAGCTGGTAGATAACTGTAAAAATGACATGGGCATTAAGTAGAGGTTCTCATTAGCTAGCATAGCAAATTTAAAAGCAATCCAATATGTTGTAGAGATTCGACAAGCAGATAAAGTGAAGAGGGTATGCGACGTGACAATATTTGATTCCAGCTTCATGCCGTAGCCTCGGCAAACCTCTGACACTCTCCAAAAGCGTGATCAACACAAGTTCTGCCTCAACCCAGCATCAAATGGCCAAGTGTGCCAGAGTGCCGAGCAGCGGCATTGATGTGACTCAGTGTGACCCAAGATGCGGAAGTACCCTGTTTTTCCTCGGTCATGGTCCGACGCTCTGTTTATGCCTTATCTGCTTTAACATGTAAGACAAAAGACAAGCTTAACATGATTCTAAATAAGACTGTCTACTCAGATTTTTATTTACTCAAAAATTTAAGACGTTATTCGCAATATTCAAGAAATCGGAAGTACCCTGTGAACCATAGTAATCCTCCGAGCACCGCCTCCAGAGGCCTCCAGCCGCTTTCCAATTCGCTGTATAAATTACATAAGCAAATCCATTCTTTCCCGCCCCCCATCATGATCCGCCGTCCAATTCTCTTCGCGTCTAGTTTTCGGGGTTTTCGTCGTTCGTTCTCGACCTCGCCGTTGGTATCCAATTACCTACTTTCCTGGGACCAGCATATGGAAGCCGTTCGGGAAGTTGGCCGGTCTCATGCAGCCTCTCATGCAGCCCTCATTGACAAGCTCAGCTCGGTGCGTGACTCGGGTTATCAAACGTGTAAAAGACATTCATGATTATAATGTACACCCAGAGACTCGCGACTACAAATATAGAATGGAAAAAGGATCAGAAACTCATCTCCAACCTCGAAGTCCGTGCCTATTCTTCTCATGTGTAATCTTTATCTGATTTCTTTGTACAGCGAGAAGTTGCAGATTTGAAAAAAGAGAACGCAAAAATCCAGGGAAATTTTACAATTAGAACAGCACTGGGTATGTCTCCCCAGTGTCTCCCCTAGCATTATTTATCTATTTCTCCCTTTTTGTTCACAAATTAAATGACTAGAAATTATTGCTGATCTCTATCGCAACCGCCTTCCCAATTCCATGGGCCGCAAAGGTGTGCAGACTGTCCTTGACATGATAGTCAATGGCTACTTTGATCACCAAAACTCAATCACTTATGCCACTGCTCAAAATGTTGCTCTCAAGTCAATCAGTCCTTCCGGTAACTTTGAAAAAAAACTTGTTACCAGTGCGGCCTCAAAAATCTATCATGAGCTGTCAAAGCATCTTCATGGGGTTGAGGTGGACCCAATTGTACTTCAAGAAAAGGACTTTACCCGGGCTGAAGCTATTGCCATTTTTAGTTTTCTGCACTTCTCCACAACCTCCAATCTCCACATGAAATATCTTGACACTAAAGGTAGGCTTGTACATTCTGTATAGCCTAGACCTGTTGGACTTGTTTGTATTTTTGGGATATTCACTTGTACTACTTTGACTCTCACCACCCATCATCACTTGTCATACAATTTGGTATTTGCATGTCTTTTATTCATACACATACATACAACCTAATTTTATGGTGTAATTCAATGTATCACAGATTGTATTTCTGGTGACAGTAGGCCCTGACAATGATGAAAACAAAAATTAAAAGCTCCCATTGTTGTTCAAATTGAAGCTTCACTGACCATGTCGAAGAAAGAGGACGAAAACTTCTGCTCCATTCTCATTTCGGTCTCACGCGGAAGTTGCTTAGGTCCCAGCCCATCTTGGTTCGAAGTCGAGCCGAGAGCCAGAGTATGATGAGGTTGACATGATTGCCAGATGTTAATGAACCATAACCATTGCTTGACGGGACGACCTATCCTCCATGGGATGGACTTTCTGTTGCGAAGAGCTACTGCTGCAGGTTTGTATCTATACAATTAAGATCGAAAGGTAACCTTTCCATTTCTACTGATTATATTCTAATTTCTTTCACATAAATTATAGGTAACACATGCGCCGCGCCCTGCTCCTCCGTCTGAAGCCGCCAATTCCTACTAGCACTCATTCTGGATTTTCGTCACCTACGCCAACAAGGACGTTATCCTCCGCCACCACACCTTGTTCTAACGCTACGCCGAATACCCTCACCGGTACCTTCACAGTAAGACCGGTCACTTTTCAATCTGCATATGATTACTGCGTATTAAACACTCTCCACGCCATGATCATAAAATATCTGTTTTATAAACTACCTAGACACGTATCATATGAAGATTCCATTTACTGATACGTAGTGTCTCTTTATTCCTTTGTTCCAAGTCAACACGTGTATTGCTTGCTTCGAAGTTCGCTGATGCTTCTTATTTCTGTACCACCATCACCGTAGATTCGTTTTTTATCCCTTCATACAATGTCTGCCTCCGAAACCCCCGATGAATGTGCCATTATTGCGCTAGGCCAAGCTTACAGTCATTGATCACCTATTACGTCCAATTGATGCCTCCATTCGTCATTATCATCTTACAGTTCTTCTTCGAAGCGGAGGATGACGAGGACTCGCGCCACGACTACGGCGACCGCGGTTGTTGTAACCCTGGTTAAATCGAAGGCTTGGAATTCAACTGGCATTTCCACTCATTTCCATCCTCTCAACAAGGGTTTGTTGGCCCTTTGAAAAAGACTCATCGAAGAAGATGGATAACAACGAGGTAAAATATCATGTACGTTTCCCAAAATATGAGTTTACTGGTATATTCAAGTTTAATTTGGATGTTTCAGATTGTGCTTGACTGGGGGAACTGGGGGACCGTCCATTTAGCTTATACCTAACCATTGATATTGAACAAATTGCACAGAATGTATGTAGCCGAAAATTGTTTTTGCTTTGCTCGGGATACACAACAAATCAACTTCTGAAGCCCTTAAACGGTTTCGATGCTTTGCCAAGAGAATGCACCGAACTCGCGCCAGTCTCTAATCGGTATGAGCGGTGGATGAATATATTCCGATGAGGAGCGACTAGCTGTAGACTGACTAGTTCACGAATGAATTCCGATGTTATTATCCTAATAGCATCCTTCTATCCTCATATACATAAATCCTCTTGATATAGAATGGGCAAAGCCTCCGAGCGTCGTCTCATATACCAATCGCTTGCTGAATAGTTCCAGGAGATACGCTGGGGAGAGTGACCTGAAAAACCAAAAATTGGTTATCGACATTCACACCGGCGTTATAAGGAACGCCAATGGATATTCCGTCTTCAGTTAAAAAGTCATTGTCCGACTAATGGAATTGAAGTTGACTTGAACAGGATTAAATACTTAAGAATTAGATGTATGCTCACCGCAGTAAAAAGGAAATAGTCATCAGGGTTGGCTGGATCGTTTACCGGTGCAAGAGCAAGAGACTCCCATTTTTCATTGACTAGTGTACTATCCTCATCTCCTCCTGAAATTCAAACCAAAAGGGTCTAAAACATAGACAGAATAGGCAGCATTCAACGTACCGTTGTGGAGCCCGAATCTCGCAAGTTGATCGTCATCAATGTAGTTGACAAAGGACACATATGTAGCAGGAGTGACGGAATCATCTAGTACACCACCTGGCGCGACTGGATTTGAAGGATCATCGAACTTGGAGCCAGCAATGTTTGTCGCATTGGCTATGCTAAATAAATCAGCTTGCCTGTAGGGGGGGATAAAACATTATCAAATAGGTTCAAAGGCAAAACCTACTTGTACTTCGATGTCGTGTCGCTCGAAGAGGTACCAGCACCATTGCCGTTCCCATCTCTTGATAATGCGAAAAACACATTTTCACTAACAAAATGGATTTCACTGCATTTTCTTGTTTTTGACTTGGAAGTGCTGACAGGCAGAGGCACGACCCATTCTCCGACCATGGTGGGTGGCGTGACAGTAGCGTTGGCTATGTCATAGGCCACCATCCGAGTATACAAGGACGTATCATCGTCGTCCCCTCCATCTTGTATTGTAGCGGCCTGGAGCATGGCGTAGAGAATATCGTTTTCAGCGTCAAGTGTTAGACCCTCGAACCCTACAACAGACGGAAGCCTCAGACTGAATGACTCGGATTGAAGGGGAGATAACAATTGGACCTGTATTACCCGCTCGGCCAGTCGTTGGATTTACCACGGATGTAAAGTTCAGGTCTCCATTGGAATCGAGCGGCAAGAAGGCTTCTGGAGGCTGAATGGTCTGAATCAAGGAGCCGTTTGCAGAGAAGTGGTAGACGTAAGGACCATACTCGTCGCTGACCCAGTAGCTTGTGGTATTAAATGGGTATTGAGCACGGTTCGATGCAATGCACGAAGCTGAGGGCCTCACCTTCCATCGCTAGCAGCAATCAATCCTTCCGCATCAATTGTCAAATGTTGATAAGTTTCGTTAGCAATGGGCATCTCTGGGTCTGCGACTGCGACAGTGGGAAACCCGCTTTCGGCAGCTCTGACAGCCAACGCATCCAAACCAGATGTGTTTCCTCCCCCACGGTCAAATTGAAGAATCGTGCTGACATAAGTTAGTTGAAGGGTCGTCTGGGCGGATTCAAAGTCGAGATCATCAGTGCCATTGTATGGAGTGAAAATGAAATCGATTTCATGCTGACGAGATCGATAATCCACCGTGCTAATACTGCAAAGGCGTCAAATGTATGAAGATGCTCAGAAAGATGACACGTACACATTGTACCCCCGGTCTGGATGCACAACCAGAGTGCCCGTATACGATCCATTTGACAAGGATTGCCAGGTAGTTTGTTTGAAAGCAATTCCACTACCAATTCCTCCTAGTGTGTCTCCCAGAGAGTCCGTAAAATTTGATGGTATCAGCCCAAACCCGACAATGCCCTTATTCACATATGTCACTCCTTCTAGAGCAACAGAGACGGCAGATGAAGATGCAGAGGTAGTCCGAGTTATGAGGCTACGAGCAGCAGAATTTTCCCCTACAGACAAGCATTGAACAGAATTCAAGAGGAGGGGAAGAACGAGGATACGGTCCAGTGAGAACATTGCTGCAGATGCTTTCTATCTTGTTAGCCAAACTTAAGTATTCCTAACGAGGCAAGGTTCATTTATAGGTGACAGTCAAACGTGCGTAAGCATTCGTATGCTCGAAGCAAATTTAACTTATTAATGTCAGGTGGAAATAAATACACGGCATAAACGCCAGTTTCCAGAGTGTAAATCTTCAGCCAATTCCCGAGGTGAAAGCATGATTGATACTCAGCGAATTTCAATATACACCTGATAAATTCAAACGGAGCTCAAGGCCCTACTCGAAAATACACGGATAGAAGTCATTTGATACATCACTTTGAGGGTGTCTCATTGAGCTCGAGCCGTAGGGCGTCGTATTGAACGTACTAAAAATAATTATCAGCTGCTGAATACGTTATAGTAGGCCTATACACTCACCACAGGAGCGTCAAATGGAAGAACGATCTGATGATTTAATCAGATAAGCGAAGTATATGACATTTACCAAAAATTTATTCCACCCTTCGACCAACCAAGAGCCACTGAATTCTAGCTCATTATGCAGTAAATGGCATGAAATTGCTATTCGGGAAGGTGTTGAATGGAAAGATCAAAGAACGGTCAAAAAATAGTCACCAGAGCGTTCCCCGCAGCTGCTACTCTGATAAGCCAGAATAGTCCAGTTCAACGGTTGACTTTGATCATTGACGTAGGTCAAAATCTGGGGAGTGAGTCAATAGTTGGTCATGGTTTTAAAGAATATTCATTTGAATCACTGGAACGTTAGGGTTAGATCCCGAAGCCACATCTGTATTCCCTGCCGTTGTCTCTACCCCCGCAAGTTGCATAGTGAAGGTTGCAATCGAATCTGCCGAAGGTGCCTCCTCCAGTTCGAAGTTGATCTGCCATTGGTTGATATCTCGAATGGATTATTTAAAGATATTGATTTCATTGCTTCATAAAGTTCGAGACATAAATACCTGTAACGGTCTCATTCCGAATATATGTTGGACCAAATCGTGACCAATGGACGTAGTTCTAAATAATGCTTGCTTCAGTCAAAACATCGAAATTTATGAATAAATTTTAATACCCAGTCCACAGATTCATTGCTCGAACCAATCGTGAAGTTTACGCCATTCGGAAATTGAGTGGGATAGTCCCAGGCACCCCAGTAGATGCGGTATTCTACATCATCAACGAAGGAATTTAAGTCGTCATCTTTGGGACAGAGTTGACGACGCTCACTAGCGGGGTGGTTTGGATGTGTCAAGTCCCTTTCAAAACCATTCCTAAATTCCCCTGCATACTTTCGGTGAAGATGTCGCAGTAATAACAGGAAAGTTATAGCGCCTACCAGCAGTCTTGTCGGGAATTCCAATGCGCCAGAGTTCCTTCCCTGAATATAAATCGGCTTCAGCTGGAGAAGATGACATGTGCGCCGCGAATACCTGCGGACTGAGCAATCCATGTTGCGGATACAGAAGTCACCTTCCCGGCGCTCACAATGATATTGTCCTGGGCATATTCACCAAAGATACCTAGTCAGGAAGTGAGTCCTAGGGGTGAGGATCGTTACAGGGAAATTTACCAGTAGCAATTACCGTCAGTCGGTACCATCCTTCCTTAACGCGGGGAATTGAAACTGAACCGTCCTCTTCAACAGGTGCCCAGTATTGATAGGCGCTGAAGTTCGCAGCACTATCCTATTCATATAGCCAGTCAGGATCGGTCCTGTACGACAGAAACGGAGGAAATAGGGTGGCTACCTGAAATTCGACACCATTCGCACTAAGCACTGCGACAGGATTCAGCGCCCCTTCAGGTACTGTAACGGTGGCTTGAAAGGTCCCGCGAACAGAAGAAGGTGCGTAGCCACGGACCTATAGTTAGTCATTGGTTAGAGATCAGTAAAAATAGCAAGAGCACAGGCAAGAAGGAAAATTGGCGGATTATTATCATGAATGTTCTCACATATGGTGCAATCTCATCATAGAATTCGGCATTCCAGGATGGGTCGGCGAATTGTTCTGCATCAGCGAGAAGTTCTTGAAGTCTACATATGTACAGAATGTTAGTAGCTATAGTAGTAGTGCCATTGTGCCCTATTGTGCCCCGCAACTCACGTCGTAAATTGGTTTCCATGATTGAAATACAGGAACTATGCAATGACAGGAAACAGATATATATTCGAAAATAAATCCTCGTCGGCTGAATTGGTACGTACCTGTGGTCCAAAAGTACGATCAAAGCCATTCGTTATGTTTGGATTTCTATGGCGGATAGACGGCCACTAAGCGGAAATGAAGGGAACATTAAACCCTTGCACGTACGTCGCTCCTCCGTGACTTGATTACCAAAATATTTGTCAGTTATGATCCAGCAGAACAATACGTACACAGAGCCTTACTTAGTTGATTGCTTGTTGCTAAAATCACCACTCAGATCCGATACCCCCAGATTCTCGTATAGTACTTACTATATGATTCCATCTACCATCAGGTCTCCGTGAAGCTGTAAAATGCAAACAAGGTTACCAAAGTATTTCTCAACAACACAAGCTCACGGAACCAGAAAAAGAACGCACAGGTCCCCCAAAGAATGTATCCTTTTGGTTCACTACCCACCAAGCTCCCAGCGTCGTGACATTATCTGGAGAATAACCGAAAAGACCATGTGCTTTGTTGGTTTGATTGTCTGCAAATTGGTACTGCCAGAAACCAGCATAACATAAGACAAGTTCAGTACATGAAATCAGATAAATGGTTATACTTTGGTGAAATAGTCGGATTCCTGGAGAGTGAACGTCAATCCTTCAAATCAAGCACATAAGAGGGAGTACTCGCAGCAATGACATAAGGATCATCTGGGGTAAGTCCAAGATACCATGTTCTTAATGAATAGAAAAAAAGTCAGTTTTTGTTCCCACCAAAATCCACTCAGGCTGAAAGTAAACATACGCATCCTGAACTACAACTTCTGCTACAGCTGCTGCACCAGGAAGTGGAGCCTGTAATTAGAGGCACTTCCAGTCTAAAGTATAATTAACTGAAACTTGAAGTTCGGCTCACCCATTGCTCGCTATTGGTTATTATATGAGTCCACGGACCACCATTTGGACGGAACATCGTTCGAGATTCACCGAGCTCTCCTTTGCTGGTTACTGTGTCATTATAGTATGCCAGTCGAACGAAGCTGTGAACACCTGGTTCAGAAGCGTGCAGGAACCAGAGTCGTTGAACACTACGGATGAAGGAAAGTCATTTGTGAGCCCCATTACTCCGTTCGAACAGAAAACGACTCACGTTGAACCGAGTGTGTCATTGTCAGTGAATATGACCCCTGCCCAATCTTGTCCAGTGATGATTTCATAAGAAGAGTTCCCACTCGTGGTGAATGTATTGGAGGGGAAATCTGGAGAGCAAACAAGTGAGATTGATTGAATGCAATCTGTAGAATACCCACCAGTATAAGCCTGACCAGTAAGACCATCGACAGTACCGAGGAGAGATACATTCTGATAAGTAAGATTTTGGATGGCACTCGTGGATTTGAGAAGTCTGTCCGATATCACTCAGAGTAGATACTACTAACTTTGAATAACAAGATATCACTCACCCAAACGAAATGACATCGTTTGCCAGTAAAATCGAATATTCAGTTTCATTAAGCTGGATCGCAGGAGGAGTGGTTCCAGCTAGACTGAGTCTGATGAGCAATACAAAAGTCAAAGCAAAAGCACGGAAAGCCATCAATCTTGTCGAAAGGTGGGGGATAACTGCGAACTATTTCTTCTCCCTTTTTCTTTTATGGCCATCGTATGGACGATGGTCGTTGCGGGGAGCACGAACGGGTAAAGATCGGTCCGTGGAGGTACAAGTGATATTGCACAAGATAGAAGTAAGCTTGTGCCACAATGACTCTACTGATGTCAAACGAAATCTCCATATGACTCGCGTCCTAAGAGAGTTCATGAAGCAGAAATATGATCATGGATCATGCAGGGAAACCTTGAGAGTATCGAGATTCTATTCATCACGCCCTGCCATTTTTCAGTGATTGAATCAGGATAGCGCGCCGCGAAAGTATCTTGAGTTGAGAATTCATGGAACTTCACATTCAGGGTTAGTAGAACTGCAAACGTCGGTAGATCCACAGATAACAGCGGGTTTGAGAGAGAAAATAGGTGGTCAATTGCAAGTACGGCGCCACTTCTAAACCGGGCGGTACGGCCGGTATGTCCGTGCACTGCCTCTGCGTAACTTCGACGTGTCACATCAACTTTCACTTGCGTATATTCCACTCTTAATTTTTTTTCTTTATCGCGGTCATGAAACTCAAGGAAATACATAGAACGTCAACGTTCGCATGGTCGCCTGACGCGTCTCTTCCCTTGCTGGCCACCGGGACAGTTGCTGGTGCTCTCGACGAATCATTCAGCAATGAAAGCCAGCTCGAAATCTGGGCCCCAGACTTCCTCGACAAACACGAATTTGATTTAGGCGGTGAAGGACAGAATGGGCCAAAAGGTTTTGTTAAGGATACTGCAAGGTGTGTGTAAGCTTTGTGTCAATATTAATGAAAACTAAAGCATACACTGGTAGATTTAATCGTATAACCTGGGGTTTCGTCGACTCAACTCGACCACGAGGAGTAATTGCTGCTGGCATGGAGAATGGAGAGTTGGCACTGTGGGATCCTTCTAAGATTCTTGCTGGTGCAAGGTGCGTCCTACATACCTCTATTGTTCGAGTTAATTTAACACGCTTGCAGCTCTTCTGAATCTCTTATCCTCCGCAACAATCATCATACTGGGCCCGTGCGAGCGCTCGACTTCAACCCGATCCAAACAAGTCTTTTATCTTCTGGTGGTATTGGTGGAGAAGTGAGTTTCATTGTATGTTATGTGCGTAATGGTACTCAATACATCTTGACGTAGGTGTACATATGGGATTTGAAAGATCCTAGTAAGCCATACACCCCCACCCCTGGTAGTCGAAGCACCAAGTTGGATGAAATTACTTCGGTCGCTTGGAATCAGCAGGTTCAATATGTCCTCGCTGGCGCCAGCAGCACTGGATACACGGTCGTATGGGATTTGAGAGGTAAACGTGAGGTGGTCGCGTTGGCATACGGAGGTGGGGCTGGTACTCTCGCAGGCCAAAGCAATCATGGTAACGGCCTTGCTGTGGGTGGTAGGAGAGGCATGAGTGCAATTGCCTGGCATCCAGACAACGCAAGTTGTCATTTCATCTTCTTTGAAACTGATTTTGACTCCTCGCACAGGCAACAAGGCTGGTAACTGCCTCAGAGGATGATTCCTCACCAATCATCATGGTATGGGATTTGCGGAATGCTCGGGCACCGGAAAAGGTAGAGGTTTCGCTCTCATTGCAAAATTCATAACGTGTGAACACGATCCTAGATCCTGACTGGCCATGAAAAAGGCGTTCTCTCTCTCTCCTGGTGTAAACAAGATGCCGACTTATTGCTATCTTGCGGTAAGGACAATCGCGCTCTGTGCTGGAATCCGCAGACATCGGAAATCATTGGCGAGGTATGTGTGAGCTTTCATTGACAAAAATTTGCATACCTCTCAGCCCGCCACAGCTTCCCTCTGCGGACAACTGGGCATTCCAAGTTGAATGGTGCCCTCGCAATCCGGACCTCCTTGCAAGTGCATTCTTCGACGGCACTGTGGGCATACACTCTATTCAGTCTACCAATGAATCTGCCGTCCCTCAGCCTGCCACTGTATCTTCAACAGATGGTTCCGACGTGTTCGACGTCCCTGGATTCACTCGTTCTTCTCAAGGCGGAACGCTTTCGCTCAAGCAACCCCCTAAATGGCTGCGCAGACCAATCACTTCTTCCTTTGGATTTGGTGGTAAGTTGGTCAGTGTTTCGAATTTGCCATCTGCGCAGGGGAAGAATCAGTCCAGCGTTATCCATCTTCGTAATGTCGTCACCGAAGAAGAGATAGTGGAACGGGCCAAAGCTTTGCAGAGTGCCATCGCTGATGAATCGGTCAAGGCATTTGCTGAAGGAAAGGCAAGCCAAAACGAGGAGGTTTGGAAAGCTTTGCTAAGCATGTATCAAGCGGAGTCCCGAGACGAACTAGTTACTTTGCTCGGATTTTCCAAATCTGAAATCGCCGCGAGGATTGGAGAAGCTGTCGAGAAATTGAAGGCAGGCGTAGAAGTGAAGCAGGAAGATGAAAATGTCGTGGGCATGAAACCTCCCGTTGTCTCCTTTGCTGAACCCGAACGAGAACCCACTCCCGTTGGTAGTCCCGATGTCGATGAGCCAGACAGTGCAGATTTTGAGAAGACACCTTCCGAAGTCAGTGCTAGTGCTGCATCCGATGCCACCCGTCAGGCAGAGACAGAATCTACCACCACTGCTCCTTCACTTTTCGGAGACGATAACGGGATTGCTGATGATGGTGATTTCTTCAGCAACATCGGTGTTGGAGGAAACGGGTTTACCAGGCAGGTACTTGTGCCACACACCAATTACGGCGTCGATTCGTCTGTCGCTGCTACCATCGGATCGAGACCCTCGTCCATCGCTTCGGAAGTGACGAAAAGCAATACCTTCAAAATCTATCCAGCCGACGAATCCGAGACTGAGACACTTGTCACTAAAGCACTGGTTCTTGGGGATTTCACTTCGGCTGTCGAACTATGCCTCTCGACCAACAGATTCGCCGATGCACTTCTTCTCGCTGTCCGTGGTGGCCCAGAGCTTCTACAAAAAACTCAGAAAATTTATTTCGAACGCCAAACAACCGTGGCGCCCTATCTTCGTCTTTTCCAGTCCATTGTGGCTAACGACCTTAGTGATATCGTACAGAATGCGGATCTTCAGGAGTGGCAGGAAATTTTCGTCGTTTTGTGTACCTTTGCCAGTAAAGAGGAATTCCCAGGTCTAGCTGAACAACTTGGTCGTCGATTGGAGTTCCAGTACACTATATCGAAATCTTCGAACAATCCCGAAGTTTCTCACAAGGCGGTCGAGTATAGAAAATACGCCACTCTCACATACCTTGCTGCTGCACGACTCGAGCGCCTAGTCAACATCTGGTCGGAAGAGTTGTCAGAAGAAGAAGCTTCTCTTGCTTTGGATGAGAGCTTACCTGGCGGATCACAATATACTGCTCATGCTCATGCATTGCAGACGTTCATCGAAAAAGTCACTGTCTTCCGTTCTGCTACGAAATATACAGATGCAGACCTCGCTTCAGCTACCGCGTCTACCGCTGTCGAAGTTGATGTCGAGACGTACAAGCTATCTGTGCTCTATGATCGCTACTTTGAGTATGCTGATCTGCTTGCTTCCCAGGGACTTTTGAAGGAAGCTGCTTCAATCTTGAGGTTGACTCCCGCAGATTACAAAGGATCCGGAAGCGCAGACTTGTCTGAGGAGAGAAAACGTCTCCTTGTTGCTACGAGTATCGTTGCACCTGTCGCTAGCACAAGCACCGCGACTGCGTCAAGTTCTCGTGCGCCTTATGGAGGTTATGCCCAACCCACTGCCCCTACTCATAATAGAGTTCCCCCAGGTCCTGCACCTGCACCTTCCGGCCCTTACGGTGGTGGTTATCAGCCAGCTTCGAACTATCAGACGGCCCCTCAGTCAACTTACACTCAGAACGGTCCTTCAGCCAGTCAAGGACCCTATGGTGCTCCTCAAGCTGTTAACTCATTCACGCCGGCAGCAAACGCTTACGCTCCCGCTGTCAACACATTTGTCCCACCTGCGCCCTCTTATAATCCTTACGGACAAAATGCCAATACCGGACAGCAAATGCCTACCAATCAAGCTCCTCCTTTGGCGCCGCCGTCTCGTGGTCCTGCTACGCTCCCCCCTCCCCCGAAGAGAGATAGCAATTCTGGATGGAACGACGCACCAATTGTAAATCCCGCTCGGACTTCCAGTGCCATGGCTAACAAACCAGCTGCAATCATGTCCCCGTTCCCAAACTCTACTCCAACGCCTTTATCACCCCCCATTAGTGGCTCGTACATGCAGCAGGCGCAACCGCTTGCAGGTTTACCTCCACCTCCTCGTCCTGGAAGTGTGACGGGTCGTGTCCCTCCTCAAGGACTTCCCGGGCGCGCAGGACCCCCTGGACCAGGAATGTATCCTCCTCCAGCAGGAACTGGTGTCCGACCAGCATCCGTAGCAGGTGGAGGTCCGGGTGGGATGGGGATGCCCCCTCCTTCTCGTATGATGTCTCCCCCTCAGGTACATCCTCCTCCTACTTCACATCACGGGCCTCCTCCCTCCCGCAGCTCAATGTCAGGACAAACTCCCCCTCCTGGTCCCAATCAATTTGCACGTCATCCCCCACCACAAGCAGGTCATTCTCGTCTCCCACCCAGTGGACCATACGCCCAAGCAACTCCTCCGCCCACGCAGTCCCTCCAGCAACCACCTCCAGGTCCATATGGCCCTCCTCCTGGGCAAGTTCCTCAAGGACCACAAGCTAGTGGTGGAATGTATGCACCACCTCCGGGTGTTCGAACCGGGCCAGTTCAGCCTCCACCTCCTGGTGCTGCCCCTGGTGCTGGTGGCCCACCTCCGCCACCCCCGGGTGCAGGTCCAGTAGGTGTGGCGCCGCCTCGTGCGGCACCTCAAAAAGCAGGACCTCCTCCGCCTAAATATCGTGAGTCCTTTTTTCGTTTGAGGATATTTCACCTGCTTATACGAACCGTCTCTATGATGACTTAGCACCTGGAGACCGCAGTCATATTCCAGAACATGCAAGGCCGGCTTTCGAAGTGATATCGAAAGAGTTGGAAAGATTGAAGGGGAGTGTCCCTGTAAGTCCCAAGTAATGATTCGTTTCTTCTTGTCGCTCACTATTGTTCTTACTTAAGCTTACCCAAAAGCGTCAAGTAGACGATCTGGAGCGCAGAATCAACCCGCTATTCGATGCGTTGAATTGTGAAACACTGTCGAAACCAGTTGTAGAACAGTTGCTTGTTCTAACTGGAGGTCAGAAGCATCCCTGCGCTATATCGTTTCATCTCCTGATTTTTTTCTCTTTCTCAGCTATGAACGCACGGGATCGTCCAGCCGCGCTCGCCATCCATGTTGACTTACTTACACGCGGGTCGCAGACAGACGATATTGGATTGTGGATGTCGGGTGTGAAACAATTGATCATGCGATTATAGATAGTGAAAAGTCGATGGACTTACACGAATGTTTGCTGTCAAACTGGAGCAATAAATAACTTATCGAGGATATTAGTGAGCGGCTATGTACGGCGCTTCTCTGAAGATCGGTGTCTCCGGATATGTACGTAGCCCAAGTCATCTGCTGAATGTTCTGTTTGGCGTACGAAGGCAATTGGCCAGAATCACGAGATTTCCCTTGCGTTCATCTCCCTTCGGTTCTCATCGATCATCCTTCAATGTACACGACGCGTTCGGTTTTTACACCGAAAGTGGTCCCATCACGGAAGCCGCCAGTTCCACCCGTTCACTATGTAAGTGAACGTGCAGTGCAGTAAATGTGCAGATAGTAGCTAACACTAGTGAGCTGATATAAGGCCATAATTATGACGGCAGATTTCAAGGAAAATTCCGGAGTTTCAATTGATGAGCTGTCAAGCATCCGACGTCGAACCTCAAGCAACTTTGTGTAGTGTCTCAAGGAAAATGGGTCATAATGCAACAACTGCCTCTGAATGTGCTTTATACCTCCCCCGTTGACATGGATGTTCTTGAGCTTCTACTCTCAGGGGGACTTTCTGCTTTGATACTTACTATAAGTGGTTACCCATGGAAATTAATAATTTTATTCATTGAAGAAACTATGGATCTGGTAATACTTATAGTAATATCTCTGCAATTTACATCAACACTTACACTGCTATTAAGACTCAATTCTGAATGAATTCTCAGTTGGTGTAGTACACAACTGAAGTGAAATTAATTGTGCAATGAGAAACTAATCAAGAGAGACAGCCTATATGCACAGTATAGTTATAGTATCATAGGCAAGGCTGAGCATCTGCAGGATGGTGGATGCAATCCAATGAAATTTTGGACGCTTGAGGACGGAGGTTGGAGGATTTAATGGTAATTGAAGCTTGAAGCAGAGGTAATCAATACAATTGGAGGATTTCTCACGAAAGCTCGAGAATTTTCCGTAAAAACTAACTTCATATAGAAGGTCATTAGAGCGGAGTCTCCTTAAATCCAAGGCCTGCATCGCACAAAGTCGTGTGAGTTGAACCATGATCCTGGCTGTTCATCTTGTCCTATTTCCGAACTCAGTCGAAACGATTTAGCTCATTAAATTTATATTTCGTGAAAGCTGGAATGGCCGAGTCGTTAAGGCGATAGATTTGAATTTCATCATATCTATTACTCTCTGAGTGCGTAGGTTCAAATCCTGCTTCCAGCGTATAGCGACTGTGTTGTTTTTCGCCCTACTTCATTTTTCTCAACTGTAGACGAGAGATGAAGAAAGCTTTCAAAGTGACATTCAATGGTAGCTATCGCCTGCAACTTTACGACTTGAAATACATACAGATACTTACTTCCGTTAATGCCTACTTCGCTCCTCCACCTCTTTCTGGATCTGGCTTTCTACCCTCATTTTCCATCGCCTTCGCTCTCGCAACCTCATCCCTGACCTTCTCTCCCTCTCTCCTCCACTCCCGTTTCTCAAATGCGTCCCAAGCGTCTTTCGCGTCTAACCAACGTTCCTGCAGAATGGGAGAGAAAGGAAGTGAGCAAGATAGCGGGAAGGGTGATATGAGGTTATGGGGGTACGAGGAATGAGGGAGATATAACAAGCACGTAGATAATTAGTGAAGACAGGCATGGGAAGAAGTTGGAGCAAGGGTGATGGAATTCCAGCAGATGAAGATACAGAGGTAGCCAAAGAAATCAAATAAAACGTCGTCACATACCTGTACGTCTCTCACATCATACACAGCCTTCGCTTCAGCAAATTTAGTTCCAGCGCTCCCTCCCCCCGCCATATTCATAAGGGTATTCTTCAAAGGTCCCGCCGCGCTCGAGAACAGCGCGTACTCGTTCGGCTGTGCGGAAAACGGCTTGTGTGATTCGTCGATCGTACCTTCTGGTTGAGGATTTTTTGACGTGTTTGTGGAAGATGCATTGGAAGGCCGGGGGACAAAGACGTATCCAGTCGCCCGGTCAATCGCGTGTGTGAGGTGGAGCATGGATGATTTATCCTGGTAGAGTGATGCTTAGTAAGGGGAAGAGGAAGAAGACAAGTGTGTAGAAAAGCAGGAACTTCAGGTACAAGGAATTAGTAGCGGAAAATACTACAGTTAGTTTGAAGCGCGTAGAAATCATGAGTGGCCAATCAAACAATGAGAAGAGGGAAGATTGGAAACCAATAGCGGACAAATGATGGAAAGAGAGCTTTGCTCACTTCAACAGCAAGCGTTTCGAATCCGACCAGGTTATAATCCTCTATGAGCGAAATCATTGCCAAATTCAAAGCTTGAAATCTTGGTGAGAGTGAAGTCGAAAGCGAATTTTCGAGGTACGATAGATCTTGAACTTCAGTATAGAAATCGAGGTTGAAATCTGTGTACAAGTGGTAAGATGATAGATAGAGTAGAATACTATGATACAAGGAAAATCTCAATCACAGACCTAGATCCCCATAATTCCCAATAAGATCAATCTTCGACAGCACATTAATATGTGGTAGCTCCAGCTGAAGCATCGTCCGTAGAGAAAGTAGCAAAACCGAGATATACTTTGCAGCATCAGTAACATAATGCGCGTCGCACAGATGAACCGCCGCTAGCTGGGCTGACGGTGTGTATTAGCCCAGGACGAAGAATAAAATATGAGGATACCAGAAGTGAAAATACGTACCCGGAATCCACATTTAGACTGTAACATATCTACGATCCGCTTCACACTCTCGTGGTTTGTGCTCAGCTCCACTTGACCTGGGAGGTCGAACAAAGCATACACGTCTGCAGGCCCATTTTCTCCGTCTTCTTTACCGAGTTCAGCCAATTTCCCCTCCAACCAATCGAAATTTTTTTCTAAATACTCCATACAATACAACATTCCTCCGTTAGGTCCTAGCCCGTGTTCATCCATGACTTCCTGCAGTGTGATCAGCTCGGAAATATCGATAGAACATGGGTATGGTATGTTATCGTTTGCCGGATCGAGGTTGACAATGCATATCGGCCGTTGGAGAGCAGTGAACAGTTGGTGTTTGCCATGGCAATAGGTAGATTTACCGGAGCCAGGGGAACCGCAGACAATTTCGCCAAATGGCATGGACAGGCAGAAAAAGGTAGACCAGATTCAAAGGAGAGAAACCTAGAGACAAGATGAGGACGTGACATTTGTCAAAATATTGACGCTTAATCAGCAAAAAGCGGTGACAGTCAGTCCCCGTTTCGAGTTTGGGTGGAATTCAGACCTTAGAATCAAAGCCGTGGCCCAATACCCATTGAACACTCATTAGACGTATCGAGCACAATATGTAGTGCCTAGCTTGAGCGTAACATGACTTTCCCATCTCTATTCATCTCTTTCGACTTTCAGGCATCGCTGCTAGTAAACTCAGACACAAGGAGGAACTCAGAATCGAGTCAGGTCGATAAAGCCGATAACGGCAACATTATCGACGTGTACTGCATAGGAATAATAAATGGATGACTGAGGCGGGGTATTACTGGGGTATTAGGGACTAACTAATACAGAAGATATCCAACGATTTAGCTGAGAGAGTCAAGTCGGAATCAGATGAAAGGAGATGCGAAAGAGAGTGTATGTATATGTACTGGACTGGACTGTGATGATGCAAAGGGGGACTTGGCTTGACCTGTGCTTGAATATTTATGTCTTCATGCGTAGTAATTATGAGAAAAGGCACGAAGTATCTCAGGACCGATTCGTTCAGTCTGCAGACCCTGCACAATTAGTATACCGGTCCATGTGCAGTGGAGATATAAATGTAGGGGCAGGTAGGAATCAAGTTCTATACACTGCGCCGAAAAATTTGGTGGGGAAAAACTCCTGGGCTTTCCTGGGAGACTCAGACTGAAGGAGTTTCAGTGGCAGTGTTTCACAGAGTTTCGCTTACATGATCATCGTTCGTCAATCAGCGCCACAAGATTATCAGACTTGAATTTTAGTCTCTTTTACAGTCTTCATGATACGTTTGTATATCGTTCGGTCCGTTGGCAATCGTTGGATTTTACGAAGCCTGCGGAAACTTGAAGACAACTTACATGACCGAAGGACCTTTCCCTGGTGGCGTTTGATGTGGAAGAAACTGGTGGCCTCTGGTGGCTGGTACTCCAGGGTACTCCCTATTACTCCCGGAAGAGGCTCTGAGAGGCGGCAACCCGCGAGTCACCGGTGACTGTGGATAAATCTAGCCCATCTACCGGCTGCGCTCTCTTGAGTAGTCTTGAGCTTGAGCGGTTATTTAAGGTGAATCGCATACTGTCTGGCTTCGCTCAACTGATCCTCATTCTTAGTCCTTTGTACATGCCCTCCAGGCTCCGTCGCCATGACTTATTGAATGTGTATCTATGTGTACATCAATCTGTCACTTGATATAAGTCACTCTGATGAAACCGAATTGAACCAATTTGGACGATGATACAAATCCCGAGTCCACCCACCGGGAGCGGAAGTGATTGAGAAAAGGGATCCCAAGGACGGTCAAGGACCCAGGGCACTCAGCCTTAAATACCAGGCTGTCTTCCTGCTCTGTTCTCCAGAGCTTCCTCTGAGCCCCTTCACCTCGCACTTTCCATCCAGTGTTCATACATCGAACCCGCACCCAACCAGATTGAATCAAAGCGTACTTTCTAGAAGCTAATTTCGGTCATGGCTCGTTGGTCTCGTCTATTCGAATCCGTATTTGTTTGCGTTGTCGTCCTAGGCCTCGCTCAGTTAACAATCGCGGGCCCGCTACCTGTGTATGTACACTCTCAACATCTATCATTTCCCATGAACTTACGCGTTCATTATAGATCGTCTCAAAGTGAGGTTGCGCGCAGCGAATTCTGTGTGGAATGTATCGACCGCATCATTCTTCATCCTGGCCACCGTGCAGAATAAACCTTACCTCGTTCATATTTATTCTTTCTTTTTGTCGGAATTTTCTGGGTGAATCGCCTCGGCTTCCTCTTGGGGGTTTGCGTCTATACTCAATGTGTTATTTTCTATGTCACTGTAGGTATCAAATCGGAGGTGGAGAAAGAAATACCTGAAATTGAATACATGCCTGGCCTCTTTGTCCAGTGCCAATAGGAGCACACGCTCTAATATACGGAGAGGGCACCCTTGTCATACCTCAGTCATACCTTTTTCATACCAGTTTCAGGTTGTTCATGTGCCAATCTCCATGTTGTTTTGCCGTTGATCATCGACGAATAAACATAAAGTGAACACGAATATCGCATCAAATACTCAGGCCTTTCAAACTCCTGCATCCGACTCCGCCGTCCATGGACTCGGAGGCCCAAAAGACGGAACCGAAATTTTGTGATAAGGCGCCTCGAGCTCGCCTATTAGTATAAAAACATCTATAAACCCATCCCGATTGAGTATAGCTCGCACGCTTAACTCCATCCTGTGAAATGTCCAGTGACCAGCATTGCGAATTACGAGCTTTGTTCGCTTACTTTCTAATGTGACCGTTCCACCATCACCTCCTACCAGAATTGACATGGTCATCAGACATCCTGCATCAGCCTGCATCGCGCTTTCGAGACTTGAAACTTGGAGCTGAGTCTGGCTAGTATCAGTGATCAGCGCTTCGCGCCACTTATCTGAAATCAACCGTGGTTAGTAAAGCATCGTTCAATCGTGAGTTCTAGTACCTCCTCAGAGAGAATTCATTTCCTATTCAATACCTGATGCACGGACGATCTACATTTCCTGATATCTGTCGGCTTTAGATCAAGCATCTGTTTTCGCTGAACTCTTGTTGCAAATGAGGGTGCCAACGAGGGACGGGTTCTCGAGTACACAGGAATCGACGGAAGGTTCCGTTTCTCTGATAAAGTTGGTCGGTGATCATTCTAATCCGAGTTTCCAGTGACTGATACGAACCTAGTAGTATAATATACACCTTTATTGTTGCTGCCTAAATTCTTGATTTTTCCTCGTGCCCCAAAGGTCTCTCCTCCTGTCTGAGTTTCATTTTGCTCGTTAATTTCTCTCGCACAGTGCCGTGCAAAACGGACCGTTCCACCACTCCCAACATAAAGCATACCATGCCAGCCATGCACATTGCATCACTTTTTTGTACATGTTTCATGCTCCCCGGTCACACCAACTTTGAACTTGATCGATTGATGTAGAAGGTAGGCTTTCAAAGGTTCTTTCGCCTCGTGCCCGAATCTGAACAGCTGCAAGGACGGCAGGCCGCTACCTGTCGCTGCAGAACCTGCAGAAATGAACGTGCGCATTGTTTGAATTTGAACGTGACTAGCGATGTTTTGACTTCTACAACAATGTATTTATTTGCCTCTTGAGCCCTACTGCCAGCTTGCTTCCGATTTTCTTTTGAAAGCTTGGGAAGTCTGGTCGATATTTTATCTTTTCGTCTATATTTGACTTGCGGTGACCCCCTTCAGCGATTCGAAAGGATCGAACAATGTTCTCCACAAGAAATGGCCAGGCCGCTCCTGGTGTCAAGGTCAGCTTAGTCCAATCTCATTTTCTGCCAGTAGATGACTTCGCAACCCTAGAACTTTGGTATGCAGGGACCTTCGAAAGGTTTCTCAGGTGTACGAGTTTTCAAAGGACCAACGCTTTCGTCATTCAATCTTAATCCATTCTCTACCGTATCAGCACACTTCGACTCATTCGATGTTGGATATCGACCGAGCCAGCCAGACCTTCCTCAGAGACACGGTGGGCACCCGCCTAGGAATCAGCAGCAACCTGCAAGGAACTGGCAAGCTCACAATAATATGTATACACCATCTAATGCACCTCCGCCACCTCCATCCCATACATATCAACAAAATCCCATGGCCCATTTCGGTGTCCGCACGGCGTCTCAGTCTTCAGGGTCTCGATCTCAAGAACCACCAAGACACCGCGATGTTCAGCCGCAACCACAGCCTACGCCTCTCAATCATAATTATTTCATCCATCCTGGAAAATCAACCGATATGTACATTTATGAAGCTTCCGATGCTTTTTCCGAATACTCTCCTTCTACGTTTTCACCGACCCTGTCAACAGACAGCACAACGACTCTCCAGTCACCTAGCCCATTGCCTTTAGGTCAGTCAGGACTGTCGTGGGATCATGTACGCAGCGCGACCCCTTCTGTGAGGCCGAATACACCAGCGCCTCCATCTGGCCAGAGTAGAGCGCAGTCCCCTCAATCGTATCCCAGTAATTCATACCCATCTAATTCAGGTAACGGTAGCATCTCATTTCCCAGTGGTTTGCCTGGAATACGCCAGGCACAAACTGCGTTGCGAGGGTTCTTTGGATCGAATGGACAAGTCGGACAGCCAGGAGAAAGACAGTCAGGAGAATCTACACAAACCCAGGGTGCAACCAATGGCAGAATTCATGCCAGGACGCTGTCCGAGTCCTCTAGCACTGCAAATGCATTGCCCAACTCTGAGACAGAGTTTGATGACCTAGCAAGGATGAATACGGCACTGAACGCTGGCTATTCATATTACTATCCCGAAACTCCAGCGTTAGTACGTCCCCGTTCCGGTTCAACTTCCATTCCAAATAGTTCCAGCCAACGATCTCCACGCGACTCGTTAATGTTCTATAGTGACGTCCAGCGTGTCGAGCAAAGTCCGGAAACTGATCTTAACTTTCCATACTCCCAAACTGCTGCTACTGTCAACATTCGAGCAACGTCTGATCAGGTTCCTTCATCTACGCTGGAGATGTCGGGCGCAGCAGTGGAAAACTCAGAGGCTTCGAACACCCTGAATCATGGGACCTCTTCCCTTGTTCCTGCTTTAGAGCGGTCCATATCGAGCTCATCGCAAAGCTCTGAACTCTCCATTTTAAGAACACCTTCCCCTACTTCTTACCCTCCTTCGCAACTCCCCTCTTGGCTGCAGTCTCAGCCGCAGACATTTCCGTATCCACCCGTACAGTCAAAACCAGTCGAACAGGCTTCGACGACCGTTCCTCCTGCTTATACAACATACCTTTCTGCTTCACCCGAGCCCCAGACCTCTCCATCTTCTCTAGTGCAGGTGCAATCATCCGCTCCATTACTTTCCTCCAGTCGCTCTCAATCCCAATCCTCATCGACGTCCAGCTCCGCCAGTGACACGCTAAACGGCTCTCATTCCGAAGTTTACTCATCATTCAATCGTGACCGTGTCGTTGCTCATCCTGCAACGGGAGAAGGAATCGCTAGCAATAGCACCAGCGCAGTTACCAATACTTCGCCGAACCAGTCTTATCCGATGCCTCATGCCGCTCTCACCGAGACTCGATCATCTAATAATACCACTCTCGCACCCTTAGCAGATCCACTGAATATTTCGCAGTCCGGAAGGACTCGGAGTCCTACAACCGGTAGACACGGGGACTCACGGAACGTCATGGCTCCTGCCACTGATAATGGCGAAGCGCGACGTGGAGGCCCTTCTGATAACAATGATTCCTTCGTCAGGACACGAAAATCTTCAACTACTACTCGCAGTCCAAATAGCTCCTCACCGAGAATTCATGGTCAGCCCACCACGGATTCTCAGCGGGCCAATGCTCCGCCCCGATTCTCACTGCCTGCTTCGACCACTCCTGCTCCTCCGCAGCAAGTTCAAACTCGTGTCAGGAAAGATAGCATGAGCCTGGGCATGAAATCATCTTCCTCTTCCCGTCTTATGAGTCGATCGAACCCATCTGCGACACCTTCCTACCCCAATTCTAACATTGAAACAGTCAGTCGTGAAGCCAATAGCGGAAGATTCGCTTCTTCCCCGACCGTTGAGACGTCATCTTCTATTAGTCCCGCAAATCCACTATCTACCTCCGCTATGCCTTCGAGCTTCCCAGAGCCTCGAAGAAGTCACTCTGATGGCGATAATCCTTCCCTCACTGCTGCAACGCGTCGATCTGCCGTGCCTTTCCAAACGGAGTTTGTTCCTGCTGTGTCAAGTTCTGCGTCTGCTATCGGAAGTCACAATAATCGTGACTTCTCCCGAGATACGTTGTTGCAACCTGCATTCGAGAATAACCACCGCCCAGAACCGGCAAGAACGCACTCGAGCGAACTTCCAAGTAGACCAGCATCTGTGAATCCCAGGCCCGCCGCGGAGACTCTGCGTTCACGTTCAGTGAGATGGAACGAGGCTCTCATATGTCCATCTCCCATATGGCCCAGTCAGAGAAGAAAGGGCTGGTTTAATCGAAGAGGGTGTGTAGCTACTCTTTTTCTACAATTCTCCGAAACTAACAGTTTTAATCGGTTACAGTGATCAATTGTGGACTAACGGAGGTGCGTTCAGGTCACCACCGGGAGGCGAAGAGTATCCCCTTGACCTCGATGGTTATCCAGATTTTGGTGAGGGATGGATGAATGAAGAAGGTACCCGTATCGATATGGCACATCGTCTGATTCCAAAAGCACCGCTGCGTTCGGCGCTCAAGATAAAAGCTAGGGCGAACTGATTTCATTTCGGAAATTGAACATTCGCTCACGAACAGTGAATCCTGAATAAATTTCTATCATAGCGTTCAAAGTATTAATTTATTCGTTGCATAAACCTGTTACGGTACATATGTATTTCTACCATACACTTTGTAAATATTCAACTACACCAAACAAGATATTTGTAGCCAAGGTAATCTATGTATACAGTTAGTAGTTCTAATACATCTAACTTTGCTCAGATTCAATCCGATGACAATTCAATCACCTCCTCTGTCTTGCGGCGTTTCCGTGGTGGTCGTGTTCTTGTTGTTACATTCATCCAACCACCAGCGTTTTTGTTCTCATCATCCGATTCTTCATCATTACTGCCTTTGGAAGCGTCGTCATCCTCGTCATCACTGATGTTTATCGCATCTGCCGGATTTGATGTAGCTTGAGGTCGGGCACGATTTTGCAACGATGTGGAAGTCCGGAAATTCCGTTGAGACGGTGTCATCTTTGATTTGAACAGCTTGGCATCCTCCTCCACATCTTCGTCATTGTGGTCATCGATATCAAATCCGGGTACATCTGGATCCCCATGTTCATCATTCAGGATAGACGTCGAACCAGCAGCACTGGCAGCGGCTTTTCCCTTCTTACTGCTCGATGTCGTCAGTTTAGGCCTGCCTTTTGCATTTCTCTTCATGACTCTGAACGAAAACGAAAGTTTCATGCTTAAGGTAGCCAGACCTTCCTTGGTAGGAAAGCGTGTGAGCATTGGTGCGCGTTCACCCAATTGAATGTACACCACAGTCGCATAAGCTGTGCTGTAGTATTGCTCCTTGAGGTACCGGTTGAGAAGTAGTTCAATGAGAAGAGTTTCTATGTCCTACGAAGATGGTTAGACACCTGATCGATGAGCCAAGCGAAAAAAGGATATATTGCACATACCTCCCTTTTCAACTGAACCTTTCCTCCGCAGACAGCATCCAGATCCATGACAACATTCTCTTTCCTACCACCACCGCCTTTCCTTCCCCTCTTTCCGCTACGACCACCCCCTGCTCCACCGTCTCCAGTTCCCGTATAAGCGGCCTTGCCCGAACTTCGCGCCAACTCCGCCGTCTTTGCCAGCGTCACGTTGCCTCCGCCCCTAGTTACCTCCTGTACAATTTTCAGCAATTGCCAGGCCTCAAATGTCACATCCTTGTCTTCAAACGAGTCCGCATCTCGAGTACAGTTGTCGCAGTGCCCACAAGGAGTATGTGCAGAGACAGATGAAGTAGACCAGGAGGTTATGGAAACATTGGAGGTGTGAGAGAAGTAGCTAGAGATTAATGAGATCACATGAGTATATTCCTACACACAACTGGACGAAAGACTTGCTTTGCGAATTGAATCTTCCTACATTGCTTTAAATTTTGCGCGAATGAAAGTATTGCGTATACTTGAAATGGAGCGTCGTTCAATATTGTCACGTAATCCAATCCTGGAACCACAGCACCCACATTTTGTGCTCCCATCCTTATCCGCCATCGCCATCGAACTAAGTGTTGATGCGTCTTGGGCCCGATAATACATAACACAATCCGAGTCTTTCCCGTCTCGTCCCGCTCGTCCGGATTCTTGATAGTACCCGTCCAGAGATTTCTAAATATTCGAAAGCAGGAATCAGAAAAGGGATAACGAATGGAAGGAAAGAGAGCAGCGGAGATTCACCGATATTGAATGATGTATCACAAATCTTACATCGCCCTTGTCGATACCCAGCCCGAAAGCTGTATAGAAGATAATGCAGTCAGTTAGCGAGAAAAAGACCGCGCAGTAACAAACCAAGCCACTATGTGATATGATAGTACTTACCAATAGTCGCACAAACAACCTTGACAGTCCCCTTCTGCCAGTTCCAATGTAATGTCTCCTTCTCGCTATCACTACGCTCAGAATGATAAACTCCAGTACGAATCCCACCACGTTTGTTAAGCTCAGCAGCAACCTTTTCGGTATCCTAAAAATTCGAAGGTTGACATTAGTGTCTATTCGGAATTTCGGAAGAGATCCGGGAAGAACAAGGCAAAAGGGTAAATCAGCTCACCTTCCGGCTCAGACAGTACACGATCCCACTATCCTCACGATGCTTCTCCAAAATCCACGTTGTTATCTCCTCGTACACTCTGTTACCTTCGGCGGCCTTCGGGAGGACTTGATAGTGCAAGTTCGGGCGGTAGAGCGGGGAGGTAAAGTATACTGTGTTGGGTGGGTGCTTGGATCTGGGGACACCTGTGAAGGGTAGTCAAGTAAGGACGGATGGGTAACAGAAGAAATGAGGCTTTGCTCACTATCTGAAGGCACAGTTGTGCCCAACCTCAACACTTTCAATAAATCAGCAAGAACAAGCGGTGGACACGTAGCGCTTAGCGCCATGATTGGGACGTTCGGGAAGAGTTGACGGAGGATGTGTAGTTTTTGGTAGTCTGGTCTGGATGATGAAGGTTAGTCAAATTGAAACTCCAGCAAGAAAGCCACTCACCGAAAATCGTGTCCCATTTGTGAGACGCAATGAGCTTCGTCAATGACAATTCGCGCTACCAAGGAGTTAAGAGCTGAACGAGTTGGACAGTTGAGAACGACGTGCACGTACCTAATTTCAAAGCATCAGCCAACCTTTGTAAGAGCGCCACGAAGCGTTTGCTCTTGGCAAGTTTCTCCGGCTACAGACTGAGGTTCAGAAGTACTGTCCGAAGATAAATTGATAAAAGCGAAATACCGTGCAATATAACAGTTTAATTTCTTTCTCGTTTGTGTCTCGTCCAGCAGCCATGCCACCCAGTCTCGCATTGATATTGTCTTGATCTAGTTTGGGAGTGGACCCTGTAATTTTGACTGCTTCGACTGTATATATGGTGATTTTCTTGTTACGAGGAGGAGAAAATATTCCTGTTCACCTCCTACGTTTTTCAGATGCATAATCTGGTCGGTGATAAGAGAAATTAAGGGAGATAGCACGAGAGTGACCCCAGCAGTCATGATTGCAGGAAGTTGGTAGGTCAGCGATTTTCCACCGCCTTAAAAGAAGATCAAAAATCAAAGTAAGCTCGTGCCGCAAGAGTTGACTGTAGGAATGGATGGGTACCGGTCGGCATAACCACTACGATGTCTCTTCCATCCATATTCGCGTTACAGACCCTGTGGTTTCAAGGCGCGCAAGTCAGTCTCGACGCGCTCTGATGCAATCAAAAAGCGACGCACCCTCTTTGACACAGCCTAAAATCGTTGATTCTAAAGACCTTTTTCATATTATCCTTCAACGACGCATCCCAAAGGAATTGGTCATTTTCATAATCTATGAAACCAGCTCTGTCCTTCTTCTTGCTGTTCCCTACTGCATTCGAGAAATTATTTCGATTGAGTGATGCGTGATGTCGTTCTTTCTTCTCTCTATGCTCCTTTTCTAGTGCCGCCAATGCTGCTTCCTGCATTTCAAGCTGTTCCCGAGTAGAAGCAATGTCGCGTCGGATCTTCGCTATATGTTCGGCGTCTTGCCTTTCCCATGCAAGGTATTCATCGTAACTATTGAAATCGGAGGAGTGGTTTTCGTGATTCTTGTGATTGTGGGTATGAAGAGGAGGAGGTTTTTTTGTGGACTGCTCAGCGTTAGGGTAGACTTGATCAAAGTCATTATCCTGAGTAAGGTCAAGGTCAAAGTCTTGGCTTGTTCCTTGCACGAATTCTTGGAACTGAAGTAAGCAAATAAGCACCATTGTAAAAGTGGTCAACAAACAGACAACATTACCGCAGGATCATCAGAGCCCAACTGATCATTCTCAAAATCGAAGTGACGCCTATGCATTCTATAGTAGTGCAGTGCCAGACATTAAGTGTACAGAAACGGATATTAACACGCGTGCGCAGGGTGTAACAGACAAGAGGATGGCCAAGAACATGGACAAAATTAAAGCGCTAAATAAGCGCGCTAAATATGCAAAAAACGGGACTCTAAAGAATATTCGGATATAGACTGTAGCCTGTAGTACTACCTCCTATTAAATCCAATATCCCAACAAAATATGCTTGTGGGACAACCATCCCGTCCAGCTATTGGCAGATGCATTAGCGATGATGGTCAGCATCTGACAGACACCACTCAGCACCACTCGCCCTATCTTTACTAAGACCTCCTCCCTCTAACGCGTCCCCGGCGGTTTAGTCATACCTGGAACCGGGGCTGCTGCGTTCCCAAAGTTTGTAGCGAATGTATTCGCATTGAAGGCAGCAGACTGTGTGGTTTGCATATTTTGTGTATTTTGGGTCGCTGCGTAGAGTGCTGACGCGCGGTTCTCAGCTTTCTCTCTTTCTCTCTCTTTCTCTCTCTCTTTCTCTCTCTCTCTTGTGCTTGACCTATCCATCGAATTATTCATGCTGCCTGTCCTCGGCCTACCCCTATTAGGACCCCCGGGCCCGCGACTGGCACTACTTCCTGTTCTCATTACACCTGCGTCGAGACTGTTGTGCTTAGAGGCAGCAGAGCTTGTACGATGATGACCGGGTACCCAGAGACGTTCGGGACGAGGATCTTTAATTGACTGGTTGCCGTCTTCGCTGGAAATGGTTACGGCATATTCCGATCCTGAGGACATTGAAGAGCTAACTCGCTTTAGGTCGGGTTTGGGAGGTACGTTGGTGGTGCCGGTGACTGTCGAGCCTCTGTGACGTCTAGGTGGCTTCAAGGTGGATGTGTCGTCATCATCATCTTTATGGATATTCGCCGTCGCGGCAGAGGTACGATGGTGGTGGTGGTGGTGGTGCTTTGTCGAGCTGGATGTATGGGAGGTGGTGTCACTCCCTTCCGTGATCTGTGACGTATCATTGAAAGGAGATGAGTTGGCGAGGGCGGGTTCCTTCCCTTTTGACTCATCCTCCTTGGGCTGGGGACCCATTTTCCGCTGACCACCACGATGCTTCCCAGGTGTTGTAGAATTCGAGGCTCCTGAAGGGAGCAAAGCCTCTTCCTTCAAGGAGGCCTGGGACATATGGGGAGTGTCTGCAGGGCGGATAGAGTCGCTATCCTTGCTTTTCGAAGTAGGGTTCATTTTCGTTCGGAACTTGGTCCTAAATTTTTGTAACTTGTCTCTGAGACCGCGTACCTCCAACATCGAACTGGAATCAACAAGTTGTCGTTCATTTAATGACCTGACGAAGACAGGTGGGTATTGCTAGTATACTTAGGTCGTGTGCGAAAAATAAACTTACTGACACACTGGTATCGTGTTGGGTATTACAGCCGCATATGCTTGAATCACTGAAATAGCGACAAGAACGAGGATAAGCGCGCGCAACATTGTGAAATTGGCCAACAGCAAAAGTCGTCCAACGGTCGTCTCGCTCGCAAGACCTGCTTGCTTGGAGGTATTGATTAAATGTGCGTGCGGACACACTATGGAGGGATTCCTCAAGGGCTCGGAGACCAGCTCGTAAAGTAAGCAAGGAACATGAGCTGTTCGCACACAACATGCTTATATGACAGAGGCGAAAAAAGGAACCAGTTTGGAAATCAATTGATGGTTCAAAAAAAGGCGATGAACGCTGATGGACGACAGCGGAGACCGTGGAGCTTCACAGGAGCTTCATGCGCATGGAGGAAGATAAACATCAGACCACCGGCACAACATTCTCATACGCCGCATTTCTCTCGCATCTCTTCGTAATGATCATATTCCTGTTCTCATTCCTGCGTATCTCACCGGTAGCTGCTAGCTACTCATTCAACACATCTCTCAATTGTCAAAGTACGAAGTTATCTTCTTCAAGTCTATGCTTCAACCTGAAATACCTCAAGTATTATGTTATCAAAGGGGTTGACAAGAAACACAGCCTATACCGTATAGCATATCGCAGTGCTCCAGAGTGCTCCTCGAGTGATAAAAGAGTCACAGTGAGTTCCGTGCAGTTTACACGCAGTACATTTACGCTCATACGACTCATTCCAGCCCCTTCCGTATGGCCCGTATACGTACATTCAACCCAACCGCTCGAGAAAATTCCGAAATTTGAATGCCCTTCTTCACCTTTATCTTCACCCCATTTTGCATGAGGGGTTAACGGATGATTCCACACCAATTTTGGTGGTTCAAGCTTTTACAAACATACACTACATAGCTTGTTTCGGTCTAGTCTGTACGCGAAACATGTATTTGGCTTGGCACGAGAGAGAAATACGCGACTAAAGCAGCGACCTGGCCTGTTCTGACCAGCTTTTGACTTACAAATTGAAAGAACAAAAATCGGGGGCGGCCAAAGTTTGCTTAAGTTCAAGTTATCCTCAACATCTGAAGGTACTCAATACAAAGTACGAGTCTCGCTTCCACCATTCTTCTTCGGTCAGCGACCGACGTCGGAAAAGATACACATTCGAAAAATAAAAAAACAATTACAACGAGTAATATTTGCGAGTTGTACAAAACTGCATAAGGGGGCACTTTCTGTTTGCACAGTTGAACTATACAGCTTATCATGCGTCCTATCGTTTAAGAATCAGCGTCGTAGTAATGGTCGTAAGCCAAAACAAAGAAAACCCACAGTAGTCTTCTGATTTTTCGGGTGAGGTTTGCTGAACGATGGTCCGAGTCCATTCTGGACATTGCCATACACGATGTTATTGATGATAGGATTTACCAATGGATTATTCAGATTCTTCTTCTTCTCCGGCACCTTAGTTACGTTAGGCGTCGTAGGCGTCGTTTTCGTCGTTTTCGTCGTTTTCGTCGTTTTCTTCACTGGCGGGTTGGCGGCCTTTATTTTCTTCCTCTCCGCAAGTTGCTCCTGCGCAAGCCTTTCCGTCTCCACCTTCTGTTGCTTCGACTGCTTTTTCGGAGGCGGAGCACCCTTCAAGTCCCCCTTTTCCTTCCCTTCCTCCTTCTTCTCCGTTTCACTCGGGTCTAAAGGCATATTCATCGAAGAGTTCTTTTTCTGACCATCCAGGCGGCGCGGAGTCAGGTAATCATGCTCGCGCGTACGAGTCTCGATCATTGAGTTCACATGCATTGGGCTCGTCGAATCCGGAATTCTAAAAAAGTACCCAAGTTTGTTGTTTTTGGTGAGTTCTCGATTCCTATTTTTATTATGATTGAAGAAGCTGAATACGTACGAAGACACGGCGGTCGATGGTGTATTTCGCACAGAGACACTCGGAAGGCCCTGGATGTGCGGAGTAGCAGATGCGCTTGGAATATCTAGATCGTCCGAGAACTTCCCAGGAGGAGATGATGCGCTAGGAATCGCCGCCGCGTAGACCTGAATGGCCAAAGAGGCGACAAAAAGAAGGATGGCAACTGCACTTGTGGCTGTCATAATATGGCTTGACGAGGGAAAAACGCCCCCCGAGTGACGACGCGTTAGGAACCGGAGGATAAGAACTTGAACAAGCGTGGGTGTCACGAAAATGCAACGGGTATAGGAAATTTGTGGCGGAAGTCTTTTTTTTCTGAGGGGACGTGGTTCACAAGTCCTGCTTGCAATGAGGACCAGCTCGTAGAAAGATAAAAGATATGAGGACCTTGGGCGAGATACTTATAATACTCAGATCAGGAAATTGATGGCGTTCTGCATTGAAGAAAATTTACAACCGACGAACCGACGGCTGAGGTACAAAATACGGGTGGCTGTGGGGGCGGTCAGTCGCAATATCTTTTCAGGTATATTTCCGGTACAAACGGGGTTTCGCTGCTTTTGTTTTTGAGGTTTTGTATAAGGATATCATGAGGATGTATCTTGAAGATCATAGATGGTGGCTCCTCCAGGAAACCAACCCCAGATTGACCCTGACTATCGAACTAGAACTGAGTACTGATGGTGGAAGATAGTAACATGGTGGATCGCTGAAGATAAACGAAAGACCATGAAGAGATTTCAAAGGAGTTCCAGAAAACAAAGCTATCTGGACATCAGGAACTTTATGTTGCGGAGGCTGTGGCTCGAGTATGCCTAGGGGAAAACTAACTTGGGTACGTATATTTATAAAAGCTGCTTTACAACTACAGCAATCGCACATCTTACATGATATCCGTCAGTTAATCCTGCGAATCGAAATCGTTTATTCGAAAGGTGGACGAACTATCATTACACCTCCAGTATCCCGTTCTGTGACTAATTCATGTTAGGGAACATGCGTCTTCCGGTAGAAGAAATTCTTTATTGAACGTCGGACTGTGGACTGAGATCGCGTGCCTTCATCATTCGTCTGCAAGAACGTTGATCAGCGTTATATATGGTGAGAGGAACGTTATACGTGCATTCCGCCTAGACCTGTTAAATCTGGCATGCCAGGAATAGCTGCTGGGTTGTACATATCAATTGGAGTATACGGGACAGCAGGTATGTTCTGGATGGTCGGCATGCTTGGAATGATGGGGTCATTTATAAAGCCAGGCGTGAACGGTAAGCCGGGTATAGGGATAGCAGCAGCGGGCACTTGAAGTGCGACAGATGCGAGGACGACTGCGGTCGTAGCAGTGATAGTGGGATACTTCATGGTGGCAAAGGGTTGAAGGAACAAGGTGAGTGGAATGTGATGTGAATTTCTCCGCTTTTGATCAAGACCTGCTTGTGTGAGGAGACCAGCTCGTACAAAGTGGGGATGGAGAGCTCCTGTGTATAGCGAGGTGGGCTGTTATAGCGGGTTTTCCCTTGATTGCCAATTCCGCTTCGCAACCATTGAAGAGCTTGGCTTACGCTTGGCGGGCTGGGACCGGGATCAACTACCCTTCTTGACCTCGTCACGGCTAAACGAGTACTTGCAGGTAGCGCTAAATGCTGATGCTGGCCTATGCTGACGCATAGACGGAAAATTGCAAGTCGACGATTTGTAGCATAGACCATAACGCGTGGCGATTCGTGTTGGTTGATAAAGTTTAGTCTTGAGGCGGTGGACAGGATTTCAGTCAGCCGGAGGTTGTGTTGTTATCGTTATGCCTACGGGGGTATACATAGGATGATCTGAGGCAATTGAGCTTCGATGCACATCGTGCGCTTGTAGAAGAGGTTCCTGCATATGGTGTAAGTTCCTGCCAACACAGTATGTTGGTAAACCAACATGGTCCCCAATTAGAATATGCACGGATGGTAGAAGCAAATCTGGTTACTTTCGCACGGTACCGTTTGAGCGTCTCACTGTAACTGACTGGTAATTGAGGCCTTGAGGATTCTCCGGTATGGGAGGACCTTCTCTGCTGATATTCGCAGCTGAGTAAGTGCATTACGCATTGCGCTATATGGCGCGCGATTGTAATCACCTTACTCAGCCTTTGCTCTCAGGAGCTTATTCATCCAGATTCTGCCCATATAAACGCAACCCAATGACCTCTTCCTTCACTCATCCTTCTCATACATTGTACAATGGCTTTGGCTGAACCTCTTGTTCTCTACACCGCGAAGGTGCGTCCAACAAAGTGTCCAGTGGTGCACAGATCAACCTAACATTACTTTCTTCCGTAGATTTGCCCTTTTGCTCACAGGGTTGAACTGGCTCTTGCTGAAACTGGCTTGAAATCAAACAAGGACTTTGTGAGATACGAGATTGACCTCAAAAACAAGCCGGAATGGTACCAGCCAAAGATTAATCCTGCGAGTAAAGTACGTACCGCATCTCGATTAATCAGTATGTTTTTTCAGACTGTTATCCTTCAGGTTCCTGCTATCGCTTACGGTGGCCCCAAAACCACTGGTGACCAACCATCTCCTTCGTCCACCAAGATCGCCGAATCCCTCGTCCTTATCGAATTCGTCGCCGATCTCTTCCCCAACAGTTCTCTACTTCCAAAAGACCCTGTCCTCAGAGCCAAAACCCGATTTTTCATCGATACCTTCGCAAATAAATTTGGACCCGCCCTCTTCACCTTCCAAAGCGGCAAAGCTCCCAATGGCGCAGAGGGTATCTTTTCTGCCATCGAACAGCTCCAGGATCTCATGGCACCAGAGGGTCTGGCGATTGGTGATGGAACAGAATTTACGCTAGCTGATGCTGCGGTGATTCCCTTCTTTGGGAGGATGGAAGTCTCATTGAAGAATGATTTCGGGGCATTCCCTGAGGGCGAAGGAAAGAGCACCTGGGAAGCATTGCAGACGGATAAGAGGTTCGCGAGGTGGAAGAAGTACTGGGATACTGCTAAAGCAAGGGAATCATTCAAAACTACGTTTGATGAGGTGACCAAAATTTTTTTTTCATCCCATGACCCTCAGCTAACCACGGATTTGTTGTTGCAGGATTATCTTACCAAATCATACTCGACCCGTTGGACCAGAGCTTGAGCGGAGTCTCGGCTACTCTCTCGCTGCGATGTTCTACATAAAGGGAACCATCTGTGACTGAATAACAGCTGAAAACGGCAGAAATTGAATATCGAAATTGTGTATAATAGCTTTTGCGAATTGGAAATGTCACTTGCCTGTGCCCATGCCTCTACTCATCGTCGCGTCGAAAGTTTTGTGTTCTTCTCTCTCTCGACGCTCTTCTCCTTCGTACCAAACAATCTTTGGACGCGCTCTATAGTCAGATCAACGCGTCCTACGGCCATTAGGTCTTGAACGTGCGTTCGTTTTTTATCGTTTCAAGTTGTTGTACTTACCCAGAGTTATTGTCTGAAGATTAGTAGCTTCTATGCCAACACCACGCTATCGATCCCCTTGTTCCATGAAATATGACGGGGAGGCAACTCACTATGACTGCCGTTTCGCAAGATCCGTCGCAAGGTTTCTTGGAGCACAATGGACCTGTGAATCGATCACTCGTAAAGATAGCAGGACTAGGCCGGCCGTCGTTCTTTCATGGACTCCCTTACGCCCAAACGTCTTCAGAACGTCAAAGCTCGACTTGGAGAACTGTATACCTAGGACTTGATTTTAGGTCCGGGGAAGCTTTCTCCACAATGGAAGAAGGGATGACAGAGTCAACGCGACCACGTGAAAGCCCAGCTTGGACAGCTAAACCTCGACGAACAATGAGCACTCAGGGATCAAAAAAAATCTCCGCATAAGCGAGGCATCTCTCTCTTTATCTCAACCTTCATCTCAACCTTCATCTCACGACTTCTCTAACCGCTTAAACTCGATCTCCTTTTTTGCTTGAGTTCTCCTATCAGAATCAGTACGATGCTTGGATATTCAAGCATCCCCAGTAACACGAATGTGGGTGATTCTGCGTTTTCTACTTCACGATTCACTCAATGATTTTGGTGTCAATTAGTCTATGGGGCCTGAAGGTTCTTATCTCAACGGATTCTTCACTAATAGCCAGCAAACCTTCGGAAACTCGCTGGAGCTTCTTCAGCAAGGAAGCTACGGAAATGACAGGTACGTCTTCCCCTTTTACATCATCCACTCGTCGCTGAATGAAACTTCGATCACTCTCTTAGGAGAAATGCAGAGCATTCGCTCGTGATAAACCCTCAGTTATTGCAGCTTGATCCTCGGCCTTATCTTTCCTCGACCAATTTCAATCTGAATGGGCTCTTTCGACAACAGACAGCCCCTACAATGGCAGGACCTTCGAACCTTAATTATAATGAATTTACCTCCATGCATAGCGAGAATTCTATGACATCCCCCTTCTCGAATTACTCTCCCCCGCCTTCATGGACATATGCGCCGGCGGCATTTCCCAACAATTCTACAGCTGGACCTTTGAACGCTGGTCATGATAACCTCACCTTCACGCACGGAAACAATAATATCGGATCCCCCTTCTCCAGCTCTCTTCATTCGACATACTCGCCGATATTATACAACAATTTCCCAACGTCGCATCCGACAGTAGGCACTCAGTCTACCATATTCAACCCTTCTTCGATGAACTATTACCCTCAGCAAGCGGGATCCTCTTTACCTTTACCTTCGTTACCCTATGCTCTTGTCCCGGGCCCTGGAATTGGCCAGGGGCATGGGCCCTCCTCCTCCCGTACACGCCGTCTTTCGCGATCTTCGACACTCATTTCCGTTGAGGGGAGTGTTTTCCATTCGAATAACCCTCTCGTTCAGAATAGCACGATGACGAATAAAGTTGACTCCGGATCCGGCAATACAGGCAGTGACTACGGTAACCAGTCATCCGCCTCCTCCACCTCACCTACAGTCGATGCGCTGTCCCGCTCCGCATCAGGTAATCAAGATACCACCTTTACAGGTTCATCTATGGCACAACGCAGCAGCCGGACCGGCACTAGTCCCTCAAATAGCAGGAAAGCGCCTTATACCAAAGCCCGAGCTCCCAAACGTCCCAAGGGCACGCACGAGCCTGATTTTGTGGAAGTGCGAAAGCTCCGAACCGACCGAGTATGCAAATGGCTCTATACTTCCGGTTTTGAATGTCAACACGATTTTGGTCATGACGATAAAAAGTCTGTTTCCGCACATGCTATCGCCCACCGCGATGATTCTATACAGGAAGAGCAATCCTCCGGCAAAGCTCCGTCAAAGGGGAAATTTATTTGCAGATGGACTGGATGTGACTTGGAAGGTAAAGGCATGGCAGCGGATGCCTTTGCTAGACATTTCGTCCATCACCACTCGCCGATAAGGATCCTTTGTTTAAGATGTGGTCAAGCTTTGGCTAGGGCCGATTGCGAGAAACGACATAGGGCAGGTTGTTGTAAAAATAACATGATCAAAAAGCCTGAAATGATGGACCAGGTGTGGTTGGAATATGAGTTCGTTGCTTAGCATACCACAAGCTCATCCTCGTCGTTTCGTTTCTTTTTCTGTCACCATCCCAGGTTAAGTATACCCTCACTATTCGCGATACCCATAGCCCCTTCTCTGCAAGTTGCGATACACACTTCTGCGTTCCGATTGCCCGTTTCTTTCACTCTGTACAAGTATCCTCAACATGTACCTATCAAGTCGCCGAACCTATGTATTTTCGGGATTGAATATATCAGAAACTGTACTTAGTAACCTTTCAATTGTATATAGTTGCCATCTGATTTAAGGTATAGTCAAAGCGAGTGTTATCTATTACGAACTGTCACGTGCACCAGAGTGTCTTCACATTTTTATGAAAGAATCAACTCACAAAAAGTTCGAATAAACTTTCGCAAATACCTGTTTCACGACCAGGAAAATGAGGAGGTGTTGACCTTCATGCATTTGCGAACACAGTAGGCGCAGGAGCTTCTGGTGGTCGCGGCCGTGGAGGAGGAGGCGCTGGAAATAACAGTGGTTCACGTCGTGGCGGAAATGGCCGTGGTAGAGGAGGACGCTCTCAAGCTCCTCCTCAACCAAGGACGTTCAAGACTGCTATAGCCGATTATTCCAGCGTCCACTCCCGGAGCTCCTATCAATCAAACTCAATGCAATGGGATCAAAGCAGATTGGATGCTCTAGGGATCGATTGTGTCAAATTTGGCAGGGAATTCAGTATCGATGAGTGCGTGTAACATATCATTTAACATACAAATATCATATTTACTTTTGCTCACCTTTTGTGTGCGACAGTGCTGTCCTTGGCATTTTGACTACTCGACCAACGCTCTGTGCTCGGCTCAATACTTTCATCGCAGGAGAAGCAGACACTGGCTCAGGATCTTACGTTTCCGAGTAAGCATTCAATCAATTCATTCGCAATTGCCCTAATTGCCCTAAGATAAAGCTTATGTCTTTGGACTCGCACACGCAACTAGGTAAAGATGCTTTACTTGCAATTGCGGAGTCTTGTCCCAAACTGGAGGCGCTGCGAATCACTGGTCATGATAGCGTGTAGGCGCTTGTCAGCTCTTTTCATTCAGCATTTAACCTTTACTCTCCTTCCTGAGCACCGGGAAAATGTGAGTGCAGCGTTTATTGCTCCTTTTGTCTGAGGTTACTCACGATGTCTCTTACTCGGGTCATACAGTGACCATCGCGCTCTCGCTGCCCTCCTCGCAACCTCTTGCGAATCCAATCCAGACCTCGCTAAGAATCTACGAGATCTCAATTTGACTGACCAGCATATCTCGCATGATAATGAGAAGGCGATTAAGAAGCTGCAGAAGGTGTGTCTTTGTTTACCGTGTTTTTTATGACGTCTTTGCTCGCCTGTCCGGCTGTGTCTGATACCTTTGATTAGGCTCACAAATCTCTCATCATACGCACCGGCGAGACAAAGGGGGACCATGCATGGGAGTGGAATGTCGACGTAGGCCCGGACGTGGTGTATGTGAAAGGGAAGATGGAATTCTTCAAGCCTGAAACGTATTCTTATTATCGACTATTAACTTTTGGAGATGGGAAAACATAAGGATGAAGTAGGAACCTCGACGTCGTACAGACAGTTTGGTGTCTTTATTCAAATATGTGATAACTCGCCAGATCTACTCATGAATAGAGCTATCGACCTTTGTCATGCATCACGGTCTACAATCACTATGTATGGTCAAGAGCATGTAACGGAAATAAAGAAAATTCCTCCTGTTGTTCCTACAGATGCCAGCAAAAAAGCGGCGCAAACCGTTGTGGGGGTAAGTAACTGCCATTTTCACCGTCAGAAAATTTTGACCGAAATTCAGGAACCTGCCCAACTCAGAAGTATTTTTGAATAACCAAAGCATTAGTGACTTCAGCTTGGAACGAACTAGTATTACCTCCTTCTCTCTCGGATAAGACAATGCTCGTCTAAATTGGCCCGCGAAACTGGCGGAAAAGTCACGCCGTTACGAGACTTGACAGGATTGCACTTCTCGTCAAAACTGGCCCGCGAGACTGGCGGAAGAGTCATGCCGCCAGAAGACTTGACAGGATCGGTCGAACTCTAGGAAGCAAAAATCTTGAAAGAAGAATTCTTGGACCTCAAAGTCAGTAGGAGAGAGTAGGAGTCAATGGTCAGCACCGGTCAGTCTTCTGACAATTCCTGACATCGACAATACGCCACCGGATAACTCGATAAGATCAAGGAAACCTTATGCTATAAATGTAGCGTGGTTATGAATTGGCCATTTTTATTTCTATCGTAAGAATACACTCCTGACACTTTCAGTTGTCCATCCCCATCTCGCCCAGAGAAAGCTGTTAGCAAAAAGTCAAAAGATTGGGCCTGATGCGTATTGCTCCAGCACCCAGGTCCCACATACACGTCCAATAGGAATATTTTTCATGTTCAAGAGTGCCATGACGGTCATCCTGGAAAAGGGGCATAGTCGTCACATCTCGACAGAACATTTTTTTTCATATTGAAGGACCGTTGAAGGAAACCATTCCGGGAAACAAGGGTTTTGTAGAGCTCAATCAGCATATCCATAGACGGCCTGATAATGTTTCATCACGGGACTTCCATCTACAGCCTACATGTTGCAGGAAAGTTCCGGGATGATGCCACTGAGCAAGGCAAGGTAAGAAAAATGAGCAAGTACACTTTAGAATGCACAGCAGGGCCAAGGCCAATCGCTTAATCATAATAGTCCTTCAATCTGCAAGCATTTATGGATGGAAGAATCAACTCTTTTCCAGTTTTGTCCCAGCCTTGACTCTGAGCCTCTATACCAACTAGCGATTACGCTTTGCGGACTTAATGGCTATGGGTTTATAGATTGATCTCATCTAACTTACCCAAATTTGAGGGTTGATAATGAGGAGGCAGGAGGACTAGGCAGTCATAACAGAAAATCATTCAAATTTCATGCACACAATAACAAAGCAGTTAATCGATATATCCAAAGACAACAAATTTCGACCCAACCACACACTGCCAAGGAGTCGCAATCACAACCTGTGCCTCTTGTCGTTGTGATAAGTCAGGGAATAATCACAAGCTGACTGGGACGCATCCTATAGAGATGAGTCCACCTGAGCCAAAATAGAGAAGTAATTAGCACACAGAAATTGAGAAGATGTTTCTAAGATGGGGCAAATTCATACCGTGGCTGTTGTCATCGCAGCAGACAGCTTGAGCAGAACTTCACAAGCAAACAATCAACATTTGAAGCAAATAGGTAGTGCAAAATAGCTTACCAGCTGCCGCCTGAAGCGCCGATAACAGTGATAGGGCTGCAAGTAAGTCCGACGAGAGCATTCACATCTTGGAGAACAATTCCAAGACTATTGATGATCGTAGCCGCGCTGGCGCTACTGGCTGACTCTACAGTATTGCAACACTGGATAGCGCCGGTGGTACAGCTACTGGCTGGCTCATTGCGGGGAGCAGGCGTGGCGACCGCAAGAGTAGCGAGAGCGGCGGAAACAAAAACGAGTTTGAACTGCATGATGAGTCTATAGAAGTACTTGAAACAGTTGTTAGTTGTTCGAGTGAGGAAATCATTCTCGTTTCGAATGTTTTATACTTCTCCAGAGCTATTATAAAGCATAGAATCGGTGATGAATGATCATTGCGTAGGTCGTGAAAATTCCTCAATGACGACGTTTTGCTGTTGCAGCCGGGATAATCAACATTCCTTGAGAAGCTGTGGAGCCCTTGTGGAATGTGTTCACCTTGGATTTGAACATGCCATAGCTGGCGGGGGGTTATTTTAGTCGGACAACATAGTAGTCTCCGGTCATTCCGAGCTGCCAAGCAACTTGAATAGGGAAAATTTATGCTATGAAACACACATGAGATGTACATATTCATCGATAAGCACGATGATGCTCCAACTGACCTTCAAGCACTGTCTTCCTGGTTTGAATCCCCACGAAATGAATGTTCACCTCCTAATTCGACAACTTCCCAAGGTGGTGGACGATACGCATCGGAGCATGGACTGGCAATCCGGATTGAATGATTTGAAGAATATATATATATATGTGTGTGTACATGAGACAGACAGACATAGACATTGAACGGACCTCATGTCAAGGTGTCACCCAGTGTGATTGGATAGTATAGGATAGTGATATCGGACGGGCATCGGCATAACAGGCTTTTTTTCTTGTCCATTTTTGTACCGCAATCAAAGTAGTACTCCGAGTCAATCAAGGTCTCCAAAATGATTTCATGGACATTCAGCGTTACCCACCCGAAAGAAGCATACCCACTCTATGTAGTACACTCGATCTGAAAGCTGCAAAGAGGAGAGAACTCCGGTGCGTGTAAGGTATTTTCCGGTATTTTCACCTTTAGCCAAAGAGACAACTTCTGGCTTCCACATAATTGAGTGCGGATCGGTATTGATCATGTATATGAGCGCTTGAGGATAGGATAGATTAAGCGTCGGGGACCACCGATCACCAGCAGGAGGTACCATATGGCCCATGGGCGGGAAAGTTGATCAAATAGGAAGGAGAAAAGCAAAAAAGGAAGGTCGAAATTCCCACGATCGGTGCTCATAAGACTCATCCTCCTTGGCATTTCATTTTGGAGTCGTAAAATATAATTCAGCAGCTAGTGAGATTTTCATAATTTTCTCTGCTCTTGGTGTGAACATAATGTCATATACTTGTGGCCATCCACCGGTAGTGCCACTCGGGGACATGTTCGACCAGTACTTTTTCTGACATTGTACAATCAAATTGACAAAAACACCATCCATGAATATACCACTATATTAGACTGTCAAGCGTGGTGTAGGATGAGCCTCTTTATATCATGTACAAACAGATTTAACTGTTCTTTAACGATCTAGTGATACAAAGTTTCAAATACAGCAATGTGCGCTCAGGACAACATGGTCAAAGAGTAACAGGGGCGCATCCTATGGAGATGAGAGTGCCTGTTTGTGGCCGTCTGTGACTTACGGAAGATGAGAAGGTATAAATGGCTACACACCATGCCTGTTGTCTTCACAGCAGACTGTTTCTGCAGAACTATTTAGAAGAATCAGTCAAGTGTAAGCTAATTCCGTCACAATAAGAAAAATCCTACCAGCTGCTCCCGCCTGCCCCAATTCCGGTAATGGGATCGCATGCGAGACCGACAAGACAATGACCTGCAAGTCCTGCAGAACAATTTCAAGTGTGGAAAGGATTCCAGCAGCACTGGAGCTTTGGGCAGACTCGACGGTCTGGCAGCACCGAACAGGGCCAGTGGAGCAGCTACTAGCAGGCTCGGTGCGAAGAGTGGGGATGGCGGCCGCAAGGGAGGTGATGGTAACGGTGACGAAGGTTATTTTAAATCTCATGCTGAGCCTGGTGCGACGCGAAGTAGAAGCAACTGGACTAGGGAGGATCAGGTAACTAATGGGTGATCGAGTAAAGATTGGACTGTTCGTAGTAGGGGTTTTGTACCAACGTTTCCTTGAGCTAGGAAATATTAGAGACGAATACGAAACCGACTTCACCTAATACTGCAGTTGTATGCTCTATTTTTCACCACAAGTAATCAATTGCACCCCAAGGAGAAAGTAAAAGGCGTTTGCAAATGTCAAAGTGGAGCTCTGATTCAGGGAAATGGCAAGAGAAGTAGCGAGGTTTAAAAATGTCCCAGTTCGTCAAAAGCTTCTCGGAGGCAAGCCACGTATTCCAGCCATAAACTCGTGTCATGTCCCTAAGCTGTGCCTTATTGGAATATAAGCAAAGTCTGGATAAGGAAGCTAACATGACGGAGTAAGGTTCATGGCAGTAAGCAAAAAACTGGTGTATAAGGTAGCAATCACGTACTGCATACTATATGGTAAATACCTGAATAGAAATTCCGAAAATAGAGCATTTAGATCCTGATTCATGTGTGCTACCGTTAGATTGGACTAGAACTCTTGGACTGGAAGCATGCTGGTAAAACGGGGATGTACATACATCGATAATCATCTTGAGCGGGCTTCAAATGCAACGCGGAGCAAACGAGGACTTGAGGGTAAGCGGCCCAACCCCCCTTGCGCAGTCGGCGGAGGGGCAATTTTTTACTGCAGTATCCGAATGGAGAAAGCTATCCTTGTCGATTTTGAGTATACGTTAATGACTTCACCTCTGTGGGATGAAGCTTGTAAATAAAGGATCGGTGTGTGTTAACAACACTGACAGGCGGGAACCTTTTTATGATCTCACAAGTAGTGCGGGCGGGCACCAAGTTTTAACCCGATGAGTTTTTCTGGCGTATGTAGCCAAATCGTTAGTCCTACATAAACCTACCTAAACCAAGCATGACGTACGTCCATGCTCGGAATTTCGAGTTAATGCACGCCAACCCGCACGTATAGATCGTGTGTCAGGCGGGATTTCAACTGAGATAACCGATTGCAACCTGATTGAAGAAGATGGAGGTCACTACATAGGTTTGAAAAATATTGCATCAACCGAAAACTTTGCTCCGGCGCTCTATTCCAGATCATCTACAGTCTTGTCAGGGCATTGTAGGATGTCCTGGAGCACAAAACAAATGATTTCGCGGTATGTCAGTTTGAAAGTGATAGTAGTGAAGATTGCCATTGTCATGCTCTACAGCACTCAAGGCGTTCTCAAAAGTGGACTTCGATGTAATGGAAATACCCAGTGTCGTATCGAATGACGGTAGAAATCTTTTTGCAAAGCAGCGAACCTGCAGCGAACGCATGCATAAGAAAGCAGCCAGGGTGCCCACGGAGACGGACTTCGGACGAAGTAGACCGATTCTTCAGTGCGCCTGTGATTCGTTTGATCTTCCTCATTCTGTTTTTCCAGTGCCGTCACAATATGTTGAAGGATTGATCACAGACTGACAATGACAATCGGGCTTTGAGCAGCTGCTAACGTGATAAACAAACAGTAAGAGACAGAAAGTTGGAGGTACCAACACATAATGAACATACCTCGGGTGTCTCGAATGAGGTTCCTAATCAAAATCTTTCTCTAGCAAGCATGTGACCTTATTTAGGAAAGTCGCAAAAGGGGAAAAGCTCCGTTTCTAGAGCATTCCTATTTTCAAAAGAGGTCTGTCATGGAATAATCTAGAATATCAAAAAGGGGAGCTTCTAAAGAATCGAGGACGAGAAGTAAAATGAAGTAAGACCGAGGACTGCTTGAAAGAGTCCCAAGAAGATCCAGGAACTGCAGGAACGAGGAAAGTAATACGGATAATTCGGTATGTCGTTGAATTACGATGTGCTACAAGCGTGTGTGTGGATACCTGAACGCATTCCTTCAGATTCCTTCCGTCCTTGAGGCATTAATGGATCGGTTTCTTTGGAGCTGTTTTTTCGTAATCCAATCGTTGGCTTGAAATGTTTTATGACGGCAATCTGCCCTGGTGGAGTAGAAGTGCAATTGAGAACGACGACGAGAGAGAAGCTGGTAGAGGTTCCTGTCAGAAAGAAGAATGCCGTGATACAAGCGCCCTTCAAGCGCCCATTAGCCCGACACTGCCAACTTGCCGCCAGCGACCAGCACACAATCTTTTCTAGGATACCGCTTGATCAAGAGGGAAAGAACGGTGAGTCGCTTTTCACTGGCTATATATGGACATGACTCACAACCCGGAAGGCTAATACCGCAACGCGTCAATTCGAATCAAAATTTTGAATTTAACACGCCTATGCAGGGGAGGCTTTCGCCTTTCCCTTGTGAACAGTGTCGTCGCCTCGAACTCGACTCGACAGCTCTCCGTCACCTATAACAGAATGTCAAAACAACTTGGAATGCCTCATCCCGCCACAAAAAGCGAAGACTCTGATCTAATTGATGCTCTCTTGAAACTATCCAGCAAGAATCCTAAATTGGTAAAGTCGACTGTGTATGATGCACCTGCAGATTCAACCCTCGGGGTGAGGAGCTGGAAAATGAACGAGTACAAGTACTATGATGTTCCGTCGCCGTTCCCCACCCTCGCAAGAGGTCTATTTACTGTGCAGGTTGGAAGAGATCCAAATTCTCATCGGATTGTAATCAGAGGTTACGACAAATTTTTCAATATTGGAGAGGTCCCTTGGACTACGGTGTGCTGCTCTTGATCTGTGTTTCTCTCTTGCAACATTAATCGTATTCCTAGTGGTCTTCTTTGAAAATGCATACCGCTGCTCCTTACACACTTTCGCTAAAGTCGAATGGCTGCATCATCTTCATTGGCGCCCTGACTCCAGAAAAACTAGTCATCACATCCAAACATTCTCTGGGGCCTATTGGGCAATCGGAGAAAAGCCACGCTGAAGCTGGAGAAGGATGGCTGAAAAGGTATCTCGAAGAGAAAGGAAGGACAGAAGCAGAACTGGCCAAGACTTTATGGGACAACAACTGGACAGCAATAGCAGAAGTGCGTATGACTATGCGATGCTGTAAGATTGACGCTGATCCTTCGGGTAATAGCTTTGCGACGATTCGTTCGAGGAACACGTCTTGGGTTATCCACCACATCTTACCGGTCTTCATCTTCACGGACTCAATACCTGTACCAAGGAGTTCAGCACTCTCCCGCACTCCACCGTCGACGAATTCGCCTCTGAATGGGGTTTCATCAAGACTGAATCTATCGTGTTCAATTCTATCGAGGAAGTTCAAAAGTTCACTGATGAGGTCAGCAAAACCCAGCATTGGAATGGCCAAGCCGTAGAAGGTTTCGTTGTCAGAACGCATGTCACTACCCCTCCGTCAGGAAACGAGAACGATCGGGGAAAGACTCCTTACGCGCCTGGGTCCACCTTCTTCTTCAAGGTCAAATTTGATGAGCCATATCTCATGTATCGTGACTGGCGCGAGGTCACCAAGACGATCCTGTCCGCGCACAAAAAGGGTGCGCGTGTAGCCAAAACGTTAGAGAATACTGTTCCTCGCAATAAAATGAAGCGTCCAGAGACCCGCGTTTACGTACGTTGGGTCATAGGAGAAATTTTACGCGATCCTTCTCTTTTCAAGGAGTATACAAAAGGGAAAGGGATTATTGCTACTAGAGAGAGGTTCCTACAGTGGCTGGAGGCTGAAAAGGGGAAGAAGGGAATAAGATCCGACGGGGGTAGATTAGATGCAGAAGACCTTGGGAGTGAGACTGAACAAAAAGGTCAAATGAAACCAGAGTTCGGGAAGACCGTAATAGTCCCTATTGCCATTCCCGGCTGTGGTGAGTTAGATGTAATCCGACACGCTGTATTGTCTGACGAGCGTTGGCTACAGGTAAAACCACTGTTGCAGTCGCTCTCACCCATATTTTCGGTTTTGGACATACGCAAAGTGATGATGTGCACGTTAAGAAATCCGCGCCCGTCTTTCTCAAGAACGTTCAAAACCTTCTAAAAAGCCACGACGTAGTGATCGCAGACAAGTAAGTACGTTTCCCCATTTTATCTCTTGTTCATCCTATCTACATTGACCTTGGCGAACAGGAATAACCATCTCCGGCAACACCGTACCCAATTACGAGAACTTACGCAAAAAATGATACCCCCTGTTCGACTCCTCGCCCTCAATTGGTCTCTCGCGTCATACCCACAAAGTACTGTGCATCGAATTTGTGGTGATCGTGTCCTCGTTCGAGGGGAGAACCACCAGACCCTCAGAGCCGATGCATCCAAGTTTCGCGCCCACGAAGATGTCATATGGATGTTCATCACGCAGACTGAGGAGCTTGCTCCTGCAGAGGTAGATGCCATAATTGACATGGACCTCGAGGAAGATTTTGTCTCTGCCGTCAACCGTGCTGTCGACGGGATCTGCAAGGAGCTGGATCTGCCTAGACCCACTCCAGAAAATATTGCGAAGGGTATTGAGAAGGCCACTGGATATAGGCCTGCTACGAAAAAAGCGGACGAAGAGTCAAAGCAAAAGCCAAAAGAGAAGGAACCGAGATATTTTGGCATCGTTCCTGAGATCCATCTCGAACAGGTTTTAACGAAGGTGCTTGGTGAAAATCCTACAACATATACTATGTGGATGCATTTGAAGAAAAACCAACGAATTACCCAACGGCCACACATTACAGTCATTCACAAGAAAAGTCTTCCCGGAGAAATCGAACTTTGGGAACGATGTATCGATCTACATTCGTCCAAAAATCCACCAATGTTCGAGTTCAAGTTGAAAAATATCATATGGAATGACAGAGTCATGGCCGTCGTCGTTGACGATCTAAAGGTTCTTCCGGGGTCTGATTCAGAGCAAAAAGGGGTAGAGTTCATCGGTAAACTATCTGAAGAGATCAGAACTAGGCTACACATAACAGTTGGGACGAAAAATCATAACATTCAAACTGTTGAGGCGAAGGCGCTTGTAGAGGAATGGAGGCAGGGGAACACCGGTGGGGTGCAAACTATGGAATTTTCTGAGGACGTTCTGGTCCAGGGCAGGATCAAGGGTTTGACAGGGTAGTCGGTAGATGAGTAGTTTGTACCTCAATCCACACAATGATACGCTTCCACTCATCTGTGAATTTAAATCTTTGGAGTTCCGCTGCAGATTCAGTTATAGATTCCCTTTCGTAAAAGTCATTGGTTGCGTGGATATCTCACTTTCTCTGCCTCGAGGCTGAAAATCTTTCTATACCAGAATACTTGGACGCAACATGAATCAATCCCGAGCCTTCATCGGAATCGGGTCACTTTCCTAGCACTCTCACTCTCCGGCTCAATCTCACCGCATCTACCACGCGGTCCTCTCTCTTTTTTTAAAGACACCACTGGATGTGTCTTTCGAGTTCTACCTAATTCCACGGGTCGAATTTCCACAACCGTCCAAATCGAAGGTTTCGATATATACATGAGCTCGTGATCGTTTCATCTATACTTGTCATTCTACAACGAAAACTTCTGATTTAATAGGATTTAGTCCGCACGCCTTCACATATTTTGATAGTGAATACTTCGACCGTCAATCAAGCTGTGGACAATCACACGGGTACAGTGCTTTGCGAAAAGATTTGCTTGTATGGATTTTTTACCAAGTGTTTATTGCTGTTTATTCGTCCAATATATTTTGGGCCGAGGCTCTCTTCGAGGACCACCGGGGCCGTCGGGCTTCGAAAAGCTATCGCTGAAATCCTTTTTGGGGCAAAATATATTGGACAAATAAAGAAACACAAATAGATGGGAAAAAGTCGAGCAAGCAAAGAATTACGCAAAGCACTGTACGATTTTCCAACCTTCATACAGTTTGCTTGAATAACGAACTCACAACATGATCATCAGCCTCCATCAGCTCATAACATTCTATTCATCCCGTTATTCTGTTGTCAGTCAAGCCCTGGGTCGTAGAAGTCTATTAGGATTTTGTACAACATGATCTGCGCGAAATATGTCCTTTACTACAATCGGACGAGATATGAATTCGCGGACAGTTTATTCTGGTAGGTCATACGTGACAAGTCTCAGTCTGTCCGGATCTATGAATCACATTACTCTTCTTGGCTCGAATACACGGCATGGGGTAAAATTTCATATCTTCCGAATTCGAAGGTTTAATTTTTTTCCCTCGAGAACCTTCGCTTATGGCATTGTCGAGTTCCCATGTTGACCAACAACGAGTCATTCTTTTTATTTGCACTCCCGCGCACATTTCGACATATCCTCCTTCAGGACTGGCAGACGATCTTCCTGGCAACAACATGCGATCTTTCTACTCCACAAATCATCCTGTTGGCTCCACTCTCGACAGCTTGCAACACAATTCCGGAAAAGGAACAGAGGCATAGATATGTTTACATGGCTTATGGCTCGTCATTGAGGTAAGCCTCAGGCGTACTGTACAGCCTGCGTTGAGAGGTATAAAAGCTCTGGAATTCGATAGATTTTCTTCACTCGAACAGCAAGTAATCGTCGTTCAAGTACTCTCTATATCCAACATGCAGTTTAAACTCGCTTTTGTCTCCGCCGCTCTCGCTACCCTTGCGGTCGCCACGCCTGCTCCTCGCAACGAGCCCGCCAGTAGTTGCAGTACTGGCCCTGTCCAGTGCTGCGATAGCACCGAGTCTGCCAGCAGTTCCAGTGCTGCTGCGGTTCTTGGGCTCCTTGGCATTGTCCTCCAAGATTTGAACGTCCTCGTCGGTCTTACATGCAGCCCGATCACTGTCATTGGCGCTTCTGGCAGCAGTTGGTAAGCTTTTGTGTTTCCGCATGCTGGTAATTTTCTCAAGATGTATATAGCTCTGCGCAGGCGGTCTGCTGTGACGACAATAGCCATGGTATGATTATTCCAGGTCAAGCTTTCGATCCTAACGCTTTTCTGTAGGTGGACTCATCTCCATCGGTTGTGTTCCCGTTACTCTCTGAACACCTGGCATCTCGTGACGGCTCACATGCAGGCACGACTTCTATGCATGCTCACCTCATTTTCAATACTTGACTACAGTCAGTGGAGGCCGGGACGGTTGTAGAACCAGTTGGTGGATCATGTTGAGCTGTGACTTGATGGACTTGATTGAAGTGTTTCGTGTATTCAGAATATTGTTAAATAAATCGAGAAATTCTATGGATATGACTTGATTGTATACGCTCACGAACGAGATGCGGTATTAACAAAATACGACTCGGACAAGCTCGTTGCGCAAACGTTGTTTTTAACGAACACCTGAGTACTTTGAGTGCTGGAGACATATTATGTACGAGCTCAAGAGTGGGGGATTAAGCATACTCAGAGTCATATGAGCAAACCAAACTCGATACATGACTTTAACTTACTTTTGGACGTTCAATTCTGGCCCCGCAGGACCCGAAACTAGGTAGAGTCTGTATTATGAGAGCCGGGTACGCATCCCCTAGAACACAATGAATCGAAATAATCATTGAAAGGAAGCAAGGGGAAAGAACATTATAGAAGCTGGGGCTATAAAGCTAATGCCGCGATACCGTACTATCAAAGATTACAAACACAATCCAACTTCGTTCGTCCAATTCCCAAAGTCTGTACCAGTGAACACAAGCATTATGTACTAACATCGTAAGCATAAGGTATCTCATAAAAACGCCATAAGAATGAGGAAGAGATAAATGTTACTCTGCTAGCCCTGATGAGTCATCACCTGAATCGAGCAAGCTGAATTTAGGCGGATTGGGTGAGATAGCACGAACTATGGAAAACCGATCAATTACCTGTACTGCTTCATCAACGAACACTCCCCTCCGTTCTCTAAATCGATATTATACGAGTAGAAGTAGCCTTCAGACGAAATGACCATGACTTGTGGCATTGTTCTGTTCACAGCCTTCAATATTAGGCCAACGCGAACGTGATGTGAATACTCACCCGCTCAAGGCCACCACGCACCGAGCACCACTCGTCGGGAGCCGCAAAAAAGCAAAGTCTCGTGATGGTTCCCACATTTCCGTGAGCGTATTTGGTAAATATCCACCCATTGAATGCGAGAGTGTCTTGGTCACTTGCAATGATCGCTTCCGCAAGCTCGACGAGACACCTCCATTCTTTTTCTTTTCGATAAACGCCTCATAACCTCCGTCGACCCCACCCTCGACAGTGTCCACAGAATCTGATGACGGAGAGGGGCTAGACAATTTCCCATTGGTAGAACCTGAGCCTTCCTTCCCGCGGGCCAACTTAAAGATATGTACTGTGTCATGGGCGGAACTAACAGCTAGCAGGGTCGACACGGAATTGAAGTTCATGGAGTATATCTTCGCCTCTCGTGTTCCTCTACGAAACTGATATAGCTTTTCTGCACCAGGAATAGTCCAAACACGAATGACAGTTCCTTTATCGGATGAGGTAGCGAGGAGAGTTCCCGTCGAATTGATAGAAAGGAATGAGATTGGAGATTTATGTGCTTGGATGACATTGGCGACGGTGAGTGAGCGGGTGGAAAAGAGAAGCACATCTCCGGACTGTGGTGCAGCGTTAGATGATGAGGAAGGTACAGAGTTTATCGCTGAAGTGCCAGGTGTCGCCGGAGATGGAACAGGTGAAGGATACGCAAGGTAGGAGCTATCGGCGGAAGGAGATAGAGTACATATTGCTAAAAGGGGGATAAGGTCGAGCCATAAAGAAGTGGTATATCACACTAGCCTTCTGGATTGGGCGTGGTTTCAATAACATGAAGTAATCTCATGTTCGAGATATCATAAATGTATATTTCGGTCTCTAGGACAATTACGAGGGTTTTCCGGTTCAGTTTAACGGCAAGGATAGAAGATGGAAAAAGCAATTCGCAGATCATGGAATGGCGCTGAAGTCAATGTTGAGAACGGGTGATGAACTAGGAATCGGAGACGTACTTTGGTGTTCACAATCTGCAGTTTTCGCGGACTAGACTGAGGTTGATCCGCAGCGCCCACTAGCGCGATGAGAGACGTGCAAAATAGCATTTCCACAATTCCCCTTGCACCATCATCTGGAGAGTTGATTAGTCAATAAAGAAGACAGGAGATGAAGTGAAATCATACTCATAGTATAAACGCGTCCAAATGGGTCACAATTGGTGATACTGTAGCCCTTCCGTGTCCCTACAGAGATGCAGCTGCAAGTATTGGCACTGAGAGCAGTTCAACATCCAGACCTCGAGCGACGTACGAAAAATCCTGGTTAAAATTAGCGAATAACATGTTAGAATTCGTGCGTTCAGCCATGCTTCGGTGACAGTTGTGAGCAAAACAGTATATTTGTTTGTCCTCGGAAGCTCATGCACAACAACTACGTCATTACCCAAAGATTTCGGCATGAAATTTTGAAACCTTGAGCTTGAACTACATATGTAGAAATGTAGAGCTTACTTCTCCGACTCAAGCTGGGCATAGGACTCCTTTCACCAGGATCTTAGCTCTTCGCCCCACATTTCCGAGTCATTGGCATTTTCACGGTCATTCAATTTGCAGCAATATTCTTGAACATAGGAGGAAAGGAAGGAAGCATACCATTTGTAGCCCTGGGCCTGAAGCTTGAAGGCCTGATCTTCTGGTCAAAATTCCAGTCGATGTCGTTCGGTGACCAAATTCCGCAGTCAACATAAATGCAACCGCTTCTTATCTCTGAGTCTGGTGCTTGAGAAAGATCTGAATGTATTTAAGCTCTTCATAAACCCAATTTGGTGTGGCGCATACACTATCTATCTATCAATGGAATTAGCATATGTACCCTGGCTTTAAACTGAATTGTCACTCCTAGTCTGATCTCTTCCTTCTATGAAGATAAATACATTGAAGGAGATTTTGACCGGAATCTGCGCAATCATGACGGACATAAAATATAATGCCCGAACCCCTTCGAATAGTTGGGTCTGGACATCTCAGTCTTCTGGGTATGATTGACACTGGCAGTACCAGCATTCCATAAATTACCAAATGGACCTACCTTGTCTTGAGAAAAACTTGTATGTATGCAATTTTTTGTAGAAAAAATAAATAAAGGGTTTAAACTCGAAAACCAACAGCCGTCGTTCAAGTAATACACCACACAGGTCTGCAGTTCAAACTCGCTTTTGCCTCTTTCACACCCACTGCGATTGTTTATTTTCTCTCTACAGCACTGACCAAACTCCCGGTGCCCTTTGGTATCGGGTCAAACTGAACTCCCTTGGATATTCCCGGATTCCTGATAATCAAATCCATCAAAACGTCCCAATGTCAGAATTCTGTGTAGGAGTCATACACAACGCACCGAAATCGACCGCTTGTCGATTATTTAAGTGTCGCTTGGTACTATGCCAAACGGTGAAATCAGTGTCCTAGATGCGTATATTGTTACTACGCAATGTAAAATTCGAGAATTTGAACTTTTACCTTGCTTCAACGTCCAGACAAAAGCGCACGAGTACAATAGTATTTCGCGACTAAATCTCAATCTGAGGGGAAAATGGAATGACTCGACTCGAAATACAAGTCTGAATTTATACTGTTTGATTGAATTGCTTACCTTACGCTTCACGAAAGATACGACTCTCGCATTATGAGTGGACGCTGATACCTTCTGGCAAATATGGAAAGTACAGTAGCACTCGAGATCTTGAATCTTGATAATGGAATGTTACCAGTTCACTGGGGTTGGCGCAGGCCGCAAGATGATCAGAAAGAGTGTGTTCTTCGACCATACTAGAATCGACCTGGACAAATCGAAATCGCGGCTGAGTGCGGCAGAAGCGTCCAAAAGCGACAATAGCAGGGGAGTACGGTGGCTCCCTTGGCTGAATGTGTAACAGGTAATCCTTCTCATATCCCATGAATATGGCGAATCAATGTTGACAGGAGATACGGAAATAACCTATTGAATTTGAGCTTATTCATAACGGACCTCGAATGGCGCGAGCGATTTCAAAAATCTTACCCCAGGTTTAGAGCAAATCTTATAAAGATCTAGGATGAATCTGCTGGTGTCCAGGATGTACAGAGGCAGAAAAAGGCGATGTCAAAGCGAGTGTTATGAAGCTTGTGTTTGTTTATTCAGACGCCTGAGATAATCATCATCTATCATCATCTTTTGGAATTTATACGCTCTTTCATTCTTTCACAAGCTTATACCACTATATCATTTGATTCTTGACAAGATGGATGACGACTCCGCTGAAATCGAGCTGGTAAGGCTATTTCACTTTCCAGAAGTCGAGTGTCAGTAACATTGTGTTAGCTGGAACAGAATCTGAGTAAAACCCACCAGATTTCTCAAAAAATGACAAGTAAGCTTTGCCGTGAATGTATGTTACCCTTGACTTAAGCTACCAGCTATTTTGAACAGCTTTGATACGCGCCTTGCCAGGCTTGAAAAGTCCATCTTGCCACTTTACAACTCTGCTCAAATCTTGAATCGAAGAGCAAGCAGTACGTGATATCTTTCACCCAGCTACCGAGGATCATCTAGCACCTGCAGATATTGAGAAGGCCCTACTGAAGATCGATGAGGTGGCAAGTAATCAGGAAGGAATAGCTGCTGAAGAGGCACTGATTTTGAGAGGGTGCGTTGTCCGCTATCGCGCGCTCTGTTCAATTGATGACGAAGACAATGCAGGCCTCAGCCAGGACAATTCGAAGTATACAAGGATGCCCTTCAGCGCCTCAACGCTTCGATTGCTTTCAAAGCCTCTGATCAAGATAGTCTCGACACAGCCAGATTGGTTGAGACTGGCGCCAAAAAGCTTGCTCAGCTTTACACCAAACTCGTCGCTGAAGGTTCTTCTGGCAATACACCAGCTCCCGGCGTTGAAATAGTCAAAGCTCCATTCCCATCGCAATTACGCACTACACTTCAGCCCATAGTCGCTTTTCTCCGCACGTTGCCCGTCCCGTCTACTCATCCATCACATCCAGCTGCGGCTACGATTCTTACCACGCTCAAGGATGCTCAGCGCGGGTATGCTGATATGCGAGGGGCGTGGGGTAAGAAGTGTCTTGAGGCGCATGGGAAACGCGTCGTAGATCGCGCGGACACTGTTGAACCCATCGCCACAGGGAGGGAACTCGGAGCATGGGTTCAATCCGTGTTATCTGTGGCCCGCGAAGAATATGATCTGCTCATCGAAATGAGCACGCTAGTTAGTCCATCACAACTGGCGTCTCATTTCGGTAACCTGCTCAATCCGCTTGTGCTTTTAATGAGCACCACCATCACAGCACTGGTTGCTTTTTCTAAGCGATCTCTGCAAAAATATGGGTTCTTGATACTCTCAGCTTATGAGGCGCTGCTCGAGCTGCAGCCAATGTGGGAAGAGATTTCTGCACTCAAGGTTTCTCCCGAGAGTCGGAATGACAATCGAAAAGAAACGAACGAATACAAAGACGTTCTTCACGTCGTGCGAATGGTGTGCATCAGGATGTTTCCCGAAGCCCTTGCGGATATCAAGCTATCAACAGCGGGAAGGACTGGGGACACGAGTACAGCGTTATTAGATGCTGCAGTGGAGGTGCGCTTTTCTTCAATATCGTATTGACGCTCTGGATTCACGGAATATTCCACAGGCTGTTCAGTTTCTCAACAACATGCAAGAGGTTCTCGTTGGTTCTAGTGACATTTTATCCGTCGTGGGGGATGGGAACTGGAAGATGGGAGAGGGCGTCGTAGTCAAGAAGCAAGCAATAGTCGAAGTTAGCGCGCAAACGTTATTAGAGCATTTTATTTGTGCGTTTTCTCCCTATTCAGCTTTCTTCCGCTGCTACCGCTCACCCTACCCATTTCTCAATTCTCGGGCTGTGCCGCGTAATAAAATTTTGTTTCCTTTCCTTAGATGATATCGTCGTCACCATTATCAACACGGTCAGCCTTATTGCTCGTACACAAAGGCGCCCTCCATTCGACTCGTTTTTCCTTCTCAATAACATTGCCTATCTCCGCAAGAATATCCTCGAGCCACGACAAGAATCACTGATTGATTATCTCACTAAGCCTACGCAAGATATCCTGAACTCGAACTTTCGTACCGCGAAAGCGAGCTATCTTGATGCTAACTTTTCGCCGCTCATGCAGTCACTCTCGGACGATCCCAAGGAAAAAGGCAAAGCCGCAACGAAGGAAAAGTTTACGAGATTCTATGACCTACTTGAAGAAGTATTGGAGAGGCACAGACTAGCAAAAGTGCTCGAGGATGACGCAGAGAGTAGAGAGGCAATAGGGAACGATGTCATCAAGTTTCTTATTCCATCTCTCAAAGCTTTCACCCAGAAACACAAAGAGAAGGAATTTAGTAAAAGTAAGCCAGGCCGTCGGGAAAAATTTGCTCGATCTTTGCTGACGGTCTATTTTTTCTCTAAATCCTGCTACGATTCGTGATGTTTAGATCCCCAGAAATGTACAGATGCTTCGCTATTGTTCCCGTACCCTACTGATTCCTTCTCTGTTCTTAGATATCAAGCTGTCCGCGGAAACGGTTGAAAGCCAGCTGAGAAGTATCTATCGATAATCGGTGTACTGTGTACTCTGTAGGGTTGTATTTATAACTTTCCCCTTTCCAAGTCATCGCGAGAAATTGGGAATGCAAATGAACGCTTCCGTCCTGCCTCGTTTCCTAGCTTCAGGTTGTGGAGTGTAACCATCGAGGGCTGGTTCATCTGTTGTTGTTCATGGTATGTATGATACGTCAAATGACTCTAGCTAGTGAGTTTACTACTTCGTCATGTTCTTTCTTGTTGGTGACCAACCTATCGGGCATACACAGACTCTTCAGTTCCCAACTGCCTTTCTTACGACAAGGACATGCAGATGTCTGATGTTATGGAAAGAAATACGGTATGCTATTGGCTAAACTCCAAGCTCCCTTCTGCCAGAATCTGCACTCTTGGTACGATCTTTCCGCTCTGATTGGTTGATACGAAATCAATACCGTTAATTTCTCAATACCGTTAATTTTCCTTAATGCACGTATGACAACTTATGGTAATTGTCTCTGTCGGTTTCTCGATATTCCCAGAAACACCGCCAAACGCCAAACGCCTCCGACGTCACACCTGGTCATTTGAGAAGCTCCAAGAGCCTTCGAGGGCCTTAAGGCTTTGGATGGGCTTTGAACGGCGTTAAATGATATAGGAATTGCACTCTGCATGGGTAGTCTTCACTTACGCAGGGTCGTACTCGGCAGGAAGAGGAGGCCTAGAACTATTCTAACACAAAGGGCAGGATGAGTATACAACAGTATACAGGAATCTCTTTTTTCACCCTTGGGAAAGTTCAACCGGTTCGAGGCACGAACATTCTAAACCAGAATGGCAATCAACTTCTTGGAGGCTCTTGGAAGTATATCAATGCATTCAATTGCCTCTGACATGAAGGCTTCTGGCTATTAGGTAGTCCGATTCGTATTAAGTGGTTTGTTCTTCTCATGGTCTTTCTTCTGACATCCGTCAGGCTATATCTGACACACTCCTTTGTCAAGAATAGATCACATTCACCAAGGATTTTTACAGAATACAACCTGCACAGTACGTCCTGGTCCATCCTGGTCCGTCAATTCTAGGTCGAGCCTTTTTTTCCTTCGCTGTATTCAGACAGGTCTCCCTAACGGCTCCTAAACAGATGCGAGGATTTTTTTAGATTAAGGGCTGGAGCATCGACTACGCGGGTTATATTCAGACATTGGGTACAGTTTCTTGGGGCAGTCCTCGGAACAAGCCTGACGAGCACACCTTTGAACTGTCTTGGAAGGTCTTGGTAGGGAAGACAAAAGGTATAAAAGCTGGGTACGAACTCCGAATAATCTTTACTCGAACAGCCAACAGCCGTCGTTCAAGTACTCTCAATACTCATCATGCAATTTAAACTCGCCTTCGTCACCGCCGCTCTCGCTACTCTTGCGGTCGCCACACCGACTCCTCGAAATGAGCCGGCAAGCAGCTGCTCTACTGGACCTATCCAGTGCTGTGACAGCGTTCAGTCTGCCTCTAGCAGCCCTGTCGCGATTCTTCTTGGCCTCCTCGGCATTGTTCTCCAGGATGTGAACGTGAACGTCGGTCTTACCTGCTCTCCCATCACTGTCATCGGTGCTTCCGGCAGCAGCTGGTAAGCTTCTAGTATACTCATGTATGGTGGAGCATTTGATGATGATGTGTATAGCTCTGCACAGGCCGTCTGCTGTGAGGATAACAGTCACGGTATGATCGTGCCTCTTACTTGCTTTTTTCATGTAGTTTCAACCCTTTTGCATAGGTGGACTCATCTCCATCGGCTGTCTTCCCGTCTCTCTCTGAGTCACATAATTTGAGACGGCTTACACGCGAGCTCGCTCGACTTCAATCGTATAGGCATTGTTTGGTCATTTTCGGTACCTTGATTGTAATTGGAATTGGAAGCTGGGTCTGTCGGGCGTTGTTGAGTTGTGGTCGAGGTGATGGATTTTATGTTGTTCAACAAATCGAAGTCTTTTGTGGATTGAAGAAAATGGTTTCTAAATAAATAACCAAAAAATGTGGACACTTCACTGAAAGACACTATTCATGATGATCGTATGGCCGCCTGGCGAAATGGCATCGCGTCTGACTACGATGATTAAAGGTAATCAGGAGATTGCAGGTTCGACCCCTGCGGTGGTCATTTTTGATTTGTGATTTTTGATGATCATGGCTATGACTTTTTCGAGCATCGTGGTATGACTTTTATTCCATTGAGTGATGTCCTTGTTGTACTGGATCAGCTGTGGTCTTCCGAGTGTCGAAAGGGACAAATAATGCCAGGAATTAATTCAGAAAATTCAAAATGATTGACCAGTCGGGAGATGTCCCGGCCTGTCCTGTAAATAAGTAAAAGTAACACGTCCAGTTCAATCGAGTGCCCTATTTCGACGATCTACTCATGCTGCAAGCAGCACCGGGCAATATATGTTACTATCTTTGTAGCTGCTTGATAATGAAATTTAGGGCGGGTTTGGTGTTAGGGAGTACTCCGTATGTCAGATATGACACCTATTCGAGAGACGGCATTATTACTTTATAACTATACAGTTCCACTCAGATCACACGCAGCGGCGTACTCGAACACCTCAGTTGCTACAATATCAACTGATGTGAGCCCCGAGTATGCACAGTATATGTACATGGTACTAACTTACTGTAGATGAATCAACATTTGGGAGCATTTGGGGCGGGTTAAACCAGGTTACATAAACCGTTTGACCGCGGAACAAAGGTCTCACGGTATTCTTATCTTATCACTTGAATGTCCGGGGTTTTTGAAATTGTTTCTCAACTCTCACAGGAGACCAAGTTGTGGAAGGACAAACCGACCCCCAGCGAACGCGTATGAAACTTCTATACAACCAACTCAGAAAACACAGACGAATAAACTGTCACCCACGATGTTGGTTGAACAACGTGATGAGCGCGACGCTCAGAGCAACCATGATCTTGACAACTTAGACAACTTGGACGATTTTAGCGACCTTTCATCCTCTCACTACTCTCCCTCTGAATTCTCTTCATCAAACTCGCTTTCGCCTACCCGATTCTACCTGCGCTCTCTTCTCCTGCCCATCGTCGAACGAGAATCTCATGTTATATCTCGTCTCCAACGACGATTCCGAACACCGTTTTGGGATAAATATTTCGTTTATACCAGCTCCCTTGGAACACATACCTTTTTCATGATTTTGCTACCGGCGATGTTCTTCTTTGGCTTTAGGGATATGGGGATGGGGCTGGTTATGGTTGGTCAAATCGCATACAAATTGTTGATATTAAATGCTGACAAACAAGACTGGTACGATGTAGGTTATGGGCGGAGGAGTTTACGCGAGCAGTATTGTGAAGGACCTGGTTTGTAGTCCAAGGCCATTGGCGCCGCCCGTTACACGTCTGAGTAAGTAAACAACTTTGTTTCTATCACTGCAATAACATCATCTATTACTGCACTGCAGCTATAGGCAACCATCATCTTGAATATGGCTTCCCGTCAACGCATTCGACGAATAGCGTCTCTATAGCTCTATTCTTCTGGGGATACGTTCACACGCTCTTTTACGATGATTCCGTTGTCTACTGGACCTGCACAGTCATTCTCCTCATCTACACACTCTCCATCGTGCTAGGGCGAATTTATACTGCCATGCATTCATTTATCGACTGCATCTTCGGGGTGTTACTTGGAGCTAGCGTTTGGTGGTGTGTAACGGATTTGAATATCGGAGGATATTTAACCGGATTCGGGTTTTCCGCCCGACTGCAGGCTTGGATATCCGACGCTGTATCGGGGTCTGCAGCGAACAACAGTGGAGAAGGCTCGTCATTGTCCTTGTCGTTCTCATCAGCATTCTCCGCAATCACATATTCACCAATCTCTCCACCACTTCTTTTGACAACTTTCTTCCTCCTTCTCGTCAACCAGCACCCTCAACCAGTTGATGATTGTCCGTGCTTCGAAGACGCTATAGCATCTGGTGCAGTCGTTTTCGGTGCCCTCCTTGGCCGGTGGGCGACTGCCTACTTCCACCTGCACGACCTTATCGAACGTTTGGGTGGACCCAAACCCATGCTGGGCGCCGGATGGAACATCGTAAACGTTCACAATGATAACGAAACCGTTTGGGTACCCATTGACCGAGGATTCAAAGATTATACCCTTTTCACCGTTGTTGCCTTTGCCAAAATTCTCCTTGGAGTCACCTTTATCTTCATCTGGCGTCTATTTGCAAAATCGCTCTTAGGCCTTCTCCTTCCTCCATTATTCCGGCTTGTGGCACGAGTGGTTGGCGCAGCCCGAGTCAAACTAGGCATGAGGTGGCTAGGGATGCCTAATCGAAGATTTTATCTTCCTGCGACGGAGTATAGGGGACCGGTGCCAAACGGGTTTATTGGTATGGAGGAAGGAGAAGTTGAAGGAGATGAGTATGAACTTGGGAGAAGGATGGGGTCAATACCTTCTGTCATCGACCTGCCGTCGACATTGACGGTCGGTGTGGAAATACAAGGTGGGATCGGCAGTGGATTTGCGAGGGATAGTCATAGGAATGGAAACGTCGGACGCGAGATCAAAATTCGAGCAGGGAATGGAAGCTCAAAACTTTCTAATGAAGTGAATGCCGAGGAGGATATAGTTTACACCCCGGATGGGAGTGAGGACAAATTTGGAAGTGGAAGTGGGATGAGAAAACATATACATTATGATGCCGATGGTGAGCTTTCTTCCATTTCGTCAACGACTGGTGTTTTTCCTCTTCAGCTCTTCAGTTTCTTACTTCAAACGTCTGATTTGCTTCACATATCGTGTGTTACTCTATCTAACGGTTCCCCACTTATCATTTGTTCGTATCTCCAACTCCTGTCGTCCGCTCTATCATTCTTACTGTCATGATCCTTCTATCATCATTGCCATTACCACTACCATCAGATCATCATCATGTTGAGACTTGAACTCGCCTGCGCTTTTTTCGCATTGTTTTCATCTTCGCCTTGTTTTTTTCCCTCCCCAGTCGTTCCTTACATATATTCGCTTTTCCGTCTACCTGACACTAACATAATTCTTTCTTCCTATTTACATAACAGTTCTCACCAAGATTCTCGTCTACGCCGGTATCGCCATACTCTCGATAGAGGTGACCCCCTTGGTGTTTGAGCTGCTTGGGTGGGGAGTATACGTTAGTCCACCAGAAGGTGCTTTGGTCCATTCTGTCCAGGTAGCCTAGGTCGTTCGTTGGTGGTCAATTTCAGTATCTACCAGGGTCATAATCGCGCAGGTTTCCGGACATTTTGATCTGAACTCTCAGTTTGAGTTTGATGATTTCGACTACGAGGAAGGAGAGAAAGCTGGGGACCATCCCGATACTCCATGATCCAGGTGATGCGGCCGAATTCTGCGATGGAGGGTTGTAGTCAGATTGAAATCGGAGTTAGTTTTCTCAATGTCGGGAACAGGTCGGGAATAATTCCTATCTGAGCTGGTCATTGAACGTGTGTCGTGCATATTGTATGTACGTTTTGTGCCATGAGCTATGCTGCTACAGGTCCCTCAACTTATTTACTCAAGTAGTATGGTCTGCTGGTTTGGTCTGGTCCTTCGTACTCGTCGTCCCTTGTACTTGACGAATTTCTTCTTAAATTCAATAAAAAAATCCGTTCGTTGACAATCCACCCTCTTCGTTCTGAAGCTTCTTCTTTTCAGAAACAATACGTGGGCAATACTTTTGGTTGGATACTACGTTCCCAAGGTTTTTCACAGGTTTAGTGCTGTTTAGTGTCGGTTTTCTGACTCGTGTAGCCCACGAATAGATCTTTGAACTCAGGCCTCTGCTTGCTTGTGAACTTACGACATTGGTTGGGAAGAGTTGATACTTGCGGTAAGCTTTCCTATAGGCTTTCCTCTGTCTTCCTTCGGTGTTTTTGAGAATCCTTGGTATAGAATTATTAAATTTACCATACATAGAACGAACGTCCTAAAGTTTAAACCCAGTATAAATCAGAAAGGCAATTAATTGAAGATAGCTTCCTTGACTTTTGTCTTCGGTAAGTCCATTCAATTTAATGAGACGCATGGAATACAAGGGAATACAATGTTCTTGTTTGATGTGTGTATAGGAGAGGCTTCTCCCATTGTCGCTTGATACGCGAACATCATAGAATCATAGAAGAGATCAGGATCCGGTATTTTGTCTTCATCCTTCTTCACCAGGCTGATTCAACGACAGGGCCCTGACAGGACTCGGAAACATCGTCAGAAACATCGTCACGATAATACCTAACCACCAGCTGACCACCCGGTTCTGTCAAACACAGACGGGCCTCAAGCTTCAATATCCACCTCATGTGGAGTATAGATTCGGATAATTTTTTTGACAAGAAATTGACGACGCGGAGAGGTTTGTCGCCCTGGTCATGACATTTCTCACCATCGTATCTGCGGAACGTGCTCAATGGTCATAAATTACCCTTGGGTTTGTGGCAGCCGTCTTGAAGGAAGGGGAGGGAAAGGATATAAAAGCTGGGCGAAATTCTTGAATATTCCTCACTCGAACAGCCCACATCGTCGTTCAAGTACTTCTCTCTACCCTCATCATGCAGTTCAAACTCGCCTTTGTCTCCGCCGCCCTCGCTACCCTTGCGGTCGCCACACCTGCCCCCCGTGATGAGCCGGCCAGCAGCTGCTCTACTGGGCCCATCCAGTGCTGCGACACCGTCCAGTCTGCCTCCAGCTCTAGCGCGGCCGGTATCCTCGGCCTTCTCGGCATTGTTCTTCAGGATTTGGACGTGCTGGTCGGTCTCACCTGCTCCCCCATCACTGTCATCGGTGCTTCTGGAAGCAGCTGGTATGTATCTATCCTCTTGATAACGGACACACTATTCACAATATACGCAGCTCTGCGCAGGCTGTCTGCTGTCAAGATAACAGTTTCGGTATAATCATGCCTCTGAATTTCTTTTTCTTTTCTAACTGTTCTCAAAAGGTGGACTCATCTCCATCGGCTGTGTCCCTGTGGATCTTTAAGCCCCCGGAGGTTCCTAATGACTCGACGCGACTCTCTTTTTGCGAGTCCCATACTACATTGCCATATCTGTATACTCTCGCTGCTGCTTGACATGATTGTGGAGAGCTGGTATTTGCGATAGGTTATCTTAGGTAGTATTGTAATAAGCGAATGGAATGGTTGTTTTGTGCTGAAGCATCTCAATCCATAACTTAATTCGGTGAATTCCATCTCAGAAAACGAGGTATGTAAGCTGGTAGAAGAGATTGCGAAGTACCGTACATTTAAGTAAGCACATAGCCAGAATGCAAGACTGAACACTTCTTGATTCTCATCACCATCGAACCAATGATGAGATTTCGACGGCTCCGGCTCGGTATGTCAGTTCTTGTATTACCAGGACTCGATCTGATCACGAATACCATTTTGACACTTGCATTTGCAATGGTAGACAAATTCAAGCCAGTAAAATTTCCTATCAGTCATACACAGGTCATACAGTACCCGCTGTATAACGAGGTTGGTGGTCAACAGTAGTAGAAGTACTATACTTAACTGACGTCGCTTTGAATTCAATGAAGCTTTCCCGATCTCTTCACAAATGCGATCCAGGATAACGGCGCGCTCCAAGTTTACTAGCCTTCAGCGCTCAGCGCTCAGTGTCCAGATCCTTCACTATCCTTCAGTGCAACTCTGTAGGTCCGTCCCAGTGGCATCGAATTTCTAGTCACTAAATCGAGTTGAGATCGATGAGCGGCAAATGCAGGGGAATTTAATCTGGTGGTTAGATATGTAAACCAATTCCAAAATCATTCTATCTGTTCAAAAGTTGTGCTTCCGGTAATTAATGTCAAGGTTGTACTGTTGTAAACTGTCGTAAGTGCGAAAAATATATGCTGAAGTTGAATGTAGTTTCTTCTTCGAAACGTAAGTACATCGAGAGAGAGAGAGAGCCGATAATTTATTGGACACTTCATATAGAATGATGATTTGTATTTACCAAGGATTCCACCTGTATGCGGCGTCCTTCTGCTATTCGTTGCTGTTGTTTGTGGCGGACAAGTTTTTTCGACATAATGATATTCGGGTCCTGAGGCATCGCAAAAAATTCCACACAACCCCATTTTACGGACATACCTGGACCCTCCTGGACCGCTTTGGAATCGAGGAGGAAAGGTATAAAAGCTGGAAAGAACCCCAGGACATTCCTCACTCGAACAACCAACAATCGTCGTTCAAGTACTCCCCCAGTTTCATCATGCAGTTCAAAGTTGCCTTTGTCTCCATCGCTCTTGCTACTCTTGCGGTCGCCACACCTGCTCCTCGTGGTGAGCCGGCTAGCAGCTGCAGTACAGGCGACCTTCAGTGTTGCAACACCGTCGAGCCGGCCTCCAGTCCCTCGGCCAGTACGATTCTTGGTCTCCTCGGTATCGTCATCCAAGGCGTTGACGTTCTGGTCGGCCTCACTTGCTCTCCCATAACCGTTATTGGTCTTGAAAATGGTGGCTGGTAAGTTTATCTATCCCGTCTTTTCGGGGTGTGTGCTAACGATGGCCACAGCTCTGCGCAGGCCGTCTGCTGCAATGACAACAGTAACGGTATGATGATACCTTTCAATTTTGGACCCTACTTGTTTTCGGTTCTGATGCTTGTTGACAGGTGGACTCATTTCCATTGGATGTCTTCCCGTCACTCTCTGAGCACCTGTACCTCGCGGCGGCTCCACACACGAACGAGCTCACCGTAGCAGGTTGGGGGAAAGAAAGTCAGCCTTGTGGCTTTGATCAGTCGACGGATGTTGAACTGTAGAATGAACTTTCTTGCGTTTTGTTGTCTCTATGAAAATGTTTCTATATAACCAAAAAAAAAGTCGATGTTGGGTATGTCTTCTAGTAGAACGCACCGTGAGGTCTGTGATGATGTGTCAGGCCTGAACATACAAACCCCACCTGAAGTTCCTTCTTTGAAACGGGAAAGGTCCACGGTACACTATCCATGGCCTACATACTATTTGTCTTTTCCTTTGTTTTCACACTTTAAACGGGACACGAACCTCATTTCTTGTTGTCCCATGCAATATCTAATAAGGCGCCAGGAAATGATTCGAAGCTCGGTTTGGCGCATTCTTGGACCAGATTCGAAAGAATCTCGCAAGTCGCATCGCTGTTGTCTCCTGCGGTGGCAATCTGAAAATGATTCACGTGTTCCACCCTATCTTCAACTTCAAGGTGCCTTCGAAGTTGAGTGGGAATGGGGTGATTAGCATAAGGTACTGGTTCTGTGGGCCATGCATGTTGATCGCTGCTCTCTGCCTATTATGAAAATTTACGAGTCACATTATTGTCAGCATAGGATGCTACCTATTGATACCTATTGATACGCTCCGCAAATTTGTACAGTACGGCTCTGCGCGCACGTTGATATTTATCCGATTGGCTTTGAGGGATGTAGTCTAGGAAAGCTCGAGGATAGACATTGCTATCAAGCTTACTAATCAGAGGCTTTGGGAGAGACATCCGCGGGGATCCGGAAGCGAGAAAAGTGGAAGCTTAGAGAAACCCTAAATTGGGTGTTGAGTCTGTTGCAAAATCGGCCACCACCACATATTCTACGATCTCCTACTGGCGAATGCAAAGAAGCCTGCAGAAAATTTGCCCTCGATTGCCCAATCTTTCATTCCATCGTTATTCCGATGTTGTTCAGAGTCTGCCATCATGTTCAGGCTCGTTCCATAGGGCCGATCGATAATGCCAACCTTTTCCATCCATTCTTTTTTCGCATCTACTGCTCACGTCCTGTCAAAACTGCCCGATGTGAAGACGTCCGACCTGTTATCTTCGTTCTTTTCTCGGATCTTTAAGAAGTATTTCGCCCAAGCAGGATAGCTGCAATTTATGCACCAAAATCCCGAAGGCTGATATTATCTGCCTTCATTTCGTGCGTTGGTTGCAATCATTTGGGTCTCTTCTTTGTGCCTTAAAAAGAGAGGTGGTTTCCCGAGTTTGAAGAGGTTTTAGTGAATGCCTGATACAGATCGAACCAAAGAAATCACTCATCTGGATAATCGAGTTGGGTATGCCTTTAGATGGCTACGTCGTTGATTGTGTTGGCTTGAGGATAGACTGAGGGACGCCATTATCTCCGATTATTGCCAACAGATTGCTTCCGTACGTGTGTCGCTCCAGATAACATAATTTATACATTCTGATTCTTTCTCCTTTTACCTCCATAGGTACTTCGAGTTTCATGTTTGGACTTCCCGCATCCCTCCTCTCGTCTGAGTCCCTGTCATTGAGCGATCTCTGCTTATCAATTAGGATACTTCATCCTAGCAGGTTGTACGAATATTGAGGAATTCGTCCTCCGTTTAACTTTCCGCTCCAACTGGCGAAGATTCTTTACTCCGAGTACGTTATAGGTAAGCAAATAAGTCGTCCTCTTCACCACTGGCCAATCGTGACCATTAATCAAGCAAAGAGCCAGTGATAGCGAGCCCAGAAAGCCGTGGTGGGTCAAAATATATCGGTGAACGGAAATTCCAGTAATGAGTACATGGCCTTTCCGAGGTTTTCCGTCAAATCATCCATGTCCATACACAGTTCTAATGTAGATGTGCAGAACGCTTCCATGGTCCGCTGGAGTAATGCCATAGTCTGTCGTTGGTCTGTCGCTTTTGAAGATGAACGCGTTGCAAAATACAGTTAGCCGATAAATATGAGGATGCAAAATCAATGGTGCAATAGACACAGTCAATCTTTTCTTTTCTTTTCACCAGCTTCTTTGCGAGGCGAGAACAATTCTTGAGAGATCTTCTTCGTGTCAGATATGAATAAGGTAAGTATCGTTGTATAGAATAACCACGGACTTGGATGCTCATATCATATCCAGGCCTAGTAAAATAAGGCGTCGTCTTCACGATGAGCGATTTCTGCCGCGTCCGCTTTAAGGATTGGATGAGGCATAAAGAACGCGATATTGAGAAGATAGTTCCTTCAATTTGCTGGGCACTGCTACCTTCTTCGAAAAAATCCTTTGCTAGTCAAAGAAAATCGTCCCATCGTCCTTCAGGTTGTTGCTGCATATCCTGTTCCACACGAACGCCCACACATTCCTCCGAGTCAGAGCAATTCGTCTCAATTTCGTTTTGTTACGCTTATCCTGCCATGCGTCGTTACTTTGTCAAATGTACCTACCTCTGCATGGTCGTCTTTGGGCTAGTCCTTCACGCATTCCCCTGACCGGTGAAGTGCTTTCTCGAGAATAATCTCAAAGGATATATACTCAGTGCAACTATCGGGTGACGTTTGAGATCTCGGGGGATTCGGATTTGGAAGGAAAGAATGTAAAAGCAGGGAATCTATGGATTCAGATGCTTGGATGGGTGGGCAACTCTAGGCAGGAGAAGGAAGGTAAATATCGGTCAGAGGTGAGTTTTGTATCGCAATATGTATGTCCATGACCACTAATATCACTAATATCCAGATTCCAAATCATTGATTCAGCTGTACCATTTCCACGACGCAGAGCCGTCGCGAGATTTCATTTTTGATTTATCAAGTACGCAATAGAGATGGTATTCCTTGTAGGCTCGCACAAACAAATCCAAAATACTTTGAAAGAAAAACTACGAATTGTGACGTGTCCTTTCAGCTAGTCGACGGGCTAGTTCTGTGGATGGGACAAGATCAACAGGCAAGGACAGTGCAGTCTGATGAAACAGTTCAGTCAAACCCCACCTGTGATGCGACGGCCCAGTCGATTGAGAATGAGGAACTAATCAATCCGCCAGCGACGGCGATAACGTTGACAGTGCAATACTTTAAATATCACTATCACTTTGTGGCTATTGACTCTTCCTTTCTTCCCCTCTGCTGGCCAGAGATATTCCCTGTACTTTTTGCCATGACACTTTCAACTACGTTATGTTGCTCTCTACCGATCATCTTTGCGTCTCTGTACATGCTTGCTATTACCCCAACATGCGATTGCAGGCCACTGCACCACCGTGCATGGCAGAAACTCGGCTCCTTTTTTGAGGGTTATTAAATATTATGGAATCAAATAAACGGGGTGCCTTACAGGCGCCGACATTGAATGTTTATTGAGAACAAAATAAAAGCAAAGTCACGTAAACTACAGTAGCTATGGAGTAACTGAGTGAGACGAGAAAAAATAATTGTGACAGAGTCACAGTCTCGTGATATCCCGTGCCGGTCACAAGAAAATCAATACAATTCAACTCAGTGTTACTTTTGTCCGAATAAGGAGAAACTCCTACCATATATAGAAATTAATTTTGTATGGAGTGCCGTATATAAGGACGATACTTCCGTAAACTACAGCCTCGTAACCTCGTATGCCGCCCCGAGCATATTTCCTCCCCAAAATCACACTACTCCAAGCAGTTCCGATCATGAGTTTTCCATTGCTCATTACCCTCCTCGTATCTTGACAAGAGCGTCATTGGATATCAAGAATCAAGCATACTATGTGTGTGTCGCCGCTTTCTTTGAATTTACTTTCCTGATTTAAATTCCAAAGCGAAAGTGGATAATTGATTTTTGTCCCCTCGAAGTCACTGCTGAAGATAAAAAATCTTATTTCCGTGAGTTCTATAGCAATAATTGAATGACCTTCATTCTGACATTCCTATATTGTAATGATCCAAACTTTTAAGAGGACGGTACCTTCGACAAAGATCTTGGTCGAAATTTGGTAGATGACTGGGATAACAGTGCAAATAGAGGGGGATACAATGCTGGAGTGTACACCTTCACAGGTCCAAATAGAACTTACTTGGGTGGTCACCCCCCAAACCAGTTGGTTGTCAAAGTTCTCCGGCAGAATCCACCTGTACAGCCCCAATATCTGTATGTACACAAGCAAATGTTCATTTGAACATCTGCTTGTAGACAAGTAGTTAAGACTTTTTTGCCCCAACTAGATAAATACTGTAAAGTCATACTGTACAGCAGTATACTATCCTTAAAATATTATTTCAATGCTAATTCAGGAGTGGTCCGACTCCCGGACATCATCACGTACAGTGTTCAGGCAGCGGGCTCTCAAACTTAATGACCTTATTGCTATGAACATCAGCTGAGGGGTGCCTCTTATTACATAGCGCTCTGAGAATTACACGTATTGTTCATTGTAGATATAGACAATATGCAGCAAGATTTACAACAAATAATAGAGTAAAGCAGGAAGGTACGTCACAGGATTGTTGCTGAAATACACGCCATACGCAATAGGAGGTGAGTCTGAGCTACTCATCCTGAGACGCCTGATCGTCGGCGCCAGTTTCATAGCCATTGTCATCACTGCTGAGTCCCTTGCTTTTTCCCTGCTTCCCATGCCTTCCCTTGGCTCCCCTCCCACGAGTGGACTTCCCAGAGCCGTTGGTGGCCTTTCTCTTGGAGGACGAAGACTTTTTTGAACCGCCTCCACCATCTGGCTCTGTGGTAGCTAATGCCTGCCCTTGCCTTGATTGGCGATTCGAAGGCTTGGTTTTCTTTTTTGGGGGGATGGGAGGTAGGTCTTCCTCGCCATGGTTTTCGCTATCGCTGTCGTCACCACTGCCATGAGCCTCGGTAGATTTGCGCTTTTGGTGTTTACCACCCATGTCGCTACGATGTTGCCGCGGTTTAGGGTCAAGTTTTCCCTCAGAGTTGAGCGCATGCAGCCGAGCGCGATACTCCTGGGCGCCCAGGCGGATCCAGTGGGCAGTCCCATTAGTCCAGGCGTCATGTAACGTCCTGACAGCCTCGGCAGAGAGCTTTTGTGGATATATCCGGTCCACATCTTCAGGCCACCCGGTGACATCAACCTTGTACGGAACGAGTATAAGCTTGTTAAAATTTGCATAGCTCATGGTTAAGGATGAGATGCCAGTAACCTCGCCTGTTGTGGTCTGGTAAGTGGAATAATAGAAAATAAAATAAAACTCACGGAGGCCTTGAGTAATGAGTCGAACAACCTCACTAATCATCTCAGACTGGTAGAGCTTTCGGGTTCCCACTGAATGTAACGCCAAGCCAATTGATCAGCAAACCCTCAGTAACAAATTGTAGGCGTACTCTTTTCTGCCGTGCAGACATAGGCTTCAAAAAGGTCAGTTACCTCCTGAATTCCTTTCCCAAAGTATTTGCGGAGGAAGGCGTCAGCTGGACCCCGGCCAAAGAACGAGCTTGTCACTGAAGATTCAAAGGATCCGCGAGCAACGATTCCAAAAACTGCTGCACCAGTTGCATCAACAAGAAAATCAGCCTGAGCAGTGCGCGGTTTGAGTTTAGCAAACATCAGAGCGAAGAAAAAATTAAGCAACATGCCTCTTGCTGGAAATGATTAAGCTTGCTAGCCGCGGTTTTAGCTTGAGACGATTTGCTGACACGGACTGCAGCAACCTTCTGCTCAGCCTTTTCAGAGTCAAAAAACTCACGATACTCAGCCATGAGCTCAGGGTCTTTAAGAGCCTCCATAAGCTCCTCGTCCTCTTTAACGGCAGCGTGGATATCTTTGAGTGAAAACTTGGCTCCAGCAGGGCGCACTGGAAGGAGAGCATGAGTTGGAAGCAAAGAGTAAGCAGCAAAGGACGCTCACAAGCATTGAGCTCCTGGGTCTTTAGGAACACCAGGACGTTGTAGTCGGAAGCCTTTTTTGAACCAGTGCGGGCTGATACCTGGTTCAACAGCGTGGATACACGCGCAACGGTGATGTTATTCTCCTCCGCAACTTTTGCCTTGAGCTCATTCTGATCAACCAAAAGGCGCTCAAGATCCAGAGAAAGCTTCTCTGCACGAGCCAATGCAGCTTTACGCGCAGCGGCCTTCTCTGCTTGACCCATCTCTGACCTCTTTTTCTTTATCAAAGGAAGGCACACAGGAGGAGCGGCGTTGTTGGCAGACGAAGGCGCCAAGGGAATCGGCCCAGACTGACTCACGGTCATAGAGCCATTGCCCGCAGCAGTAGCTGTAGGGCCGGCGGCAGTGTGGGTGCCTTGTGCAGAAACAACACCGTTGGCTGCCTCAGCAGATGCCGCGCCTGCGCCCTTCTCCTTGAGCAGCCCGCCAGCTAGCAGGGTAGCTGATGAAGTGGCGTTGCTTGTATTTCTTCCACTGGCTGAGTCTGAGCAGGCACCAGAAGGGACAGCTGTCGATGTTCTGCTGCCTAGGATTTCCTGAGCTCTGCTGCTGGCCGAGTCCAACCGTGTCAAAGTCGCGTAACCAGTGCTGTCCTGGGGCCTTCTATTGGCTGAGACCGACATAGGATGGCTTGGAGAATCGCGTGTAGGGCTCACAGCATTTTCGCAGCTGCTCGCAAGAAATGCTGCAACAGAACTTCCAGTCGGCTGATAGTTAGGCTTAGTCAACGGCAAGCTCGAACATGCGGCTATGCAGCAGAATGATGAGCTGCTGATGGTGTACCTAAACTTCAACAATCTACTCACCAATAGCAGCTACTGTTTGCGTGGAAGCAGGAGGTAAAGGCTCATTGGAGCTAATCTGATAAGCATCGAGCGGTTGGCTGACAACAGGTTCGCACCAGGTAAGGTTAGACATGGCTGGCACAAGCTTTTCTGAGCGTTTCTAGGTAAATGAGAACGAGGGGGAAAATCGAGAAAAATTGGGTTAAATGTGCCAAAAAAAAAAGAAGGCTGAACGTGTGATCAGCGGTGCATTAGCTTATAAGAAGCAGCAATTAAATACGTACAATTTGACCTTGACCACCAACCACCGCTGCCTTAACCCAGGCCATTTTGAGCAGAGCGCGCCTTATTGAAGTCAAAGCAGGACGAGCTTGATTGTCATCATGGTTGGTAAGTTACTGGAAATTAAACATATGACCATTGACCGTGACAAAAGGTTCACATGAACTGGATGTTATCTTAGAAGTTCCCAAATCGCAGCCTACTCTTTTACCCAGCCAGCAAATCACTCCCGAAGCTCGTGCAGCAAGGCTTGCCTTGATTGTAGAAGCTCAGCGCGAAGCAGGTCGTGAACGTTCTCAAGCTCAACCGAGCTTAACTGTTGCTGATGACGCTTTGCGCCATGTTGCAGCGGAGCAAGCTGTCAAGGCTGCAGCTGGTAAGTCATAGTGAGCTCTGCTGGTAGCAGCTAGCAGCTAATGCCATTGCGTCACCTAGCACTGCAGGCTATGGTAGCAGCGCGTTCTCAAGCTCAACATGATCTTGACAATGCAGATGGGAATTTGAGCCACGCATTTGAGCAAGTAATTCAATCATTCAGTGAGCACTGGGTGTTTTAAACATGAGCCTTTGGCTGACATATTTGCTGCAGACAGTCTTCAAACATCGTTTACACCCCCAAGCACGCCGTCTTGTCATAAAAAAACTCCTGCCAGCCAGCCAGCCACCCCTTCTCGGCCTAAAACTCAGGTGCAGAAACGCTTTGAAAGCCCTGCATCGGTCATTGCTCCTGCAATCATCCCCGGAGGTCGGCTTGAGCTTCCTACTGCTGCTGTGCCGAGTTGCCCAGAGCCTGCGCGCTGCTCTGCTGCCCCTGCAAGCCAAGCTGTTGGGCCTTGGTATGTTGTCTATCATGGCCGCGATGGTCACCAAGGGTTCTTTGATCGATTCAATGGAGCGGATGAGGAGCTTTCCGTTAAAGACATAACTCAGTTCTATGAGCATCGCCTGTACAAGAAATTCGACAGCTTTGACAAGGCGTGGATGTTCTGAACCGAGGTAAAGGATTCCGGCGTCCTGGACTTACTCAGAGACCCACCTACCAAGGGTGAGGTCTTTGTTGTGATTAAGGGGGCTTCGCCTGGGGTGTACGTGAACAGGTGCGCTTCCTACCTTTTTCTTCACCTCCGTACTGCTGACAGTAGACGTCAAGGATGTTGCTGCTCATTGAAGGGCTTGCCTGGCGCGGTGGCGAAGTTATGTCAGGCAATGGGAAGAAGGCAAGGTTTGAGGATGTTTTCAAGCAGTGGGATGCCCAAAATCTCACTCAACGCCTTTCCCGAAACGGTCCCCTCCGCGAATTTCGCACTGCTGGAGCATCTCAAGATGTTGGTGAAGAGCTTGCCGTGGATGACTACACAGAGGCTGAAACCGTTTGAAGCTAACGCTGTTGGTGGCCGCAGCACGCATATATACGTTGATCTATTTTTTGCCTCCTTTGCGCCGTGTAAATATATGCTGTAACTTCAGCGCTATGTGCAATTCCAAATGCTTCTAAAGACTTAGTTGGATTGAGCGTGCCAGATAATAATCTTCACAGATACATGAAACTCAGTCTACTGTATCTCCAGTGCGAAACTTGGATTTCCGAGGGCAGTAAGTAAACCATGCCCAATCAGCACCTCCATGTTTGTTGACGTGGGCCCTAAAACTGCAGGTCAGTAGAAAGGCCTGCAAATCACTCCAAACCTTGTACCTCCAGCGTTTTGCAGTTGCTTTTTCAAGAATCTTCTCTCGGTTTCTGGAAGCCAGAGCAAACAATGAGCACGTACTTCAGTTCAGCTAAAAGCAGACATACGCCAAGTAGTACTTCCTTGCAGCTGCCTTGCGATCTTCCTTGGAGCTTTTAATCTGCTCTGCAGTCCTACCAGCACACTTACTTTGATATCAATTAGCATTTCTAGCAGGCAGCTAGCGCGCAAAGGGTTTTCTGCGCCACATTACCCATACTCACAGAGCCACCCGTTCCTTGGAGGATTCATTGTACTGGCCAATGTTTCTGTGGAAGGCAGTTGCTGTAGATCAGCGCAAGGCTCTGCAGAATAAGGAGACAGCTCACACCTTCTCCTATAGTCTTTGGCAGCCTTATTGATGGAGAGGCGTCGAGCTTGAACTTTTTGTTCAGGATCCCGCTTGGCCTTTCTATCTGCAGAGCTAGTCCGCTCTCTGGGCATATTTACAGCGCTTGTGAAGGCTTTTTAGAGCAAACAGAATGGTTGGGCAGATGAAGTGACACAAAAAAGAGCAACAGACAAGTAAGCGCGCATAATGATCTGAATGGATTATTCCATTCATAACTCAACGCTCTCGGAATTTATTTTCTGAATTTTATATAACCATACCCACTGCACACTGTATAGTTCCAATGTCATAGGCGTGTTATCAAGCACCAAAGCTTCAATAAGAATAAGTTCTGAATTTTTCTGGGCATTGCACCACTGACAGAGGGAGAAATGTTAATAAAAATCTTAATTTATGTGTTCGTCATATTTTTGTACCTGCACCCCGCACAAAGCATAACATGATTCCAAGACACACTGCATGTTTTCTATTTACTTTGAACGGTGCTTTACAGAGGTGCTAATCGTACTGCAGTAGCTCAAGCCCTGCTTTCCAAAGCCTCGATCGATAATCCTTCCATGCTGAAAGCTGCCTTGGACTCGCCCGCTCCATAAACTCCTTGTCGGACATATACCCGTTGTGATACCATCTGGCTAGACCTGCCGATGTGAAGAAGGCAATGGACGAGCGGTGCTCCCCACTTTTGCTGTCAATGGGTGTGTTTGCATGGGTGACGCAAGCAGAAGGTAGAAAAGCAGCGGAGCCTGCAGGAAACTGGGCTACGATCCCGAGGGACCAGGCGATGAGATGCCCACTACGAGTATGATCATACTTACCACTTGCATACACCGCACAGAGGGCAAAGAGGATGTTGTAATAATCTTCGTGGTCCAAGGTGGCGGCGTTGTGGAGGTTGAGGTGGCATGCACCGTAGCAGCACCCTGCAAACAAGCGCCGAATGTCCGGGCAGTCCATCAGGATATGCTCTAAGAGGTTGGAGAGGAATTGGTGAAGCTTAGGCCAGTATGTTTGTAAGCCGGCTATAGGGCGCGAGGTGAGAAGCAGTCAGCTACGTGAAGTGAAAAGCTCACCGTCAACATACCGCGCAACTCGCTGTACAGCCGGGTCAGAAAGAACTGCATCAACCAAAGGCTCATTGTGCGCAGTATTGGCGTAGTTGCCGGGTGAGGTTCGGCCACCCCCAAAGCCACACCCTGCTGGAAGCGTTGTGTACTTGCCGCGGCGGTGGTCCTGCTGACGAGTGCCAACTACTGCATGCTTGAAGAGCAGCTCAAGCCTGCTATCCACGGCAGCCATATTCGCAAGCCACTCAGGAGATCTGGGCCGGGGTAACAGAAGCATCAGCCGGTGGCCGCTTGGTGTTCTTACCAGACGCGCCTCCCTAGCACAAAGCATATCAGATAGGGAAAGGCTGAGCAGAAAGAAAAGCACGCACTGCGCATCCCACTCAATAACCTGAAGCCCAGACAGCTCATACACTTCACGGCTTGAAAGAACCCGCGGGTTTACTGCGGTGCGAGCTCCCGACCAGGCGTTTCGTGGGTGAAGCACTGCAAGGTCAACAGAAAGCACCCGAGCCTCCCTTGCACGCTTTTGAGCGACGCTCTTAACCCTCGACCCCCCGGCTTCAGCAGCCTGCTCACGCCGGGCTAGCCGCTTGCTCCGATAGCTCTGCTTCTGGCGCTGTCTGGCAGAGCAAAGCGACGGGTTTTCATGGGTGCTGAGCCGAGGGTGTTTGGGCGGAGGTTCGGAGAGAAGCTGGGAAAGCGGAGCGAGGTTTGGGGAAGGGCGCAAGGCTGTCTTAGAAAGGTTGGAAAGAGGGATAGGTGAGGGAAGCTGAGCTCGAGGTCGAGGCAGCAAACGCGGGCTCCGAGGTGGCACCAGCTCGTCGTGGTCGTCTACACGAAAGGCCTCCTCTGTCACGAAGCGGCAGAGGCGGAGTGACTAATGGAGCGGGAAAGCGGAGCGACTAAGCAGAACGGTGAGGCGGAGCAACTGGACAAGGCAACAAGGCGGAGCGACTAAGCAGAACGGCGGCAAGCTGGTCCCAGATAATGACAGAGATATATTGAGTATCGTAGTCATAGGTAATAATAAGTAAGCACATACCTGGTCCCAGATAATGACAGAGAGGTCAAGATAAGGGACCAGGCTGTGGAGGGTTGGCTATATATACATAATCCGGTCTGCGAGAAACAACGATGTAATACTGTACAGTTTAGGAACAAGGAAGGTGGCGGAAGCCAGTAGAAGGAGAAGATGGGTCAGGTGGATCAGTAATCGATGGATCAGTAATCGATGGGGGTTTGACAGTGATGGGATGATGTATCGTACAAGTAAAGGCGTCGAGACGGTGAGAAAAGGAAAATGATAGGGGCTGCGTACTTTATGACATTACCCCCCTCCTTATGACCATTGCCCTCGATGGTCAAGGCTTTGCCGCTGTTGGGTGTTTTTTATGAAAGGCCCGAACAATTTTTGGTGCTCGACTGAGGTTGGCTGCGGGTTCCCAAGAGTTGTGCCCTGCGTCGTAACCTTTCCACTTAACCAAATATTCCAACTTCTTCCATCGAACCCGGCTGTCTAAGATCTCCTCTACTTCGTATTCCGGTTCGTCTTCATCCTCTAAGTATACCGGCTCTGGTGGTGTTGGTATTTCGCCATTAATGGAGTTACCTTTCCAGGGGTATAGTTTATCAACATGGAAGACGGGATGGAGGCGATCTAGGGATAGGGGAAGGTCAAGGCGGTAGTCTAAAGGGCCAATTTTCTCCAGAATGCGATAAGGGCCAAGCTGTCGATCTCCTAACTTTTCACTGGAAAGCTGAAGGTTAATGTCCTCTGCACTGAGCCAGACTAGGTCTCCAACTTTAAATTGATGAGCTTTCCGCTTCCCGCGTTCGTATCCCTCCTTCTGTTGTTTCTTTCCTAGGTGTAAGGCAGCTCCGGCATCTTGTCGCGCTTCTCGGAGAATCCGTATACGGTCATCCACAGCTGGAATACCGCTGCGTTGGCCCACTGGGATATTGAACAGGGGAAGATAGCCGTAGGTTAGCTCGAACGGGGACATGCCTAGCGCAGAATGAGTCCGTGAGTTAATCACAAACTCCGCCATGGGAAGGTGCTCTGCCCAGTCGTCTTGTCGTCGTCCTACATAGAGGCGGATGTATTTCTCTACTTCCTGATTTGCTCGTTCGGTTTGGCCATTAGACTGAGGACGGTATCCGGAGGTTAGATCTGATTTAATTCCTAGCCTAGCGAGAAGGGATCGCATGAGTTTAGCTGCAAACTGGGGTCCGCGGTCGGATTTAAAGTGAAGAGGAAGACCATGGAGACGGAAGATCTCTCGGTAGTAAATATCGGCAACGCCTTCGGCTGTGATGGAGCTGGTGCAAGGAATAGCGTGAATTTGTTTTCCATACAGGTCTGTGCAAACCAAGACAGCATCGTAGCCTTGGGAGTTAGGTAGCTGTGTTATCAGGTCAACCCCTACCTCTTCCCATAGACCGGATGGTACATCTAATGGTTGAGTTACGGCCCGTGGGTGTCGCTGGATCTTCTTACGGGCACAAACCTCGCATCCCTCAACGTATTTTTCCACAAAAGAGCGCAACGTAGGCCACCAGAAATGGGTACTGACCAAGTCGAGTGTCCCGTGTAGTCCGGGGTGTCCTGCAGTTGGATGGTCATGGCATTGACGGAGTACCTCAGTGCGTAGGTCGTCGTTTGCTGGTACGTATACTCGACCTCGGTAGTAGACCAACCCATTGTCCTCTTCCCATTCGGCTATCCCATTGGCCAAACGCTGTAGTCCGTGCTCTTTGACTGTTTTGAGACCCTCCAATACCTGTGCTTCCCGTTCTGAGGCTTTCCGGATACGATCCTCTAAGGGGTTCTGTAGGATCGAAGCTGCAATTTTTACGAAGTGGCCAGGTTTAAGGACTGTCTGTTGTCGGTTATCATCGCTGTCCGATACATGATGAACTGCCATGCGGGAGAGAGCATCAGCTTGGGTGTTTACTCTGCCAGGGCGGTGGATCATATGAAAGTCAAACCGTGACAGATAGAGGGCCCATCGGGCTTGTCGGCAGGTGAGATCTTGTGCAGTGCGCCAGAATTCGAGGTTCGAATGGTCCGTAATGATGTCGAATGGTTGAGGGAGTCCTTCTAGAAAGTTCCTCCAATCCTTCAGTGCTTCAATGATAGCAAGCATTTCTCGATCGTAGATTTCGTAGTTCCGTTCCGCTGGCTGCATGGATGCCGATCTAAAGGCTACCGGATGCCATTGGCCATCGTCTTGCTTCTGCATAAGGGCGCCTCCCGTGGCAAAGCCTGATGCGTCTACCTCGATTCGAGTAGGCCTGTCTGGTGTCCATAGAGCAAGGATCGGTGCGGAGATGAAGGCTTCTCGAAGGGTATCAAATGCTTTCTGTCGAGTGTCGGTCCAGGTAAAGCTGGTGTCTTTCTTCGTCAGGTCATTCAGAGGTCGTGCTATTTTGGCAAAATTCCGGATAAAGCGTCGGTAGAAGTTTGCAAATCCCAAGAACCCTCGTAGTTCCCGAAGGTTAGTAGGGACTGGCCAGTCACGAACAGCCGCTACTTTTACCGGATCCATTCTCACCTCCCCTTCTGAGATGATGAGTCCGAGGTATTCAATCTGTTGTTGTTCAAATTCGCATTTTTCGGGTCGTAGGTAGAGGTCGTGCTTTTCTAACCGAGTTAATACTTCCCGTACCATTCGTCGGTGTTCCTCGAGATCGTTACTGAAGATAAGGATGTCATCTAGGTAGACTGCCACCTTGCCGGCTGCAATGAGATCAGCAAATATAGCATTCATAAGTGCTTGGAACGTGGCAGGGGAATTTGTGAGACCAAAGAACATGACCTTAGGCTCGAACAAGCCTCGGGTTGTTGCGAACGCGCCTTTCCATTCATGCCCCTTCTTAATCCGTATGTTATTGAAACCCCAGCGGACATCAAACTTCGTGAAGTATCTGGCTCCCTGAAGTCGGCTAATGATGTCAGCAACTAATGGGAGCGGGTATCGGTTCTTCACAGTGTACTCATTCAGTTTCCGGTAGTCTTGTACGAAACGGAGTTTCCCATCCTTCTTCTTTACGAAGAAGACCGGTGATGAGATTGGTGATTTTGAGGGGACGATATAGCCTTTCCGTAGGTTTTCTTCTAGGAAACGATCCAACTCCTCCTGCTCGTTTAGGGACATGGGATAAATCTTGGTACGCATGGTTGCCGGTGCTCCAGGTACGAGATCAATTGCATGGTCCCAAGGTTGGTGGGCAGGTAATCGTTCGGAGGCGGATTCTGAGAAAACCTTCTTGAAATCACGATACTGCTCAGGGACCATTTCTTCGAAGGTTTTAACGGGTTTGTCTCGGTTGGCTTCCTCTGCTAGCTGCTGGGAGTAAGTGAATCCTGCGGCGCACCAGACTTCCTCCGTCTGTTCCTCTAGAATTCCTGCTTTTACCCATGCCCGGCGAGTTTTATGATTGGCTCGAATTCGGTGTATTGGTGGTTCTTCCACCGCTGCTGATTCACTCGGTTCAAGGGTCGCTTCTAGTGGCACCTCAATGTGGGGGTTTTCTGCGGGAGGTTCCAGTTCCGGGAGTTCGAGGATCGGGGTTTCTGTGTGAGTGGCGGCTAGATGAGAGTACAAGATCTCCTCGTCTGGGACTTCTTCTATCGTTACTCGAGGAGGCTTTACTGAAAGTCGTCCTTTCTCCCAATCAATCTCCGGATTTACCTTCCGTAGCCAGGGGAGTCCAAGGATGATGTCTTCACCTCCTAGGTTGGTGATCAGAAAGTCCATCCATCGCTCTTGATTATCCACTGTGAGTGCTAGACGTGCGAAATGGGTTATCCGTCCAGCTCGGTTAGGTGTTCCATCGATATTAAAAACGTCGATTGGTTTATGGAGGGGTGCACATCTTACATGGTTCCGGGTGACAAAATCTTGGTTTAAAAACAGGGCGGTAGCTCCACAGTCTACCATGGCTGCAGTTGTTATACTGTGATTCCTTCCTCTTAGTCTCGCATGAATTCGGAAATGTGGGGAAGTAGAGTTTAATTCCCGGATCGACGATATTGTACATGATGGGTGCGAGTCATACGAGGAAGTAGCGAACATAACAAACTGATTACGGGGTACTCTCGGTGCAGCCGAAGCGGGTACCCTCTTTAAAAACCCTGTTGAAAGCCAGAGGACGAGGAGGACATAGCGTTAGCACGATCAAGTAATTCCCTTATTTGACCAATCTGATTGGAAAAATCCTGGTTAGGGGGGCTCGGAGTAGCAGCTACGGGTGCAGGAGCAGATGTTGGGGTCGAGGACGCGATTTGGACGGATTCGTTTGGGAATAGGGAGAATGGCGCGGGTCCCGTAGCGGATATCTGTTGGCGTCGAGGTTGCTGGCGTCGGCCTCGGTCTCGTCCAAGTCCCATGAATTTGTCTTGGCAGACTGCTTCCAGATGTCCTCGACGTCCACAGTAGCGGCAGGTGGTTTCTCGGTGTGGGCAATTTTGCTTGACATGACCTTGGGCACCGCAGCCGAAGCATCGTCCTCTCATGCGAGCTAGGAATGCTTCCCTAGTATTCCCATTACTGGTGTGGGTTGCATCAATGTCCATAGCGTGGGGGTCAGCAGGGGTAGTATGAGTGGTATGCGTGGGAGGGTATCCAGAGTTCCGGCCAGTCATGGTGGGATCGTGCAGGTAGACATCCACCGATATGGCCCGTTTGATTGCCTCCTTCAGAGTCGGAGCAATTCCTTGGGCAATGTTTACGGTGATGAGGTGTTGTCGGATCTCTGGGAGTAATGCAGTGAAGAAACGTTCCCGCAAGTCAATATCAGACATTTCAGTCCGATCTCCGATATCCTTGAACTTCTGAGCGAATTCCGCAACTGTCTGTCCTTTACTTTGCCTGAGATTCTTGATCTCGCTACGGGCTTCCATACCTGGGTCCATTGGTTCAAACCGTTGGCTAAATTCCTTCAGAAACGCCTCCCAATTTCCTCCGAAAGGGGGATTTTCCGCATTGAAATGTAGCAGATGGGGAGTTGCCCAATCTCCGGCACTTTCTGTGAAGAAGCCCAAGGCGGACTTGATGAGTTTTACTTGGCTTTTGGCGAGATCCGGTTGTTCTGACGCCCAATTCTGGAACTGAGCCATGAAGCGACGGGCTTCAGCGCCATCTTTACCCTTGAAAACCTCGGGTTTGTTCATGCTTGACTTAGAGGATGAGCGTTCCTCCATAGCTGTAGCAAGGTTAGCTACTTGTCTGATGAGCTGAGCCATGAGATCCTCCGCAGAGGTGTTTGGGGCAGGCGGGATAGGAGTCGACATGATGGGAGTAGGCAATCGGGGCTGGGGAATCGGCAGGAAGGTTATATTGCTCACAGTGAGTGGCTCTCGGATTGAGTTCGAAAGGGCGTTGGGGCAAGGTTGAGACTGGCAATCGCGCCAAGTATCGTCGTTGTTATGGGCGTGAGCTTGGTCTCTGGGGTCAAGTGCGTGCAGGAGTGCGGAGCAGTCTATACTGGCAACAGGTGTTTCAGAGTCGGGCGGAACTGGGGAAGACGTGGTGTCTATAGACCCTGCAAGGACAACCTTATTGGTAGGCTGTCAGTGCAGTAATGGATCTTGACCTAATGTCACGAAGCGGCAGAGGCGGAGTGACTAACGGAGCGGGAAAGCGGAGCGACTAAGCAGAACGGTGAGGCGGAGCAACTGGACAAGGCAACAAGGCGGAGCGACTAAGCAGAACGGCGGCAAGCTGGTCCCAGATAATGACAGAGATATATTGAGTATCGTAGTCATAGGTAATAATAAGTAAGCACATACCTGGTCCCAGATAATGACAGAGAGGTCAAGATAAGGGACCAGGCTGTGGAGGGTTGGCTATATATACATAATCCGGTCTGCGAGAAACAACGATGTAATACTGTACAGTTTAGGAACAAGGAAGGTGGCGGAAGCCAGTAGAAGGAGAAGATGGGTCAGGTGGATCAGTAATCGATGGATCAGTAATCGATGGGGGTTTGACAGTGATGGGATGATGTATCGTACAAGTAAAGGCGTCGAGACGGTGAGAAAAGGAAAATGATAGGGGCTGCGTACTTTATGACATCCTCCTGGCGCCTGAGACTTTTGCTTAACAGCTCCGCTAGGTTGAGGTTGACGAGAACGACGCCTGCCCCGCGAGTTGAGGGGCTGAACTCTTTGCCGCTGCGAAGGGTGCGGAAGCCATCTGAAAAGGAAGATCAGCCGCATGCTGTAGAGGGCTGAGCTCAGAGATGGCAGCGGCGCAGTTCGCTTCCAACACAAAGCACTCACCAGCCTAGCGCCACTTCTTTTGCCTCCTCCAGGGTCGTGGTGGCAAAAGAAACGCTAGGCAGGTGTGCGGAAGCGCGCGCCAAGCAGAGAGAAGGCAAAGGGCAGACTTACATCCTGAGGACAGCGCACCCTCCAACTCGCTGCCACTGAAAAGCCCTGCCTTGCGCTTTCGGGACATGACTCTGTCAAGCCTGGAAGTTAATGACAGGAATACTTTTCCCAGAACTTCGGCTTTATATTGAAAGTGACGTCACAAACACGTGCTGACTATACGCCTCCTCCTGATAACACCCATGAACACTCGAAGGCTTAACCGTCGCGCTCAGGCCGTCAAAGCTCAAGGCGCTACAGCCAAGCATAGTCGGCGAACCCGAGCACCACCGCATGGGCTGCTGGGTGATGCGCATTCTCAGCGGGATTCGGTCCGACCCGGCGCTACCCCCACAATCTCCCTTCGACAATCTCAAGCTACGGCACTTCAGAAGAAAGGCCGGGTGGCAGCACTCAGAGAGGTTGTAGCCAGTGCTCCAGACATCTTTGTCGATGAAACCTCCTTTATTCCTCGCTCTCCCTCCCCAGCTTTCCAAGATTCCGAACCGCCTGCGACCTGGGATGACGGCACATGGGAGGACTCTGACAGTGAGGCATCTCCTGCTTCTGATGAGATGAGCAGTGCAATACGAGCAGCAAAGGTTGAGTACCGAGACTTTCGTACCAGACGTGACCGGACAAACTTAAAAAACACCCACTGGGCAGAGCAGGTGGATGAGATGGTGGGGGCCTTCATGGACTGGTCGTTGCACAGCGACGAAGCTATGGCTGGAGCTGAGCTGGGTGATTCTTTGATGTGGATTGATGTTGTCGATATATTTGGTACGCTGCTCTCCCAATCTTCTCAAAAACGTACGCATGCTAAGTCTGGCAGCAGGCACTAAGCAGCAAGCAATCCCACACACCGAGCATTGCTGGCAGTCCTCAAGTCTGGTGCGTGCTGGAATTATCCCCACGTCTCCCCTCCGACACACTGCGGGAGTTACCGTTCGAACCATTAGCCTCTACCACAAACTTTTTGTGCGGTGCCCGCGACTAGGGATACAGCCCTTTGCTAAGGCCCTCTGTGACATTCAAGGCAAGGCATTCAAGCCGTACCTGTCGACCCAGCTCTACGAGGCGCTGGATGTGTACGTTGCCATCCTTAACGGAGTTCGGACCCGTACACGCGAAGCATTGAGTAGACAAGGGCGAGAGTGGCAAATGCTGAACGCCTGCCCATGCTGTCAGTTTAGGCTTAAAGAGGACTCTAATCTCCGGGTACGGATGATTGTCTCAATGGACGGGAACGACTCTTTAAAAAGGGTGGAAAGGAAGGAAGATGTGCTTCAGGAGCAGGAGCAGGGGGAAAACGGCCAGGGCTTGCCTCCGGTCTTGAAGGAGCGCATTGATGGCCGTGTGGGAGGCGCAGCATATTTTGCATCCAGGAGGGAAACAAACGCATGGGATGAGAAGAACTGGGGGGAGATTGCCGAGCTGTCACCTGAGGAGAGCCAGCCTCCAGTTGGCAGCCTGTGGGTTGAAGGGCGCTGTGAAGAACGCTGGCAGAACATGAAGGAGACCAGCATCTCTCGATCGTCCGCCAAGTTCTTTGAGAACGGGTGGTTTGTTTTGCTCTGCCGGCACATGCTGCTGCTGCTTGCATGCAATATGATTCAAAGCGGAGAGCTGTGAGTGGTTGCCTTCACTATGCCTGGCTGCAGATGATAACACCTCATGCAGTGCTCAGTATCCCCTTGCCTTGCTCCACATTTTTATGGCTGCAGAAAAGGAGGAGCGTGACATAAGGCAAGAGGGACGGCCGCAGGGTCAGCTAGCTGTGGTATACGATATTGCTTGCAAAACCTCAAAGACAGTCAGACGAAGTCCTCTCAATTCACTTGCTCAGTGGTCTCGGTTCTTACCAGCTGTTGGAGCAATGCATGGCTATGCCCATGAGCGCTCATGTCAACTTCTGTTCCTCATGCTGTATATCGTTGGCGTAGGTCTTGAAGATGGGGAGGGTTGCGAGCGCTATTTCAACGTGTCTAATGCCCTGGCTGCTATCACTCGGCACCAATCATCCTTCCACCGTCGACAAGCAATCTCAGAATTTGCCTACTTCAATGACCTCCAAACATACTCGAGTCTCAGCAGGTTTATTTATGGGAACTATAAGCAAGCGTTGGGCATCATCAGCACAAAGAACACAGTTCGAAACAGCATGCGAGAGGCTGGCATTGCGTCTCCACAGGTATTCTATGACTGGTTAGTTGAAGAAGGCGAGTATCTTCAGCGCTTGTACCAGACGCCGCCTAAAGAAACCCTTGAGATGGAATACTACCTCAAGCTTGAGGCTCTTAAAAGCTGCCAAGAGCGGCTGGCAAAAGCTCGGGCTGCATGGCTAGGATATCAGCCTGGATTGCGCGACAGAACCAATGCCCTCGAGACGAAGCACAGGAATGAGTCAGAAAACGAAAGGAAGCTTCTGGCAGATGTGCAAGCCTTTGAGGCAAGGCTTGAGCTTCGGAAGCGTTGGACAGAGAGCTGCGATGAGTACAAGCTGGCAAGGACAATGGTAAAAGAGGCTTCATACCGTAAAGCCTTGGACAAGCTGGAGGCGCTGCTGGTTTCAAGGTGTTTCGAGATGGCTAGACTCAATGTTGCAGGAACAGGTGAGCAGTGCAAATGCTGTTGCTTCCTTTGGCTTATAGCTTTCATTTTATAGGCTACAAGCTGCGAAAGCATATTGCAAACGCCTTGAAGACGCGCTCAAAATCAATTCAATCAGCAATTGCCTCGTATAATGAGGCAGCTACTGCTCTTTTCCCTCCGCGCCAAACCATCACCTGGGAGGAGGTCCTTGAGTTTTCATTTTTGGGAGAGTTCGACATCCTTCGAAATGCTCGGGACGATGTTCGAACTCGACAGTGGGCAACTTTCAGGAACCGTCTCATCATGCAGCAGTTCTTTAGGCTTATTCGCGCAGAGGAGGAGATTGACAGACTTCATGTAGAAATACGCCGCTTACTTACCTACATCTGTGAGGAGGAGCGAATTCTCTCTGCAAAGGCAGCTGAGGTTGAGGGAGTGAATCCTGCTTTAGCATTGCAGATTCGGGAGTATTGGTGCGAGCGATCAAGATTCAATGACCTTCATCGCAGACGCCTTTTTGCAATCAAAAGGCTTCGGGGTTTTAACATTGCTCATGCAAAGTATTTCACTGCTGGAACACCAGTGACTGCCCAAGATACTTTGGTGGAGAGCGCTGACAATGACCCAGGCCCATGGGATGAGGGCGAAGATGGCGATGAGGATGATGAAGAGATACTCATTGATCGCGTAGCTACTGTCATGGACCTTGCTGTAAATGATGATTAAATAGACTCAAATTTTCAATACCCGCTGCCCCGAACACTGTGCGTGATGATGTCCGGGAGTCCCGGACCTCTCCTGAATTAGCATTGATAATATTTTGAAGATAGTATACTGCTTTACAGTATGACTTTACAGTATTTATCTAGTTGGGGCAAAAAAGTCTTAACTACTTATCTACAAGCAGATGTTCAAACGAACATTTGCTTGTGTACATACAGATATTGGGGCTGTACAGGTGGCAGAATCAACCTGACAAATGGGCATATGGCGAAGTCATGGCACTCAAACTTGCCGGGCTATACGTTGCTTCTGGAAGGAAATCAAAGAATTCGATATTCGCTAAATTAATGAAAAATCGAAAGTCTCGTCCTGCTATAATCATGAAGAAGGTCCAGGGCATGTCGCTACTACGGACTAAAGCATGGAGGAGAGCTGACCCTGCGATGAAGATCAGGTTGAAGAACGCCGTTAAGGAGATCATCAAGGTTCAAGTTGTGGACTTCGCGCTTCAACATCAGATTCTTCCTAAGTACTTAAGTTTGACATTCTTAGTTTGTTCAACATCGCCTCATTCTTGGTTTGCAGTGATTTTCATACGGGGAATGTTTTCGTAGATTTGAGGCGGGACGGAACTGTCAGGGAGGCTAAACTGATTGATTATGGCTATCCTGGGATGATTTCTATCCAGTCAACAAACCGGAAAGTACTCGTGAGTCATAAACTCCTTGCTTCTGCTCGGCCTTATGTTTTCTTACCTTCTTTCATGATGAAGGAAAAATATTTCGAGTGGCGTTGGGCCCAGCTATGGGACGGGACGTAAGAAACATTGACGAAGTCAGAAACTGTGTGGACTAGGATCGACGCGACAACAAAACATATTTTTATATTTCCGGCACTCCCTAAGCTTAAGGATAGAAGCTTGAGGATAGGAAATAAATTATACTGACGAGGTTCGTTGCAAAGTCTATCTTTACAATACAACTATGTATACGTAGCTTTTCAACCACCCTAAACTCATTAATAGGTGCTACATACGTGATGAGTGAACGATGTTTCTTCACCCCCGCGAATTTTGATTTGCGAGACTATACATATATGTTATGTCTAACGTTATGCCTAACGCAGTCACAAGCTACAGAGGGCTTGGTCACCAGGCTAATCGACCGATCAATTACTATCCATTGTAGTGAATGAGATAAGTCGGAGGTCTGACTAGTGACTGGTGGCAGTGGAGACAATGTATCGAACATGGGGTCATGCTGCGGAGACGATAGCACTCCCCCGCGGATAGACCAGGTGAGGCTAGGTCTCGTTATGATTACTGCAATCAGGTCAGGTTGGGAAAACCAAATGAGCTCAGGTGAGCTGTTCAAGCGAGACAGCTGTTAGGCAGTTTAATCCCATCCGGAATCATTCCCTGCAGCTATCGGTCCAGTGTCAGACTATGTGGGCCAGCTGAGCGCCGAGGTGTCCAAATGACCGTCCCAACCTGACCTGGTCTCCATGTCCCCTTGTCTCCGATGACCTGAAACGAGGCTAAAATGAACATGAAATGCCTGTATGACCTCGAGTCAGGATCGTCACATACGCTTAGATAGGGTAGATACGAAAACACAATAGAGTTTTTTGGTATTCGAACCTTGTACAAACATGAATAGAAGAAAAAACTAGATCGGTAGAGAACATATATAAGTACATTTCGGGACACAAGGTCGGGTTGCCTTATCCGCGTCCCTTCCTTGCCTCCTCGCTGCATGAACTTCAAACGTCATGAAAGATTTTTGGACTCTTCAACATCCTCGCTGCTTTCCTCTGTAATATTTCGCTATCATCGTTGTCAATACTGTGCAGTATATCGACCGCCTTTTCCTTATCACTATGACCATTCCATAACCCGCCCGCCCCCCAGCCCATCCACTAGACCATGCTACAACGTCCACAGAACCACACGAGCCCAAGCCATTATAGCTGAAGAAAGCGAAGAAAACAAAATCTGGATAAGAAGATGTACAACAAGCATGATAAAAAGAAATCAAAGAGGACTGATAAGACAATGAACGAATATAATGAAGGATACGATGGGGAAGATTAAGATTGAGGAAGGAAGGAGTTATGAGTCATGTAGGAGCATAGTTGAACAAAAGAGACAGGGAATTGACACACGGTATTGGTGTGGTGTGTTGATTCAGAGAAGGGAGGGGAAAGACGGTACTGCAGGGGTGTCAGTATCGGGACGGTACTGCAGGGGTGTCAGTATCGGGACGGACTTGAGTTTCCGAGAGGATTCAACAGAAGAAGCAGAAAAGGAATGATTGAAGAAATGAAACCGAAGGACGAAATAGCACGAACAAAAAGGAGGAGAGGGGCATAAAGTAACTTCATCAAGGAATCATCGAGAGCGACTTGCACGTCACAGCAAGGCACAATATGCAACTCCCTCACCGCAATTCAACACGTCAACTGCATAACCACCAAATCGTCTGGGCAGCAAAACTTGTCCAGGTTGTTTCCATCACCTCAAAGCAATCCGTCAACCAGGGTTATCGAAAGAGGACGAGTACAATGACGCCGTCGTAAACCGTGAAAAAACTGCTCAAAACTCCATACCACCACCTCCAAGCGCCACCCGGTTTCTCCTTCCATTCCTCCCATTCCTTCTCCCTATCGGCTCGTCATCCATCTCCATGGCCATTGCAGAAGGTGAGTCGTCATCGTCATTGCCTCCTGCGTTCCTCGGTGATCCAGACCCGGGCCGTGAAGTAACACTGTTCGGACTATGATCTTCATCACGGTAGTCTTCGTCCCTATCATCATCACCCCCGTCATCTGCGTCGTCCACGGCCTCCGGGTCGTCGTCTTCATAATCATCATCGTCCACCACAGCGGAATCAACGACAGACGCAGTGTCCATGTCTACGTCCGGATCTTCTGAGTCGGGTTTCAACTTGGACTTGTGGGTGGCAGCAACAGCAGCGCGTCTTCGCCTCGCAACAGGGCTGGTGCTGACATTTCCTAGGACTTCAGCTTTTCCACCGACTTTTCCACCTGTGACATCTGAGCCTCGACGGGCGCGGCGGGTTCGACCGCGGTTATTCTCGCCGCTCAGAATATCTTTTGGCATCGATGTGGAAGTCGAAGAAGGCGAGGAAAGATTAGGATTAGAATGAGAGGCGCTAGCATTGACAGCAGAAGCGGAAGAGGAGATATTGTTCTTTACGGAATTAGCCCGTAACCTGGTCGTGCGTGTCGATTTGCCCATTGGGAGGGTTGTTCCTGAGATCGAGTGTGGTGCAGGGTTGGAAGAAGTAGAGGAAGATTCAGAAGCACCGGGGGAAGGGAGAGAAGATACACCGTTATTGTTGGTATCTTTCTCCTTCGATAACGAGGATACACCAGAGATGGTTGTGGAAGCATCGGCGTCACCGGGGTGGACCGAATCCTTTGAATTCGATGTGTTCAGTTTCGTTTTTCTACTATCTCTACGCTCCGTGTGTTCCTTGAACCCTTTGAACCCTTTCTCCTCCTTGACCTCTTTATGTTCATCCTCGTCCTCGTCAACGTCACTCAATGGCGAGCCCATCGATAGACCCATGCCTATAGAGTTCATCGAGCCCATCGAGTTCAAAGAGCCCATCCCCGACAAACCGGACATGTTATTCAGATCGTTCATGTTCATATTGATAGGCCCCATTCCGCTGAACGAGTTGCCCATGCCACCTAAAAATAGGAAGTGGAGCGCGGGGCGTTAGACATGTGCAGGGGTAGTAAGGGTGCATAGAAGGCGGTATAGGTAAGCGGGGAGCAGAGGAATCGGATTGGATGGATTGAGTAGAGTAAATAGAATATGCAAACAAGAAAAGTTAGGAAGGGGGTTTATACGTGGCCTGAAAACGGGGAAAAAACTAAGCAACAGTCAAGCACACATACCGAAGTTTCCATTATGATTGAAACTTCCCAACCCTCCAAAATTTCCATCACCATTGAAACCATGCATCGACTCCATCGGATTCATGCTATCAAACCCTCCAGGATGGTCTCCCTGATGCATTTCGTTCATCTCGTTCATCTGATTTATATTATGAAACCCCATTTCTCCCATGTTCCCTCCCAAACCCGGATCTATCGTGTTCATGGGGTTGAGAGTGTTCATAGCATTCGGAGTATTGGACGACGAGGAGCTGGGGTTGGGATTCGCAAGTCCTCCGCGATACGTCCTCAATTCCCTCTCTAGTTCCCTGTTCCGAGCACCTTGCGCCGTGACTAGTTGTTGGAGATACCTGCAGATATTTCGAGTTAGAACAGTTGAGATGATTGAAAGAGATCGACGATTCAGAGTTGATGCGAAAAAAAACATCGAGAAGCAAAAATTGAACAGTTTGACCGAATACTGACCGTATATACTCTACACTCTTTCTCAGAATCATCCCTTTATTCGCTTTCACCACTCCTCCCGCCTCGTCTCCATCCTTGCCACCATCTTTATCCTTCCCATCCTTACCACCACTACTACCCCTGCCATCTCCACCTTTGGCGGTGAGGGCTTCTTCATCTCCAACGACCGTGTCACTATCCATCGGCTCGGTCTTCAGCGCCACACCCGATCCTGACCCAGATCCAGGTCCACCCGCAGCCGCGCCGGGGTTATTATGGAAATACTCATCCGGAACAGGGAGACCCATCATGTCAAGATTAAAACCGTACGAGTGCCCGGAGAGATTTGTGAGTCCTGGGAGACCGGAAGGCGACGTAGGTGAAGTGGGAGATGTTGGGGATATAGGCGACAACGGGTTGATGTTATTAGAGGAGTCTGTTCCTGGTGGTGGAGAGGCTCCAGAGTTGGATGTACCTGTGCGAAAGAAGAGGATAGAATGAAAAGATTAGTCACTTACATCTGAATACCATAAACCAAAAACCAAAAATTTACTCACCTCCTCCTCCCTCCCCACCAAACATTACATCCGGAATCAAGGTCGCCAATTCACCAATCTTCTCATTGATATTGTCCCTCCTCCTCCTCTCCACTGCGTTATGGCTTTCCCTCCTCCTCCGCCTCTTCTCATTCGCCACCAACGCCTGTTTCTCCGCCGGCGTCAGATGTTTATTGTTATTCGTGTTGGAGTCTAACGCAGCGGCGCGTTCGGCCTTTTCTGCTTTGGTGGATCGGCGATTGGATGAAGAGGTTGTGGTGGAAGAAGTGGATGTGGCGCCGCTGATGCTGGCACTGTGCCCGTGGCCTCGACCGGAAGATGAAGAAGGTGGAGGTGGAGGAAGAATGGTGCTTGTTGTAGGCAACGACGAGGAAAGTGGTGTCATCCCACCGCCCGTTCCTCCGTTACTGCTAGAATGTCCGGAATGAGAGCGGGATTCGGGGAATCCCCATCCATCAAGCCGATCTAACCTGTCGAACCTCTCAAGCTTATCGAATCGATCCAAACGGTCGATTCTGTCGAGCGACGAGTTGAAAGACGCTGGTGTGGGGGTGTGAGTACCCCCAAAATGCATCTGGGCATGCCCGTGTCCATGCTGCTCATGGTGTCCTTGGTGGTGCTGGTGAGGATGCTGACCTTGATGTTGGTGAGGATGAGGCCCCGTATGCAAATGCGGGGAGGACGAATTCCCGAACGGGGATCCGAAGTGCTGTTGGTCTCCTGCACCAGGCGACGACGGCCAATGACCATTCGCATTAAACGACGACGTGCTGTTGGGCATGCCGTTGTTTATGCTGTTTATGCCGTTGTTGATGTTCCCGATGCCTCCGGAGATGCTCATACCGTTGATACCGCCTGTACTGAGTCCGGGGTTGAAGCCATTGAGGCCCATTGGCGAGCCACCTATTCCATCGAGAGAGCCACTACCGATATATTGGTTTAGTGGGGAACTGATGTTCATGCTCGGTGAGTTCATGTTGTTCATGCTGCCCATAGGATTGAGGTTTGAGACGTTTAGCGAGAGATTGGCGAACCCATGAAAGGAAGCGGGGGAATGTGAGTGTGAATGGAGGGATTCAGGTGTGGGGAGAGCGTATTCGCTGTATTATATTTAAAGGTGTAGATAAAGAAAATAGATGTTAGCACGAATACAATAGAAATGATTGATATAGGCGATCGATAGACAGATGTATAGATAGAGAATAGAAACAAGGCAGGAAACAACTCACCCAGTACTACTCCCTAAACTGCCTTGACTACCCGGTCCATACCATCCATCACCACCACCATTACCATTACCGCTTTGGGTGTGATGATGACCGGTTCGCGGTATAACGATGGCTTGAGCAGATTGTTGCAGCAGCGGCGGTGGACTGGTGCTACTAGTCATACTGCTCATACTAGAAACACTATTCCCTCTTCTAGCACGAGTTGTCCTCTGCGGACCGATCCCCGAAGAACCTAGAGAAGAGGGCAGGATACTTGGTGAAGCGCTGGGACCTGGGTGACCAGGATACGCCGAAGGAGGTCGAGATCGAGAGCGGGATCTGGATACGGCATAAGGATGACCAACAGAAGCATTACCGTTGTTGTTGTTTGGATTAGTGTTGTTGTTGTTAGTTCCAGTAGGACGAGGAGACGGTGTATGTCTAGTCCATCCTCCTAATCCAGGTGAATCGCCTGTCGGAGGCACAGGAGTCATCGACGACGTGGGTAGATCTGGTAGGGGCTCATATCGCATACTTGAGTTTAAAGCAGGCAATGTTGAATTGAAATGCGCTGGAATGGAAGTAGGGTGTGGAGGTGAGTCAGCGCGCTGAGAGTTCGACGGTGCATGCTGGTTATGAGAATTGTTGTGTGCGGTGTGTAATGAAGACGACGAAGGAGGTCGAACGCCCATATCGAAGATATTGTGTGTTCTTTGAACGTAATCATTCGTAGTACTCCCTGAAGAGGACGAAGTTGACGCTGTACTCCTCTCAGAGCTAATCAACGTAGCCAGCTCTTGGTCGAAATCTCCACCACCGCCGCCGCCTAAATCATGCGGAGATGATCCAATTCCACTGAGCGCAGAAGAAGGTCTCCAGCTTAGATCAGAGCCAGAAGAAGAGGTATCTGGATGAAACCCTTCTTGTCGTACAAGCCCTTTTGACGCCATGGGTTCCGATGTTGAAAGGATTTTAGCCTATACGTTATGATGGATAAACTTTTGCGTCGAGGACTTTTTGTATAAAAGGGTTTCTTCTCCCGAATCTCTTGTTCTTCTTCTTCAGCTATTAGCTCAGCCTATTCTTGTCTGTCCAGCAATCGGACCCTCGTTCAAACGAAATGTTCGTATTTTGTCCGTCGTCCGCTGCGAGTTGTTCGTCGTTCGTCAAATGCGGGGCAGACAACTCGTGGGGAAAAGGTGGAACAAAAAAAGGAAAAACTGGAGATGCGGGGAAACTGGGGTAAAGACCGGTAAATGCGCCTTCTTCCCCAGGAATTGTATTGTCAAAAGGCGGCCGGGAAAGCCGCAAGCCGTTGAATTTGATTGGTCGACTCAACTGCAGAACAGCTTGTCAATTCACCGTGGGATGATCATCAACTTCAAACCCTCCCGTCGCGCGTTTTTTGATTGGTTAATCAGCAAAGAAGGTACGGCTCTCCGGTCCCGGGTGGGTCTTGCATGGAAGCAATAAAGGTGATTATTAATTGGGGGTCGCGTAATCTATTATCCCTTCTCTTCCAAGAACGAAACGAACAGTTAACCTACATGCTCTCAGAATAGTTCAACATCCACAAGCTGTAGCATGGTGTACTCCCTTTGCGGTGGGTTCAAGTCTCCAAGTGCTTAATCATGCTTTGGAACAAATAAGTATATTACAAGTCCACCACAGCAGGAGGTATGTATCTAATCTCGCGGTTAACAGCTTGAGAAATGAACTTGAGAGAAAAGAATCCTTGGATCTATCTATGTATCATCTTCGAAGTTCTATGTACTTGGAATTCCTCGGACTTTTTCCTTCTCCCTATAATGTCATCGTTCCTGTGCTTACTACTCCAGTAGGTTTTTTTGTTGCGTGTGGGCGTTTACTTATGACGTTCGTTTGAGCGTTTCCCGGTTGAATAGGGTGCAGTAAGTGGCGAAACCGTGGGTGGATCATTCACTTCCCTTTCCGCGACTTTGCAGAGTCGGATATCATTTATCATATATCAAAGACATCAAGGATATTATTACTGATGGTTCAGAATACTCGTGAGAGGAACGTACCCAAGAACACGCATGGAATATATGGCAAGAATATACAAGGAACATGAAGAATATTTCAAGATTGAAAGAAAGGAAGGGCTTCGAGTTCAGATGGCCGCCGGCGCACATACATTGAATGGTACTGGCCTGATATCTGATTCCGAAATGTTTCCAAGACTCAATTCCCATAGTTCCAAAGTTCCACTCAAAAACCTCTGCTACCATGATCAGCGATGAGTAAGTATGATTCTCTATCGGCCTCTCTTGTCCCTCCGAGTCGTTCTCCGATCATCTATCTTTCTCTTTTTATGTCTTCGCTCATCCTCTTCTCTATTCCTTCATTCGACCTCTTCTACTATCTCTTGACTCGTTCTCTTCACCATCTCCTAGCTAATACTCCGTTATCAATTGCGATATTCATATCCCAATCTATCATCCGAATCATCGACTTTTTAATAACCCATATCCATCATCCGCATGAATTAACGCGCTCTCGGTACGTCTTCAACAAAAAATAACTCTCTGAACCTCAATCTAATTGATATTCCACCGAGTATATCACATCTCATTCGCAGCGTCAGTAAACATTACCTACATAGATGTCCTCAAGTTTCAAAGAGAACACGCTCCAGAGCTACAGCATTTCGAGTCTTATCCTCCCTGTCTTCTCCTGCCCCTGTCTCTCTGAGTCCCGTATTGACGCCGTCAAAGGCAACTTATGAAGGTGCGAAGGTGCTAAAGGTGTACTAATAAAGGTTGTATCTATATCAGTTGGTGTCAAAAGGTGTGCAGGTTGCGTGCATTGACTCTATTCCGCCGTGCACACTCACACTTTTGCACAGTATATGTACTATGCGAGGTGAATTTGCATCAGCAGAAAACATTCGGTACGTTAGAATTACTAACTCAAAAACCTTGGATACCGTACTACATACGATACGAGCGCTCAGTCAGACTCCTCGACGCCTAGCGTCATGGACTCGTGGAGTGCAGATCAGATTCCCCCCTTCTTTGCAGTATAGACTTCAACGTCCCCAATGTACTTCAATGTCATGCTATGTAATAGCGCTAAGTATGTTGTCAGTATAATGACATTCCTTTTCAAAAGTAATACCCTTGTTTCAACGTTGAGTCCTCATGGTTCACATAATGCATATATTGGCGCTTTAATTTGGGGTTGAAGGTTTGAACCATCATGGTATCTCATTCACTGAATTTGAACGCCTTGAAATCGTTGACTCCTCATGTTCACTGTATAATAACAGACACACGTTGAAATACCAGAGATACTACTCATTCCATGGTCAATTATTGACCCCACTGAATCAGATCACCCGGAGAAAACGCGTGAAGAACGTGTACATTGTCTAGGAATGTTAGGCTTGGAAAAACGCCTGAAAAGCTTGCAATACAAGTTCGAAAAAAAACGCCCAAAGACTCGGAACGCTGCCGGACGATTGCTAATACAATCCTTGTTCCTTATGCCATTGACTCCCCGTTCAATCTAAGTCTTTTGTTTTTTTTCGCTGTGCTTCAAGATAAATTACACAAGAGTTTTTCGTTCTCGGAGAATTGAGTTAGCCGCGAACTGCTTCATACTAGGAATGATTTTCTAGAAACATGAAATTTCGAGCGCTTCATTCAACTAAGTAGATTTCCTCTTCATCAGCCTTGCATCTCATTTCCGAAATTTTCGAAATTTGATATGGAAAAAATGGTACGGAAGTACAATGCAATGCAGTATGTACCACATTGAGTGAGTAAGTGCTACTCCGGGTTGTCGTTCACCCCGACTCATTCGACTGTCAAATCCCTACTCTTTACTACTCGTACTTGCAGCCACTCGCACGCTGTCCGGACTCCTCTCTTTATACATATTACTACAGCTCCGAGTCGTCAAAAGGGATGATAAATATCAATTCTCTACATTTTGGATGAGCTTGAGCACCACTGGGACTCTCGTTAATCCTCTCCCTGGACCCCTTCTCCGCTTCCCCTTCAAGTTCTCCAGTACATATGTAGCTCCGGAAATCTTGAATCTGCTGTTCAAACCTGTCCACACATTTTCAAACCTTGTCCGGGACTATCAACGCACTACGAGCCTCTGAGACCAATGACTTTGACTTCTGAGAAACTATGACTATCAAAATTATATTGAATATAATCTCAATTCTTTGCGGTACCGGTGAAAAATACAAGAGAGTACGTAGTCTTACTGTGTATATCATTGTATAAACACATAGTTAACATATATTCAGGCTCGCGGTTGAAGTTCCAGGTCGTTCCTAGACGGTGTATTCTAGTGAGTTCCTTGAACGAACTCAGGAATTCTTCATAAGATTCTGAAATGTGACGATGTTCAAGATGTTCCTGTCCATCGATGTTTCTCATTGCTTCAGACTCCAGAGTTCTGTGTACGCATGACAATGGAGTTCCTCTCGAGAAAATCATACCTCTTATAGTATACTAATGTTTACCTTTATAGCGCGCGCGCCAGGTGGGTGCCAGGGCCCAGGGGTAAAGATTGCCCGTTTCGCTCATTGCTTGTGCTTTTCTAACCATGACGGTATACTTTTCTATTTGAGTCGGAAGTCCTGAGTCTTTGGGTATTCATTCTCACAATCTTCTTCCTAGAACTTGTAGATAATTCCCGGTTTGGAAAGCTTGAATGATAGTACCTTGTTTTCACTGCCTGGTTAGCGCAGTCTACCTTTACCACTCTAATTTCTCTTCGAGTTTTCATCCGATTTGTCTGATTCCTGAATTTGTCATTCAGGTTAATCCAAGTGATTCTCAAGCTCACTGTTGGGGGCGGGGGGGTCAAAACTTGGGTCAAGTGAAAGTTCACACTGCGTACTCCCAGTGGCGCTAATGTTAAGTTCTTCTGGCTTCCTTGAAGTGCTCTGGCATCCGATAAAAATTATCTTCAAAGTCCCAACTTTCGGCCGCGGAAAGTTCCTATGCTTTATATATTCTATCTCTACCTTCTTCTGATGTTTCAATATCTTCTTTTCTCTGTGGCAACCGACCGTGCCTGCAAGTGCGAAAAGGAATCCAAATAATATACACTCAACAATGTTATTCCTTTTGGATTTATACCCACATGCGCCCTAGACTTGATATCACACTATTGGACTTCGCGGGATTCGCTACGCAACGATATCATGCCGGGGAGTAAACCCGCCCGGCGATGAGAGTATTTGTATGAGGACCACTTGTCTGAATTTCGAGTCGAATTGTATGCTATGCCAAAAATATTTTAATACGCTGTTTACGCAGCAAAAATTGATGTTCAACTTGGAAGCGTTGAAGGGAGAGTCAAAGAGTCCAAGGATTCATGCAGGCAGCTGAACAAAGTTTAATGTTGAGAATCTTCCGCATCAGAGATACATAGATGTGGAAACGCCAATGGATAAAGATACAGTAGATATCTATCAATTTTCTTTATAGCGGGGCCACCCCCAAGCCCAACGCCGCTCGAAATAATCTTCCTGTGTTGAAGAGAAAAGTATAAGATTTCGACAGCAAGCAGACGAAAGAAGCTTACAAGGACCTCCTTTTTCGTTGTCGGATCGATAGCAATCAGCCCAGGATAGCCATAATCAAGGAGTTTCGCCTCCTTCAAAGTTCCATTGTTGTCCAAAACTACGTGGATATTTCCAAAATTAAAATCACTGCAAAAGGGAAATGAGATTTCACTCAAGATAGAATACCAGTATGTGTATATACTTATAAAGAATTCTGTGTGAAAGTGCAAGGTCCATCAATTGGACTTTGATACGCTTCTTGATGTCATTCACCATTTTATTCCTTGTTGCATTGTTCGCGCGGATCCATGTCGAAGTCTTCACCACTGGCATACCCTCTACTTTTTTCATGATAATAGCAGGACGGGACGTTGACAACGTGAAACCAAAGCAATTCCGCCTTGTCAATACTTCTTTCCCAGAGGTAACATATAGCCCAGCGAGTTTCAGCGCCATGGCTTCCCCGTACGCCTTATCGTCAATTCGATCGCGGATTAGTACCTGCCGCAGAACTTTGACCACCAACTGATCTGGGCGGTAGCCACCATACGATAGTGCAGATGCATACACTCCGGCATTACATTTTCCTTTTATGGGTTTGCGATCCAAATCAGAGACCAAATTGTAAGCAAGATATTTGTTGAGATTGCCACTTTCTGAAAAATGATTGAACAGCTTGAACATACAAAAGGAAACATTTTGCTGCAAGGAACTCACGGAAATAGTACTTCTCGTCTTCAGGAGTAACTCTAGTGGGCCAAAAGCCAATCATCCAGTTTTCCTTCAGTCGTTCTCATTTGTTATATCAGTGAAATAAGTCACACATGGAAACTGCTGACCTTGGTTTCTGCTCTCATAGGTGCCACTCGTGCAACAAGGGGAGCCAATGAATCCGTTGAACGATTACTTGTAGGTTGAGCAATGGAGGATTCATGATCAGAAATGCTCGAAGCAGCGCAATTTTGAGGGGAAACTTTGCTCGGGGCAGCACAGGAGGTTGGAATAGAAGCAAGCATGTGCAGAGACCCAGAAATGATTGATAGAGAGCACAGAAACATAGTTGAGAGTGTCCTAAACATGTACGAAGAGTACCTCTGACCAGCAGAGGGGAAGGAAGGAAGGAAAAAATGCGGTGTTCAACAGCCCCCTGATGTGGTATGTGCTGATACGCGCCGTCGCCTTCGGATAAGGAGTTCAGTTCAGTCACGTGAATGTATCGGTTGCATGAAACGAGGATTTACAAGTATGGGACGAACTTAGATGCTCTGTTAACAGTAGGCCTGAGGAGGTTATTCGTCGAAACATTTATATTATGCATTCCTGGTCAGCAGGAGTCATGAAGATTTGCAAAGGAGAACATGAGAGAAGACGTCGATCTAGTGTCGATCTTGAATCACACCATGACACATGAAAGGACAGGTCGAATCTCAATTTTCATACCGAAACGATTGAGCTAGTTTAAATATGTTCATGCAAGGAGCAGTCGTTTTATTGCATACCAACTAGGCAGCTCTCTATCACCCTCATCAAGTTGGCACAACGAGTAATTAACACTGGGGTAATAAGACTCACATAGACTCACATTTGACTGCGATACAGTAGGGACGTCCCTCCAATTATAAGATATTTTTCTCCTGCTTAGAGCTATCTTGCCATCCATTCATAAATATATACAAGTTCGGAAACATTGTACTGAGATAATCCCCACGAGATCAGGAGTCAGTCCTGGCAATGACTTTCACAGTAAGCTTGAATTTTGAGCCTGCGCAAGCACAAAAGTACTTGATTGCGATGAATCTGTTTGACGTTTCGTGAGTTCCGGCCTGGGAGGGCCACTAGCATTTGCAGTATCACCTGCAGTGACAGTCACTGCATGGTATCTGCATGCACCTGCATCACACTTATGGCATATAAATGCCGGCATTTATATGTATTTTGTCTAATTATGTTATGCTATTTTGAATTCATTTTTGCTGCATGTTCAACTATTTCAGGATACGTCTATGCACATTGAGTTGATATATTGCTTGGTTTACAGATGTATGTAAATCCTATATGCTTAATTATGTATGTCACAAGCACTTCACTGTACTCACCCATTCATATTATCTGCAAAACCTGTGTTGAAGCAACTAAGGGACTCGACATTGCTGTTGGCATGATGTATCTGCTACTGCACAGCATAAGATAATAACACCATTTATGTAACTGTCCGCTGGTCCTATGCACAAAGTACTTCCCTAACAAGCACTGTCTGGCCAAAGCACTGAAAGCAATTTCTAGAAACCACTTCGGTGCTGGGAAGTGCAGTCAGTCTCTTAGACAGAAATCTAAGATGTACAGATGCATCTGCATGCTCCTACCTTTTGAATGCATTTGCCTGGACTGTAACTGCACACATCTGCATTGTGACTGCATGCAACTGCACTGTAACTGCACATACCTGCACCTCATCTGCACTGTAACTGCACACACATCTGCAAAACCTGTATTTTCGGCTAAGGGTCCGAAAGCAGTTGGGAGCACTTCCCAGCAGTGAAAGCACTCAGAGCATACTGCTTTCAGTGCTTTCAGCACTGGGATCTGCTGGGATCTGCTCTCAGACCTTAGCCGAATATCCAGGTTTTGCAGATGCATCTGCACCTTACCTGCACTGTGACTGCATCAGCCTGCACCTTACCTACACTGTTACTGCATTCACCTGCATTGTTCCTGCACTTACTTGCAGTCTCACTGTGGGCAATAGGGCTCTGTACCTTTGCATTGAAATTATTGGGGACTGAAATCCTGCATTCAATCACAAGGCTCTGAGTGTCTCTATGCACCACATGTATTTTGAATACGGCCTTTGGAAAATCATTGAGCCACCAATATTGTGAAGCTACTATCCCCCTAATTCTCACAAATTAAGCACTGTTGGCACTGAAATGTGGAGTTTATTCTGGGTCATTTGTGGATAGTTAAGATTATGAAGGGGAGGAAGTTACATTGCTGATTTTGGCCAATGGTTCTGAAACATCATATAAAAGACATGATGGAAATATTCTTGCAATCTCATGGTATTGCCAGATTTAGGTTGAAGAACCTAACCAAGAGTCACAGGGCCATGTATAAACACTGGTCAAAGACTTACAAAAACAACTTAAACTGTAGGAGATACTTGATATAAGAAATACTTTGATTGGAAAATTCTAGAGGACAGTATGTGTATTGTTATACTTTTTTGCTTTTCGGAGTTCTCCTTGGCCAAATTGTCATCATTTATCCACTGCTTTCAAAATCCACCCAAATTATTGATGGTGGAATTTGGAATTATACCAGGTTTGTGAACACCAGCTGGTATCATATTGTAGTACAAGAGGATATTACTTACAAAGCTGAAATTTTAATGATACAAGATACAGAAAGCCTGCATTGAGAATCAATGCCAAGAAACCTGGCATCAGACTTGACAGAATAATGAGATCACTATCCAATTTCAATCAAATATTCACATATCCATTCAGCCCCTACAGGCCATTATACTCCCTGTTATTGTCATACAAAGCATTTATAGAATGGGATATATTTTGTACAGTGGAGGATCATCTATTTACATATATATTTGAGTAACTGCAGTGCTACTGCATGTCACTGCATATGTCACTGCAGGACTACTGCACATGTCACTGCATATGGTACTGCAAATGTTCTGTGCCCGGCCTGGGACCGTGCTGAACCAGGAAGGGGTGATGGCAACAACGATGATCTGACCATGTTCCGCTGAAGGCTGAGGCGCTGTGGAAGCTATGTATGTAGCAACGAATGATGCTGGGGAGCCGGTTGGAGCCCGTAGCGCCGATGGGAGAACTGTTGACTTGTTGAAGCACAGTGGAAACATGTTCAGAGCTGTTCAGAGAAGGAGAGGAGGGGAGAGGAGGGTCAGGAGGGGAGAGGAGGGTCAGGAGGGGAGAGGAGGGGCAGGCTGGGGCAGGCAACCTGCCTCGACCCTTCGACGATCTATGAAAGACGAGATGGCACTAAGTAAGCATTGGAGTCATCTTGAAAGAACACTCTCACCGGTCAAGTTGCTTTCCAAATCCATAATCCTATATGCGAGCAAGTCGACAGGGATGGCCATGGATGATAGATAAGCACGGTGGCATTCCTACGACCAGGAGACATGCTTCACCTCAACCTTTACAACTTTTTCAGATAATTCAGCGTTAGCTAAGACTCGCATAGCTTGGGATCTTCAAAAGCTGATGAATCGCTATACATACAATCAAAGGCAAGCACTCACAATTTAGGGGGATGAGCTCCTGCTTTTGGAGGGAGTAGGCACGATTCGGATTTGGAGTGGCCCGGTTTGAGCCCCTGGAGGAGTCCTTGCCCACATAACGTGTCAAATTGGATGTTCAGTTTGGCTGCGTGCGGAAGGAACATCCGGTGCATGAGGAGAGGGCTGAGAGGATCCCAATGAATCAGCGAACTTTGTTCTGTGATGGTGACGGGGAGGACCCAAAAATAAGTCGGATTTGAGGTATCTATGGGTTGAAACGGAAGTAAATTAGAGGGGAGACAAGTACGAAAACAGTCTGATGACAAGAATCCACAAGGAACTCACGAAATTCAACAACTTTGAACGCGAATGGATAGGAACTCAGCGATAGTACTCAGCAAGCGGCAAGCAAGAGATTTCACGTGTGATGTATGGTAACTCTAGGTCTCATAGACGGCGCTGCACTGGACCACTCATAGAAATGGCACATTTATTCAGTGATGGATTTTGTCCTAAGCGCAATACCCGGAACTTGAAGAATATGTTGTGTTGTGGTGGTGCAACTGATTCGAGCATAACACCTAATTTGGGGTTTGTAGATCTTCGAACTCGTTCAACAACTATGTAAACGGTATCGCGCATATGTTTGAGATGATCTGGCGCCAAAGCTTCCAGCGGCTCGTTCAACCACCACAGACTCGAACTTCGCAGTGAAGATTCACCGGATATATTTCCCAATGGGAATTTGTACTGCCGGAACACCACGTCGCTTGAAAGAACTTGAAAGAATAAGAGGTTGTATGATAGATTGTGGATTTTCAATCTGACGCAAATGAACTTGAAGATCCGGGGTTTGTACTTTCGTTAACGTCATTTGCCACCCATTGATGCAGAACTCAACCGGTGCGTTCTGAGAAATATACGTGTTTTTCGGTTAGACAAAAACGAATTTCGCATAGGCATACTGACACATCAACACAAAACAAAAGTTTGCTCATTCTGCAGCACAACGTCGTCAAGTAATCTGAGTCCAGAAAATGACTCCCTAACCGCGAAGCCTACTACAACGAGCTCGTTCATGCGACTTTCACCAAGTACGGTCAGAGAGTGACGGGAAGACACCCAATGGAAATGAGTCCACCTGTAAACAAGAATCAGAACCGAAGCAACTGGGGAAAAAGCAAAAGGCATCAATCATCGTACCGTTGCTGTTGTCCTCACAGCAGACGGCCTGTGCAGAGCTGCGGCCATCGTTAGCACACCTCCAAACGAACTGAATAGATAAGCCTACCATCCACCATTTTCAAGACCGATGATGGTGATGGGAGAGCAGGTGAGCCCGACCAAAACGTCAACACCTTGGAGCACAATACCGAGGAGGCCAAGAAGTCCAGCGACACTGGGATCGGTGGACTGCTGGAGGCTTTCACAACACTGAATAGGGCCTGTACTACAGCTGCCGGCCGGCTCACTGCGGGGAGCAGGCGTGGCGACCGCAAGAGTAGCAAGAGCGATGGAAACGAAGGCAAGTTTGAACTGCATGATCAAGCTGGGGAGTACTTGAACGTTACTTGTTCGAGTGAGGGGTATCCTGTAGCTCTGTTCAACTTTTATACCTTTCCAAAGCGGTCCAGTAGGGACCAGGTATGTCCGTAATATGGTTTGAGTGGAATTTTTTCGCGATGCTTCAGGACCCGAATATCATTGTGTTGACAAAGAACTTGCCCGAGAGCCACTAAGACTTGAAACTAACAAGCAACGAATGGCAGAAGGACGCCGCATACAGGGTGACTAGAATACTTGGTGGATAATCTATGTGGGTGTCAGATCAATCGTCTCTCGATGCGCTTACGTTTTGAAGAAAGAAACGTACGACAGCATATTATTGTTCGTACTTACGAGCTTGGCATGATTACCAGAGGTGCAAGTTTTTCAACAGACAGAATGATCTTGGATCTAAACACTGACGAGATTGAACCTCCCTACATTCGCTTCCCATCACTACTAAGCGACAATAATTTCAATGTCACTGAAACATGCTGCAGAGTAGATCTCAAGGATGCTGAAGGCTGGTGAACTTGAAGTGCACCGTTATTCTCTGTTATTCTGGATCTCATTTGTGAAGGGGTCAGTAAGCTTCATGGAATTACTATACTGTCCACAAAGCGACATCAGTCACACTAATAGTCCACCACTAGGCTGTCTATGTCGAACTTCTGTAGACTGCTGTGGCTATTCTACTATCACCTTATATAGCACCTACATAGGACTAGACTGTATACAGGAAGGTTATTGTTAGCCTAGTGATTCACTTCCGAAAATCTAACTACGTGTATCGGTCGGGGTAAAACCTGATTAAGTTGATTACTTAGGTTCAACTTACGCAAGTGCATCTCGTTCGATACCGCCAAAGGTACGAATGCTTGTCCAGCGTTTCAACTTCTTCTGAAAGTTTTTACCTCGCTATGAGGTGGACCCGAAACTCACAGATTTCATTGAAGAGCCGTGGATTGATGTTCCAACACAAATAGCAATTGCATTGGCCTACTACCCATTGTTTAAGATGACCCTTCACAACTTCCCACTCCCTATCATTACGACAAAAACCAGCGAGAATAAACGGGTATGGCAAACACAGCATGAAAATCGCGAAAAGAGGGTATGAGCTTTCGCGTCTAGCCTAGGGCAAGTTTCAGGTCCTCAAAGAGTGACGGGAACACAGCCGATGGAAATGAGTCCACCTATAGAAAACAGTCAAAACGATATGAAGGAAGTAAGACGTATAATCATACCGTGGCTGTTATCTTCACAGCAGACAGCCTGCGCAGAGCTGTACACATCCGTTAATAATGTGTTTTTGCCATACATGAGTAGGAGCTTACCAGCTGCTACCAGAAGCACCGATGACAGTAATGGGGGAACAGGTGAGACCGACCAGCACGTTCAAATCTTGGAGAACAATGCCGAGGAGGCCAAGTAGAGCGGTCGCGCTAGCGCTGTTGGCAGTCTGGGTGCTATCGCAGCACTGGACAGGACCGGTACTGCAACTGCTGGCCGGCTCACCACGAGGAGCAGGTGTGGCGACCGCAAGGGTAGCGAGAACAGCGGAGACAAAGGCGAATTTGAACTGCATGATGAGGGTAGAGAGAAGTACTTGAACGATGATGTGGACTGTTCGAGTGAGGAATTTCAAGGGTTTTTGCCTAGCTTTTATATCTTTGTCCTTTCCTTCCAAGCGGCTGCCATAAACCTAAGGGTAATCGATGAACATTGTCACCGGGCATGTTCTGCAAGTACGATGGTGAGAATTTTTATTATCCGAGCGACGGATTTTTAGTCAAACCTCTCCGCGTCGTCGAGTTTCTGTCGAAAAAAAATAATCCAAATACAGATCAAGTCTATACATACATGAGGTGAAAAGGGTGAAAATTGAAGCCCGCCTGTCAGAACGGGGTGGTCAGGTATCACAGTATTGTGACGATATTTCTGACGATGTTTCTGAGTCCTGTCAGGTCTTGTCGTCACAGTTGAAGCAGGTTATAGTGAAGACCTGGTGAAGACAATACTGGATCCTGATTCCTGACTCTATCTATGATGCTATGTCCATAGCGTATCAAGGCATATCGGAGAAGGTCTAAGAAGCTTGCTATACATCACAAAAACCGACATAAGGAATGTTTTCCATGCATTTCATTGAATTGAATGGCCTTACCGAAGACAAAGGTCACTATGTATAATCAATTGCCCTTCTGATTTTTACTGGGTTTAAACTTTGGGATTGCTCCCTGATGCTCCTCGTTGAACGTTCTAATAGTCAATTTGACAATTCTATGACAGAAGTACCGAAACACCAAAAAAAAACTACGGAAAGGCTCACCGTAAGCATCCAGTCCATGTCGTAAAATTCACAAGCACGCCGAAGCCTGCAGTTTCATTCGTGTACAGCACGAGTCATGCATGAAACCGACACAAAAAGCCCGCGAGAAGCCTTCAAAACGTCGGTGCAGTAAGTAGCCATATATCCTTTGAACAGAGGTGTAAGAACGAGGAGGGTCGATTATTAACGAACGCCGAGGTTCTTATTGCCCCATACTAGTTGCAAAAATAAGTTAATCAGACCTGTGGCTCAAATCATAAAACATACAATGTAACAAGGATATGGCACAGGACGAAAACAGGAATCCATTCCCCACTTTCAATAAAAACCAACCAGAATCCGACGCCAACTTGGTTACGACTGTCCGTCGCAGATTTAAGACCCACTTGTAATTTTGTAGTACTTCATGATGAGATGAGATGATCCTCGGCTTGCTGTCGTTCCTCGTAGTCACATTCACCAGTCATCAATCTCAAGCCGAAACTTGAAGCAATGATCGAAAAGTTGAACGGTCATGACTCGAGGCAAATGCACCACCAGAAAACAACCCTATGCCGCCTGGATAGGGTTTACAGCCTCCTCCGGTACGTACATTCCCCACTAGCTGTTGTGACCAGCAGCTCGAACACCAGAAGAATCACAAGATATGGCGATGCTGTAGACGAGTCTTAAGAAGGACTGCAGCAATAGAACGATTGTGTGAATATCACTGTAGAGCGACAAGCGAAGGTAGAAGTCACCATCAATCTGAAGAAATTGCATCTCGGTATCGCGTTTTTCATACACTATTCAACGGGGTGAAGCGATGCTTTGGGGTGTGAGATTTGTTGTAGCAGCTGCAGAAGTTGCTCATCTTCTGCTTGTCTCCTATATATGCATTTTCGTGCAACTTGATTCATACTTACCCAAATGTGCAAAATTCATGAGAAGATCGAAAACAACGCGAATTCTGGCCGCTTGTTCAAGGATCATTGCCGAGCTATCATCGGCCGAGGTTCCGAATGTCCGAGGTTCGGAATAATATTGAACCCTGTTGTATGCTGAAGGTCCCATTGGCTCGTCCGTGCAGTCAGCTCGCAGCTCCCCCATTCTCCTTTTTTCCAAAGCATTGTTGATTGAAGAACCGTGGAGGATGGGTAGAAGAAAAATTGAGATTCAGCCTATCACAGTCAGTAATTCATTCCCCGAAATCTACTGTAGAGGGTTCGTTTACATCGGGATTCCTTACCTTTCCCCTTCTCCTCTTCCGAATGCTATTTGCGAAATGAAAACTTACTCAGAAACATGACAGCACGAAAGGAACCGCTCAGTGACATTTTTGAAGGTGAGCGTTACTTTACAACGTGGATTTTATAAGGATTATTTTTGGCTATCCTTTGGCTTGGGATGCCCTGAACTTTGGCTTGGCATTCTCGTTTTATCTCGTTCTTGGGGTTTTTGTGGCGGCTAATTCTAAATTTATCTCTTCTACATGCTCTGTTCACTTTTTGCTGTTGTGCCTGCATTCTATCCTTGGATTTTTGCCTCTCATCATCGTTGAAAATGATGAACACAACAACAACGCATTACCTGCACAATAATCATATTCCTCGTCAACGTCTTCGACAACTATTGCCGACTCCTTGAATCGACGACTCCATTTACGAAGAGAAAAAATGGATTATTCAAAAAGGCATATGAGTTGGGTGTTCTATGCAGTGTTGACGTTGCGGTCATAATCTTTGGTGAGTCTTTTTTGTCATTCTGCTCATAATCGACAATTAACGCAATGTACGACGTGGTGTATAGACGAAAAACCAGGGCAACACGAAAAATTATATGAATATGCCTCCTCCGATGTGCGGGATATTGTCAAGAGACATATCAGGGTGTGCATCCTATAACTTGTCCTTGCAATATTTAATCTCATACGCATTTTAGTTCTCGGGAGAAAAAGATTGTCGCACTCCACACGACTTTTCAGGTGCTTCAGCGACCAAGTTGGATGATATTGGTGAGGGCGATGGTGATGATGATGAGGAGGAGGAGGAGCCTTCAAGCTCTAAAAGCAAAGAAACAAATTCTAAGGCTTCTACTTCCCGAGGCGTCCCGATACCTGCGCCTTCTCCACCTCTACATTTTCACGGTCGTCCGAGATCACCCGGCCCAGACAAAGACACCTCTACTAAAGACCAAACAAGCAGAGGCAGATCCTCTCATCATCCAAACTCACGCAAACGATCCCATTCGCATCTCGCCGGTCGTGAATCTCGAAGTCGAAGTCATTCGCCTTCCTTTTCTGGGCATGTTCAGCCGTCGTTATTACAGCAGCAGCGGGCAGCTCATACACTATCAGGAGGATACACATCCATATCAAACCCACACACTAATTCTAATCCCAATTTTGACTTGTTCGGTATAGCCTCTATAGGTGCCCGAGCTGGTGCATCATCTTCATCTCCATCTTCTCCTCCTCCATCGCATATGGAATTCGGTGGTCGAAACTCTCTTGCTTTCAATGCTCTAGGTGGTCTCAGTAACATGCGAGATATTCGGGACCTAGGGTTTAACGGTCATAGTTTACGCGACTTACATGGTATCAGTGACCTCCGCGAGTTACGTGGACTTGGTATGGGTAACCTCAACTTTGATAGTATTCGAGACTCGCGTACTTTCAATGGTGTTAATGACTTCAATGGTTTTAATGCATTCGGAGGCGGAGGAGGTTCTATTGACCTTACCACCTTGCGTGGCATGAACCGCGTGGATGCCATTAACGCTTTACGCAGTCTCGGAGTCGACTTGGGTGTCGAAGGCAATCGTGACATGCGCGACCCGCGCGATCCCCGAAACTTTGACCCACGATCTCCCGACCTCGACAACCCCAACATGAATCCTAACATGAACCCAAGCTTAAATCCCGCTATCAGCACACGGATGATGTACCAACAGATGATGCTCCATCAACAGCACCAGCAGCAGCTTATCCAGAGACGAGAGCGGCTGGCTGCGTTGCAAGCTGCGCACGCTCATGGCGAGCCCCTTTCGCCTCATATCCACCATCCTTCCCACCCAACCCATTCACACAACTCGATTCATCGACACTCTCGTTCTTCGCTTCCACGGGATCCAAGAGACCTACCAATTTCCAGCGATGCTTTTAGTTCAAGAGACCATGATCGCCATGACATGAGGAGACGAAGCTCGTCTAGTACAGCTGTCGGTCTTGCGGGTCGTCCAATAACAGAAGGATTGGAAAAGGACAAAGAAAAGGAAAAGGCCAAGGATGACAAGGATAAAGACAAGAACAAAAGTAAGGACAGCGATATAGGCGACCTCGTAGCGTTTTTAGACGCTGTAGAGAATCCCCCTTCTGGGTCGCGTGCGCAAGATACACCTGGTCTGCTTCGTCGATCCAGTTCTCAGTCTGGTTCGACTCTGGAATGGCCTACGACGACTGCAAGAGAAGGTAGTGGTAAGTAGACTCTTCCTTTTGTAACTTTTTGACTTTCGACACATTGTTTCGTCGAATCTGTTCCTCTCTTCGCAGTCTCTGCATTTTGATCGTCTTAACTGACTATCTTCCTTGAAGGTCCCTCTACATCTCTGAATCCAGTCTCAGCTCCGAATCCAGATTCCACGTCTTCTTCATCCGCCTTTGTCTCGGAACTGAACCTCCCTTCAGGCCTATCGAATTCCGACACGACATGGCTAGATTTTCTATCGAGTGCACCTGCGCCTGGTAATGCTCTCGGTGGTCTCGGTGTCCCTTCCACTTCTGATCCCTCATCCTGGAGTCGAGGACCTAACAGCGGGTTTGGGTCGCACATCGCACATCATTCACCTCTTGGTATGAATTTGAACTTTCGGGGTACAGATCCCTTTGGTGTCGGTAACACTGCGGCATTCGATAGACAGATGCTTGCGGATGTTTTCAGTAACCTTAACGGAACCGACAACAGTGCCGAACCCGGTTCTGGGTCTCTTTCTCGGTCTGCTTCCGGTGCTGGTCCCGGCGGAAGCGATCGTACTGTGGAGACGTCGTTCGGAGGCGTCGGCTCCTTGGCTGGGATGCACGCTATCCCCACTGTTCCAAACATACCCAATATGTCTTCAATCTCAATCCCGATGGATCTAAGTCTAGATATGGATATGGACGGCATGGGTTTTGGTAGGGAACCTGCTGTTGGCGGGGGAATGGGTATGGACAGAAATATCGACAAGGATGAGTTCAACGACGCAAAAACGGCAGAGACATTGCCTACCATGAAAAAACGACGATTGGACAAGGAAAAGGATAAAGGGAAGGAGAGAGAGAAAGTGGTAGTGATACCGGACTCCCCTGCGTCATTGACTGATGGACAAGGTGGGAACGGCGATGGAGGAGAAGGTAATGAAGAAAAAAGCGGAAAGAGTCAGAGGCTGAAGAAACTGAAGAAATCGAAGACAGTAAAGTCGAAATTCGGCTCTGAGCAGGATCGGTCGTCGAAAACAGGGGTTGTGTCTGAACGAGAGGAACGCGAGAAGGACAAAGACTTGAAGGAGCGATCGGGATCCAAAATAAAATTGTCAAAACCCGAACTAGAACGACGTGAGAAGGACGGTGGGTTGGTGCAAGAAGGAAAGAGCTAAGCCCAGATGTCTCGTTTGCAGTTTTACTTTGATTATCATTTTCTGTCAAGGGCACAACTGTAATTTATGTTTTATTCGGTCATCTTGATTATGTCTGTTGGATATTTCTTTTGTTTGGATGGTGTTGGCTTAAAACTTTTCCTTATTCTGTACTATTATGTATATGTATAATCCTGCTCCTCTGACTAACTATCACTGCTTCGCCTCTTCCGATTCCTGGTCATCACTCGTTGTGATTTCATCTCACGTGAGCGTCACTTCACCTGTACCTCGAGGCATTCGACATGTAAACTGCACGCACTTCTTTGTACCAAACCTTGAAAATGGAAATGGAAATCTTATTCACAATGATATTCGGACTGTGCCTGCGATTTGTACTCGGCAGCTCACCTGTGATGGTACAAGGAAAGCTGTATCCAGCGATATTGGGAGTTTGGGAGGGAGCGTGTTTGAGGTATTTGATTAATGGCATACCACCCAGTTCATCTTCGTCGTTGGATCCAATCCTATCGTACGCTGTACGTCTGTGTATTGATTATTTTATCACGGATAGCTTTGGGCAGGTGATTGCGATGGTCGTGTGGAGTTTTCTGGGCGTGTTGGTGGTAGAAAGTGTGGAGGTCGAGAGTATCGATGAACGAAGGTCGAAACGGCCGAAAGGGACTGGATCGTCGTTTACTAGGATACAGGAACAGGTGGTGGATCAATCGACTACGGAAGAGGACACTCTCCCTCTCCCGGTTTCCCCCGCTCAGAACGTTCAAGAATCATCACCGCTCCCCCTATCTCTCCCGTTATCCTCCTCCTCCAGCATCCAACGAGAAGAATATCAACCCGAATACCCCGAAGACGACGTAAACGACGACCTACAAACACCCCTTCCACAATCACGTGTCCTCATTCCCGAGGACGACGACGACAACGACGACGAATTACAAACCCCTCTCGCGTTATTACCTATATCTTCTCTCCCAGAATTATCTATCCCCGCGGATCAATCTATCCTCCTACGTCCAATCCGAAGCACAAGTACCTCTCCCGTCCCAATACCCGCTCCAGCTCTTCCTTACATCACCACATCCTCTCCTCACCCCGCCTCACCCTCCTCCTCCTCCTTACACCTCTCAACTCTTCACCCCCACTCCCACTCCCTTTCCCCCTCTTCCTCCTCCCAACAATCCACTATCCTCCTCTCCCCAACCTCCCTCTACACCCACGCCGACGCGCTCCGCAAACAGGCCTGGAAAGAACACCACTTTCTCAAAACCCAACTCGAAAAAGACCTCGTACGAGCGCGATCCCAAGGAAACACAACAGAGGCGTTCATGTTGCTTGGCGAGATCAAGGACACCTTAGCCAGGATCGACAAGTTGCATGGGAGAGCGAAGAGAAGGTTTTATTTGGCACGAAATAATAATAATAATAATGATAGTAATAATGCTCTCATTCCCACCACTACCACTAGCAACCCCTCGTCCATCGACGTCCATGGTCTCCTCGTACCCGAAGCCATCGACAAAACCGAAGAAGCGTTCCGCGGAGTCTTGCGTACAGGGAATCGGTTCCTCCGAGTCATCGTCGGGAAAGGGAATCATTCAAAGAACGGAATGCCGAAATTGAGACCTGCGATTATACACGCTTTTACTCAGTTGCGTGTATTTCCCTTTTCGTGACTTTCTCTCTCTCTCTCTCTCTGTGACTGATTGGATTTCATACATAGGCATGGGTTTAAATGTACAGTCGATGTAAACAACTCAGGGATCGTCATCCTCGAAGCTCCGTCTCCGCCACTGGTTCCTCCCCATCCTTAGTCAATTCCGATGTAAATTTCATGTGTTGTTTGTTTGGTTATATGTTATGTACAATATTGTTTGTTGTATTATATAACTGTGTCTTTGTCTTGAGCAAAAAAAAAACCCCTTACAGTTCAAAGGCATCCATCCATCCATCCATTCAGACGAAAAGAATTCAAAAAAATCAAAAACTGACAACTGATTCGACCCGGGCTCGAACCGGGGACCTTCTGTGGGACATTTCAATGAAAATGTGGAAACATGTTAGACAGATGCGATAACCAACTACGCCATCGAACCATATACATCCATTTGACCATGAAGAATATCATCTCAACAAGCAATCACCAAAAAAATCAGTCCAGTGAAGAATTTTGGAGGTGATTGAATCATAATTGTTTGGGCTTTAGCCCCGCGCTCCCACCCAAATGAAAATCACACGTGAGTTAAAATAGTAGCATACAACTAGGTTAGGTGAAACTAAGTTGGTTGTGGGTGAGTAGCAAGAACAACGCAATAACTTTGAGTGGTGATAAAAGTCTGTGAAAAGATAGGCATAATGTTGAGACAGATTTAATAACCAACCACCACCATCAAACCATATACAAATGTGGACCATGGAGAATATCCCCACCAAAAATAAAAACAGAAAAAAAAATCCCACTTGAGGGAATTACCAGAAATCCAATGCAACTGATGATTTGCCCAATATAGCTCATCCATGGGGTAAGAGGACATGAAATTGTAGATGGAAGGGAGGTGGCGTCATGCCCTGACCCATTTCTTGCTTCCCCCAAGCTTCCCCAAGTTCCTCAGAAACCTCCCTCACACTTCCATCCTCCTTAAGAACCCCTTACACTACCTCTTCACACCTCCTATATTCTTCAATACCCGCAACAGCTCCCAAGATGTCAGCCTCACCATCACCCTGAGGACTAGGGACCTTTCCAACTATGTACAACACCCTGTCATGGTTCCTGTAGCTCCCTTCGAGCTCCAGCTTGTGTTTAGCACACTACAGTGTAAATTACCTATACCAACTTTACCCATAAGACCAATTCTGACCCAGGTCTTACAGTAGCATCTCATTTCTATACTTAGGGCTGATCACTCCTTATGACCTGCTTGCATCTTAGAAAAACAAAGTAGTTGTGGAGCTTGGGGAAACAGCCAGAAAAATGCTTATACTACCTGATCCTAAATCTCAAGTTTACTTTGCATGTAAATTCATTCCTTTTCAAGACTAAATTCATGCGAACTATTAGAGCAAATATGAGTCAAAAACAATCACTGCCAACCTCTCTTCTGTATCCAATCACATGGATTAAGATCAAGATAAGGTTGAACTTTTTTGGGTAAGCATTGCTCTATGTTTGGTATTTTTGTCTCTCAAGCAACATCCCAACTCTTAAGCAAACTGTTGCTGTATCATCAGGTTGGGATACTAATGCACTTACAGATCTTACATTGAGGGGAAAACCTTTTAAATGAACCACAGCTTGTCAAGCTACAAAACAAAAAGAATGAGGTAACAGACTTTTACATATATCAACATGTTTGACTTAGCCTGCTCAGGCCACAAACAAAATTCGGCAATTGATAGCTAATGAACAATCTCGAAAAGTCAAAAGCAATTGTGTAAGTAATAAAGACTCAATCAATATGCTGCATGCATGTTGAGAGACTGCTGTGTTTAATATAAGTAAATAAAGTGCATGTTGTATCAGTAAGCATGAATAATAGGTCAGGTGACAATGTAAGACAATATAAGACAAGATATGAGATAAGGGAGATAAAAGATGAGACAAGATAAGGAAAAAAAATAAGATAAAAAGAAGTAATCGTAACAGGAAGTCGGACTGAGATGTCTGACATTGATTTAAAGAAACCCTTCTACTCTGCCCTACTTCCAGGGATACAACAGAATCTGATCACAGTAAACATTGGTCAAGGAGTTGCTCGGACCCTAAAGGAGGCCATCACACAAGCTGTATCAGTGGATGTCTACTTGCATGACCCCATCCTGACTGGTCAAAACCTCAGACCTACCCGCTAACGAGCTTGCCTCGTTTTTGTGTGAAAGAGAAAGGAAGGAATCTAATGGGCACTCCAACCAACCAATCTAATACACAATATGCGAGTTCACTGCTATCAAATTTATTTAATAGCAAGGGGTAGCATTGGCAAAGGTTCCGCAAAGCTTTGAGAGCTAAGTAAGAAGCTTCGATCAATCAATTTGAATTGTTCTTAGGATTCGATATATTCCTTTGATCAAGGTAGATTCAACATGATTTGTGCTTTGATTGTATTGATATGGGTATATCAAGAATTGGGGGTTTGAATCAAAGTAAATTAAAACCAAAACACACAGACCCCTCGGAGGGTTAGAACTATGTGCTGGCACAACCACACAGCGTGATTTGCCCTTAAGACCAACGACTGATCCTAAGTTCGAAGAATACCCAACAACTGGATATACTTCTCGCAGTCACAAGGAGCAGAACATGATGTTCCTATACTCACAAGTGCTGGGCTCGAATGGCTGCTAGCAAAGAGGTTTCAGTCTGGCGGGAGTGTGTCTTTCCTTTTTACGGATTAGCACTGCAACGTCGTCCCAAAATCACTTGTATTCCAGATACATCGGATCGCTATTTATACATACAGGATATAGAGTTGCACAGTACAATTAATTTAATAAAATAAACATTCGGAACTGCAAGGAAGCTTCTACAATCAGTCAAATACCATTTAATTTGAATCTTCATGTCCTTATTTGGTCCATAATGGTTCCAAGATTCTAGTATACCTCCAAACATAGGTAGGTACTTTGATATTCATTTAATTTAATTGTTTTGGAGAATGACTCGAATGGTGTTCGGCTGTCATTGCTGTTCAACACTTACTTTCATCGTTTGTCACCTCGTCCGGAGGCAAATCAGCTCTCCTCGATTCTAATCCTATTAATCTGATTCATCTGGATTAAACTAATTGCTTCTCTCTTTCAATAGACACCCATTGTGCCTATACTCTATCAAAGGAGTTACACATAGTATTCATTTAATTGCATTCTTCAATATTTTCTACGTCAGGACTCTTTGACATTCATTTGATATGTCTTCGGAGCCTCGCAGTACTTTGATCGTTCTTCTAGTCATTTTCCTCAACTATGCAACCTGATTGGTCTATTAGACTAAATCACAGTCTTTTAGATTAATGCATGATCTCGTTCTAGAAGGAGTATTCGATAATTCCTGAGTTCTAGAAAGTCATTTCGAGTCAATCCTCGGCTCATGGTCACTTGAGTAAGTTCTTCCAAACTCCTGCCAGTGTAAGGTCCAATAAGAATACCCTTGGTATGTCATACATGAATGGTCATCCTTCGGATGTAGTCCAAGTCTGGTATAATCCTGCTTGACAAACAGGTAGACTGCTATCCGGAGGTCATATCGGGGATGGGTAAACTAACCAACTTGTGGTAGTATGGGTATATGGTCCCTTCAACTTATTAGACTGATTCAGTATTGACTTTGACTGTCAATCTGGGTCTCAATTACAGTCCTTTTGATATGAATCTATATGTGAAAATGTCACAATTCACAGCATAGACGTCTAGCCAAAATTTAGGCGTGTCACCGCATGCGAAGACAATGCTTTAGCTCAAGGTCATGTCAAGCAGACTTGCCCACACCGAGAAACCACCTGCCATTACTGTGGACGTTGAAGACATCAGGAAGCAATCTGCCAGGGCAAGTTCATGGGACTTGGACGAGGCCGAAGCCAACACCAGCAACCTCGGTGCCAGGGCTCGAACCAGGGGCCTTTTTTTTTGCTAGCTAAGCTGGGGAACAGGCGGAAGCCCAAAAAAGCAAACCTGTCCAAATTCCCTTCCTTGCCTAATTGAGCATCCACTGTTCACGTCCGAGTCATGATCGAATACGAAGCCTATACATGCTTGTACACATGCACCTCTTTGAAAAGTATCTTGACTGGTCTCTCTGCCAATGCGCATTTCAGCACCAGTGGGCATCAACTGTTTCTAAGCTGGCACAGGAAAGAGCTTAGGGAGCAAGCGTGCTGTGAGTACACTCAGGCCTAATTTTTTGCCTCGAAAGCAGCAGGTTTGGTGAGTAAATAATTGAGCTCAATCTCACTTCTGTAATTCTTATAATGCGTTTAATTTCAGGCCGTTTCGAAATCCTCTATTTCCTCATGTTACCTTTCCAACTGCTCCTTCCTTGCGCAGGGTTCGACAGCACTGGTTGCATACACACGAAACAGCATTTTTCTGGGCACTGCTATGAACGTGCTTTTGTAATTATAATGGTCAGCAGTCATTGTGTAGATCCCACTGCATTGTGCAAGCTGTAGCCCAAGGGTTACTCTAAAAATGAACTACCCACCTCAAAGCTGGGTACGGCCTGAGATATGCTGCGGCGCGTCCGGTTCCATTTTCAGAGAAATCTTTGTGGTTACACATTGCCTTTGCTTCCTCTCTCTTCTTTCAGATCTCAATGCCTATATACGTCTCACAAGCTGCTGGCCACGAGACCTGTGACCTATGTCAATGTGGCTACCTCTCCTCAACATGCTCGTCATTCGGTGATGTCACTCGATTGGTCACTCATCTGAAGGTGCGCTTCTTGTTCGGGCAACTCATCTGAAGGTGCGCTTGAAGAGAGGGACCTTTTGCGATGGGGTGACTCATCTAAGGCTGAGAGGTACCCTTCGCGATGGGGGGGTTTGGCTACCTGTCTGTCTCTTTCTTTCCTTCGCTCACAATGGCTGCAACATCCGGGCTCGCTTACAAAAGAAAACGTTTCAATGGGGAGGTTCTTCAAGAACGCCTCTGGAACAACCCAGTCCTTAAAGCTCATTTTGACTCAAGCCGTGATGTTCACCATTACAAAAAACTTACATGTCCCACCATTCGTGACCACGATTTGGTCAAAGAGCATTATAGGCAATTTACTGCCTACCTTCAACAACTCTTCGACGAAGGAAAGTCTGAAAAACCTCCTCAGGCTCCAGAAATAGTTATAGGGACCCCTTTGCCTACCCTTGGTATGTTGACATTTGATTGTATGCGGTCTTTTTCACTCACGCTCTCACACCTTAGAGTACATGAAGGACTTTCTCTGCTATCTAGCGTCGGCACTCCAGGGTAGAGACACCTCTACTTTCATTCGTTACAAAACCCTGAGAGGTTACATGTACACCTTTTTGGCTCTCTGGCCTTGCTATGCGAACATTCATCCAACAACAGCAATCCGCTATCAACTTAACACTTATATTCAGTCCGACGAATTGAAGACATCTATGAACCTTTCAACCAAGATCAGGGATTTGAAGCACGTTGAACCTCAATGTCTTCAGATCCTGATGGAGACTCTTCATTCAGCCTCAAACATCTTCCGCTCTCACCAAACCCAGCTCCAGATAGCTTTTCTTATCCTTTTCTCTGCTGCTTCAGCTGCTCGTCCTGGTTCTATCATTGAATCAAGTTGTTATCATGGTTCCAATGAAGCTCTCACCTGGGGTGACCTTGATTTCTATCTCATCCCTGATGATGAGGATCCAGCCCATCCCTCGCTTGTTGTCAACATTCAGCTCAACCTTGTCAAGGGTTATTGCGAAGTGGACCACAGATATCAAAAAGTTCTCTTCACCCTGGAAATTCGCAAAGAGCATCGTATGACCTGCATCATTCTACCACTTCTTGGTCTTGCATTCCAAGATTCAGTTTTTGCTCATTTCCACTCAGTTGACAGCCTGCTTTGCCCTGAAAGACCGCACACCACCCGTGTTAAGCTCCTTCTTCAAAACGAGGTGATGAATCTTCTTGTATTTCGAAAGGAGGAACAAGGAGGAATATCTGATACTGAGGCAATGACTCATGGTTCATGGCTTTCTCATTTAAATAAACTGTCTATTGCCGCAGGATTCCCAAGTACGTTTGAGTACTGTCTTGCTTATACACATGCATCTCATTTCTATCCTTAGAGCCACTTACTCCTTATGACCTGCATGCATCTCAGGGAAACAAAGCAGACGTGGAGCTTGGGGAAACAGCTAGAAAGACGCTCATGTTACACGATCCTAAATCTCAAGTTTACTTTGCACGTAAATTCAATCCTTTTCAAGACCAAATTCTGACAGAACTATTAGAACAAATACAAGTCAAAAACAATCACTGCCGACCTCTCTGCTGTATCCAATCGCAGAAATCAAGACCAAAATAAGGTCGAACTTTTTTGGGTAAGCATTGCTCTATGTTTGGTTGTTTTGTCCCTCAAGCAACCTCTCAAATTTTAAGCAAACTATTGCTGTATCATCAGGTCGAGACACTAATGCACATATGGATCTTACGTTGAAGGAGAGGGAAAACCTTTTGAATGAACCAGAGCTTGTCAAGTTACAAAACGAAAAGGATAAGGTAACCAGACTTTTACATATATCGACATGCTTAACTTAGCCTCCTCAGGCCACAAACAAGATTTGGCAATTGCTAGCTAACAAACAATCTGAAGAAGTCAAGGTTCAAATCGCTGAGTTGCGCCGAATTGCCGCCAAAGCCTATAACACCCATTGTGTCCTATATTGGGGAGAATTGTGTTTACGTATCAAACAAGCTCGTCAAAGATTCTTTGATGAAGCATCTGTCCGTCAAATGCTCAGTCCGGTGCGTAATTTATTATATTATCATGAAATTTGTTGAATTCAAGTATAACACAGTCGGAGCCAATTCTGTTCAAAGGCCTGATGGCTGGTAACTCAAATGACAGCAAATATAGGATTGAATCCTCATTCCTAAGTCTGGTCAATGATCTTGATACTGGTGATCTTGTCAGCGATTATTGCACACTGGTCAATATTCTTATTTCACAGCCGGAACGAATACTCTATCATAAATTTTATCCTGGAGAAAAACCTGACGATGAAAACAAGTGTCCTCATTGCTCACAAATACTCACGTAAGAATTTCCATTCTTACATGGCTATATATGTTTGCTTATTCATGTATCGACAGGAACCTGCCATCCACTACCAAGCCAGGTGAACAGGTCCATCACTGCACCCGAAAGGTTCTTTCAGAGAAGGCTACTGCTCAGGTTCAAGCACAGTTTACCCCCCAGGAATGCAAATATGGACATTGCTCTAAATTTTTCAATCAATGGTCAGAGTTCATAACCCATCTGATCAAGGCCAGTATCTGTTACTCTCGTGGATTGATTCTGCTGACCCTATTATAGACACATTTTAGAAAGATGTATACTTGTTGTAAATGGCAAATTTCACCAGGGGTAACATGCGATGCAGAAGACGTAGAGGATTGGAGAGCACATTTTTCTGAGCTCCATGGTTTTAACCTAGATGAAAGCATCTTGACTGAATACTGTACGATCTGCGGAATCTGGTATGAATCATATCGCTAGGTGACTGGTTCAAACTTACCTGCCATTTCAGGTTATATGACATTGTTGGTGATTGTCAGGAGCTCAACAATCACCATCTAGCTCATTACGCGGACCTATTTGATTCGTTCAGTTCACGGCCTCCGGAAGGCACTAGCATCTCTCTTTTGCCTGTCGGGATCATCGAAACAGAAAAATATATGAATATACTCCTGGAACAGGATTTAACGGTCAATTGCCTGAGTTCCATGGACATGTTTCTGACAATATTGCACTTGTTCCTGGTTTCTGCCCAAGTTGTGTATTCAATGAGGATTTGCCTATGCGTAAACGCATGCATCAGTTAGTTTGCCTTTTGAATCCAATCTGCTCCTTTTTCATTTTCTGTGGTTTAGATTCATTGGCTTGAACCAGCTTATGACGCATTTCAATACTGTTCACCAGCCACATTTTTCCAAATCCGAAAACCTATGTCCTGTGCCCTCCTGTGGTCACCATCGTTACCATCGTTTTGCCGAACAAGAACTTTTAATTCATTTGATCAAATTCCATCGTATACCGCTAGCTGGTTCTGGTAAACATTCCAAGGTTAAACGTCTTCTCCTTCCCTGTCATGCCCTGACCATAACCAGACCAGCACCAGCATCAGCCCACACGTTCTCACATTCCCGACTCTCCTCCCACCTCCCCAGGACGTCCCTGAGGCAGTACGCACCTCCCCAAGACAGTAACCTGAAAACGTCCGGACAACCATTCCGACACGCGTACGAAGCCCTCCGACACCAGCCCCATTAAGTACCAATCTCGATCGCCTGTCTCTCTCGATTATCTGCCTCATGCCCCCTAGGTTCTGATGTTCCCTTGTTCACTTCCCGTACCTATTTAAGTAGCTCCGCAACGTCCCCAAGCGCCAGCTTGGTATATTTTGAACACACACCCTTTACATAGGTCCAGTCCCTGTCCCTTTGTACCTGCTACCTATACGGAATTCTCTCTACTCTCTGTTTCTCTACCTCTGTTTCTCTCTACTTCTGTCTATTGTCTCTCTGATCGTCTATACGACCGAATATACGCTTTCACTTCAAGTCTAAGCCTTCCGAGTGAGTCTCCGAGCTCCCTCGAACATTACTAAAGCTCCCCAACGCCTACCCGCTTGGTGAGCTACCCTTCCCCAAACCTCCCAGAGCTCCCTAGCTACTTCGTAAGCTTCGGGACCTCGATCTAGGTAACGTCGAAGCTACCCCTCACGTCGAACTACGTATTGCTTCTCCGTTACCACCTCCCACACTCGAGGACGACCATCCTCAAACCTAGTCCCCAGGGACCTACCCTCCCTGGCAGATCCCTTCTCGGGAGCTTACACCCTTGAGACCCCGTTGCATAAACTACCTACTCGACTCTATATTGACGTTCTAGCGAGTACAACTCCTACTACGCAATATCTTACGGTCCCGCACTCGTCCTGAACCTCCCTACGCATTAGGGACCTCCCTGGACCTCCTAGGAACCCCTCAAGGGTCACCATCTCGTCGTTCCAACCACTACTAGGTCATTCCCGTCCTCGGTCGCGGTTCTCGTAGCTCCCTTCGAGCTCCAGCCTGCTCCTAGCACGCTACAACATAAACCTCCACATACCAAAACCTACCCTAAGACCTATTTTGACCCAGGTCTTACATTCCCTCACCTGATAGGGAACCTCTTACACATAAGAGGACGAAGAGATCAGAGGGGTTCCGTTGTATAGGGTGCTCCGTGGTGGTCAGTGACATCAACAAACACCTGCAGAGGAAGCAAACTACCGAGCAAGCAAAGCATTGTGTTTACACCGCGAAGTACTCTATTGTCACAAATGGTGAACGCGGTCCTGTTCAAATTTGGACTGCTCCATCGTTGGTATGTCTTTTAGTTCTGTGCTTTGATTTGCCTGCACCTGATACTTTTACTTTTGATATCAATGTAGTCTGAGTCTCAAGATTGATCTGAATGTTCAAACAATCTTCACTACCAGCTTTTTATACCCTTCTTACTATCACACAAGACACCTTGTATCTCACTACTGTAACGAATGTAAACACTTATTTGAACTTCGGAGTGTTAGACAGATGCAACATTCCATTCAATAATTGTCAAGTCATGTTAGACAGATGTGATAACCAACTACGCCATCGAACCATACATAAGTGGTTGACCATGGATAATAATTTGAACATGGAGAATATCCCACCGGAAAGAGAAATTCAGCGTAACTGATATACCATGTGACCGTGGATGAGCTATAATCGGTCTCATGATATATCATTTGAACTTATCGGAATTTTTTTCTCTTTCATCTATGTACATATCCTGCACAAATATTATTGTACTCCCTTGATGGCAACTTGATGGTAAATGTGCCCTTTTGTAGTTATTATTACAAAGGGATAAAACTTTGGGATTCTTTACTTTAATGCCTTCTACTTCCAGGATCTTCTCCTGGTGCTAGAAAAGTACCACTACCGAGTTTCCTCGGGTGGCGTATACAAAAAGAATGAAGTACTATACTCCACTACGTAGTAGAAAAGTACCACTACCGAGTTTCCTCGGGTGGCGTATACAATGAACGAAGTACCATTACCAGGCCAAGCTCGAATGGCATATACTCTTTGAAATATACCTCTACAAAGCACCAACGTGTGCATGCCCCAGTAGCTTTTAAATTTGTTCTACGTTTACCTCACTGTATTGGTCAGCTGGTCATCGCGTTTGACGCTCTTACCTCCTCTCAACAGTCCCACCATTACTGTCAACCCAAGGATGACTCAAAATGAACTGCCCACCTCAAAGCTGGGTACGGCCTGAGATATGGCGCGGTGCATCCGGTTCCATTTTAGAGGAGTCCCGTTGTTTGAACATTGACTGTCATCTCTACTCCTTCACTGTCACTACACTTTTCCACAAGGCCATCTCTGTGTCGTCGCTTGGGACTTCAGCCAAAGTATAGCGACCGAGTCATAGTCGGACTGCGAGCGGATGCTTCTAAATGTCTCATGGCAAGAGTAATTTCCAATGCTCATGATGTAAATTTTCACCTGCACTGCCCTTGCACCGTCCTCTTACACTTTAATAACCAGACCTCTGTCTCGATCCGGTTACCCCCCACCATGGACCTACCGTCTACACAAAGTATCACCGGATCTCCCTCCCCCTCCATGCCTTCTCCGGGTCATCCAACCCCTCTCACTTCACTTGCTCCATTGGCGCGGTCTCAGGCTCAGAACACGTCCCCAAATACTGGGGCAAGTGTAACATCTTCTCACCAAAATGCACCTACTGCAACTACCACACGCCAACCGGATATCCCAATTCCAACTACGAATGTCTGTAGCCTACAACGCCAGTATAGTCGGACGTTCTCTACAGTTACTGCATCACCCAAAGGCAAGGAACCTGCTGAACCACGCCCTCAGGCATGCTCTAGCTCATCACCTGCTATCGAGCCTGCTGAAAAAGAGGCCTTTGAGTCCCTCAATCTCACTCCTCCGCCCCCATCCGAAACTGCCACCCAAGCACGAAATCGGACCAACGACAACGTCGCTCGTCTGGCTGTTCTTATTCATCACATGCGCCAGGGTGCTGAAAGCAAACGTCGACTTGTTGTTGACAACATGCAGGACCTAGCAGCAGTTCAAGCCTCCCTCCGTGAAGCCTTCGATACTTGCATGAATGAGTCGGGGATGTGCTCAGATGTTCCAGTCTCTCAAGCACCAACAATGCCTCCCACTCTCGCAGTCTTTGACGAGTGGAAGGACATGCATGAGGCAGTTCGCACTATTATGGAGGTCAATCGTGAACATTCCAATACGATGAACCTACTCCAGTTACAAATGGGGGAAGTTCGGGATCGTGTTCCTGAACTGGAGAAAGAAATTGCAGAGTTACATGGTCGCCTATCTCAAGCAACGCTGCACTCGCCGCCACCGCCGCCGCAACCCCTCCCTCCTCTTGCTTCCAATCTGATCCCTGCTGCTTCACTCTTTACATCCCCCTATTCAGCGATGCCTAAACATGCTACAGTGGACTTTGCCCAGCCTGCGGCTAAGCGTGCTCGCCACGATCCTGCATACACGGACGTCTTGGTAGAGGGGGTCAAGTCTGACGAAGGCACTGCTAGCCTTGTCAGGAAGATACTTAATGCGACAAACACTGCCTTTCCCACTGTGATCGCAGGGTATCGTATGAACGACCCGGGTCTACCGCCTCATGTCGTCATTCGTTTCAAGGCAGCAGATTCCGCTTCCCAATTTGTGTGGATTGTCACCGAGCGCTGCCCAAGAGGCCTTCAAGGCTGTCGTGTTTCACTTATGCAGCGTCCCTCTCCTCAGTCTACGCACTCTTATGAGTTCCTTCAGCCCAAGAATAGTGGTGTTGGCAATCAACAAAGCATACGAGCCCCCGGTTATGGTCCTCCGGATGATATTTCCGGACTGGGATCTGGTCCCATGGGATGGTGAGGCAAACGATGTCTTATTGAATACTTTTTGTCCTTACTATCACACCTAAAATGTAGTGACTCTTGTGAACAGCTTGATGACGGTACTACTACCTTTTCCTCTTCTACCACTCACCCGCAGTCGTAAGCGGTCTTTCTGATCCTTTATAAAGACTATTCCAAGCTAACTACGTTAAAAGTATTACGGTAGTTGATTGGAATATACATGGCCGGCTTATCTTGAAGCTACATGATCCCGTCTTCCTGCAATATATTGAGAAGTTTGATATTGTTATGGTGGAAGAAACATGGCTCCGACCGGGTCAAGAGGACTCACTACCTCTCCCCAAAGGCTACGATATTATATCATCCCCACGCCCTGACCGACTTCAGCTGAAACGTGCTGGAGGTGGTGTTGCCGCTATCTTTCGCTCAAGTCTGGATATTGATGCTCGTCCTGATCTCTCTGCTCCGGATGTTGTGGTGGTGGAAACCCCCGATTACTTTCTTATCGGTGGGTACCTGCTACCCTCCGGCTCGCCATATGGTGATTGGTCAGAAATTGACCCAAAGGAGTCTATGGCGAGTGTTATAACTCGATGCTGTTCCAGCTCAAAGCCGGTCTTTGTACTTGCTGACTTAAATGGCCGCACCGGTAACCACGTATGCTGCGCAGACAGTCCACCCAGGTCATCACTGGATACTGTCTCGAATGCAAGAGGTAACTGGATTCTGCGACTTGGCGCAGACAATGGGCTCCATATACTCAATGGAACTTCCTTTGAAAGCTCTTCCCCGGGCCAACTCACATCGTTTCAGCCAATGGGTGCATCAGTAATTGACTATGTGCTGGCATCCACAGTAGACAATCTCCGTCCTGGTGCCATGAGTATTTCAAAATCCCTGCTCTCAGACCACGCCGCACTTGAGTTAACTATCCCCTACCACCCTCATGTCACACAGCCTGTTTTGGGGAACCCAGTCAGTGAGCCCCCAGCCTCTCATCACCTCCCTCCTACGAGCCTCGATACCCTGGTCCAGGATGCATTGGCGGTGATCCCGACAACTGCTCAGGCCATTGACAACTTATATGGCCCAACCTTTGCGGATAATGGGACACTGACAGTGTACCTTGCTGCTTCTTGCTCACGCTGCAGAGATGGTGCAACACAAGCTGCCCTCTCCTCCTACTGGGGTGTGAACAACATCCACAATGCCTGTTATCGTATCTCAGCAACTCCTAAACCCACTGCAAACCGCGCTATTCTCTGTGCAACTATACTGGCTCTTCAGGCTGCTGCTCAGAGGCCAGAGAAACGTCTTCTCCTCTATACTTCCTCGGAGTATCTCATCCGCTCTTTCTGCTTCTGGGCTGCGGATAACGCGGAGCATGCCTGGGATTGTGCTCATAGTGATGTCATAAAGCTTGCTGTCTCCCTCCTATGCAGTCGCATTGCTCCTGTTGAATTCCGCAAGGCAACTGGCAAGCTGAATGGTCATCTATGTAAAGCTCTTGAGTTAGCCTCAAAAGCAGCAAAGGATGCGGGAGCCTCTACTTGGGTATTACCTGCAGATCATCCTCTGTCACAGCCCACCCTGGGTTATCCTGGTGTGGAAAGGTCCGGTACAAGAAAAGTGTCCACTAACCTACCCGAGCATGCGCCAGTGAATGCCAAGTCAATTGGGGCCCCCCATGACCCGGATCGAGAGGAGGATGATGCCCCCACTAGGGAGTCCCATAGGGGTAGAGATCGTGAGCGTGAACACCAACATGCAAACATGTCCAGGTTGATTTCATGCAATAGTGCTCATTCCTTCTGGGGTTATGTGAGGGAGTGGACTGATGCAAAGAAACGGCCTGTACGTGTCACTGCCTCCCAACTTCACGACGTGTTTAAAGCACGACTGAACCCCCTTCCTGACCCCCCCCCAACACTTTGACAACAACATCCGGCAGCTGAATGCTGCACTCTCTGATTCCATTCCGCGAACCACTTTGGATCATACAAATGGTCAGTTCTTCTCGAGACCTATTTTGGAAGGCGATGTTGCCCAGTGCAAGAAGAAACTTAGGCACCGTAGTACAAAGAGTGCACGGGGCGTTGATACTATATCATACCAACAAATTGAAAAGATCCCCAATACTACTCTCGCTGCCCTGTTCAACCGATGCATCTTCGATATTGACACGCCACAGCAGTGGTTTACAACTGTGCTGGTGGGGATACTAAAAGTTGGCCTGAATGCGACTGAGCCTGACAGCTACCGAATTATTGGCTTGGAGTCTTGTCTACTGAAGATGCTAACCCTAATCATTGACCACCGAGTACGTGAGTGGGCTGAGGAAATGGATGTGTTACCAAGGTCCCAGAATGGTTTTCGGGAGGGGTACCATACACACAATTGTTACGATCACTTCTTTTTCATCTTATCTTTCTCCTTATCCCTTGTCTTATCCTTTATCTTTTGTCTTATCTTCTATCTCCCTTATCCTATATCTTGTCTTATCTTGTCACCTGATCTATTATTTATGCTTACTGATACAACATGCGCTTTTCATTTACTTATATTAAACACAGCAGTCTCACAACACATATACAGCATGGCGATCAAGCTTTCATTACTTACACATTGCTTTACTTATGTTCTACTCATGTTTACCACTAACCCAGGGCGTTGGGCATTACTAGGGCAGAGGGTTGTTCACTAGTATATAGGCTGTAGCTACTTGCTGTATTTCCTTAGCTTTGATCTCGTCTATTCTACCTGGTTTAGCCCAGAACTTTGCTTACTTCTTTTATCGCCTTACTGTTTGAGGTTTTCTTGAGTGTGACACCTGGTGACACCCGTTACTAGAACCAGTCGCTGACAGAAGATCAAAGCTATTCTTACCACCTGTCACACGCTACGCAATCATATCCCTATCACAATTATCCCCGCTCACATTTTTACCAACCCTTCACAGACTTCTACTCTCTATTCGAGCAGTGTCGCCTATAGTACAAAGGTGTAACGTTGAGTCCGACACCGTACTGGCAGACGAAAGCGTTGACTGATCACTAATCTTCGGAGAGGGGTCTTCGCGTGCACAACAAGCTCCATTCCTAGACAGGGAGGGTGCATCTGTTCATCAAGCGAGAGTGGAAGGCTGCTTCCCACATCATCGTACTCTATTTTCGAAATCTCTCCCACACTACTCTCGACTTCTACAAATCCAATCATACATTTTCCCATCATCACCACCGGGTTGCATTAGTAACTCGTCTTCCTTACAACGGATTTTACTTCAAGACTAGGACGACCTAGACTTTCGGTACAAACCGATCGTTACCGTACCCCCGATTCATCTGCTCCATCCACTTCATCTTCTATTGAACGAAATATCACCTCATTCATACCTGCCTACATACCACCCAACTACAGCATGTCTAACCCTACTCCCGCTCCCACCACCACTACCTCCAACACTCATGGCAAGTCGTTACTCAGAGAACCTAGCATCTTTGATGGCAATAAAGCGCAGTTCAAAGAGTGGCGTCGTACCCTCTTTGCCTACATTCGTGATCCAAGGAATAGGATCGTTACAGACAGTGAAAGAATTGACATTGCGGTCTCGTATATGCGAGGTCCCAAAGTCAGTAGCTGGGTCCAGAATTATACGGACGATAATTTCAATGACGATGAGAAGGAATGGAAAGTCACCTGGAAAGGATTCAAGGACGCATTGAATGCCTCCTTCCTAGACAAAGGACTTACAGAGAACGCACAGGAGAAGCTAGAACATCTCCGTCAGGGCCCCAATGAGAGGGCAGAGGATTTCTTCAAGGAATTTGAAGTCATCATGAGAGATGCTGGATATGCTAAGGACGCCCCCTACGTTATCAGACTGATTGAAATGAACGTAAAGCCGAAACTGATCGACCAAGTGTACGGCACCAGCAATGAGCGAATCGAAAAATTCGATGAACTCAAACAGAAGATTATCAGCATCGACGACATGTGGTGGCGTCGTGAGGAAATGTGACGAAATTGGTCAAGCAGATACCAGCGGAATGCTGGGCAAGGACCTAGTAGCCAGAGATGGCAACCACAAACGACACAGGCTCCCGCAACTAAGGCTCCGACCCCTGCGGTACCCACCCAGGATAGGAAAGACGGCACTGGAACGACTTTCAAAGGTGCAGGCAGACCAATGGATATTGATGCTGCGCGTCGCAACAGGGAATGTTTCCATTGTGGCAAGCAAGGCCACATTGCAAAGTTCTGTCCAGAAAAAGCACCAAAGCCACAGTTTGTCAGAGGCATGTGGAGCCGGATGACACAGGAGGATCAGGAGGCTATGGCCAAGGAATTGGGTTTTGTCCTGCCCCAGCAGTAGACGCAGGTCTGCCGGGGCCAATCTCAGAATCAGTATCGGACTTTTCGTCATCGTCATATGTAGACAGTCAATTTAGTTTTGAATTTGGTAGTACTGGTACACCCAATAAAAATAACTTATCTACAATGACGACCCGAGCTGAGAAAAAACCTGTGAGATATGAACCAAACACACCTGAATGGGTGGCGCAGCGGTTACAAATGGACAAACTCCCTATGGCTATAGGAATCCTTAGAGCCTGGATGCCTGAAAGCCGTGTCAGAGAAGCATCGGAAGAAACGGTATTGGCTATACAAAATCTGAGTCATGCAACCGCAACTGAAGCAGTTACCAATCTCAAAAGTCGTAAGAGATTCGTCCGAGGTACCCGAGGATGTGAGCTAAAGTTGCGAACCACTATTGAGAATATCGACAATGGTGTACAGATTGAAACGGAAGCCCTCCTAGACAGCGGAGCCACAGGGTCCTGTATCAATAAGGATTTTGTAGAACAGCACCAGCTCACTGTTAAGGAGTTACCAGTCAAAATGCCAGTCTATAACGCCGATGGCACTCTGAACAAAAATGGTTCCATAGAAGGCTATGTACAAGTCCGAATGGTGATAGGAGATCATGCCGAACGGATAGATATGGCAGTTACCAATCTAGGCAAGACAGATATCTTTCTAGGCATAGACTGGCTACGTTACCATAATCCTAGCATTGATTGGAAGGAATCTACGTTAACGTTCGAACGTTGTCCTGACAAATGCGGGTATTTGCCACACTATGAATCACCTGAGGATGATGGTACAGAGGAAAAACTTGTCGATGGTGAAAGGATCTTCTGGTTCGATTGGGATGGGTATCTTTCTGACCAAGGCCATATCAAAGTACAAACTGCCACTACAAATGCCGCTACTCCGTACCTTGCCGAGTATGCTGACGTATTTAGTAAAAAAGACTTTGACCAAATGCCAGAAAGACGTCCATGGGATCATGCCATAGAGTTAACGCCAGGCTCCAAACCAGTTGACTGTAAAGTCTATCCCCTCAGTCCACCGGAACAGAAGGCTTTAGATGAATTCCTAGAGGAAAACCTTAGATCGGGACGAATACGACCATCACGCTCACCCATGGCTTCACCTTTCTTCTTTGTCAAAAAGAAAGATGGAACACTACGGCCTGTACAGGATTATCGAAAGCTAAATGACATGACTGTCAAGAATCGATATCCACTCCCGTTAATCCAAGAACTCATTGATAAACTGAAGAATTCCAAGATCTTTACCAAAATGGATGTCTGATGGGGATTTAATAACATCCGGATCAAAGAAGGAGATGAATGGAAGGCAGCATTCAGAACAAACAGAGGCTTGTTCGAGCCCACAGTTATGTTTTTCGGACTTACAAACTCACCCGCCACGTTCCAAGCATTCATGAATCACATCCTTCGAGAGCTCATTGATCAAGGATACGTCATTGTCTATATGGATGATATCCTTATCTTCACGGACAACATTGAGGAACATCGGATCATCGTCAGAAAGGTTCTTGACATCCTAAAAGCCAACAAACTGTACTTAAAACCTGAAAAGTGCACCTTTGAGGCTAGGGAAGTTGAATATCTTGGAATCATCGTAGGAAATGGACAAATCCGGATGGACCCAAAAAAGGTTGAAGCAGTTCGAACCTGGCAGCCACCACAGAAAAAGCGCAAACTACAATCGTTCCTAGGGTTTTGCAACTTCTTCCGCCGGTTCATCCGAGATTTCAGTAAAATTGCCAAACCCCTAACACGGCTCACAGGGAATGCGACTTGGGAATGGACATCTCTTGAACAAGATGCGTTCAATCAACTGAAAGACCGGATCATCAAAGACGTCACTCTCATTATCCCAAGAGAGACTGGAAAGTTCCGGATTGAAGCTGATTCTTCCGATTACGCAAATGGTGCTGTCTTATCACAAAACGTCGATGGAAAGTGGAGACCAGTAGCCTTCAGGTCCAGGTCACTTAACGAGGTTGAACGGAATTATGAAATTTACGACAAGGAAATGATGGCCATCATGGATTCTCTATCAGACTGGAGACAGTATTTGCTGGGCGCAAAAGAACCTGTTGAAGTCTTTACCGATCACCAGAATCTCCAGTATTTCCGGAAACCTCAGAAGTTGAATCGACGACAAGCCAGATGGGTAGTTGAAATTGCTGAATACCATATTGAGCTCTTCCATAAGCCTGGGAAATCGATGGGAAAAGCCGATGCTCTGTCAAGGATGTCAGGCCTTGAGAAAGGGGAGAATGACAATACCGATGTCACACTGCTAAAACCAGAATTTTTCATTTCTCAAGTAACGGATCAGACATCTGCCCCCGAAGACGATCTGCTTAATCTCATCCGAAGGAAGAAAAACCAGCGAGACAAGTTAGTACAGGTTGCCCTCGAGTCTAAAGACAAGGAATGGCTTGAAACTGAGGATGGACTAGCAGTTTGGCAAGGACGTATCTATGTCCCCAAGGACAAAGAGCTCAGAGGACGAATCATACAGGCACATCATGACGCCCAGACAGCAGGACACCCTGGCCGCTATAAAACTATCGAGTTAATTACACGCAACTACTGGTGGCCAGGAATCAGTCGAGACGTCAGGATCTATGTGGAAGGCTGTGAAAAATGTCAGGCCACAAAGACACATCGTACAAAACCCGTAGGACCATTACATCCACATGACATACCATCTGAGCCTTGGGAAATCATAGGAACAGATATGATTGGCGAATTACCGGAGTCTGGAGGGTATAATGCCATCAGCATATTTGTTGATCACTTCACGAAGAGGTTACGGCTCTTTGCCACACATACTACGATAACATCTGAAGGAATGGCACGTGTCTATCGTGACAAAGTATTTCCGATCCATGGAATGCCCCGGAAGATTGTCCACGATTGCGGCCCTCAGTACCATGCCCGCTTCATGAAGGAACTGTACAAGTTGCTAGGAATCGAAAGCAACTATACAACTGCATACCATCCTCAGACTAATGGCCAGACGGAACGGATAAATCAAGAAATTGAACATTACATCCGTCTTTTTGTGAATCATCATCAGAGTGATTGGCACGAATGGCTTCCTATGATGGAGTTTGCATATAACGATCGAGTACACTCAGCTACGAAGGTTTCGCCCTTCTACGCAGACAATGGCAGACACCCATACAAAGGAACCACACCGAAGATGACGTCACAAAACCCAACAGCACAGGAGTTTGCCGATAATATGAAACGGATCAGGGAAGAAGTAGGATCGGCACTGAAAAAAGCCGCTGAGGACATGAAGTGCCAATATGACAAACACCGGAATGAAGCGATAGAGTATAAGGCTGGTGATAAAGTCTGGCTTGAAGGGACCAACATAACGACAGATCGCCCAATGAAGAAACTTGGGGATAAACGATTTGGACCGTTTAAAGTTCTTGAAAAGATCGGATCCAGCTCATACAAACTCGACATCCCTCGCACGTGGAAAAGAGTCCATAATGTCTTCAACGAAACACACCTATCCCTGTACCATGAACCCCAATTCCCGACACAACCCCGAAATACCGAGCCACCTCCAGAAGTAGTTGGAGAAGAAGAAGAGTACGAAGTAGAAGAGGTTGTGGATGCACGCAAGTATCGGAATGGCATCCAGTACAAGGTAAAATGGAGAGGTTACGGACCACATGAAATGACGTGGGAACCTGCAGCTAATATGACGAATGCCAAAGAAGCTGTTCAGGACTTCCACAAGAAGTATCCTAACAAGCCCAGGCCTCGAACCCTTAAACGGATCGAGATTCCGATTGCTCAATTTCCCATTGAATTGTTCCGACAAATACCTACACCAGACATAGAACCAGTCCCAAGTACCATGCCGTCTGAAGCACTTGTCAACCGACTTGCGCGTCATGGAATTCGCGCCTTAAAGGGGGGGTAATGTTACGATCACTTCTTTTTCATCTTATCTTTCTCCTTATCCCTTGTCTTATCCTTTATCTTTTGTCTTATCTTCTATCTCCCTTATCCTATATCTTGTCTTATCTTGTCACCTGATCTATTATTTATGCTTACTGATACAACATGCGCTTTTCATTTACTTATATTAAACACAGCAGTCTCACAACACATATACAGCATGGCGATCGAGCTTTCATTACTTACACATTGCTTTACTTATGTTCTACTCATGTTTACCACTAACCCAGGGCGTTGGGCATTACTAGGGCAGAGGGTTGTTCACTAGTATATAGGCTGTAGCTACTTGCTGTATTTCCTTAGCTTTGATCTCGTCTATTCTACCTAGTTTAGCCCAGAACTTTGCTTACTTCTTTTATCGCCTTACTGTTTGAGGTTTTCTTGAGTGTGACACCTGGTGACACCCGTTACTAGAACCAGTCGCTGACAACAATAACTCCTTTATCCTGCGATGTGCTATCGAAGAAGCGCGCGCACAGGGAAAGTGCCTATATGTTGCATTTATTGACTTGAAGAATGCCTTCCCATCTACCGATATCCCAACGCTATGGAGGAAACTCTTCAGCTTAGGTATGTCTGGCCCTTTGTTCGACTGGCTTCGGATGCTGTATGCTCGTATGACCTACGTGGTGCGGCATGGGGACCAGGTATCATCAGCTTTCCGAAGCCTCATCGGAGTCCTGACAGGCGACACCCCTCTCCCCAATGCTGTGGAACATCTATTTCTCTGACCTTGACATCCCTATACACAACGACAATGTACTCCTTAACGGCCTACCAGTCTCACATGTGGAGCAGGCAGACGATGTTGCTATCTGGTCCATGTCCCCTGAGGGCCTTCAAGTTAAACTCGATGCATTCTTCTTGTGGTGCCGACGAAACTCCATGGTTATCAGTATCAAGAAAACCAAGTGGATGCTGTTTGGATGTTTACCACGGACTCTACCAGTCTTTCTCATTGATAGTAAACCTATCGAACTGGTCGACTCCTACAAGTATGTTGGTCTCCAGTTCATCTCGACACATCGGTACATCCTGCAGACAGTCTATAACATCAAAGCATCCAAAGCGCGAAATATCACTCGCGCCACGTTTGCACTGGAATTGGCAATTGGTTGCCTCCCACCACGAGAAGGCATAATCCTCTATATGGCACGGGTTGACCCCCACCTCATATTTGGCTGCGAGATCGTTTTGGACATCGACCTCTCCCTCCTTGGAGATCTTGAACAGGCCCAATGTCAATACCTACAGCGACTGCTCGGAATTAGCAAGCGGTCCATGCGTGCCATTCTCTTCACTGAGCTGGGGATTGAACCCATACGGTACCGGTGTCTGGGCCTTGCACTCGGCTATCTCCAGTCCCTCCTGATTCAGCCTGACCACCGTGTGGTCCGGGATGCATTCGCTCACTCGCTCCACCTGGCACGATCTGGTCATGCTACATGGGTGAATGATCTGCGATCTACACTGTCAAAGCTGCCAATCCCTGTCCACTGCACTGTAGATGAGCTTACTGATGCAGATAATCTTGCGCGGCTCCGGAAGGATATCAGGCAGTCCTGCAAGCAATCTCTAACCAGCGACATCCAAGCATCTGTGCGTGTTCACCTTCTACATAATCGACTGGAATTCCGGGAGGATGGTCAGCAACTCCACACCTCCCCAATAATTACTCTGCGTGCCTACTTGGACGTGATCAAAGTTCCCAAACATCGACACGCTTTCACTCGACTGATCACTTCCAGCCACGCACTGAGCATCGAGCGCCTGCGGTATGAGGAGCGGTATCGCTCTCCAATTCCTCGGGAGTGGAGACTCTGCCGTTTTTGTAGAGGGGCTGTTGAGGATGAATGTCATGCACTGATGGTATGTAAGGCACAACTCACTCTGGTATGCCTGCGTGAACAGTACTGGATGGAAATGGACCGAACAGCACCGGACATTGTTCTGATGCAGCACCAACTCTCAAGTTATGCCCTTTACAACGTGTACTATTTGACCGACGTGTTCTTACTCTGACTGCTAAATATGTCTATGATGTACTTGCTGTCTTTGCAGGGCGCGAACCATACATACCAGAGTCTCACCTGTACACTGATGCTTAATGAATGTCTCAAATACACATCACAAATTCCGGTGCACAGTACTTGTAGTCTGTCGTGTGCTTAACCGATGATTGTGCGACAGTGCTAACCCACTGATCACAGCATTGTTGGTTATGTACATCCATGTCACACATCTAGCGCAGTGTGTGTAGCATGGGCCCCGGCTGTTCCTCAATGGGACCGTGTCGGTTTTCCTTTCCTTTCCTGCCTCCTGCCTCACACAAGCCTAACCTACAGATTGATTATCAGATCAATAAATGAAACACAGGGCTTGAGTTCCGTGGGATAAATCGAGCTTCCAACTTGATTCGTGAACAACTGCACTTTGTTCTAATGTTTATTCTCAAGTGTGCAAAGGACTTGGATCAAGTTGGATCACCGTACGAGCTACGTCACTTAGACTTTTCTTGGAGAAATGTTCTCTTATTCCCGATTCAGACTAGATTTAGACCTTCAGACTCACCCCTTAGCGCTGGTCAGTGATGCGCTGATGTTAAACAATTAATTCGTGGCAAGCAGGTACTGAGGTCTACAACTGGTGTGAGTGGACTACATATCCAGGTCTACTACGAATCATTTGTGAGCACTGACCCATTTCCTCAAGCCCAAGCTCTAAACAAAGGTTGGAGTTGGATTGGAGCACTGGCCTGCACTGGCAGTATAGGATGGAGCAGGGATGAAGTGTGATGGAAATCTACATACATAGTCTGTCTTTTGTTTTCGATTTTAAATTGATTCTAGCGTGCTGTCTCCTTGCTCAGTTGCTTTCATGGTGTCGTCAAATCAAATAAATTGAGTTGCCTCGCGCCAATAGCTTCGATCACAAAGGTCGCTACGAAGAGGAAGGAAGATCACATCAGCTAGCACCTGGACCGGAGCGGGGTGCTTCGAAAGATAAAGGATCCAGAAAACAGTCCCTGCCAGATTGTTTCTCGCAACCATATTTCAACATCTAAAATTCTTGTCTTCTTGCAGAAACTGAGCCCATGGCCGAAGAAATGGATTTTTCAACTTTCTACAAAGACAAGGTCTCGCCTTTGATCGTGAAAATCATTGTGAGTTTCCTCTTTCAGAAGGTGTAAACGTCAATCCTCACCAACTTAAATGTTGTAGCTGGAGATCTTATTCTACGGTACGAAATTATTTTCATTCGTTCATCATCGGATTTGTTTTATATGTGCTGTCGCCCTGGTAAAGCTGAAAAAACTTGTATAGGTGTCTACTTCACTCTGTTTTGTGTTTGCATGGGTCTCCACCGTCAGCAGTGCTACATCTCGCGAAGACCGCTTCAAAGGGCTGGATTGATCGTCTTATTCTTCTTGGCCACCTCCGCCACCATCTTGGATACTACCGCTACAATGAAGCAGATCTGGTTGTATCTGGGCCAATATTGGGGAGGTCAGAGCTCTTTAGATGCGGAGACAGCTTCTAGTATGACGGTGCGATTGGATATTATTTGTGGGTGAGTAATGGTCGTAAGCGACTGTAATACTGACCTTACTCGGATGATCATTAGTACTGTGACGTTCGGGCTTTATGTGATTTCCAAGTGTGTCTCGTCAGTCATCTTCAGCGAAACCCTTTATACCTACGCATTTCTAGTTTCATTGCAGATCTCATCCTGGTATGTTCAATTTATGTGCACTACTACGGTCGCCTGATTCAAAACTGAAACCAACTTCATACTATAAGATTCATCGAAATTCAGTGTTATGGAATGGCTCGAGGTGGAAAATGATGATATGGGTGCCTCTTATCATTTCCATTACAAACAACGGTACCGTGTCATGATTCTGTGTGCCAACTAGAAATGTTGAAATGTGGATATTTCCTACCTCTGTCCCTCTCCAGTTCTTGGGATAATAGGCATAGGCTTGGAAGCATCCAACATATCCGTGTATCCATCTTTATCTGTCTCGTTTGACCAGTACACCAATGGAGATAAGATAGTCCTTGCGTATCTTTTCACGAATGCTTGTTTAAATCTCTTACTAACTGGATGTCTCGGTAGGTCCACTTATACTGCCGCAACTCCAGCTCTGAATGACTATTTTCTGTAGCGGGAAGAGTCTGGTGGATGGGCAAAACGGCAGCATCAGCGCTTGGAACTCACCCTTTGAGACAAAAGTACCACTCTGCGGTTGCTATAACGTGAGCCTTTTCTGAATGTAATCCTAGCGATGTTCAATTTCTTATAAACCAATCAGTTTCGAGTCAGGGATCCTCTATCCCGTCGCATTGATAGGGTCAGTCGCAGCCACACTTCAGAATTCAACCGCGCCAAGTTTGTACCCATTTCTGATCCAAATTGCCGTGAGCTACCCTCATTATTTATGTTACTTTGACTGATATAGTGCGACTTGGTGCAGGCCATTGCTCCGACTCTTATTGTTGTACGCACCGTTTTGGGAATCAGTATTGAACAACGGGATCTTGGTTCCTACGAAGAAGTTAGCTCTGACACGATTTTAAGCACTTTTGCTCACAGCGGAGATGCGATGCCAGCGATACATCTTGCGAATCCTTCGAAAGTCAGCCCAACATCCGACCTAATCTCATACAACAGTCTTCCGAATCCTACTCCGATTCTACACTCGGCAGATGTTGTAACTCCGGGTAAGGGAACGAGATTGACGTTCAGTCCATACTAGTAGTATGACACCACCGTGGAAGGAAGCGTCCTTATAGGCCTATTGTCTAATAATCGCCAATATGATTGTGATAACGTTCCGGTAACGCCATACCTCACTCCATGGCATGTACTTTCATTTTTAAACCTTAATTCATTAGCTTGTTCCATCTGCGGTTTCGTGAGCCGCTGTAACTCCACGAGGGCTTACAGAGACCAGACATTGACCCGTACAGGATGTGTAGGGCCAAAATGACGATATCAAGCCTTCTCTCAATGTATACCTTGTCGATCTGAAGCTCTTACATAAACAAATTCTAGTATGTAATCTCATCTCAAAGGTGATCATACAATAAGTATAACTCTGAAAATAGCAATGGAATGTGATCTTCAAGGATTCTTAGTGAATCAGGGGAGTACCACAGTATCGAACGAGGAAGCCGAGCAGAGCAGAGCCGACCTCCGAGTTGATAAATAGATAAATACCTCGGTCCTTTATTAATAACTTCGTACTCGTGTGAAGAGGATTTCCAGCAGTGACCTGCTGTTGGACACAGGACAGCTCAATTCCACCCCTCGCAGTGAGCGCTCAGTAATACCAAGTAAGCGCCGGAAACCTCCGCTTTGAAGTTGTCGAGCCAAACAAAGACAAATAGGTGGTTTAACGACTATCCGAATCTCCTCGAGCTAATTTCGTATGAATAGCGCAACGAACGGCATGGATCCTAGGCTTCCAATGTGTCAGTCTGGAAATCAGATGGATCATAGTTGCACCGAAGAAGCCCAGCTCAGCTGAAAAAAGTTCATTTACTACCATGTCTCTATGGCGGACCATCTATCAGATGGAGAATTCGAAGGTTATATACTATTTATGATTGACAACTCCACCTAGCTCGGGATGTATATATGATTGACAGCTCCAACGAGCTCGGAATGGCATGTAGTGAACATTTCTCCGCATTGTTATACAATGTCGACTTGGAAATTTCATCATGTAATATTAACTGGCAGGGGATTCTAGGGTACAACAACTGTAATAATCGTTTTGATCACAGCTTGTGAAGCTTTACTCTGGGTCTGTTCAAACTGTTTGTTGGGTGAGCCCGACGCAATTCGTCTTCTCCGTTCTTCTTGTCTCTCCAGTTTCTTCTCCCGGGAAATTGGGCCAGGGTAGTGACTTGATTCAGTTACAGCTCGCTTGACTTCATATCCACATTCGCAATCGACCTTTCGAAGCTAAAAACATGGCTCGAATTTATGACCACTCATTCTCTGAACTGCTTTTTTTCGCTCCGCAATCATGAACAGTGCTCCCAACGAATTCGACATAATTTTTGGCGGTGGTATGTTCCTACTCAAGTATCTTATTCAGGTGTCGCGGGCTATTACTCATGTCATATAGGGGGAACAGCTGCATGTGTTGCTGCAGGAAGGTTGGCTTCTGCTGATCCAACCCTCCGAATCCTTGTAAAACGCTACTTCTATGCAGATGTAACTTTTTCTCATCTTATGTTCATAGGTTCTCGAAGCAGGAGAACACACCAAATACGAGGATTCACATGTACAACCTGGACGCTACTTCGGCCACCTATCTCCAGCAAGTACTACTCTTGACTTTCACGTCGGGAAGCCCTCCAAGTCGCTTGCTGGCCGTTCCCTGGTCGTTCCATCAGGTCGTTGTATCGGAGGAGGGTCCTCCGTCAATTGTAAGCGATACTGGTAGTAGCTGTTTATGAATGTTGTTGCTGACATTCTATCCTTTTCAGTCACTATGTATACCCGTGCTTCTGCGTCCGATTACGATGACTGGGAAGGCCAATACAAGAATCCAGGTTGGGGTTCCAAGGATCTTTTGCCATTGTTACGAAAAGTAGGCAACAATGTCTTCAACTGTCTATTCTAGCTATATCGTTGAATTAGACTGAAACCTATCAAATTCGACCGCATCAACCGACGCATGGATATTCAGGACCCCTGAAGGTTTCCTGGGGTGGACATGTTACCAACATTGGAGATCAGTTTCTGAAGGTGGCGGCAGCAATAGATAATGACCGGATGTATACCGAAGACGTCAATGATTTTTATGAATGCAACAAATACGGGGTATGTGTATGATTCGAAATTCTTCTCTGCGTTTACCCTCAGATGAAGGTATAACAGAAATGGCCAAAGTGTGTAGATATTTTGCTTTCCCTGTTGATAAGTCTCAGCGGAGTTACTCCTAGATGGATTGACAGTGAAACTGGCAAACGCTCGGATCCAGCCCACTATTACATCTATAATCAGGAGGCTAACAAGAACCTTGTCATACGAACTGGCCAACGGGTGAAGCGTGTGATATTTGAGTTTGTCGTTCTGTCGTGACTTACAATAATTCGACTGCTGACATCGATTTTCAAGAGGAGAGAAAGCTGTTGGCTTGGAATATGTTGCTGACATAGCCCTTCGCCCAGATGTAGATCAAACACCTCAGCAGGCATATGCATCACGTTTGGTGGTGCTTTCCGGTGGTGCTTTTGGTTCTCCGGCCATACTTGAAAGGTAAGATAATAGTCCCTTGCCCCCTTCTTTTGATTGACCATCACATAGGTCAGGCATAGGCGCTGCGGATCTGCTGGCTAAGCACGACGTTCCCGTTAAGGTTGATCTCCCTGGTGTAGGAGAGAGTTTTCAAGGCAAGCTTGTATCATACAACTTTGAGGTGAACTGTTGATGGATAAGAAACCATAGATCACAATATCTGTTTTGTCCCATATCAAGCCAGTGATGAAGCAGACACATTTGACGCACTCATCCGGGGGGACATAGCAGAAACTGCAAGTAGGTCATTCAATACATCTTTTATGGACAGATTGACGATGTGTTTCCTAGAGAATTTTGATTTATGGACGGAAGGAGGCAAGGGTCTTCTAGCAGCCAAGTCAATAGCTTGTGTATGTTGCTTTATAAAATTCTCATGTTCTCTTTATTCGTAGTGGCATGGACGCTGGGATTAAAATCCGCCCCGTGGCAGAAGAGGATTTCAAGGAGCTGGGTCCGGACTTTGAAGAACGCTGGAACGAATATTTCGTGAACGCTCCAGACAAGCCTGTAATTTGGTTCGGGCCGTCATCCTTGTAAATTACCGTTCATCAGTTCCAACATGTGCTTTTACTAAACTTGATTTCAGTCTGTTAGGAGACCATACCACGGCACCAGTCCGCAAGTACTACAGCCTGGCGTATGTCAACGTAAATTCAAATTTTCTGTGTTGAAAAGGGTTGGATTCATCGAAATTGGTTTCCAGGAATACCCTGTCTCCATGGGCAGCGTGCATATATCTTCGGGTCAAGATCCTCACGCACCCAGTGACTTCAATCCGGCCTTCTTGAATCAGTAGGCACTCAGTCGCATATTGTTACTCTGATCATAGTTTGACTATCTTCTCAATAGTCCAGCTGACTTTGCAACTTTACGATGGGGATATAAGAAAACGCGCGAGATAGCCCGACGAATGAAATTCTACCGCGGGGAACATCTTCCCATTCACCCCGAATTCTCTGCAAATAGCAATGCCTTGTGTAACGGGAACTCCTCTGGCCCGGCTGCGCTCGATGCACCGAACTTGAAGTATACAGAAGATGATGATAGGGCTATAGACGATTTCCATAAACAATTCAGTATGTATATTCTGCTTCGTTCTCAAGTCGTGCTCACATTTTCGATGCTCTCTCAGTTCAAACATCGTGGCATTCTGTAAGGCTCTCTCAATTACTTCAGGACAAATGTTGATATTTGTACCTGTAGCTGGGAACATGTGCAATGAAACCTCGCGAAGATGGAGGAGGTGATCCATTCCTAAGTCAATTCAAGCGATTGTCTTCGCTAACCCTATCTTCGAAGTTGTGGACCCTCGCCTCAACGTTTATGGTACCAGAAATCTAAAGGTCGCAGGTAATCGTTGCTATTTTACAAAATCTGCCGCTCGAGCCCGACTAATGAACGATCCTTAAACTGCATGGATTTTTACGGGTTCAATTCTATCCTGCAGATGTAAGTCATTCATTCAACTTCGTGAATTAAATTAGCTTACAATCTGTGATCTATACGCAGCTCTCGATTGCTCCAGCAAATGTAGGCGCTAACACCTACAGCTCTGCCTTGACTGTCGGAGAGAAAGCAGCGGTCATAATTGCAGAGGATTTAGGTTTTCCACTTGATGGTGATGGTATACTGGAAACGTCTGAACAGTCTATGTCTGGATTTTCTGAACCCGTTTCTGCGCCTTCGACGAAGACCCAGATACTGGATGACTTCGCTGGTCTACAAGGGATCGAAGGGTTGACTATAAGCGGCATGGTCAACGACGAGTATCCAAATTCGAAGTCTTCAATGATTACCGTCATTTAGAAAGAAAGGTCACTCACAGGCGCGACAATAGTTATATCAGAGAAAGTATATACACTTGGGGTATGACTGATTTTGAACTTGGTTGAAATTAACTAGAATTGCAACGCGTATAGATCAACGAGCTCTATTTTCGCACTCATTTGTTCAGATAAATGTGTATTATTTATTCTAGACTAAGTAACACTGTACAGTAACACAGAGAAGACTGATGTTGTCTTTGGCTGCGACGCAAGAATGGCCAGCGATTGTGAGCAACATGGGAGAGCAAAAAATATTCAAAAGACAAACAGCAATGAAGTGAATATGAACTTTGACTGTAGAAGGAAATGAGCAGTAGTAGAGGGAAAGGTAAGAAGAGAAGGTCAGAAGTAAACAACAGACCTGGATAAGTTTATATACATTCGAGATTTGGTAGCGCAGAAGCAAGGGCAAAGAAATTGAGAAAGGAGTTGGGATTGGGTTAGATCAGAGTTATAACCACGAACTAATCCGTAAACCATTACGGATGTCCGTCCATGAACAGCAAAAAAGGAATTAAACTTGGAAGGAGAGGATGGGCAACATACAGCTACAAGTCCAGAGCTAGTACCAGCGATATAAAATTTCCTGTTCTAATCTTTTGTCATCTCTACTCGACAACTTCTCTTACTTCTTCCTCTTATTCATTTCTTCCCTAATGACAAAGTCCTCATGCTATCTTCCAATAAAGCCGTCATGCTACAGCTTTTATCGCAATCTGATGACGCCAGGGAAGAAGAGGGCAACATGGGCGTTGAAGGTTCCCGCTTGGTCACACGCTGAACCGGCTCGTCAACATCAACAACCTTGATGACCGCCTTACCCTCAAGAACCTTCCTGACCTTATCCGCATCCCATGGCTTCATGTGCGAATGGGCGCCCGACCCAGACGCAGAAGGTCCAGAAGAGCTTCCAGAAAAGGCATCCCAAAATGCATTCCCCAATCTGCGCACCAATGTCTGAGAAGCTGTACTGGCAAGTGCGGCGTACATGACGTTCTGGGCTTGTTGCATTTGTTGCTGTTGTTGTTGCTTTGACAACGCAGGTCTGCTTAGATTGGATGAAGATGGGAGAGACGAATGTGCTGGTATAGCGGGGAACGAGCCTCCAAAGGCATTCGGAGTTGAATGTTTCCCAGCGAGCAAAGCGCTGAGTGTGCTGCCCATTTTGGGTGGCGGTGGTGATGGGAGATTCGGCTTGTTGGAGTTCACGAAGTAGGCTGGCTTGAGCGATGTTGTCAAGTTGTGATGATGGTGGTGCGAGTGAGGAGACTTTGCGCCCGGTTGATGTGAAGGAAGTGTGAACGGAGACGAGTAAGACAGTTCGCGTTCGAGGGCTTTGCGCTGTTGAGCATACGTAGAAGAATAAATGTTGGGTTGAGAGGGTTGTTGTGGAGGGGACTGGTTTGGGTGGGAAGCTTGGTGAGATGACGAAGCAGCCATCTTGGTCCATAACTGCATTCGATATCTATACGACCGATTAGTCAGATAAGGATGATGAAAAAATAGATAGAGGATATACTTACGCATCCAGAGACTTCATTGTAAAGGGATTCGTATCGACGAACCCTTCAAATCCATTATGAATTCCAGCACTAGGCGACATATTGTCCTCTTGGTGAGCACCAGCTACATTCATCACAGGGTTCATATTCTCTTGCAGCAGTTTTGGTGAAGCTTCCGGGGAGCTCGATCCGTCTCTCAAGTTGGCAGCATTTGCTGCTAGAACATCTCGGACCCACTGTCCAATACTTATGTTAGTTCCGTCGACGTTCATGTTGGTGTTAAGATCAGGCATCAACACAGTGTGGACCGGTGTAAAGCCACCACCCATACCACCAAAGCCAAATCCAGCTTGTGAAACACCGCCCCAGAAACCAGCGGCATTGTTGAGGCGAGGGGAGGTAGGGAGGTCTTTCTTGATGTTAGGAGTAAGAATATTAGTGGTAGCATTGGACGTGGACGCCGAGGGTGCTGCGCCAGAGGCCGCGGCACGCAAAGCCAACTCTTCGGCTGCGCTCCTTTCAGGTAACGGCGCAGGTGGTGGGAGGTTCAAATCATCGATGGTCAAACCGGTTGTGACTGCTGCGCTATTCAAGTTCACATCAGCACCACGGATGATAAGAGCAGGCGACGCAGAACGAATGAGAGACGATGACGAGGATGAGGGTGACATTGGTGAAGTTGCGCCACGGCCGTCGAGTAACGCTCTTTTGAGTGCCGCAACCTCCTGTCTAAGCGCTAGGTTTTCAGACTGGGTAGACCCGAGTTCAGATCGAATAGCTTGAAGGAGACGGTCGCGCTCGGCGATGTCCATCTCAAGGGTAGAGATATACTCTGACGATGAAAACAAGTATTAGTCTATGAAGCTCGGAGATCCGACGATTCATACCTTTTCGCCTAACTCTGAAATTTCTGGCGCTAATCTTATTTCTCAACTGTCGTTTTTCTTTGCTTGACATCTTGGCGAAAACCTCTGGGGGTGGACGCCAGTCCGCTGGCAAATCATCATCATCATCTTTATCCCTGTCATCAACTTCTTTTAAATGCGAAGTTGTTGAAGACGAAGGAGATGCGGCGGAGACATTCTCCTTGTTACGCGACAGTAAAGACGCGGCGGACGTAGAAGGGGAATACGATGAAGTTGATGACAGGGAGGAGGGCGCAACAAGGACCGGTAAGGGTATGGGTACAGTAGCAGGTGCCGTGGTGGGAATGACAACTCTTTTAGTGACACCACCACTTTGCACAGTTCCCTTGCGCGCTTTACCATGCCCACCGACTTTGACGGGAGTAATCGTTACGGTTAACTTCTCCTGTGCTTCCTTTGTCACATCGGCGGCATCTTCTGATGTCTTTGGAGATAGGGCTTTGGACTGTGACCGAGTCTTCTTCTCGTCACCTATGATAGGAACAACGGCATGTTCCGTCTTTTGCTCTTTATCCTCGTCATCACCGAAATCAGATTGGACATGAGTGGAGGGTGAGTCAACAAGCTGGGGATCGATAGCCATGGCTACCGAGCCGGAACCAGGCGAGAAAGATGTAGAAGGATCAATTGTCAGACCGCTCACGCCACCGATACCGAGGGCGCTCATAAAATCAAACGGCGAGCCAGTTTCAAACGGAATCGAATTGGTCGAGGGATCAACTTTCATTTCCTCATCTAAAAAGTTGAAGAACGAAGGAGTTCCACTACCGCCACCAAATCCAAACCCGAAATTATGGTTTCCGTCAGCGCCACTTAGGCCACCAAGAAAAGAGTAAGGATCGACAGCAGGGAAGGAGTTTTCAACCGGTTGTGGAGGAGTGGAAAGGATTTGGGACAAAGAATCCGAATGAGAGGAGGGCGAAGAAGCACGCGAGGAACCCTCAGGTCCAGGGGACATGGCAGCTACCGACGTCGATGGACCGAAGAGCTCAGTATTGAGGTACTCTTCGAGGTCACTGATGTTTGTAGGTGCAGATATAGAGGAATTACTGGGATTGGCGACTGGGTCGACGAGCATCTTGTTGAACAGTCAACAGCTGTGATTATATCCGGCTCTATGTCTGTGGAGTTTGCACAAATTTCAAAGATTAAGAAACAAGATTCTGAAGATGTGATATGGCTGATGATATGAACTTTCTTTGTTGGGGAAGGAGTGGTTGGTGGATGGTATGAAAGAACGGCACTCTGGCCAGCCGCCCAAAGGCCCTCAATTCTCACGGTCAGTCACGCCGAAAGCCGCGTAAATGTTTTCGGCTGACATTTTTTCGATGCCGTTATCAATTTCAAATTTACTATAAGGCCTTCGACATCCTTCCATGTACCTCGTTCCAAGACGCTGCCAGTTTCAACTTTCACGATGGGTCCTATTCGGAATCCGCCGCTTTACTCGAGTCCTCCTCAGCTGAAAGTAGGACAAAGCATAGAATAATACTGTGTATATCTTTTGCTTTTTTCAGCTTTTCTCCCCAGGCCATCCCTTCGTGAATCGTAAGCTAATATACTTCCACAAATCTCGGTTCATTATTGCTTTCGTCCATCGATGCCTTTAATCTATCAAGATCTTACGAGCTTTCTGAGGGTTGAATTCCGCCTGCGTCGGATCCCATGATGTGTACAAAAGGTGTACATGAATCTGTTCTCGCACGAATAAGGTTACAGATTCAATTTCAGTTCACCTGTATCCCGAATTTATGTACAGTCCGACTTGGATTCTGTGAATCAAGATATCAGGCTTCATGTACTGCTATTATATCTTACTTTCCACAGTATTCCGACGTCTTATCGATGCTTAGATGCCTCCAATAAGTCAAATTTTCACAACCTCGAGATATGCTCGTGTTCTGTCCGTACGCTCATATACCCGTGGTGTGTGTATTCATCGTGTGCAGTACCTATCGATGGGGTTCATTCCTGAGAGTTATCGATCGATGAGAACTACCCATCCGCGGTAGCTGACCTTCCCGACCTTCTACGCAAGAAAGAAATTGGACCAACACTTGTTAACATCCTGGCAGACAGGTTGTGGATCGTGAACAGCACTCGAATCGTTGAGCTGTTTTTACATGTAGAGTAGGACTATGGATAATATACCCTAGTAGATACGCCGATAAAGAATTCATTCTGTGGTTTGGTGTAAGACAATATGGGTACTAGTACGGTTCGGGTTCCTGCGTTACTGAGTATTGAGGGCAGGAATTTCATGATATTCATGAATTTGTTGGGATCGTTGTACCTAGCCAAGATTCGCCTACATATTCCCTGTAAAGTATGGAAGTTCCTTCGATAGGAGTATTATTTTGTGTAGTGATGCTATATAATACATGGATGTACCGTATTTGAAGAAAAATAGAGTAATGACAGCGAGGAACAGTAGATAACAAAGTAAATAAGTCAACCCTACCTATCGTATTCTATTCTCATTACCAGGAGGAACCACCTTGTCTGCTGAAGTTGCGTGCTTTATATTCGCGTGACTTGTGTTCGCGATTTGGATCACTGAACTTCCCTCCGTCTTGGTTGTCGCCGCGAGACCAACCGTTACTGCCACGATCGACATCTGCATCTCTGGACCAATCGCCACGACTCCGATCACTATCATTCGACCAGCTCCTCTTCCTACCACTTCCATTCTCGTTTACATCTCTCGACCAGTTGCTGGCACCCTCTCCGGCATCCCTGGACCGGTTCCTACCACTATCCTTCGGGCGTCCACTGCGCGGTCTTTCAATCCCCATCCTCTCTTTATTTCTCACGGAATTTCCTCTCAATTGCCAATGTTGTTGATTTGGCAGGATAGGCCTTGGAGGCTTCGGGTTCCTTGGTCCTCCGAGTCCCAACTTCGCCAGAAATGCGTAACTGACAAACGGCGCAGCTTGTAGCCCACCAACTTGTACACTCCAATCCCGGCATCCCTCCAATATAACTCCTTTCTCAACGCGTAGTTCATCAGATTTAGGAAGGTAGTACCCAAGCATGGACACGAAGAGTTCTCGAACAGCCTCTTCCTCAAATCGTGACATGATCTCATCAGGAGCAGAATCGAAATCCGATAGGCGTGGAGTAAAAGGTGTACGGATGCCTTTATGAGAATTGGGTTCAGAGTCAGCTTTCTTGGCGAGTTCCTCGACCTGCAGCTTGATCTCCCCAGCTGTTACAGGTTTAATGGGTACTTCCGTCAACTGCCACGTGATGAACCCAATTTCCCAAGGGAGCAAAACCAAGTCACCGCGACCTACAACACCACCTGTACGACCGGTCCTACCAATACGATGGATATACTGAGTGGTCGAGGACGGGATGCCGACTTGAATGACACGAGTCACACCGGGATAATCCACTCCCCTTGCAGAAACATCGGAGGTGACGAGGATCGATGCTGGGGATTTTTCCGTCCTGAATCTCTCAGATGCAAGAATACGTGACTCCATTGGACGCTTCGAGTGTATTTCGTGGACAGTTGTCGCAACGGGGAGCAAGTCCCTCGATAGCTGACTAATGACCGTAGAGAAAAGCTGCGTCATCTTTGTCGTTGGCAGAAACAAGACAATCTTGGACTTCGGGTTCGTTAACTGATCGTGAGCAATGAGCCTCAGGATATGCGGAATTTGTGCGGAAGCGTTGGGGAGAACAGTGTGGTACTGAGGGACGTGGGCGTGAACGGGAGAGTCATCGGATTTGACACAGTCAATGAACTTGTAGTCTTTAGCAAGCACATTTGAGGCGACCTGACGAATCAAGGGAGAAACCGTGGCGGAGAAAAGCAATGTTTGACGTGTCGGTGAACGAGGAAGCTCATTCTGAATAGCGTGAATGTCATCTCGGAAACCCATGTCCAACATGGTATCAGCTTCGTCGAGGATGAACTAAGTCAAAAATAAGATTCATAAAACGTCGGTGTAGAGAAGTTTAGAACGTACAGTCTTTGCAGTCTGAATGCTTCTTAGAACTTCCGGCTCAGATTCCATCAAATCCCTAAGCCTTCCGGTTGTTGCGACAACGACATCCCGACTACCTTTCATCCAATCCCGCATTTGAGTTCGTTTATTCATACCACCAGTAAACAGGCGGACTTCCATTCCCTTATGATGATGAAGTAGCTTCGTGGCCTCATTCGCAATCTGTGTGGCAAGCTCACGAGTAGGACTGAGAATAAGCACGCCAACAGTCTCCCTCGAATACCTTTTTCTGACCCTCCGTACCAAGGCATCATCAGACATGAGCCCAGCATCAAGCAAAGCCTGCGTCCCTGATTGTTTGATAGCCTTTTCACGAGCTTCGATAGCAGGAATAAGGAATGCAAGGGTTTTGCCTGTACCAGTTTTTGCGCGAACAAGAAGATCTCGTACGTGCGGTGTTTTGGGGTCGTACGGATAGGAAATTTGAGGAAGATGAGAGAGAACTTCTGTTTGTACGGAAGTCATGTTTTTCAGCCTCATTGGCTCTCCAACGATAGCCTGGTATGTCTGGGGTGAAATGATGTCTTTCAGACTTTCGAATGGACGAGTGGAAGGAGCCGCGCTTCGAGTAGTTCCAGACGCCACCGGCGCCGCTGCTGTGGTCTCGAAGCGAGAGGCCTCTATGTGAAAAAAATCCAACCATTAGAAGCAAGTTCAACAAACAGAAGTACAACGTACTAAAGCCGACATGGACGACGGAAGCCCTCGACGCAGCTGTCACTTTAGTAGACGAGGCTTTGAAGGCTCTCGCCAGAAGTGACGTGGACATTTTGGGCAAGTATTGCCTCTCTAAACGAATCCCCACAATAGGGAACGAGTTTGACAGACGAGGAAGGAAAATTTGGGTTACATAGGACTCACGTGAAGGTCGGGCCGCTATGCGCGACACCAAAACTCACCAAAAAAGCTCAAAAAAGTAGAAAAAACTTGGCACTGCCAGCAGACGAGTGAATTTACTTGTACTGTCTACATTACATACTGATACTTAGTACATGTCAAACTCCAAGGAACGAAGAAAGGTATGATGCATGAAAACCACCACTGGTAGTAGATATGAATACAACCCAATACATAACTGATAAATAATCCCATAGTGAAGTACAATGGTTGATAGCGGAATGCAAATAGTGGTGTAATGCGAGGAGGGATGAGAAAAAGCAGGAACACATCATAACGATCGTAAAAGTGGTATCCGACATGCGTGTAGTGCAGCTCGGAGTTCAAATTTCAGAAGAACGTAGGAGGACCAGCGGCACGTATATTCAAATTTCAATCCTCAAAATCAGGACAAGGAAGGTTGTGACTTTTCAGCAGCTGCCTAAGCGTCAGAGCTCTAGTCCGCCATATTTCCTTCTCGGTCCTCAACTTCTCCACCTGAACCTCTAACCGCTCTGTGTAAATCATTTTCCGCTTCCTGCTCCGCCTCGCGGCCCTTGTGTTCCTCCTCTTCTTCCATTCCGTGCGTTCCCTCTCTGACGCATTTGGTGGGAGAGGGTCGTCGTCCGATTCGTCGTCAATGTCGTCTGGAAGTGCTAGGTGACGTGATGCTGGTGACCGACGGGGACGAGCTGCCTGCGGTAGAGGAATGTCTGCACTAAGTGGAGAATTAGGAGACCCATGTCTCATACCGATGGCACCACGACCGGTTGAGGAGGTAGGGGAAGTAGAGGGTGGAACCTGTTGTTGTAAACGAGATACGTTGGAAGGATTCACAAAAGTGTGGTGTGAAGTGGATAGTGATTCTGGATCTATATATGAGCTCTGGGGATCCTGTTGTGATTCAGGTATGTATGAGCTACGGCTGGTACCGGAGAAAGGCATCCGGGAGGACTGTATATACGCTGCCGTTCGTGAATCATACGAGCCGGACGCGACAGCTAAGTCTTGCAAGTCCGCTGTGCTATAGTGGTGCGTGTATGAATACATGTTGCTATCCATGACGCTTTCGGCGTACGCGTAACTAATCCTTTGGTTGAAAAGTACTGTTTCCTCCGTTTGCAGGAAAAATACAAGTCGATAAACTGGAGAGCAAGGGGGAATCACGGGTACTACGAGGTGAGGTCGAGTAAGGATGGGTTGGGGTGAGTCGCATTGGAAAACTTGACTTTTATACTACTGAAAAGCACTGGTGTCGGCAAAAGAAAACAATTCATCTATCACAGCCACGACGACATTCGAAGTTAAGAGGCTGTGTCAAAGGGCGTGGGAAAAGTGACGTGCCATACAGAGAGCTATGTCGATCGCGACCGCGACGCACTGTGCTGCAGGAAGTCCCGTATCTTGTATCGCAGCCGCACGTAGAGCATAGGTTTTCCTCGTTGTTTTTGGAAAATTTGAGGCCCTTTTCCGCTAAACGCAAATCACCTCTGGTCAAAATTGTTCTGGAACTGGGATCGGGGAGATGAGAACTCACAACAAAATACGGCTGGTCTTGCGAAAGTAAAAACATAAAGTATGGGAGATTTTTTCGCCGGGTTGGGCAGACAGACACAATGTAATCCCAAATCCAAATCCAAATCAGCAATTCACAATTACGCGGGGATAAAAATAAAAGTAGATAGGAATGGGCACCTAGGCTAACACGAGCTCGTTAGTGCAATCGGAAGGATTCTTCAGAAAATCACCGAGAATGCGTGCGAGTATCCCGCCTCCTTGGCAGTGCAGCTCTGCATATGAAAGATCAGATGTTAGAACGCGACACGACGACAATGAGTGAAAGAGGGTATTAGGCGCGCAAGTACACCGCCCGGAGCTGCCGTTGAAAAGGATCTGCTTGCCGCTCCGAAATTACGGACAAGACCTAATCAATATCATGACCTCTCATGTATCGCCTTATTTCCGTCGTGGCTGGAAGGATGTATTGATATGTATTATCAGACAACTTGAGATTCGGACTCAGGATTTGAACGACCTGCGGGAGTAGGTATTGACAGATGAGAGTGTTAGACAATGCATACATTTTTGGAAAGATGACCTTCATCTTGTCTTCTCTCTTTCACTGCGTCGGACTTCGTTGTTGAATTCACTTTCTGAAGCTATGCTCTTTTGAATTGCTAAATTCTTGATTAATTAGTTTGCATTTAGACTTTGAGGGGTGGTGTTCTACTGTTATGTTCCTAGTTTTCAATGGCATAAACTATGAACTTTTTTGTTCCGGAGAGTGATATTGTAGGGTATTCCGTGGAGAACGTAATGCGATTTCCCTTCGTTGATCGACAAGCAGCTCGTACAGCACATTCGTACTGACGAAAGGGTTATTCAGGCCCAAGGCACATCAATGACTTGTGGGGGACATCACTTACATGGGTATATACTAATACCAACGTCAAACCAGGATATGTCGGACTTTAGAAAGCTCCTACAGTTTGAGCCAGACAGCGAAACCTCTGACAGATCAAAGCTTCAAATACAAGACACAACAGAAAGACATTAGACACCCACCTCAGTCCCAGGTTATAGTTCAAATCTCAGGTTGGCGTAGAGTGGTACAGGATGTGCAACGATTCTCAACGCCATATTCGACAGGGTTCAAAATTCAAGCTCTGCAGAATTGTAGTCTGGGGGGCCTTCACGCATGTCGGCACCGCAAAACGGGGCGTATCTTTACAACGAGCGGGATTCAGAACATGCTAGAAAAAATGCAACTATGATTGTCAACTTTGAAGCGTATCTAGAGCACAGAGCGGTGAGTGTCGGAGATGTTCACCCTCGTTGTTACTTGGATTTGCGGAACCTCGCCAGGTAGGAGCTATAGGAGAATAGGCTATTTCTACGGTTGCGCTTTCGACGAGACTGTGATTAGCGAAGGTGATTTTGAACGCAGAGAGAAAGTACACTGTACTAACCATCACACGGTACGATCGTCCCTCATCATACTACATGAAATGAAGTTTTCCGAGATTCTCTACTCATAGGCTGAGGCGTGGCTGGCTGCAGGAGCGAGCGGATCATTGCATGTGCTGGATCCTTGACTTGACTATCACAGTCTTTCCACCAATGATCCTTGGGATTTCCTGTGCACTAACGGAGCGGGAGTAGGGGTCGCATTGTGATTTTATTGATTGTAAATCTTCAATATATTGAACATAGCACTTTGGCTGTATTGGCTGTGCAATGCGCCCATCTTGGATTTTCAGACGCTTTCTCGGGCGAGGCGCTCTGATTCAATTCTGTGTATATAATTTAGACAAAGTGATTCCTTCCAGCTTCCAAAGCTTACGCGGTTGAGATCGGACAATTTCCTTCGTAACCCAAGACGGGGGCTACTGGAATGTCGAATTGGGAAAATGTGTGTTATTGTTGACCTCGATAACCTTTCGTTGAGTGCACCAGCCACTGTGACCTGAGAGGAGAGATGAGCTCATGGCCCGTCGAACACTACGTTTTAATCAGCTATGATTGAAGCCTGACATACACTGTTACACACACAAATACTCTTTACGTTTGATCACCCCAGATACCTGTCAAGACCCGTCTCCAATGACCTCGGGATGTACGTCCTGAGTGGCAGATAAGGCTGAGAAAATGTCTGAACTCTTCACGGATGGGAAATCACCTCCACTAACGTTCGCTTGTCACATCCTCAGAGATGCCCGAGGCACATGAGGATGCCCGTTCTCACTATTTCGAGCCTAATGGTGCCGGACCCCGGTGAACGTTCAAACGTTCAAGCTTCAGTTGGACAATATCATGATTACAGAACAAGGTTGGCGAGTTTGGTCGATAAGGTTAGGATCAAAAGTGGATCTGTCATTCTCAAGCTTGTGAAAACCCCGATGTGGGTTTTCATCCTTGCCATACTACATTGACAATAACGGGTTGCGGTATAAGAGGAATATCATACATTGTATTATCACTCATCCTCCAATTTCGTGTATATAGATTCTACGTAGATAGCTGAGAGCCTTAAAATAAAGCCACCGTAACTTGTCTCTATCTCCATGTGGAGGTAAGAGTCTCCGATCCTGACGTTACTGTCGTAGTTTCTCTATTGGGATCCGATTCCCATACGATCTATAACATAGAAACGTCAACTAAAAGACATATTTTGCCACCAAGAAGACTCACACTTCCATCAGTCTCCTTTCGAATAAACTTGTAGTCAAAGAGTGTATTGGCAGGTAGATCAATAGTCAACGTCCATACTGGATAATCCGCAGATGAGAGAGCAATCTACATAGCGATAGCGTCTATCAGAACACGCGAAATGCCAACATTATTCTCTATATGCTTACCGAATCATCAGTATCCCAAGACCCTAGCTCAGGGATACTTCCAGAGATGAAAATATTCTAGAATGGTTGGGATTATGTTAAGTATTGAAGGGATGTGGTTTTGTAAGAGCAGAACTCGATACCTACCTCTCCAAACGTGGTAGTAGCAGTCTCTTCGAACGTTACAGATACAGTTCCAGATCCGGATCCAGTGCTTCCAGTACCTGGACCTGCTCTTAGAAGTTCACAACAGGGTATTGAGAATCACTAGCTCACTTGAACCCCCAGTGCCCAAGGCTCCGGTATGAATAGCGATCGCACTCCTTGCCGGGACTGAGGCAGTGAATAATCCTCCGGATACAGTGATCCTGTTCGAGTCATACATATAGGTTAAGTACGAGTCCGCATTCATATGATATTATGAAAAACCCCACCCTGTCCCCGTACAATTTCCAGAGGAGCTGGTTCCGCTGATAACATCACAATAACTACCGGCTGGCAAGGAAGTCGAGAACGTTGCACTCCAAACTGTGTCGGCGTTGTTGATCGCGACGAATCCGAGGGCACCTACATAGCGGCGTTAACGAATATTATAGTTGCAAGGCTGAGGAAAGCGTTATACTGCCTACCTCTACCAAATGCAATTTGCTCAGACTGAGGAGAGACCCAGTCATTCAATGCTGCTGAACCAACGTTGTTCTTGAATCCGACCATGCCAGAGACAGCTACCCAGCGATGCTGGCAAATCCATCCATCGGTCCCTCCAGTTCCGCTACATTCTCCAGTACCTGTAAACAAGTACATTCAAACTGTAGACCACAAGTTCAAGAAATTGATCCTTACCACCGTTCGGCGCTCCATCATCAGTTGTGGCAAATTCGTAACTGGACAGGATTGTGACTAACGTACTTGGGTTGGGTTGGGAAAGGAAAGAGAAATAAAGGACACTCAACCGGTGTTTCCGAATGGATACGCAAGTGAGAAAATCATTGCGGTGGTGTAGGTATTGCTGGGAGATTCGTAGTTAAGTGAGCCTCCATTCTGTGGCAAACAAACATCAGGAGGTCAAAGAGGTCTCATGAATACGCATTCGTCAGCAACGTACTCGTTCCGTATCATGATTGGTGACAAAAACATTAGCGTCTGAAGAATCAATCCAACCTACAAACAAGTCATGTCAATTCAGAATGAGCTTGGGGAGGTTCCAAAATCAGGTATTACCTTGGCTGGACAAGTTCTCGAGATTAGATATTCCACCACCCAAGAATGCGCTCTGCAGGGCGGTCGTGTAACGGAACCTAAATAAGATAAAACGAAGGAATCCTGGGCAAGGGTGGTTTCGCCTTACTCTTGTACATTTCCTGCATGATAACACGAAAGGTGAGGACGGTGGTATACGGCGAGAGACTTAAATATGATTGACCTATTCCGGTGTAAAGTTCAGGAGTCACAGGCTGCCCTGATCCCCAGATGACTTCTTGAGTGAGATACAGAGAAACATCGAACTGGGCAACGATCGCTTCGATATCCGCTGGCGCTATATCTGGATAGAATGATGTGTTAGACGTCACCGATGGAAGGCCACACAAAGTGTCATACTTTTTGCAGCATCCAACCGTAACCCGTCAATACCCAATGACGCCATGTCATTTGCATATTCTGCGAGTCGACCTTGAACATAGGTGGTGTCCGTTGCAAGGCTTGAAAAACAATGTTCTTATCCACAATAAAAATCATTTCTTGCTACTCACTCAGCGAGTCCCTCCAGTTCGCAAGTCCACACCTCGACTTCATTATCGTAATTCACAATGGTGTTTCCGGGCTCTAAACCACAGTAATGGAAATCCTGACAAAAAAATGTTTCATATTGTTGGCACTCCACAAGCAATAAGAGACAGTGCTGACTTGCGCCTCATAAATCCCGGGATACACGAACTGTGTGTAGGTAGATCCGGCGACCCCGCTCCCCTCCGCGTTCCCAGTCATATGGTTAAAAATGGTGTCTGCATTATAGAATGTTCAAGTTGATGAAAGGCTCGAACCATAGAGGCAATGAACCAACGAACCTGCAATAACCAATACTCCCGCGGCGTGGCACGTCTCAATCATACTGAAATGGAAACGATGCTCATCAGGTGTTCCTGCCTGCGTATGATTCAATCGCACAATACCTTTGAAACTGAGCTCTATCACCGCGCTTGGAGGTCAAGATGTAAGATACGGGCTGGTAATCAGTCCACCATTCTGTGCCAGTGATGTGTTCTTGCGGAGGACTAGCTACATTGAAGCAATGAGTCAGAAAGGGACTTTATGCTCCATACTCGTTGGAGCAAATGACATACTTTGGACGTATCCATATCCTGCAGGGCCGAGAAAATCAGTACATTCTGTAGCGATACTAACACCACCATGAATGAGTGATGAAAAATAGAACTCGGCGACTCCCTATACCTGTCCCAAGTCCACTCGAACATTTGGACAATCGTTGATTTGGAACCGACAGTTGCGCGAACGTTCAAAGCCTCGTCATTTGTTGGTTCGAGGGGGTGAGCATAGCCTATTGATAATAGCAAAGGGACTATTAGTGTAAGCCTGAGGAAGAACGCCATAGCGAAAAAGACAACGCAAGGTTAGACTACCGACCATGCTCGTCATCTCCCTTTTAAACATGGATGAACTCCACGTCGATGGAACGCCAGAAGTTCGACGTGACTGCCATAGTGTGGAATATTATTGATATTCTTCCATATGCTTGAAAAGATGGTTGGACGAAAATAATAATATATCTATTCATTCGATATATGAGTGTCATTCATGTGACAGCAGTGGCTCGCGACTCAAAGGTACAGGACAGCTCACCTCGGACTAGAGACTATGCTAATCGGGCTGTCAACAGGTGGAAAACGCAGGAAGAACATCGAAAACAGAAATGCAAGTGATCGATATTCTCTTGACGATCCCGCCCTCTGAAATTCTGAAGAAGGAAAACTCCACAACACTTCATCAGTAGCTCACGCGAGATCTCGGAGTACCAGTACACTGGAAGAAGCTCACAGTGAACATCAGACGACCTCGAACCAGGGTTGGACCATGGACACACCCCATAAATGGCGGGGGTAGAAATCATTGCTAGTTCAAGTGAAGAATAAATAGGCTCAAATACGTGCGAGAGACCTCGAAAAGAGGATCATATCCGAGTTGTACCCCAGAGGTCGCCTAGTAGAGGTAAAATCGAATGAAACATGTGAAATAGCGATAACATTTTCGGATTCAAACCAAATGGTAGAAAACGGTAAAACGCTAATTGCGAAAGCCGACCTTCAACCTTTCGACCCACGCTCAACAGCAGACTACACAAGGGTCTTGTGCCTTGAAGAAGACACCTGGTGAATATGATTCGGCTTATAAGCTAACATTTCAAGTTTTCCGACGAAATGACGTATATACGAGTGTGATTCTGAATTGTCGACGAATTGTTTATGTGTACATAGACTGGTACGAGATTCAGTCGATTTATGACGCGAGCTTGAGCAATCACTCACCATTACCAGTCTTTACCAGTACGAAGAAAAACAAAGAGTCTGAACCTTGACATCGAACTTACCCTAACGCTCCCAATCCTCACATCTAGGTGAAATCAAGTCAGTGGCCTAGTCGAGCCAAGGAAAGATCGCGTTCTACACCAAGATCAAGGAGAGGCGAAGGGTGATGGGTGAAAAAAAAGACGCTCTACACAGGTCATTCTCTACACAGCCACTCCCGAATTGCTAGCTGAAGCTACGAGAGCTTGCTCCGGTTAGCGTAAGTGTTAGATTTGAAGGCAATGGGAGTATAGGAGTTTTATCATTTTAAAGAAAGACTAGTTCGGACGGCCCGGCAGCGATTAGTGGTTACCAAACTTGTGTGCGCGTCGCATCCATCTCAATATACAAGAATTCACTCGTTCTTCTCTTATCATTACATTCGTTTTTTGGCCCCACCCACCATTCCCTTTTTTATTTAGCTCACGCTTGGTATGTTTGGGTTCATCTCCTTCACACCCTTGCACTCCTTGTGTACTGGATTCGACGTCTACGGCCTGCTACATATTGGTTTTGGATTTCCTTTTCAAACCAGTATTTGTCTGTGCCCCGCCTCGCGGAACGTCGTTTTCCCCGCAAACTATACGAAATCATTGACTGACATTGGGTTATTACAGGATACATTTCCCTCTATATGTGTACGAAAGGATATTATCGGCGTAGTGCCTTATTGCCTTATTAGGCATGGACCGACTTATCTTGTATCTTGTCTTTTCTGCTACCTGCAGGTTCCCTTCCAACCACTGGTACAACGCATGCAGAGCTTTGTGAAATTCTCCCCAAGAAAATGCAGTAATCACAGTTGTACACGTACGTCTTCATTCCCGATTCGTTTTTCAAAGCATGGACTCCGCGCTGGCAAGCCCTAGTTACCAGAATCATGAAGTGGGCACTGCATATGAGCCTGAGATGTGTGTATATTTTTGCTCACATCATCACTGTACAGTTTATCCTCCGGTAGGGAGTGTCACACTTAGTGATCCTTGTCCGTATAAAGCGCGATGAATGCTAATGTCAATTGGGTATGTAAGCCACCCCCATGTCCAGTGGAGAAATACCAAGTCCTACATAGTTGTTGCATTGATGTTCACTGTATCCTTGGCTACAGATGGTAAGATGAAGAACCGGAGTTGTGCTGAATGACGGGAAGAGCACATATACTCGTAACTCAAATACATTGGCCTCTAGTGGCCTTTGTACTCGATAAGATAGAGAATTAGCCGGTCGGTCATTGAGCCGTCGACGTATAAGAAGGGTGTTCAAGCGCAACAACACCAGTACCGCTACTACCGAAGCTTATCAATGCAGAGTATCAAACTCATCCTCATCACTGCAATTTTCTCGCTCGCCTCTGGCTCTCTCCTTGTCGCTCGTCAGACCACAGACACTTGCGATGCCTCTAATGCCTGCATATCATCCTCCGGCTGCACTGGAAGATGTGCACCTGTCTCGTCCGGTGGAGGACCTGCTGTATGCCAGGATGTATGTGTGATAAATGGTGAAGCTGTGAGCATATTTTGTCCGGCATGTTATGCTGGAGATGCAGAGAGTACGGGGGCGGCATGTGCTATTGATGCTAGTGCGAATTGTGTGCTCAGTGTGTAATTTAGCACAGGACTAAGGAGCATGTAGGAGACGTTGTCTAGTGCAAGTGGTGAGTGGTCAATTTTCCACAGTGCCATAACAATCAAGACTGGACTGAAAATGCATTATTGATGTTACAGGGGAAGGATATTCAATACCCTAGATAGCAAACTTGAAAGACATATGTTTGTTTTGTGAAAAAAAAACGGAAGATCTCCAATCTGATTGGCTGTTATTAAGGGTTCTTGCTCATTCTCAATAGATCACTAGACCAGTTTAGGCCAATTCAGAACCATGAAGGTTTCTTTTTTTTTGCTTGCTACACTAAGTTAACACAGGCAAAAGAAGCAAGTGGGTGGAGTGAAGCAATGCCCCAAGTATAATGCATTGCACATCTCATAGTTGCGTTTGGAAAGTATACGTACATGAGCAAAAAATGAAATGCAAAGAGGAAATGGAAGAGAAAAAAATTAATTGGACACACTGGGAATTGAACCCAGCACCCCCCGCAAGCTCATAGTGCTAAGCGGATGTGATAACCAACTACACCATGTGCCCTATGTTTAAGGTTAACCTTCAGGATGCTGTTTGAGGTAGAACATGCAGAGTCGGTGCCAGATTGGTGCACCAACTGTTCTGTGGATACCACTCTGGGCGAATATCTATCTATCTACCAAGGATACATTCCTGGTCAAAGCTAATCCCAACTCGGTGACCACAGTGTCTGATCCCCATGACTCTGTATCCACTACAGTTGTGAAACTAGCTACAGGCCGATCAGTGTGATCATTGTGAAAGACAGTTACAGCACTATCTAATGTTCGACTTTTGTTGAGGACGATAAGCACGATCAATGGGTATATTCCCTAAAATTCTGGTGAGCCTCGCACTCCAAAGACACAGGTATAACTTTAGGTAGTATACTTACAGCAAATTGGAGATTCACAGGAGCGCACAATTCTCCCAGCGTTCCTAGTGGTAATGGAATGACTGTTGCGACGAGGATAGCCATCTGAGCGAAGAAGGAATTGTAAGTATCAAGTTTGAAACTTGGTTGATCCCAAGGTTAAGCACCTACTAGCGAAATGGAATAGATGATCCCAGATTCCACAATGAGTACCAGAACTTTTCCGGCCTTATGTGGCCGCGATCCCGATACGAACATCTTCCGAAGACACCTGCACCGAGCCAGAGCCATTCAGTTCGAAAGCAGATTCAGAAAATCATTATACAAAACCGCGCACCAAGCTTTAGATGAAACGGTCCCTGTGGCTATCAGGTTTGTTATTAATGACAAACCCAGATTCGAGACTTGTGTTATGTTGATAGCTCGTTCGAGGGAGGCAAGGGCACTCTGGTTCGAGGGTGAAGTGCAACCTAATATAATCCTGATAACGATCGTGCTTATCTCGCTCACTGGATGATACGAAGAACATTAACGGTAGCTTGAGACATTTTCTCGGAGCATAAACTTACGGAACACACAACAGAGGAAGAAAACGCAAGCATCTATTGCGATACGATGGTCACTCCGACAAAGTGCCCATGCACGCCATACTACTACACCGTCTGCAAGACCGTACTAATGTCTGATGAGTTTAATGGGGCCATGTATTATCCGAAAACAGAGCTCACGTTAACGAGAAGGATCGCATTGAATAGTGGGAAGTTATTGATTATGTTGTGTGTCGAAAAGCCAAAGAATAAGGTCTGTATTAGTTGGATTATGTTGGCTATCGAGGCTGCCATATATAGGGTAGTGATAGTATACATGAACGTCGTCAGTCCGAGAAGAAGTTTGCGTGAGAAGCTATCAAGCCCTTGTTGACTGAGAAGAAGACATTAGATCGAGAATTTGAACGTCAGCTATTAGGATGGAACGTACACCATGATGTAGGTTGAAATAGTAAAGAGTGTAGTATATATGCCTACGATTAAACCGTGACCAAATCAGTAATTCGTACGTAGCAGATGGGATTGAACCGGATTTCACCATAAATAACCATCTCGGGCAAAATTCCGATGATATGACTGGTATGAAATAATAAAATGGTTCCCAACTCGGCCAACTCAGTAGCATTCAAAGACATAAGGGTACCAGCCAACTTCGAGTCCAGCAAGTTATGGAGAGAGAGATGTAGGAAGAGATAGAAATAAAACTCACATTCTTATGAATGTGTAAATAGTCAATACTATTCAGCTGCCTGGCAGCATCAATCAACCGGGGTTGTTCGTTTCCAACCAAGGTGCGATGGCCCAGGGATAGGCTGAAATACATTCCATGGCAGAGATCGTTTCATCGTGACTTCGGTGTTCACAACTTCTCAGGAGAGTTGAGCAGCACCCGCTCTCTGCCAGGTAAGTATTGTTCAGAATTGAAGCATTGTCTTTTGAGAGAGCCGGAGGGAGCCCATTGGAATCATAATTACTTTAGTATTCTTGTTGGCCCGCTTCAAATCGTATAGGGATAAATTGTTAGACAAACAGCCAGTCACGTCATACGAAGAAGACGAAGATCACATAAAATATCCACAAGGCTTACTATTAGGGAGGACAGAGGAACCCTGGGTCAACCGGTCACTGACACAGCCAGTCACCAGCTGTGCACAGACCATACAGCCACGTGGCCATGTCACTTATAAAGGACTGGCGTCAACCATTTTTTCTTCGTTGCACTCATGTCAAATTGCAGACCTTCGACTCGTATCATACCACGATTGGTTTGTGCCTAAGTAGTGCACAAAGGGATTCGGATGTCTTAGTGCTCGATAGTTTTATCACGTTTGTCTCCTGTAAAGGGTGAGGAACAGAGCCGGTAGTTCGTACAATCTTTCTATCACATTCTCCTACTGTCTTTTCGTTTACAGGCATTCCTGTATGCAGTTATACCTTACATTGGCTTTATTGGGCCTAAATTTTATGCCCGACCTCACGAATTGACCGTGTACTTCTCGCTGGCGCCCTGATTATTCTCTCGGACCAAAATCCTCGTGTGTCCATTGCCAACGGTGTTTATTGGATACCAGCACTAGCAAAATAAGCCGGAATTCGTGTAGGCCTGACAGACTTCTGCCGAACAGTTCACTGCTTGGGGGCAGTAATATTCAAACCATCTGTACCCTCAATGCGTGTTTGAAGCTGGGCATTCGATCGAGAATGTAATTAGTTGCACAGGCGGAATTGAAGCCCGTTCCAGCAGACATGCTGAATTGAATGGAACGTAGGTATCGGAATTCCTTTCTTGATAAGGCGGAAGAAATTCCGCTCCAGTCCAACTGTTTCAAGCACGTTTCGTCACCCGAATTAGGGAGCATAAGCTCGAAGCCAACATCTTCAAGAGAATCAGACGGTATTTGCGACAACATTTGCGAAACCCATGGGCTGATCATTGTAGTCACTGCGTCGTCGGGCATCAATAGTATGTGCTTATACCGAAGCGAGCGCAGCGAGGTGCATTCCTGGAGATCGATGAAGTCACGTAGGGCATCTGAAGAACCGGTGAGCGTTTTGTGTGTGGATCATGCAAAGAAATAACACTGACCGCTTTTACTCCTGTTGTCAGCGAACACGGGAAAAGAGACCTGCAGATAGCGTAGGGAAGGAGCAATCCTTCGTAACAGGTTGCGCAAGTGGTACACCTCCGACTGAGAAGTTGCATCGTAGTAGAAGCTCCGGATGATCGGAGTAGGATTGTGGGCTCCTAGCCATTCGGCCAAGTCCCTCAGATTTTTTCCATGTCTCAACTCTAAAATATGCCACTCGACATGAGAGGAGACACGGCCCAAGTTCGAGACTCCTCGTCCATTATGCGTCCAAGTGAGTCGTTTTAACTCGACCCGGTCAAGCATGGGCAACGAGCATACTAAGTCTGCAAATTCCGAGAATCGATAGAAATGCAACGAGTGCAACTCTAGATTAACGAAGGAATGCAAGTATGACACGAGGCATCGAATAACCTCCTGCGGGACATGCTCGAAGTCCGTATTGGATATGCGCACGCACCTCGCGGCCGGCAACATGGATAATACTCTAGGCATTTTTCGGATGGCACTCTCGATATCTGAAACACCGACAACGAAGACCCATCTTGCCAAATCGTTGAACACGACGCGTTGGACGTAAGGAGAGATGGTGTTACGGGTCGATTTGATAATCCTAGTGAGAGAGGTGACCCGCTGGGCGCTAAGCTGAACAGACAATTCGGAGAACAAATGATAGCGAGTAGAAGGTAGAAGAGGGCGACAGAGGCCGCAGGTCAGCAGTGAATGTCGATCGTCGTAAAGGAAGTCTCCGATAGTATCAAAAATTTCCGCGGGAAGCATAGTAATGCAAGTAACAAAAACTATCGGGGAACAGGTAGAGTCGGGGTGAGTTTTTTGACGTTTGTTACCAGGCTGATTAATTATCTGAGGTTCGAAATAATCAGGTTCTGCTCCCGGGAACCAATGAGCAGGAACGTACACAGCGATTGGTCTCTCAATTAGCCTCAAGCAGGGGGTGAAGGTTCGAGAATCTAGTAGTGAAAAGCACGAGGATTTTTATGCTCGGTTGTGTTACTGTATACTATGAACGTGATTATGGACGCCACAAATAATTACTTACAGATTACGAGTAGGGAGCACAACTTCAACGGAGAAAATGGTTCTAACTACCTCCTTTCCGTTGTAGACGCGGGACCAGATTCAAATTATATGAAGAGGGAAGCAAGTAAAAGCGATGTCCAAGGGAATTTGAATCGGGACGATTGACTGTATAGGGAACAAGAGGATCCTTGAGTTGAGAGACTAGTTCTGGTATGGAATAGCTCTATCTGTCTGCTAATCAGTACTAGTGTGTGATATGATGTTGACTTCGGTTTGCAGACGGGAAGAAACAGGGTAAGTGAACAGCACACCGACTCGGAGCACCAAGCTCTGAGTATTTGAGATAATTAAATGAACTGGTTATAACCAGATCATTTTCCGTAACCTGAGTAGGTTGAGCTCCTCTTTCGCCGAGTTCTGCTGTCACCCCCAAGTATCCACTGACCGGCACTAGGTCGACTGCAGCATTGAGACAATAATGAATAGCATGGGGATCGAAGATTTGCGGTAAGAAAGACTTGCCATCTACAGTGCATCATTAGACAGTACTGAATTATCGGTCTGTGCCAACTTTCATTGGCAAAACGACAATCGGCTAGCGGGATTCTGATAACCATACATATCCTTCGTAAGCGTTTTCAAGAAGCGTAAACGATGAGCATATATATGTAAGAACGGGTTTGAAGACATGAGATTCTACTCAATGTATCCTCGGAGAGTCGGACCTCGTTGATGTTCTTCTACGAGCCCTTGCTTTCCCTGTGTCCAGCAATTTCCCAGTCATTCCGATTCTTGTCATCCCACTGGATTGCTACAATATCGATGAACCCATTGGTACCAACACCGAACTTACTTGGCACTACATCGTTAGCGGCGTTAGAAGAAAATGAGTCCATGTGACAAATTTTTGAAGGACTCTTCATCTTCGCATGATACCATGTCGCGGGACTGAAGATGAAAAAGAAAACAGGATCGGTTTCCGTGATCTACGACATGGTGACTATCGACCACCTCAATATATCGGTATTGAGCATACCGCAATTGAGATCACAAAAAAAGACTCTTTGTGTAAGTATAATCATAATGCTTTGACATCTAATTCAGCAGGCATTTCCTGTTCGGTAATACCTGCAAGACAGTTGTCGACAGCTAAAGTAGCCATAGCCAATCGCGTTTCAAACGAGGCACTTCCGATATGAGGAAGGATATTACATCTAAAACTCATTGTAAATAAGCGTTCAGCATTGCATGAGAATGTACCCTCACCTCGGTTCCTTAAGTAAAGGATGATCCTTTCCGACATTGGGTTCACCTTCGACAACGTCAATGCCCGCGCCCCAGATCCACTTTTCTCTTAGCGCCTTTGCTAATGCGTCAGAGTCAACCACAGTTCCTCTTCCAGCATTTACAAGCACGCTATGCTTCTTCATCTTGCGAAGAAAGTCTTCGTTGACGAGATGTTGTGTTGAAGGTCCCCCAGGAGCCAAAATAAACAGCACGTCTGATTCTCGCCCAAGAGTGTCTAGATCGACGGCTCGTAAAGACTTGAGCTGGGGCTGATGTTGGCCGAGAAGCTTCTCGTCGCGTTCTTTCTTGTGTGAAGTAGACGAATTCGGGTTAGAGGAGTATATGCAATCAGTTACTCCAAAGGGAATCAAGCGCGCGAGGGTGGCATGTGAGATCCGACCGAATCCGAGGAAACCAACCGTACGCGAGGGAGAAACCCCAGAAGTGCTGAGCTGAGGGCCACATAGCGCGAAGGGTGCCCAGATGAATTTCGGCCACTATGTTGAAAATTAGCGCGTGGGGAGAAGGAAGGTATCGAAGCGTACTAATCCTTCCCTCACAATTCCCATAGTTTCATTTGCGTTTCGACCGGCCATTAATGCAAGCATCACCGATATATCGGCGACTATACCACTTTATAAGGTGACATATTTGATAACAGTCAGAAGAAGAATAATTGACCTGCATCGGTAAGCACGTCGGGTGTGTAGCCCAATCGAATATTTCGTTTCGCAAGCTCTGGTACGTGGATATGTTCTGCGATGGACTATTGAATAAGACGTATGTAACGAGAACTTGAAGATTGATTTACCGTAGCCCACTGACATTGTAGACACGACTTTGAGATTGGGCCCAGCTATATATGGTTTTGGCGCTAATCAGCATTATTCTGAGCTTTTCATGGGACTTACCAGCATCCAAAAGTTCTGCGTCGACCTAAAACGATGTGAGGGGTCAGGTCTTTCTTATCGATGGTTGTACTTACTAGTTCTGAGAAAACTATGACGATACCAACGGCGCCCTTTACATTCTCCAGCAGCCATTGTCGGTCAGAGACACGATCCTCAGTCCATAAAACAACCTAGGAATGATGAACAAATATAAGTAGCATTTTTGAGCTTTTGAAGTACCTCGATATCATCTCTCTTGGTCAATAAAGGCATTACATCCGGCCCAAGGTCCCTGCACACAACGACTTTCGGTTTACTGGTTCTGAGATGAGATGAAATGGAAGTCAGACGGGTGGGTGCATTTGACATAGCTTGAGAAATCTACCCAGAAGACGGCATACTAATAATTATTCGAGGGAAGAAGCAGAACAAACGGCCCGTTCTCGGCAAGAAATCGTTTGCCGGAACAGTATTGGGGAGACACGTGAGGTCGGTTTGCGCGCGCTAATTATTTTTTTTGACATCTACTTGATCAGCGCTGCATCGTCGACGCGTTCTTCTCGACTAATTTTGCGTATTCTATCAAGCACAAAATGACGAAATACATTGTCGTCTCAGGCGGTGTGGTGAGCGGTATTGGCAAGGGTGTAATTGGTACGAGAATCATGTTCGATATGGATCTTACTCGACCTACAATCTGTTTTCAAAAGCTTCTTCGACGGGTTTACTACTCAAGACTCTTGGCTTAAAAGTCACCGCTATCAAAATCGATCCTTACATGAACATCGATGCGGGAACCATGAGGCCGCAGGAGCATGGTGAGGCTTCCAGGGCCTCGCTGAGTCGCTTCAATTGACTGTCGGTAACAGGGGAAGTATATGTCCTGAACGACGGCGGAGAAGTGGACCTTGACCTCGGAAACTACGAGCGATACCTGAACGTCACGCTGTCACGAGATAACAACATTACTACCGGAAAAATTTACAAGGAAGTCATAGAGAAAGAGGTTAGTCGTGCTTGGGTCAAAACCGGTCAATGTTAATCTTTCAAACAGCGCAAAGGAGATTACCTAGGAAAAACTGTTCAGGTGAGGGGTTATTCATCTTATCTTTATCTTATGTTCAAGTATCTTTTCAGATTGTCCCTCATGTCACGAATGAGATTCAAGATTGGATCGAACGTGTATCTAAAATTCCAGTAGATGAAACGGGCGAGGAGCCTAACATCTGCATAGTTGAGGTATGTCTTTGTGGCTCCCACTCATGTCCGAAGCCGACGATTTCTATAGCTAGGCGGCACGGTAGGAGACATTGAATCAGCGCCATTCGTTGAGGCTATGCGTCAATTCCAGTTCCGCGTCGGCCATGAAAACTTCGCTCTGATCCACGTATCTCTTGTTCCAGACATGCACGGCGAACAAAAGACAAAACCTACTCAGACGACTGTCCATTCTCTGCGCGGGTTGGGTCTCCTTCCTGACCTTATTGCGTGCCGTCTCCTCGTTCCCCAGCCTCTCCGACCAGACACGAAAAGCAAAATATCGATGTTTTGTCATGTCGCTGCTGAGCAGGTCTTTGGTGTTCATGACGTTTCCTCTGTGTACCATGTCCCGTTACTCTTACGGTCTCAGGGGATCGTTGAATATCTCACAAAACGATTGAATCTAGAAAGCGTCAGGGTTACTAAGGAAATGGCAGATGGAGGAGTGTCGCTCTCGAACCGCTGGCGCAACATGACTTCTCTGTGAGGTACTTGTGTGAGTTCAGTCTACGTCGATGACTCATTCTTTGTTTCCAGATCTGAGAGGGCCTTCGACACAGTGCACATTGTCCTAGTCGGAAAGTACACCGATCTCAAAGATTCTTATATGTCTGTCACAAAATCATTAGAGCATTCTGCTTTCCGAGTGAACCGGAAACTAACTGTTCAAGTAAGTTTCGGTTGTCTATTTCCATAGTCACTTCTGAACTCATCGTTGTAGTGGGTTGAATCGTCCGACTTAGAACCGGAAGTACAAGAGAATGCACCTGCTAGATATCACGATGCATGGCGAGCAGTCGTAGGTGCTAGGTAAGGCCCCTTCTATGTCGAACCTTTCTAGCTGAAGCTCATGCTTTTCGTCTTCTGAGAGGGATTCTTGTGCCCGGTGGGTTTGGTAATCGAGGGACTGAAGGCATGCTCCTCGCCATAAAATACGCTCGCGAACAAGGGATACCTTATCTAGGGATCTGTCTCGGCTTTCAACTCGCCGTCATCGAATGGTCTCGCAACGTCTTGAACATATCTGATGCAACATCTATGGAATTCGACCAAGAAAGCAAAAGTCCTGCAATTGTTTTTATGCCAGAGATATCCAAAACACACATGGGTGGGACGATGCGCTTGGGATTGAGGCCAACGGTCTTCCAAGAAGGCACGGAAACGTGGTCGAAGGCGAGGAAGCTTTATGGGGGTGCAGAAAAAATTTGGGAGCGGCATCGTCATAGATACGAAGTTAATCCTGATTGGGTAGAAAGATTGACTGCAAGTGGACTGCCATTCGTAGGCAAAGATGAGAAGGGCGAGCGAATGCAAGTGCTAGAGCTGCGTGGTGCGTGTCTAACTCCCTTTTCGATCTTTTTCGCGCTTTTCGGTTTCTTCTGAATCGTTCTTTGCTTTCACTCTGTTCAGATCATCCCTTCTTCATGGGTCTACAAGCTCATCCAGAGTTCTGTACCCGTCCCCTCAACCCTTCCCCCCCGTTCCTCGGGTTCGTCGCTGCCGCCTCGGGCCCCGGTGTGTTACAAGAACAGATTGAGAATCAGCTAAGGAATTATACTCCCCCACACCCGGAAGACGCGATGGTTAGCGAGGCTGAACTGAGGAACGGACACCCGGTTGCATATGGCAAAGACCATGTTCTCGTCAATGGGAACGCGTCTGCGATATGATTTTCGAGTCCTAATAACACTAAACGTTTTCTTTTTTTTTTGTGATATTCCCTCTTCATACGTTCTTTCATTCGTTCGTCGTGTGTGTAATAAAGTCTATCCAGACCTCACTTTGCCATGACCCATCATGCACTGTCGAAATTTAAACATATCTTGCTCGCATTCTGTCACATTCTATTCTGCCGCTTATATTCTATCTGTATCTGTAGTATGTATCCCCGCGCTTGTAGAACAGTATCCCCTCACTTGTAGAACATAGCCCACCCTTGTATCTTTGATCTTACGTAATCCGAATAATGCGTTCCCGCCTGTTCCCGCAAGGTGTCTTCCATCTCATCGATCCGACTGACTCAGAGACTGCATTAAGTATGCCCGTAAAATCACATTCATGGAACCGTGTAATTCTATCTGCGCAACATCACAGTCTAATTCCCTGCATTTCACATCTCTCGAACCCGTTATCGGCTGTTATCAGGCACTTTTCTCCAACTTCTTTCCAGGACATAGTCTACCGTACGTAGACATCAGACATCAAGTATATCTGACGATTGTGTCAAAACGAAGTATATACTTATCCAGAGCGGTTTGGGAGTTTACAGCTTTGAACACTCCTCTGAGACTGCCCATGTGGCGAAGAATTGCAGACTCGAGAACATATCTTAAGGGCATGTCCAAAATATGAAGACTTCCGGTATATTTTACGGAAAGCATCGGAGGATATATGCCTGAAAGACATACTCGGGACCAGTGAAGGCATCGAAGCCCTGACTGAGTTTCTGAAAGAAAGCGGTGCCTTCACTGTGACAGGCAAACCGCGGTCCAAGTGTACGGAGATCAACTACATGCCACTAGGGATTTGGGAGGATTTAAACACCATGTCTCGAGGGATGGAAGAGGAAGACATAACTCAAGAAGCAGATTGGAGAGACGAGATAGTTGACTCCAGTGATTCGGAAGCCGAGACGTGATCCTGAGCCAAACTGCGATTTCATTTTTATTTTCATTCTACAAGATTTGCACAAATGTGCAGTCGAGTACAGCACACTCTACCGCGACACCTACACAATAGTGCACTACAATATGACCCATAGCTACACCTACACTTGTAGACTCATCACCATGACCCAGAACCAAGTAACGGAGGCAGGCGACAAACTGTATTCATTGGGTCGCCGCGGCTCCCCGCGCCTTAGTACCATAGTCTTACTTGCTTGCGGTTAATAAAGAGTTTAAAAAAAAAAAAAAAAAAAAGAACACTCCTCTGAGTAGAGGTTTGCCGAGTCGATCCAGGAAAAAGGAGTGGTGCACACAGGAATATTTTGGGTAATCCTGTCCACCTACTTACAGCAGCATATGATAGGCTTTATAGGTGCAAATGATTACAACTGAAGCACCAATACAGATATATCATCCCATTCCTCGGATGGATTCACTGCCTCCGCCATCTTTTCCAAATCTGTCCCAAAACAAACATTTTTGATCACCCTTTCTGCTGGGTTATCACCGTCCTGAGCCAGAATGTATTGATGGCCAAGTTTCTCTGACCAAGATGCATTTTCTGGGAAAGAATCTACATTCGAATTCATGGAGAAGGAAATTATCAAATTTTTCTTGTTGTCCTCGTCGAAGTTCCTCAATTCATATGCAAGCCCTTCAGATGAGAGGACCAGAATATCACCCAATTTGAGGGAATGACGACGGACGACCGCAGTTGCAGATATATAGGGTGGAGTGGTACAGTTGTCTAAAACTTCCATTGGAAAGGGAGAAGGCCAGATGAACCGAAGAATATTTTTTGCGAAATGATAGGGTGTTTTGAGCTGATGATTACCCAAAGCTGGTATGCAGATGAAATAGATGAATAGGTTATGCAGTCAAGCAAATTTGTCCCTGAGACGCACCTCGTGTTACAGCAAGACAGGATAAAATACGCCCATATTGAATGACCTGAGGCTCACCTGGGTGCTCTCTCTGAACTCTTTCTAGCTCATCTGGATTTTGACCATTATGGTAATCACTTAAGCATGTTACTTCCCAGTTTACTCCATCTTCTCTTTTCTGACCTAGAACTAACTCATTCATGAGATACTTACATGTCAAAGTGAAAAGAAATAAAGAAATTCGACTAACAAGCATCCGAATCTCCAAGAGATGCGACCCACACATTTTCCTTCGCTCTGTCGATGAACGCAATCAATGCTGTGGTTCCTACCACAGCATATCGGGCCCTTTGAAATTTAGGGTGTTCCTTAAGCCACCCCAGCACACTAAATACCTCGCGTTCATCTTCCCAGAAAGGATCAGACCAATCGGTCTGGTCTTTTTGTGGAAATTCGTCGATGACGCCTTGAATAAGCCACCGATCGTACTCCTCGATGCTCTGGATAAAAGAAGTCACCACAGCTTCATCGAGGGTGCAATCTTTCTCGAATAAGGTTTTCTGAATTCGTTCAAGCAGGAGAGGCGGAAGCGTTTTCGACGCGTAGTCTGCTAAATCATCTGAGTGATGACCTTCGAAACATTGACTGGTGTCACCGGCTGGGAGAAACGTAGAAACACCACATCTTACCATCGAAAAGCGCTACGATTAATCCCAACTGTGATTCAAGAAAGACAGTCTTGTCCTCGTTCACAGACTTCTTGGCTTGAAATCCTGCCTGGGATATACGCGCATTGTCGAAACAAATATCAAGAGATTTGATACATTTCCGGGAGAAAGCTGCATTCAGCGACTCCATTATAAGTTGTTGATCCATAAAGCGAAGCGTCTGGGGGCGTTAGGCCACAGTGAGGATGGTTTAGGAAGAACACAACACCGCGCACTCATTCAAATTGTGACCTAGGTAATTGACCCTCATTTGACCCACAGAATTAGTTCCCGCTCTCGGCCCGGCAGGGGCAAGGAAATCTAAGTACGAGCACTGGAATCTGAAGACCATGATATCTATAGTCGCCGCTTCTAACAACGATCTGTGCATGCATGATGATCGTCAGGATTACGATGAGACTTTTCCAAGGTCGATTACTCTTTGAACTCATCATTGTGGTAGAATCGTCCGCCCTAGAACTGGAACAGTAAGAAAACGAATTTGCTAGTTATTGGGCCACCCCCATTCGACAAATTAAAACGGTCGTTGGTGCCGGGTAAGTCCACACACCATTGAACCTTTTCTGCTGAAGCTCAGGCTTTTCGTCTTCTTGGAGGGATCCTCGTGCCGCAGGACAGAAGGCTCGGCTTTCAGTTCGTTGTGATCAAATGGTTTCGCAGCATCTACATAGGAAATACCTTGACGCAACATCTGCAAAACTCGTTCAACTTTTGAAAACAACAAAAGTCTTGCGATTATTTCTAAGCCAAAAAGTGCTTGAGACTGAGGTCCAAGAAGACACGTAAACGAGGGTGCCGTGCAGGAAATTTTTGGGAGGCATCGTCATGGATACAAGATCAATCCTGATTGGGTAGAAAAATTGTCTGCCAGTGGATCACCATTCGTAGGCAAAGAAGAAAAGGCGAGCGAATGCCTACTCTGTTCTATCTCTCTTTCGCGCTTTCCGGCCTCTTCTGAACTGTTCCTTACCCTCCTTACTCTATACGCACTGTCCCTTCTTCATGGAGTTCTGTACCCGCTCTCCTGATCCTTCCACGCCGTTCCTCGGATTCGTCGCTGCCGCCTCGGGTCATGTGCAAGAGCGGATCGAGCGTCAGCTCAAGGCTCAAGCGTTTCTCTTCATACCGGTAAACTGTAAGACACAATGGTCACTTGAGGCTGAGCTGAGGAATGGGCACCCGGGTGCAAACGGTCGCGTGTGGCGAATGTTCTTGTCAATGGGAGCGTGTCTGCGTCATGATTCACGTTATATTAGAGATGATCGATGATTCTCTTAGCCGTATATACAGCAATTTAACACGACGACGTTGTATCTTATGTTTACCTGGTATGTCTCATGTAACGAGTCCATATAGAGGGCACTGATTATTCTACTTGCATCTCTAGCTTATTCTTACGAAATCGATAAATTTCGAATTCCACCCTGGAACTCTGTCAATTTTTCGATTTTTCCTTGTTACAATTTGCGTGTGGAACCATTTCGGCGTTAAACCCTTCTTTCCTCGAAACTCTTATGGAGAGGCTCGTATCCACATTCCGAGGGAAAGTCTATGTGTATCAGATCCGATTGAAGGATAGAATCTCGTTGTGGCCGGTTTGAGTGTTTGAAACCCTTTGTACAAAGTTACCAAACGTGGACTGCGCTTGCATTTCATTTACAGACAATCTTTCTCCGGCCTTCTTTAAAATCTAAATTCTCTGTGCATTAACGATTGTGTCTGGCGTTAAGCTGTATCTGGTGATAGCCTGAAGCCATAGTCTACATCTAGGCTCTTTCCGAGAAAATCTCCTTCAAACCGTGGACCTACTTGTTCAGCAGCCTTTAATTTCCGTTTGGATCGAGCTCAGGGACGCTACGGACTCATGCTAGGATTCGTCGAGAAGGCGCTTGACGAAGGACTCGGATGGTACTTCAAAGTATGTAATAGGCAAGAACTCGGCTTTCTAGCCTACGTGGAAGCTTCATAATCTGCGACAAAGTTAGGCAAAATGCCTACAGTACGTATCGGCGCGCGCTCGCCCCCGCGGAGCACGTTGCAATCTCGAAATTAGAATCCCGGAATCGATATGGTGATCATGATCAAGCTCACAATTCTCATTTTGATTCTTTCAACTCAGAAGATGGAAGTTGAAAATTGGTCATCAGTTTGGATAGAAAGGTATAAAAAGTTCCGTTGGGTTAGTTGATTCCCAACTTAACCAAACCCAGTTTCTCCTTTGCTTCTAGTTTTGTCTCTTTCCTGTAACGAAAACGATTGCGTAGACCATGTCTTTGGCTCGAGCCACACTCGTCATTGTCCAAGCCCTCACGAACCATTGGGCGTGTACTCCTCCGAATCCCACACAGCAAAAGAGTCGTTACCACACCGAAGAATTGTACCTTTTACAGATTGCTCCGTTGGTTTTCAAGGTGAGCTGTCTCATAATCTATCATTGATTCTGTGTAATGGCTAATGGCGAGTTCTTTTCTTGACAGTTACATATGATTATCATATGGATATGTGCTTTCTTCGAAGTCATATACTACCTCAGCACTTTGTCAATATTTGGTACGACGACAATTCTATCCTCAGTATCACCTTTCGCCTCGCCCCTCTTGAAGACACTTGCATGTCCTGCGACATCAACACCACGCATTGGCATCTCGCCCTTTTTTGTTATTGGAATCGTGGCCGTCGTTCTGGGGTCTTATATCCGCTTAGACTGTTTTAAAACACTCGGGAAGTTGTTCACGTTTGATCTCACTGTTCATCCCGAACACCGTCTCGTTACGTCCTCGTTTTACGCATACGTGCGACACCCAGCTTACACAGGGAGCATGCTCCTCGTCGCTGGTATAGCTTTTTCCCACCTCACCGAGGGGAGCTGGCTGACCGAGTGCGGGCCTCTGAAGAGCAACGGGAGTGCTTTGGTCGTCTGGGCTGCCTGGTGGGTGTGGACATTGGCTGTGGGCGTAAGTAGGGCAGAAGCAGAGGATAAGCAAATGCAAAAAATGTTTCCTGGGGAGTGGGAGAGGTATGCGGAGAACGTGGCTTGGTGGTTTTTCCCTGGGTTGGCTTAGCCGCGCAAGGGGAAAAAGTGGACCAAAACTACGAGTAAGTCGGTGTGCTCATTCTCGATAATTAGCTAATGGGGTTCGGTATTTAGGTGCTCATGCGAGCGATGATTTCACGGAAAATTAATGCATATGACGAACAAGGTTTGCTGTACCATGATTTGGAAAGGACGAATTTATTTCTTGCAATTATTTGTTGATAATGTCGATCAAAAGTTACACAAAATATCATTACCTGTATCTAACGTCGTTTATGTATATCTTCAACTGCTTACCTTGGAGCTGGCATTAGCTATGCTAATTCTAAGGTACTATAGTACTCTCGTGAGTCGGCATGGTCCAAGATGCATCTGGCGTTCCTCAAATTTCCGATTGGAAGCCCGTTTGAACTACTGACTCGACATCTGTGATGCTTCCTTCCCTCCTTCCTCCTTAATTCCACCTTCAATTGTGTTCACTTCAACCGATTGTATGGTGCGATTCTTTACAAGCGACGCGGAACTTTGAAGGATTCTCCTGCCCCGATCTCATATTGAATGTGTCTCCAAAGGATTTAAATGTATTTTGCCCACGAAGGCTCGCGGGACGACACTCGTTCCGACGAAGGTGCTACGTATGTGTTAAGGTAACGCCATCGAACTTGAATTGCGCCTGTAGCAGAAGAGATCCAGAATTCTTCAGACATGAACTCATTTCTAAGATTAAACCTCACGTCAAGGTGCCCTTCGTCATGCCCTTGTCCCCTCCGAGTCCCGCAGCACACAGGAGGATGAACCAGACATGGGCACAATTTTCTTTCAGATAAGAATAATCAGTCCCTCAAGTTCGCCAACCCTATACATGATACGCCCAAATACATATCTCGGGTTCCTAGCATACCCGAAATGAGTCTTTCAACTTATTCTAGCCGTGGCAACCTGTCTCTGTGGTATAATGAAAAGGCCTTCTAGGTATTACAGGGATAGTTGATTAGGTGGCGATGAATTTTTATTCCCTTTCACGTTCCTTACCAAAGCTAAATGCGCTACACGGACCACTCTACTCCATGGTAAGGTACGTTCCGGGTAGACCATCTCCAACCATGTGGTCCCAAAGATGTAACTTTAGAAAGAGTATGCGTATGCGTTGACGCAACAGTGTCGTTTTTGTGAATGATCGGACGCAATAGCCTAGTACATACATTATGGAGTAGTCGTCTTGAATGGCCCCGAGCGTCATTTCCAACTGAGATATTTCAAGTCCGCGTGAGGCGGAAGAGGACTCAGAAATAGTCACTACTGGCATACCAGCAACAGTAGGCAATGTCCAAGAATTATGTTTCTCTCTTTCCTTCTCTGTCGAAAAACAGGCGAGCTATGGTTCAGTCTTCATATGACCGTTGTCACTTAGTGATTGTTCTGTGAGGCTTCCCTCCAATTTTACCCTGTGAACCCGAACATTCAGATGCTAGGATAACGATGCATCTGTCTCGTGAAAAATAATCAGAAATCAGATCGCCGTTCAGCCAAATACTGTATATGGTGGGATAATGTTTTTGCTTAAACTCGGATGTAGAAACTGTACCTCTTCCAGCAACTTGTGGATTTGCAGAAGATCGTCGACCGTGCACATATCGGATCTTGTGGCGCTCGGAGATGATAGTAGTGAACTTTGGAACCAGTCTGGGCCTCTGGGAACTGACGAAAAGGAAGATTCAATTGAATGATTAACGCGTGCAGGACAAAAGACAGCATGTCAAGACCTTACTAATTTTTTGTGTTATCAGCGTGAGTGTTCGAGTCGTAGGACGCGCTGTATGTCCCACCAATAGAGGTAGCCGCCACGTGCGTTCAATCACTGAGCACTAGACGATCTGTCGTAGCATAACAAAAGATCCCAGTGGCTGGAGGTCATCAGGATCAGGTTCTATTCTTGGAATCCCCCTTACCTCCCTCATCACTTCCTTTCTCCCTTCTTATCTCGCGTCTCAGATTTGCCTTCGAAGTCCATCCACACTATGTCGAACGACCTCCCAAAAATCTACAAGATGCCTCTAGAAGAGCGGTTCTATGACCTCGATGCCGAACAAGTAGAGTTCTTCCGAAACGAAACGGGGATACAAGATGAAGAAGAGCTCAAACATCATATCGTTGCGGTTCAGACCAAGGCATACTCGGTACGCCGTTCCGTGGGTTGGACAGACCAGCGATTGATGATTACTTGGTGCAAAAAACAAGATTTATCGGTATCCCTGCATCCGACTTTTCCAGTTTGCGAAGTAAGTATGCCTTGGGAGGGCTGAGGTGACGAGCTGTATACTTCCTGAACACCTATAATGAACGTACTAGATTGAGGATAGCCCGGCTTCCTGCTTACCCAGATCTCTTGAGGCTTGGAAGGGAAAGAAAGGGAGCGATTTTCTTGGATATTCCTTGCTGCTGTCAGTATGGTTTGAATAATAATGATAATGTTGTTGACATAACTCGGGGAAAACATATTCCAGTTGGGAACGATACTCGGAAGGCTGTTCAAGACGGTTATCCCATTGATAATGTTGTCGCGTCCGATCTACACAAAGGTGAGCGTCCTGACCTATCATCCATTATCCATATCTATCATTGATCATGGTCGCTTGCTCTTCAGATTTTTGGGATCTCGGCCATGAAATGTTCAAGTCGACTCCGGAATCATTTCCCGTACCGTTCATCCAAGGAGACGTGTTCGACCCGAAATTTTTAGAAGCCAGTCCACCATTTACGCTAGGGAATCCTCCTGCCACACCCGTTCCTACTTTGAATACCCTGACAACGCTGAACCCCCTCCGCGGTCATCTCTCCGCTTGTTTTTGCGGTGCATTCTTTCATCTATTTAGCGAGGATGCCCAGTACCAGATAGCCCAGGGGCTAGCCGGTCTTCTTTCCCCCCAACCAGGCTCGATGATATTTGGAGTACATGGCTCAAGGCCAGAAAAAGGGTTCTGGCACCCCACTGGAACTGAGCGTTATATGTTTTGTCACTCGCCAGACAGCTGGAAGGATCTCTGGGAGGGTTTGTTTGGTGGGAAAGAGAATGTGCAAGTAAAGGCAGCATTGAGGGACGGAGATGGTGGAAATGATTTACATGGGACGTACCCCGGCAATAAAGAGCCGCATCACCTTATGGAGTGGTCTGTGACACGCATTTAGTGCTTTGGCTCTGCTCAGGCTTGGCTTGGCTTGGCAAAACACAAAGACAATCAAGCGCCAACTGCTTTTTCGGCGTCTGGTGGACTTTTTTGTTGCTTACTACATACACGGCACGGGCGGAGGGAGTGAGTGACTCAGCAGAGCAAAGCGACGCCCCGAGTAGAACTAAACCGCCCAACGTGCATCACACGGGTCACTGCTAGTATATTAGTTAAGATTGAAATATATAGATACAAGGATAAATGGAATAAGGTGTACGTATCGAAGTTACATAGGATACGGCCAATATTGTCGCAGCATGTTCTGAGTCTGATCGAATTCCTTAACCTCATAGCAGAGATGGGACTTTTAGACCAACATAGTAGTGTCACAGATGTCAAGGATAGGACTCGACTTACGTTTAGGCCTGAAGCTCTAAAATTATTCTATTTACACTGTTCGAGCATATTCCTCCTTTCTTCTTTACTCCACAACCCCCTAGACACCTTTCACAAACTTACCAAATACCACTCTCCCATCCAACACCGTCGTCAACACTTTCGTTTCCAACACCTCCCTCGGATCCCTCACACTCATTATATCCTTCGACAGAACCACGAAATCCGCTTTCTTCCCTGGCTCGAGAGAGCCGAGGGTTGATTCGGAGAATGAAGCATATGCTGGGTCGATTGTCATTCCTAATTATCGAGGGGTGAATGCATGTGCGAATGAGTTGAACGAAGGGAAGTTTAGAGATCATATCAGTCCACAAAGTTCAGATAAATGCATAAGTGAAGGAACGGAACAAAATAGTGGATAAAGAAGTGGAATTAAGGGAACGAGGGAAACGTACCTCTCAAAGCTTCAACTCTCGTCAACTTTTGCTCTGGGAACCAGCCGTTTGGACCATGCGGACTGTTACCTGATTTGTCTGTACGAGTAATTGCGGCGTAGAAAGTCTATGCGTGTATCAGAGTCAGAAATTTTGAATCAACGACAGAGACAGGGTGAAAGAAAACTCTGCTGGCCCTCCCTACCGACACACCGCTCGAAAATGTTGGACACTCACTTCTAACGGATTAATCCCCTCCACGGGAATATCAGTTCCAAGCGTGATCCTCGCTCCAGAATTCATCATGGACCGAAACGCATACAACCCCTTCACACGTTCCGGACCCAACCGTGCTTCACCGTACCACATGTCGTCAGTCACATGTGTAGGCTGGATACTGGCAATGACTGTGAGAGGGAAAGAAAGAACAAAGATAAAATAATCAGAACAAAAAAAACGCAAAACCCGACAACGCAACGCAACTCACCTCCTACCCTCCCGATCCGCGCTAAATCCTGACTGGTCATGATTTGAGCATGTTCGATTCTTGGACGGGTATGTTTCAGATCGAGGTCTTGTTCATCCCTCAACTCCCTCTCAGCCTTTTCAAATGCATCCAGTACAACCCCATTCGCCCTATCCCCGATCGCATGAGCATTGACCTGCCATCCGTCTTTGATGAATCTGGGGATGATTTCGTTGAGGAGCGAGGCTGGGAGGCGCATGAATCCGGTGGAGGAGGGTTCGTCAGTGTAAGGTTCATAGAGCTGTTTGGGTAGATAAAGGAGAGGGAAGGTTAGTTATTTATAATATTACTGCAAAGGGATGTTATATACGAAGGACAGTTATACGCACATATGCACCACCAGAACGCATAGCACCTAGAGAGACAAAAACATGGTATTATCAGTATTGGCACTCTGCTGACGATTACTGGATAATAGACGTTGGAGAATTCCTGGTCAGAACCTACCATCACAAATAAGCTTAACACTCCTCATCTTCAACCTGCTCTTCTCATTATCATATTTCTTTGTGGAATTTCCCCAGTAAGGAGCGGAGGCGTTGAAGTTGTGCATGGCGTACATGCGGATCTGGAATTGAGTGGTGAGTAATACTCATGGAGATAATATTGAATCGTAATCATAGGAAGGATAACAACACATACGAAGAATGGTGTAACTGAGCAGTACTCACAGGCAACACCCTTCCCTCCTCAACCAACTTCTCATAAAATTCCAAGGTCTCGGCCAAGAATCCAGCATCGTGCATCGCGGTGACCCCATTCGCCAGCGCATCAGCGACAGTGATCTCGAACCGCGCGAGGTTGTCTTCGAAGGGCGTGGGGACATGGATGAGCGCTTGGGCGTTGTCGAGGAATATACCTGGAAGGGTAATGAGTTAAAAACGAACCATATAGAGTGTTTTGCCCACCATTCGGTCGCCCATCTTCTCCTCTCATGATCCTCCCACCTTCGAGCTCTTCGTCCTCCGGCCACTTTCCGTCTTTGAACCCCCACCTTTCCTCAGCAAGCTCGATAACCCTCTTTGACGTCCATATTGCGTGTCCGTCTTTCGATGTTAACCAGATCGGTCTCCCGGCTGTTACGGGGTCGGATTCAAAGGCGTGGTACGTGGGCCATGTTTCTGTGTTGGTTGAATTTGGGGAAGGGAAATTGGTTTCCTGCAACCATCTTGTCTTGTCATAACCCCATCCGTAGACCCATTTTGCCTTGTCAGCGTGTACAGATGGATTGGAGAGGATGAAGGATTTGACAAGGGACACGACAGCTATAAAAGCAAAAGATAAGTACGGGTATTTGCGAAGGGGAATTACAAGTGGTGGTCACGCACCGGGAATAGAATCTGCATCATCTAGAGGTAAGAGACGGTGAAATCCATATTCGAGTGAGTGGACATGGGAATCTACGTGGGTATATAGACATTTGTTGAGCAAATTGAGCATTGAGTAACTCACCTGTGAACGAAGGAACGACAATTGCTTCTTCCGGGATATAATGCACCGCGTCCGAAAACTCTGACCGAGTTGAGACGAGTCCACGGGAAATAGCTCGGTCTAGAACTTCCACTGTTGTAGAGTAAAGCTTAGCATACTATAATGATGATAATTCGAAAGATATGTACTCACCCAAACTCCCAGAATCAATCACATCCGTACCCCGTACAACGATACATTCTTTTACACTATTCTCTGCATCCACCGTGTATATTACAGGTCTGGAATTAGTGGATGAGCATACGGTATAAATTCGCGAGCTTTGAGTTTCCGAGTGAGAGTTGGAGTAAGTGAAGGGGAGGTCGAAGATGTCGATTAAGTTGTAGAGACCGCGTAGATCGCGCAAATTCGATACATTAGATAGAAAATCATCGAATATAGGACCGTAAAAGATCAAATAAAGAGCGACGCAGTTCATGCATGTCAGGATCGTAAACCAAATCCAAGCACGTGCACGTCCTCGTCCTCGTTCTTGGTGTCGTCGTTGCTGTTGTTGTTCTTGTTGCAGTTTTTCTTGTTGTGGTTGTCGGTGATCCGAGTATGTATACGGCAGTACCAAGCCGGATTCTTCTTCGAGATTACAATGTTTCTGACGTACCTCGTCAGCAGAGGAAGAGTTCATATTTCCAACGTTGCCAAGTCGGTCACTGATCCAAACGTTCAAGTTTTCAAAGTGAGTGGCAGTTCAAATCGGGCTCAAATAAGGTTGGTGGTTGATGGGTGGTGGTTGACGGGTGGTGGTGGTTGTTGACAATGATTAAGCAGTATTCAATTCAATTGAAGCACTGAGATCATTGGGCGGACAAAGTCCTAAAAGTTGGATCTTGTGAAGATCCAAAGCGTAGAAATTGCTATCACCCCAAGAGTGAACGAATCCACTCAGCTCGAATCCTGGCTCGCGAGACTAGCTTTTACCGTCACCTATCAAACTGTTCAGGCCTCTACATACATGTTTCATTGGTTCGAAATTTGCGGCATGGACGGGTTTTTTTCTCGGTGTCTTTGAAAATTTTCGACATTGAATTGTCAAATTAACCATTGTCGATGAGTATAATGACTTGATCGGTTCAGAACGAGGACTCTACATACGAGGACTCAAGGAGCATTCTAAAATTTAAACCCAGAAAGGTGATTGATTGAAGAAGCTTCCTTTTTCAAGTTTTTGTTTTCGGTAAGTCTTTTTCAACTGAATAACTCAACACATGGAATGCATTCCTTATGTCGTTCTTGTCAGACGTACATACATAGGAAGCTTCTCTGCTACTGCCAGCACGGGATGAACATAGCATCATAGATGGAGTCAGGATCTGTCAGGATCCTGTGTTTTGTCTTTACCAGTCTGCAGTCTACTTCCACGCCAAGGCCTCTGACAGACAGAAAAATCGTCACAACAATACTTGACCACGCCGTTGTGTCAAACTTAGACGAACGGTAAACTCGAATTCTTACCTCATATATAGACTTTCTGCACTCGGATAATTTTATTCGACGACGCGGAGAGGTGACGGTAGGTCTGTCGCCCGTGTCATGAAAATTTTCAACGTCGTGCTTGCGGGACATGCTCAATGTTCATCAATTACTCTTATGTTTATGGCAGCGGCTTCGAAGGGGAGGAAAAGGGATATAAAAGCTGGTCAAAATCCCTTGATTTTTCCTCACTCGAACAACCCATATCGTCGTTCAAGCATTTCTCTCTACACTCATCATGCAGTTCAAACTCGCCTTTGTCTCCGCCGCTCTCGCTACCCTTGCGGTCGCCACACCTGCTCCTCGTGATGAGCCGGCGAGCAGCTGCTCTACTGGACCTGTCCAGTGCTGCAACAGCGTCCAGTCTGCCTCTAGCGGCGGCGTCGTGTCCACTATACTTGGCCTCCTCGGCATCGTTCTACAGGATCTGAATGTCGACGTTGGTCTCACCTGCTCCCCCATCACTGTCATCGGTGCTTCTGGAAACAGTTGGTAAGCTTCCATGGTCATGTATGGCGAAGCGTTCGTTAAAAATTGCCATGTACAGCTCTGCGCAGGCCGTCTGCTGTGAAGATAACAGTCACGGTATGTTTATACCTCTTAATATCTCTTTCTATCTAAACCTCTCATGATAGGCGGACTCATCTCCATCGGCTGTGTCCCTGTCACTCTTTGAGCACCCTGAACTCGCTCATGATTATACACGATGTCCATTATACTTTCTATAAACGAATCTCATGCAATAGTAGTAGTGGACATTCCCATTTCTACACACTGTTCGCTAGTATAGTAGTGGGAAGTTGAAAGTTGAGATGGGATAAAGGAAATTATAGTAAGCAAATGAAAATAATTGTTTTTGCTAAAAGATTTGATTGCACGACTCTGGACGACTATACACCTCTCTACACACGAGCTTGTTCCATCTCACTAAGAGGCAACAATGGTCAAATTAATGACCGGACCAGGCTACATATGCATACATACTTAGGGATTCAAGTGTCTTCGTTCAGAACTTGACTTTACCCGTTCACACGAGAATCAGGACCATCAATCAAATCCCTCATTCTCAAACAGCCTCCAAGGATTGACCCTGCTCGACCCTCCCAGGCCTTGAGTATGCCATATAAGGAGGGGAAAAAATCTAGTTATCCCCTCCATTCGACGTTCATCTAACACTTGACAGTCAATCACTGCCTGCTTCCAAAATCGCTCACCCCTTTGAGTGCTGGTTCACTAATCCGCATCTTCCATCCATAGAATCTAAACACCTCCATCCAGGTAAGAATCATCGACGATATGTTGAGGTTGAGTTTGTAAAAGCTGAGCATCCTTTGTGGTAGGAAGATTACAACTGGTCCTGCCAATCCACCGACCATGACGCTCAGCTCTGCCCTCAGATCCAAGTTTCTCGTGATCTTCACCTTGCTTCTTCTTTCCATTACAGTGGTAACTGCTAACCCAATAATGATTGTAAGTAGTCGAACCCGATTTGCATAACTTGATTCCTCCTAACCGTCTTGCACAGGGCCAACGTGTTATGAGAGTCGAAGTGAAATACTTAGGGGGCACCATATCCATTCCCAGAACATCCAAGGAACGCACCCAGGTTGATGACACCAACACTGCCGTTGAGAAATTGTGCACACTCCTCGTGAGCCTGCTGGATCAGCGGGGGGGCGTGAATGAAATCACCATCAGAAGCAGAATAGGGACCGTGGCACAAGATGGAAAAAAACAAAATTTTGAGATCACCATAGGCAGCTTTCCGAATTCCCGTTCATACACTGGACAAGTTACTTGGACAGGTACGAAGAAGGATGACAATATGGTGGTTAGTGGACTTTTGAATCATCTGGAGGGTAATGGGGATCTTGTTGCTACGGTTGAGAATGGTTACATTGTGAAGGTTAGTGGTTATATTTTAATTATCTTAACACCGGGGGGCATTCCCCATGGCACCTGAAAACCAGATGCTTTCATATCACCGCGAAGCTCACCTTGAAGCTTACTTGGGAGTCAGGACAAGTGATCTTTTTCGAATCTCGAAGGAATATTTGTCGAATTGATCTGAAAATCTGAAAGTACCTATTTCTTGGATGCCAAGGAGAATGTCCCCTGTGTAATCTCTTCTGAACTCACTAATTTTTTTTCTTTTGTCATTTCATCAGGTGGGGACGAAGCGAAAGTAGACGAAGGGTCAATCATTTGTTTGAACGAAGGGAGTTCTGGAGGCATTCGAGATATAGCCTCATTGACAACTTGTACTAGTTGACTGTTTTCTTCTTTCATATTCTATACATACTTAGCATGGCTTACCCCGGCGAGGTCACGTCTCGGGAGATCCTCAGAATGAATCGACATCATTTGAGAATCGGTGAAAACGATCACTAACATTGTCGTTAACCTTCGGTTTTCCTTAGCCTATGTCGAAGAATCCGAGAGCATCCAAAATAACTTGCGCAAATTACAATCAATTAGCCCAGCTCCACGAAACATCAATTAATCCTTCAGATTCATCTGCAAGCTGCTCGAATGCAGCAGGTGATAATTGTAGCTCATTGTTACCACAGGCCACACAATCATCTGTGACGGTGACCTCCACGGATTTGCCTTGGACTATGCGAGATGAATTCCGCAATACATATTTTGAGTAAATGAGAACTTGTACATAGTAATAGTTGAGCGTGGAATGAGCGACTTACATGTAACAACAATTGGTCTGTTGCAAATCGGATTGCAGTCTACGCCGTCGTATCCGCTGGTAGATTTGAGAATGGTAATGTAATGAGAACAAGTTAAAGCAGAATCTTAACTTGGAGATATAACTTACGGATACGCGTCAAAGACAATGTGGGTCATGGCCACGATAAAGTCGGTATCTGTGTTCACGATTCCACAAGCTCCCAGACCAGCTTATTTATTGTAACACAAAGAATGAAGCATCTGGGAAGAAGAATTCATGAATGAGTTAACTTACGCGCGTAAAAGCCAGCTTGATGAAGGAATCGGCCAAATCAAACCAAGTAAGTTTTTCAAAGAATGTATTGAAGAAAGAATCTCTGACTGACCGTTCCAGCCTATCTGTTCTCCCTCCAAAAAGTCAGGCGGATCAGGAGATACACCTGTGCAAGCAGTCGTTACAGCGGGTGCAGCCGAATCTTCGAATGTGCTTGTGGAATTCGGAGAAGATGCAACATGTTCCTGAACACAGAACAAAGTGGCGAGAAGGACAAGATTGAGCGATGACGTCCTGAACATGAACATGTAAATGATAAAACCGGAGGAAAAGTGTCAACCTGAATGCGATGGAGTATATGGTTTTCCTTGTGGGATTTATAGAGAAAATTTGAGTCGTGTGGTAAGAATGAGAATAAAACTGATGATCCAAACTGCTGGATATGTATGTACATCGCATGTGCCAACCTCGGTACCCCAATCATTGTTACTGTTGTTTGACGGTCAAGTTAAAGTTACCGTGACGGAGTCTCATGGCTTGGAATTTGGCCTATCTATAGTCATCACGTTTCTGATTAGGATTCACAATCTTATTTTGGGCCAGTAGTCGTACTTAGATCAGACGTTCATCAGCTTGCGAAATTCCAAGAGCAACGGTAACAACGGGCACATACAAACTACGGCTTGACTAGTCACAAGCCTATCGAGATCATCATAACTACACACTCTAGCTCCTTAATCTTCTCCAACTCAATCGCGTCCTAACCGTTGTCCAGATCCCCATCGATATCCATGAGTCGTTTGAGCGTTGTCTTCGGCTCTGGCTCTTGGAGGAACGACATGAACTCCACTTCCCGTAGCTCTGATGGACTCGGCATTCGCACCAGACCCACCCGACTCACCGAACCACCTCGCCAACCACCTCGGCGCTCGACCGTATTCTGCCAACGGCCCTCCTCTACCGCCTGCCCCACTGCCGAATATACCCCACCACCATAAATGCCCAATGACTGCACCCGGAAGCGCAAGCGCCGCAGCCCTCGGTCCGCCATTGAGTAAGTCCATACCCAGAAGAGCGAAGGGGAAGTATTTGACTGGGATTGAGATGAGGCCGTACAAGGATGTTTGGGCGCCGGGAGGTGCGAGTTGAGATGAAAGGTAGACGAGAGAGAGAAGGAGGGGCCGGAAGAAGACGGTGGAGGAGAGGGGAATGGAGGTTACCTACAAGGAGTTTGAGCGAGCTTTATGAGGAGAAAAGGCTTGAAACGGATACATACGATGATTGCACCACAAGCGACGACGAGCTGAAATGCGAGGTCGGATGATTTTCGGAGGTAAGGCCCGGATTCGAGTTCGTTTCCTGTTCGACTGAACATACAAACAGAGTACATGGGAAGAGTAAATGAAAGAGGAACGAGGATGAATGAAGATAGTAAGTGGAAAAGCTCTGTGGTAGTTCGATAGGAGAATGAGGGAACGTACTACAACATGATCATCTCGAATATGAAGCCCAATCCTCCACCTACATGTCCGGGAAAAGATTTAAACAATGTGCTGAGTACTGGGGTTCTCCCAAGTCAAGAATGAGTTCATCAGACCATATACTCACTCCCTAAAAAGAAGCTCGACCATAACCTCCACACCTATACAGATTTCAGTCTTGACTCAAATGATTCTATATGATACTGACCTCGAATCCTCTTTCACCAAAGACGAATGACTGATGGTATAGCACCTTGTACGGGCTCACCAACTGCATGAGCACCGGCCCAGTGACCGATATAAGGGAGATACACAAGAACCGCGTAACAGGTGGTATTTTCTTGAGTTCTGCAACAAAGCCGTCCATTTCTACTATATGAGATGCGATATTTTGTTAGTTTGGAATTGTGGAGGTGACCGTTGAAGTAGAAAGCCCGGATTGACTGTTATCAGTAGCTTTATTGTGTGTTAGTCTGGGAAAGACTAAAGTACTGAGCGAAAATTCATTCGATGGTGGTGGAAGGTGTTGTCAATGACGTGTACGGCTAGACGTGTCGTGTAAATCCCGGCCCGAATTTTAGCGCTTGATCAATTCATCGGCGCTTAAAAGTTTTATCTTTTATATCTCGTGCTCATTCCGTTTTAATTACTCGATAGGCATCCCATAAATCCGCCATACGGTGCGCAATTGCGATTGCGAATAACGGTGATAACGACTGATCGACCTCCTCCACCATGTCTCCCGAACTTCTCGAGCAAACCTCCCAATCTTCGTTGAAGCAATACCAAATTGAGCTGATTGACAAAGCCATGTCATGTGGAGCACTGAAATTTGGTTCTTTCACTTTGAAATCTGGACGGTGAGTATCAATTCCATGATGGGGAAGCACAACCAAGATTGGACTTGATTAAGAATCGTCATGAGACGACTGTCATAATTTTTGGTCTGCTTCCTTTATCTTAAACTCATCGTTACCCCCCTATATCTTAGCATCTCTCCATACTTCTTCAACGCCGGTCTGCTCAGCACAGGACCAATTCTTGCCGTTCTATCTGAAGCCTTCGCCGCTACCATCGTCGCTGCCCAACAACCCACATCCTCAGGAAATACACCCATACCACCATTCGACGTCCTTTTCGGACCAGCATACAAAGGCATCGCGTTTGCTGCTACTACCGCTCTCATCCTCCATACACATCACAGCAACTCCCAAAACTCCATATCAACCTCTCCCGATGCCGGGATCGGCTTCACCTACAACCGCAAAGAAATAAAAGCACACGGCGAAGGCGGGTCTCTCGTCGGATCCTCCGTATCTGGCAAAAAAGTTGTTATCCTAGACGACGTGATGACTGCAGGCACAGCAGTGCGAGAGGCGATCGATATCGTTAAAAAGGAAGGAGGTGAGGTTGTTGGTGTTATTCAGCTTTTGGATCGAGAAGAGGTTGGGCAAGATGGAGTAAGTAGCACGGTTGATGAGGTGGAAGGAATTATTGGGAAAGGCAGAGTTCGGTCGATTTTGAGGATGCGCGACCTCATTGCATGGTTAGAGAGCAAGGGAATGGGAAAGGAGTTGGAGGATATGAATGAGTATAGAAATAAGTATGGCTTAAAGATCTAATTCGAGTGATTTCCCAAAATGCCATGGTTCGTACCTACACATTTACAAAAGGCTATAGTTATTTCTGTATGCATCCACCAACCAACACAAATAATACATATCAACTTCATTTGAGTACTACCTATCTTACTACACCGTTCAGTGCAGTATATCTGACCGACACAAAGGACAACTTGACGAATGACTTGAGTTGAACCACTGAGGGATATGTATATCAGTACACCTCTCTTTGGTGTAACACGAAACCTAAAAATCGTACCTTGAACAAACATCCCGCATGGAATCGATTTTTGCATGTGTTGCAAGGTTTCTTGGGTAACGAACCATCCATGACGCTGATCAGTCTGTAGTGCGGTGCAAAAGCTTTTAGTTTTTGTAGTCTGACCATTTGAGGTAGAAAACTCACGAATAACATATCGCACACTCAACTTGACCCTGGAAATGCCCCGCCACGTTCTTCTTGAACAAAGCCAGACCATCGAGGATTCGTCCATTCTAAAAAAAGAATCCGATCTATTAGCTACTAGACCCTGATAAATTTGACGGGACATCGCACCTGAGCCCAAATAGTCTGCTGAACACCCAAAATCCACGCTCGCCACCTATTATCATCTACACCCACCTTCTTCGTATCCCTAATCTCAATCCGATGCAACGGCCAATCCCCGGGAATCCTCAACCTTATCTCAAGCTGCTGCTCATCGACCAAATACGACGCTGTCACTTCGTTCACCGCCCCCGACGCGACCTTGACCGTAAGCTGATTCTCGTCCGACTCCGACACGAGCTCCGACTGCGCTTCAGGGCCCTTGACGTGTTCGAGCTCAGCCCGGATAAGGACGGGAGAAAAGTACGATTGAGTGTATGAAGCGATTGTTGAGGATAATTGCCGGTCGCGGCAGTCTACGACCCAGTTGTATATGAGGGAAGGAACAGTGAGGAGTGCGCGATAATAGAGGTGTGCGGCGAAGGTTTGCAGTCCGGAGAATGAACCTGTCTCGTAGACTACAGAGAGATTAGGCTGATTGGGGAAAAAATGAGAATGTTACTTACATTGAACATAAAATTCATCCACAGCCCATATATCCAATTTGTAGGCCTTGACGATCCCGCGACCCAGGTTCAGAAGGCTGAGAACACTCGGGATGAAATGTGTCTCAATGATGCTAGAGCTACGAAGTTGTTCTATGTAGCTCATTCGAACTTTCATTGACTGTTGCACATGTTTGAAACGTGACTCAAGTAAAAAAACTGAACACATACTGTGTCGACAAACGAGTCAAAGAAAAGCATCCAACTTAGTAGATATACAAATATTTCCTGCAAGAAAACTCATAAAAACAGTGTGGTGTGAATGTAAGTAGGACTTACATGTTCACGATCACCGTCAATGTCTGCCTTCTCGACATCAATGTCCAGATCCACAGATTGTTGTAGCAGCACTAGTAGCTCTTCCGGTAACTGGGCCTTAACTTTACCCTCCGTATCCACACCGGCTTCCAAAACGAAATGCTCTGTACGTTTCTTGGCGGCTTTATGAAGGATCTGATATGCGAGTTGGTCATGGTGAATAGATGATGCAAAAGACGGCAATGAAGACGACAAATGTGAGTTGGTAGGGGGGTAGAGGACAGAGGAATAAGTGCTTGATGACAGCAAATGACACATCTACATTGGTTGTAAAAGATGATCAGCACAGAAATGAGGTATAAATTAAAGGAACGCGCCTGAGGAAACATCTGGTAGTCCATCAATTCGTCTGGAAGATAATTCGCCACCAGTTCCAGTACGAGCTCGCGACAAACACTTTCAGGCACAGACCGCGGCCCATCAAGTGTTTCCACTCTACCGTTGCTTTCTCTTTTGCTTGCTTCAATTTCCTCCTCTGCAGCGTCCCTGTCCAAAAGAATCATGCCCCTTATACCTTTCATAATGCCACCTTTCCTCTCACTCCACTCTGCTCTGAGAGACCTATTTGTGGCCGCCAGATCTTGGATGTGACCTACAAGGCGAATTGTTCGAGCAAGGGTGATGAGTTGGAGTGATGAGTTAGAGGCGGAGGATGACTTGGTAAAATTGAAATCGCAGTTCTGCAGGTAGAATTTGAGCAAGACAATCGTATGAGTAAAGCTTCAATGCGACACACCTCGATGTTGTTTTCCACTACATCGAATATGAACTGCCAATGACCTCCAGCGACATTCTGCAATATTGGGGCAAGATGGTAAAATGTCAGCGTCATGGCGCTCTCAAGTTCCTCCATTCCGTCTCCTGTTTCCGCAATTTGCTCCCCCTCCTCACCACTTGCGTCATCATTATCGCCTCCTTCCTCGATCCACTTCTGACAAGCCTTGATCACATTCACAGCCCTCTGCACCGGTAAAAATTCAGCCTCACTTTCTACATCTGGTGCGGTACCAAGCACCAGTCTTAGAAGAATTCGAAGCCCATCTGAAGTTGCCCGGGAGGGGGAAACACCGAGAAGTGAGGAGGCCAGTTCGTTGCGGTACCGCTCGAGGCGAGGGAAGGAGAAGCTTGCAGCAAGGGTGGAAGAAGATAATGATGATGGCAAGTTTGCTACAAGTGTTGACATAATTGTGACTCCCGTCAAAGGAGCCCGCGCCGATTTTCCTTTTTCAGTTTCAGATAATCTTCGAGCGTAATTGAGCCATAGGTCTGCTTCTTCCTCCGAAATCTCACTCCTACCACCACTACCGAGACCTGTTTGAAACAAACGGGATAGAACCTCTCTAAGAACACAACAGTCGCGGTAACTATCAGTTTTCGCTGAAAAATGGGCGATGGAGAAGAGGAAAGCGGAGAGAGAAGGAATTGTTGATAGGGAAGTCTCATTGGGCGCGGAAAGCATCCGACAGACGTCTTTCCTCCATTCCCTTCCTTCCTCACCTGTGGCCCCTTCCGCGAATTCTGCAGACGTGAAAATATATGCCACGATCCGGTGCACCTTTCCAATGATTTCCCTACAACGATGGGCACGGTCAGATTCAAGGACTGCAAGATGGTATAGCGGATTCCTATAGAGTGCATTCGGGGCATTCGGAACCGATACTGTCCCTCCCGCATATACACCTAACACGAGGAGGTGCCTGAGAACCCACCAGGATCCTGGACTAGCAGTGAAGAGCCCCTTTGCCAGCCCCAGATCATTAGAGAGAATGTAGAGGAGGGCAAGCGCGTATCTAGCATAAATTCGGACGTCATTCATATCTGAAGTAGCGTCAGAGGAGGAAGGGTCAAAAACTGACGCTGCCCCCGCCAATTCATCAACGACGCTCATACTTCGACTGATTGGTGCACCACTCATCCTATCTAATAAGACGTCGAATGAGTCCTGCGAAGGCAATAGAGCGTTGATGGGATTCTTTTCCAGAGTCACCGAGTGCAGAGATATCGTCTTCAAGGACATGGAATTCCGGAGCACTTCAAATACTTCGACGACGTCTTCCGCAGTGCACCAATATAAACAGGCTGGGTTCGTCTTGGAGAGGAGGGTTCGAAGGCTTTGGGTGACGGACGAGTAGATGCGTTCGTGATATGGTTGGTCCTTCCTTGCTCCGCCATAGACGTCGTTACTCAACTTGATAGAGGATTCCCAAATCCGCTGAGCCTTGGCACAGAGGTTATCGCGACTGTGGGAAATGGTTTCATCTTCTGTCGTTGCGAGGACTGATTGAGGTGATAAAGAAGACCGAGGTAAGGCATATGCAAGAAGGAATATGCCAGGGATAACGCTCGTTGAAGGAAGAGCTGGCAGGGACGCAGTGTATGATGATGATGATGGACCTGGTTTCGATTGCTCTGAATCCACGACATTAACCGGCGGTAACTGCAAAATCACCTCCATCAAGACCAAAAGCCGATCCATCCTATCCAATGAGTCCGAGACTTTTTCTTCTTCTTGGTTCCCCCTTTGATCTCGACCCTCTGAACCAACTCCAAGTAAGCTCCGTAAACCACTTTCGAATCGAGCCACGAGCATCCCCACGAGCTTGACGAGGCTTGCGGGTACCAAAAGAGGATGAGAAATAGTTTCTGCTATTTTTGTGTGGTGGGTGAGGAGAAGCACGTCACGGACTAGATTCAATTTGGAGCTCAGGGTAGAAAAACCTGACGCAACAGTGTCCTGCGCGAATTCTAAGATCATGTCGTCCAACTCGTTCATGATAGGCCTCAACTTGGCAACCGCCACTTTTCCGCCCCGTTTCGATCTGAGTGAGTCAAGAAGCGTTAGCAAGTAGCTTAACACTACAGGGAATTCGGCTTTCTGAGAACCGGATTGCGAATGAAAATATTCGACGACCTGTTCCAGTAGCGCCAACCAGGTCAAGGCAGCCTGTGATGATTCTGTAGATCGAGCTGCTGAGTTTGCATCACGACAAAGCAGATACGTCGTTAACAGCTCAAAACCCTCCTTCCTCTCTAACGAAAGCAATTTGTAGGCGTTCTGCACCACGAATGTGTCAATGCGAGTTATCACATCATCACTGGCTGCGGCTATGCCAGATTCAGAACCAAACGTAGAAATGAATTTCGTCAGCAAATGCAACCCTCCAATTCCTTTTGCGATGGAGCCATTTATACCAGTGACACTCCGCTCGCACCCATCCAGCGCTATATTGAACACGGTCACGAGTAATTGCTGAGCATCAGAATGCGTAGAGTCCGTAGAGTCAACAGAACTGGGCTGCAGCGCTTTGAGCACACCCGATGTGAACGACGAAAGGTCCTTGGCTGCAATGGAGGTAGAAGTACTGGAAACTTCAATAGCGGAATCCTGTATGAGCTGAGTTACTGTTTCCCACGCATCGTCGTAAAAAGGCCCTCCCGGAATTCCACGGAGTCCACGCAACATCCTAGCTAAAGACGTACCAAGGACATCGGGAGAAATCCTCAACACAAGCTTTCGTACTGGGGGGTCCCCATTCGCATCTACCGTAGTAGTCGCACCACCAGTCCCGACAACCTCTACCCAAACGCGCTTGACCTGCGTTCGGATTAAAGTACTTAACCCCAGTATATCCGCTGTCGTTTCCGAGGTAGCATTCTGCGACTGAAAAACGATCCTCCTGACTAGAAATGTCAGACAGTCAAGCACAGCCTCGACGAAGGCCTTGGATGCTTTGTCTGCACCTGAACCGGAAAATATGCGATTCGGAGTCGTAATGGTGGAGGTGACGGTAATGCCACTAGAACTCGAGGAAGGGTGGTGTTCGGGTTCAACTGCGGCCCAGAACGAGGAAAAAAGATCGGTGAAAGGCATCGCAGGGGAGGAAACTGACTCGGAGGAATATGATGCTAGCAAAATGCTCGAAGGAATCGTCGACAGAACCACCATAACGGCAGGGTACGCTTGAATGGGAGAACCGTTACAACCACAGGCAAGGAAAGATAGGAAGGATTTAAATGCTCGCGAAGCTGCAAAAGGTGGAACCTCCGTCCCTTTTCTGACATCTTCATCTTCGCCATCCGACGAAGCAGATTCAGAGTCGGAATCTGAACCTGCATCTGAACCTGCATCTACATCTCTCATACGTAGATTAATTTCAGCGGTGTAGTTGTATCCCATCTCCCATTGCCATGCTTCGGGATTGTCTGGATGAACTTATTATGTTAGTAAACGAGATTCTCGAGGACTAGTGTGACAGAGACAAAAGCACTATTATGAACTGACAGGAAAAACGCAAAACGTACCTTTCAAAAATCTCAACAACGGTTGCCACATCACACCTTGTACACCAGCATCTTGTTCTGTCCATGCATTATGGAAGACTGAAAAGCTGAGTATGCGCAAAAGCTTTAGTATCTTCTCATCCGTAGACGGTGAAGACTGCGTAGCAGCGGTTACAGAGGGTTTGAAGTTGCCTAATGCACCACTGACTGTACCAACCAAACGCCAGGCAGCCTTTCGTACCGGGGGTTGTTCGAAGCCGAATGACCCAAAATCGTATCCGGCCAATGAGGACCAAAGTCTTGCATCAGAAAGGACATCCAGCGTCTCAGCCAGATATGAGGCCGATAAGACCCAAGCTAATGCGCCCAGACCACTGACACGTAATCTTGCATCGCGATCCGTGTCTGTTTCAAGAGAGTCAAGCGGGGGATCGTCAAAACCTTGCAGCTGCTTGACGTCAGGATTACCCGCGGAGGTTTTAGGAGTGGAAGAAGTGGATTTCCCTTTCACCGGAGTTGTCTTTCCTTTGGCACCTTTCGAATGAATTTGGGTTTTCTGATTCCCTGTTAGCTTGTCATGAGGCATGGGCGCAGATGCAGGCGTTCGAAGAGGCGAAGGATTTAGATACGCGTAAAGGGCACCAGGATCAACTATCGCTCGTTGAGCATAAGTCAATATTTGGGCCTTGGACAATGAAGCTCCTACGAACTTGCGCCAACTTTCTGACGCGGAACTGGCGACAGCTGGATCGATGTCCTGTGAGGCCAATGCCCAAACGCCTATTACATCTGCTGATTCCGAGCCGTCTGCCTCTAATTGGAGTCTTATGTGTTCTAATATAGTAGGCATGTTGACAAGTGACCGATGGATGTTTGTTGCAGCCAATCGTATCCGTCTTGAGGGATGTAACAAAAGCTGAGGGAGATGAGATAGCTTAAAAATTCAATCTTCATTAGACATTAGCTCGGATCGCTTGCACACATTCCCGACTCACCCAAACGGGCAACATATCTATCAGGACGTGCTCCTGTCCACTACTTTCTTTTGTTCTATCACTATTGACCCACCCGCTTTCCAAATCGTCTAACGCTTTCTCCCTAGTCTTCACCGCCTTCTTGCCTAGATTCTTTAGAACGATCACTAGCTCTCCTGGAAGGACATACACCAAACCGGTTGAATCCAGAGGATCTGGTTTGATTGGCTGCGGTTTCGTTGGAGCAATATATGACTTTTGTCGTTGTTGTTTTTCCAGCTCTTTTAACTCTTTCTTGCTGAGTTTTTGTTTCTTATTGGTCCCGCCACCATCTTTCTTCTTTTTGCTATTTTTGGGTGGACCGTCAAGTTTGATTTTGTGGGTTGTTGGTTCCGAATCAGCAGATCTATGTGACGAAGACTGTTCTGTTTTCTTCGAAGATTTTGGCATTTACGATGCTGTCGGAGACTGGAGTCAACGCGTCATTATCATAAATCCGAATCCGAAGGGGCGCTTATACAGACGCCCGTTAATTCCTTCATCGATAGATAACCCAACCCACTGATTGTTCTTAGTGTCCTTCATTGTTGTCCAAAAGGTACACGCATAGTTTGTAAATAGACTAATATCGATATGACATGCCATGCAGAAGTTCTGCTTTGGAAGATTCTTTCATACACTCTCAATCCACGCAAGCAGATCCGAGTTTACTTGATCTTTGGCTTCAAGCATCACCCAGTGTCCTGAATCGTACTGTTGTATAGTTGTCGCGTTTTCGCTAGCCTGTATGATCGAGTTGATTTCAAGGGCTGCAATAGCAACGTAATCCTCAAGGGCAGCCCCGAGGAACACTGGTTTTTTGATAGTGAGATTCTCTTGAGGAATGCCTGATAATGGTTCGTTAACACAATTTGTAACACAATTTGATAGCGAAGTGATAACGGTATGTACCTTGATTATCATCCCTCTCAATCGTCGAAGTCAAAATCTCATACCAGCACAATGCCGCCCTCATACCTTCACTGCGCATTGTATCGATTTGAATAGCTCTGTCCTACAAGATACATAAGTGACGAGTGTTTTCCTCTGCCAAACAAGATTCTCACTTCAGGAGTAATAAAGTCTCCAGCTGCAGTAGTGCTGTTCGACTCGAGCCAAGCTTGGAGTCCACCCAGAGGCGCGAAATCAGTAATCCAAAGAACCTTGTTAGCTGTGAATGTAATGTCGAAAAAGGAATCCAAATTGTCCTCAATGATCTGGTCAGTTCCGTTCGCGGAGAAGAAGTCCCAGTAGCCGTAGATTTCGTAACCGACCGCTTGCTTGGTCTAGTAGACATGAAGCGTAGTAAATGTATCAACCTTTCAAGAAGGTTAAAGGGACTAGGTGGCACGTACGATATTGTTGAGCTCTGCATAACTGATTTCCAAAACAGACGGTGAAAAATACCCAACGGATAAGAATCCGAATGCAGAGAAACGCTCGGGAAAGTAGTTAGCGAGACGAGCAACGACCTTCGCACCCCTGCAACACAAATATCGAGGTCATTCATCGAATAGTGCGTTCACGAAAGTACTTACCAATCATGACCGATGACTATAGCTTCGTTGACGTCTTCTGCATCCAAAAGATCGACCATATCACCCGTAATCAAGCTCGAAGCATAGAGATGAGGGTCGACGGGTTTAGCGGTACCACCGTATCCCAGCATATCTGGAACGATGAGTCCGTACCCTTGATCCTGGAAAAAACCTATTTGGTTTCGCCAATCGTACGAGGAGCTTGGAAATCCATGAAGGAACAGAAGAACTGGCTTTCCTGCCTCAGGAGGGGAGGCATAGTAGTGGTAAACAAACCCTCTAGTGACATTGACATCTTTATATAAAGATGGATCGAGAGGGGAGGTGCCATTTGTCTGGGAAGCAGCTGGGAGAGTAACGAAAGCAGACAGAACGCAGTATAAAACGGCTGGAACAAGAGAAAACATCATGTAGGAGTCGATTGGGTAAAGAAAATGAGACCTCGTGAAGCTGCTTTTATACCAGGGCTGTCGATAGAGCTGGTCACTATGGAGTACATAAATCGCAATAGAGAAATTGTTCTGACAAAGATTTTGGGTAAGTGTTAGTCAAGAACCGTTTCGCAATAGGAATCGATGTCCGACAAAGAAGGGTCAAGAAAACAACGAAAAGTGGGCGAAGGGCCTGGAAAGATCACTCTTCAAGGTGAGATATACAGTGATCAAAGCTAGCCTGGAGTTACTACTTTGTATGTTCCATTAATCGCACTAGAAGATGAAGACACGGTAAGAGGTACAATGAGTCTCATCATCATAAGAAAGGAGAATAAGAGCAAAAAATTCAAGGGCCAGCTAGTCCTAGAGATCCAGATTAAACATTCGTAGAGGAATGAGCTAGATGTGAAGAAAGCAACTGTGTAAAACGAATACTAGCGTTGAGTACGGAGCGGTGTCGGGGCCAGGAAGCCGTATAGTAACCAAGGGCATTGTGGTGGTACATTTACCACTGATTTTAAATCTCTTTCGATCCAGCAGTCGAGAAAGATTGGTATTAAGGCGGTAAAGAGTCTGATATACGTGCATGACTGTGGGAAATTCAGCTTTATTGTGAGAACCGATGAAACGCGGTGAAATTTAACCATGGGTGATCATGAAACGACGGAAAGAAGTTCCAATTCCATGTGGCACACTGGCGTATCTCTGGTAATCACTAGAGATATGGCGCAACCCAACTATTGCGCGATTCCGAGTCGGATTCATCGGTATGTATACTCTAGCCCAGAGCTTGGTCAGCGACCGTGTACCCGTTTTCACTCTCGGCCTCTCGCGGGGACACCAATGGTAAACCTTGAACCCTTGATAAGCAACCTTGGATCTATTGCTTGAAGAGACAATCATTCGAATTTCTTCCCCTTTCTCCTTTCAGCTTACCTATACTCTATAACGAATAGCGAATTCGTCAGTCATGAACTCCGACTCCCCCCTTTCAAATTCTGCAGTTCCTTCGCTGGATCAGGATACCACCAAATATACCCAAGAGCTCATCTCCAGCTGTTTGGAAGGCCTCCCCACTTTCGAGGAATCGCGTTATAACACCTCGACATCCGATGGTCCAGCTGTTAAATATATACAACCGCCGAACCCAGGCTGGAAATTTGGAGAGAAAGTTGAAAGTTCAGATCTTGGTAGAAAATGGATGGAGAGCTCAAAGCTTGAGGATGACTGGGAGCATTTCGATGCAGATAAGGAAGACAACCGGTATGTAGCACTACTGTCTACTCAGTCATCATCAAATCTTGAACGATCCTGAACCAGAAAAATCTACGCTCTTATGATAAGTGGTATTCAGCCCCGACCAATCGCTTTCATATCATCGGTGTCTGCCTCTGGGGAAGAGAACATTGCCCCATTCAGGTCAGGATCTACTTACATCGGTAGAACCTACATTGGTTAATATACATGAATCTCGGTCATTTTCTGATGTTTCTTGTACAGTTTCTTCCAAGCCCTTAGTCCCTCACCACCATTAATTATGATCTCAGCCATGAACGCTCCGAGAATCAAAGACACCACTACCAACATACAGGTAAGAGATCATTGAAGATATCTAAGTTCAGCAATTCATCTTGTCTACACAGGCCACCAAAGAATTTACGGTGAATCTCATCAGTCTCCCCTGGATCGTGCAAGCCAATGCAGCATCGATCGACGCTCCAGCACACGTTTCCGAATGGGAAGTGGCAGGATTGACAAAGGAACCTAGTGTAAGCCATCCTAAACCATCAATGACCTGGATTATCTTTATCGAATGCTTCTTACACACAGACCCATGTACGAGCCCCACGAGTTAAAGAAAGCGCTTTTTCTATGGAATGCACCTTTTTCGACAAATACGACATCGTCCATCCCGACACAGGAATTACTGCATCCACTATCACATTCGGCTTGATTAAATGTATTCATGTTCGGAAAAACGTTCTAAATGCTAGAGGAGTTCCGGATCCAGCCAAATTGCAGACTGTTTCGAGGATGGGGGATATCTCATACGGGTTAACGACGGAGGCGTTCAGATTGCCTCGGCCGAGCTGGGTTTCAGATGGAGAGGTGATCGAGAAGGTATTGAGGGAGAAGAGACAACTTGATTCAGTGGATAATAACCACTAGCGATTCATCTATTCTATGCAAGTGGTGTTCTCTGCTAGAACGGAGGCCGGTCCTTTGCGACGCGCTTCTCGCAAATTATGAAAAACCCATCTTGTCTCATGTATATCAGAATATACACCTAAGTATAACAAGGCAAAAATGCCTTGGTGAGCGCATTGCCGCTGCATTCGCACAAGATGTGTTGATCCCGCAGTCAGCTCTCCGACTCCTTGTGAGATGAGATTGCGATAGAAACGTAATGACTTTGACTCGAGCTGCGCTTTTCCAAAGCGGAAAACAACATGGGTGAAATCACCTTTTTCTGGACAACACTAACAAGCCCTCAAGTCTTGAGAACGATTGAAATTGTCAACAAGCATGAAGCACTTGGCATCCTGGACTGCGTTAAGAAAAATCACACATGGACTGCGAGCTAAAAGAGGATGTGGGAATAAGTTATGAAAGTACAACAGAAATTGAGTGACGATGATAAAAATACAAATGTGATGGGACCCTCTACGCCTCCAACTGGAACAGATCACGATTTTCCTATAGACTGTCTCCAACTTGATGGCCGTGCTACACGACGAGGGGAGATAGGAAAAACCGGCAACGTGAGCTTCCTTAACCGTTCCATAACGTCCCTCGCAAGAAACACCGTCCCGTTTTCCTCCTCGTGATACACAAGCTTCTCATCAATGTGTTCCATAATCTGGATATCTGATGGATGTAATGTCGTCGTTGTTGAAAGACGAAATATTGTGATGAATTCGTGACGGAAAATTTTCACGTCAACTGTTGCCAATGCCGACTGAGCAGGTGTTGAAGACGACACTACAAGGATTATTTGAATTTTCGTTTAGAGCGCAACAAGCATACGGCTCACCCTGCACTAGGCATATCTCTCCCTGAATTCTCGCGAACGCAAATGTTCCTTTGTCTATCGTAGGCGGTGTCAAGGAAAAGTCGGAAGGCATCGCATATGCATTCGTCATTGCAGTTGAGGAACAGAGAGTAGCAGTATGGGCAGACATCCCAGATATTTATTGGATAGTTTTGCGGAAGGTGCGGAACAAGCGAGGCCTGAGCCTGAAGGATTTGCGGTCTTATATGAAAGCACGCTTGGGCCACGAGGGGGAAGATGAAGTGTAAAGTAAATTGTAACCAAATGTATGGGTGGATATGGGTGAATACGCGCACATAAGCAAAGGTGTGCCAGCGATAGTCTATTTCCGTAACATTGAATTGAAATGCTCTCGAATCGAAAAGCATCTAGATTTAGATGTCTGTGATTCTCTTGACCTAGACCGGTATTTCTACGGGGTACAACTGAATTCTAGCAGGCAGCTTCATGGTGGCATCTTCGCAAAAATGGAGGATCCAGAAAGTGAGATTGTCCCATGAATAAACCGAAAGCGGGTTGACCAAGCAGACTCCAGGCCGGCGATTGTGTCCGATCAGGTCTGAATTATTGGAGTGTCAGCAGCACCGAAGCAGCGTGTTGCGGGGGTCATAAGGGGTCAAAGGGTAGAACATTCAGTTGGAATATGCGAGAGAACTCTATGGCATATCGTGCGGGGGGTTCTTTTACGCCACCAAGCGCAATAGCCCACATTTCAAACCCGGAGAGGTCATAGTTGTAAGAATCTTGCTGGGAATCTTGAGATCAGCAGAGTAGAAGACGATCAATCAACGACGGGGACGGAGACGGAAAGTAACGGTGACGACAATGTAGAAAGGGCAAGGATGTCATCGAGGACGGCCGAGGCTCGTTGATTGGTATCGAACCAATCGCGAAGAGTCAGCTGGCACAAGATAACATCAACGAGTCAATCATCATAGATCATAGATACACTTGAGCAACTCCATATAGGGCGAATCCAGCTTGCTATCTGTTCCGCTTGCACCAATACATCCCAAAATTTTGAGTTCTTGTCTCGCAGGCAACTATACCGAAACTCGATACCTTCACATGCGACTGTGGCTTCACCACGAAAAATCCGGAGCCAGGTAGTCATCACATGTTTTTTTGAAGTCGAAAATGAATGTGATGGTGTTGTAGTATTGTTTTTTTGTGCGTGCCTCGCTTAGTTGAGGTGTTATTCGCTCCAAGTTTGCTGCGGAGCTTGTCTTCGCGAACACGTTGTATTGTATTGTAATAGACGACTCCAAGTGCAGCGTCATCAGAAGGAGGCTTGATGTCTGCTCGTATGTCAGTCCGTACGTCGTTTGTCAATGGAATTAATTACTATCCACTGGCTAGCTGCAAATGGTGAATGACGGCGGCTTGCAAACCACGAGTTTATTGACATAGAGAGGCAAGATCACAGCCAGGGCAAGGATATGAGCGGGATATGAGCTTCGTCACTTTTTTGAATGGGCGACACAAAATCCTGACGGACCGTTTGCTGGTTGTAGTCAACGAATAACATTTCTTCTCGTTTCTATCAAACTTCATGGGCGGACCGTGATGGAAGAGTGAGAGATTCAACGGGGAAGTTCGCGGAACTTTGCTTTTGACTGGCCCGGTGATGCTCTTTCATAGTATACAGGTCATGGACAAGGTAAATAAAGGAAGGATAGACTTGAAGATGGTGTGTGGTACGAGAAGTGGTGGTGAAGACCGTGAGATAATGAATGAATCGGCGTTTACTCAGAGATAAGATAATGAGTGGATGAGTACCTTTAGGCGCCCGTTCGTTCTTACTCTCGACGCTCACCGTTCAACCTCTTACAGCATTATCTTTCGTCATCCCACCCGCCCGCCCCTTGTATTGTTTCTAGTGTCTATCTGGTAAGTTTATTACAGCTCAGATGCTCCGGGCTTCAGATCCTCGCTTAGCGGTGTGTTGCCCACCCGCGCGGGGCTTCGCCCCCAGGCAAAACCTTTCTATATTGATACTGAGCATTACCTACAAATAATACTATCTAAGGATAACACTCAAATAACTTATCAATGAAAAATCGCACGGGTGAGTCAGATGTAAGGCAGCCTAGCTTCCCTATACCGGTTCTTGCTGCTGCCATTACCATCTTCAGCTACATATGCTGCCTCCTCAAGCACGCAAATATGGACATGGAATACTTACCGTGAATGATTTTCGCCTCAGAACTTGAACGAAAACGGTAAAGTGATTGTCACAGTGTAAAGGCTTCAAAATTTTACTATGGATGCTTGGTATCAGGTCTCAAGCGGCACGAACTCGGGATACCGTGACTTGCATGCGTTCTGAGGAAGACCAGGTGGTACTTTTCCGGAGCCATTTCTGTGACTGTTCTTCCAATTATCGTTCACTGGCAAAACCTTTCCGGACGGAACATTCCGTTGCTTTGCATGCACAAACATTTTATCTTTGTCCATGTTGTTCCTTGTAACTGCCTTTCGTACGTTGCTCGGACACCATCCACTCAGGAATACTTAGACATGGATTCACATCAAGAACCAAATTGAGGTTGATGCTCATATATGCGTGAGCCATTCCAAACTGAAAGCTGCAGCAGACATGTACAAATCGGGTAGATCTACTTGTCTTTTTTTTCTCTCTCGGTGGATATATAAATTAGGAAACTTCCGAAAGGTCAAAAAATTACTATTCATTTACTGCAAGCCAGCTACAAGCCTCGAATTACAACATTTACAACATTTTCATAGGTTTATTCTTCATTCTAGTGTACATGCCACTGATTTCTTCAGGATACTAGTCGTCTCGTGTTTCGTGCAAGAAGACGTCAGCAACGAGCTGTGCGAAACCGGAAAGGGGCTAGACAGCACTTACTAACCATTAGTCGTCGACCCCGCCGTTCACATAGCCCAAAAGAGTCGCCACATCTACTCCGAGCTGTGCAGCAGCTACGGCAACACCGAGCGAGTCGATCATCTGTTGGACAACGACACGTTTGGGAAGCCTGGGTCGGTTTGTCGGAGGCCTGTTGTTGTTGTTGGGAGGCCTGTTAGTCGGGGGCCTGTTTGCGGGAGGTCTGTTAGCAGGAGGTCTTCCCCCACGTCTAGCTGCGAAGCTCTAGAAAAATGTCAGTAATGGTCATAGTCATCAAAATTGCTGATTCAGAGGGGTAGCCTACTTCGATTGAGCGAAATTCAGTTTCTTGGTTGTCTATAAAATCCTCCCAATCGGGCTGCAGAGAATGACATCAGGAAGTAAGTTCGGGCCCGACGAGGGCTATCGAAGACCGGGGCACACAGATCACGGAAATATTGACCCCGGAGTGGCATGTACAACGAGATATCAATGATAGCTACAACACACCTTAACGGCAGCACCGTCATTCGACGAGAGCGATTGGTGTTCGAAGTTGGACATTCGTGCAAATAATGGTGGGTGGTTTGGGTGAATCCAACATGAAAGGGGCTCTTTATGCGATTTCGTGTCACTCTAATCAGTACTCATCTAAGGCATAGTGCTTTATTAAGCTTACTTTGCCCATCGATGAGTTTTTTGCAACACCTTCGCTCCGTTAAGGCAAAGAGGTCGTGATTATGCAGACTCCGGATATGAGCCTGAGTGACCTAGGTTATGATCGGATTCGATTGGGAAACTCAGGAGACGTACTAATCTCGGTGTAGAACTTGCCATCCCAAAACTTGGCCACTATCAAGGTGCATATGCACCAGGGGCACGGTCAAATACCATATCAGTCCTGAGCGGGTGTATTTGAACTTAGTGATATCTGGCGATGTGTATTCGGAATGAACAGAATATTGATAATGCGCTCGTATTAGTCCCACTAGTTTCAAATTCTAACGGTATGTGTATGACTATCATGGTCGCCTTCTGTACGCGTTCACGGTTTGATATACCTGGATATACATATGTAGTCAGAAATTGCTTATCCTGGGTGCGATTCTGGTGCGATTCTTCCGGCAACAGCCGAATACTTTTCTCAAGCGCACATTTTCTCGGCATTCCTGCAAATCCTCATTTAAATTAGGGTGAGCCGAAACTATGACCACAACTCTCCTTCACTCTCCTGACGCTCTGTTTAAAACTTTCTTTGAATATCCCAGTCGCAATGCTCCTGTTCTTTTTCTACCTGCGCGGTCGGTCTCGGGACGCGATCGGCCGAACCACATGAATCTGACTCGACGTAGTTCGACATTCGTATATTAGTACTACTATAAAAGCTAGACTACGGGCTGTCAGGAACTCAGGACTCTTGTTCGCAAACCACCATGTCCCAACTCCCTTCTGAGCCAGAGTTTGAACAGGTTTGTTCGTTCAATGTTGCGCTTTCAATTGCTAAATAAACATGCTCACTGTTAAATGATAATAGGCGTTATCAGAGCTGAAAACCAGCTTGGGTTCTTTCCTAAAGGCGCATCCAACCTACCAGAAGGCACTGGATATCGTTCAAATCCCCGAACGTATCATTCAGTTTCGCGTTGTTTGGGAAGACGACCAAGGTCAGGCTCAAGTCAACCGTGGTTTCAGAGTGCAGGTGTGTACATCTTGAAGGACCCACATTGCTCCCCGCTAGTACTTATTAACATAAATGTGTCCTTAGTACAACTCCTCTCTGGGCCCATACAAGGGTGGTCTCCGACTTCATCCTTCCGTGAATCTTTCTATCCTCAAATTCCTCGGCTTTGAGCAGACGTTCAAGAATGCCTTGACAGGGCTTAACATGGGAGGCGGAAAGGGTGGATCTGATTTCGACCCCAAGGGTAAATCCGATGCAGAAATTAGAAGGTTCTGCGTGTCATTCATGACGCAGCTTTCTAAGCATATTGGGCAGGATGTAGATGTTCCTGGTAACGTATCTCAGAAATATCACCTTTTTCCACTGCTCATTTTCGCTTTTAGCTGGAGACATTGGCGTTGGCGGCCGCGAGATAGGCTACTTGTTCGGGGCATACAGGAAGCTCAGAAACGAGTTCGCTGGTATACTCACCGGCAAGGGCTTGCACTGGGGAGGAAGTAACATTCGCCCGGAAGCTACCGGTTATGGCTTGATATATTTCATTGAGCATGTGCGTGAACCGTCTATTTTTTGTTCTTACTGTTTTGTGTGGCTGACCTCCGATAATTCTTTTGCGGGAGCAGATGATCGCAAAGGCCTGCCCAGAATACAGTCTCTCTAAGCCCTCAACCTTGGTCGCTATCTCCGGCGCTGGGAACGTCTCGCAGTTCACGGCACTGAAAGTCATCGAGCTCGGAGCTACTGTTGTGTCGATGTCTGACTCCAAGGGTTCCTTGATTGCCACTACGGACTCTGGTTTTTCCAAGGATGTAATTGAGAGTATAGGTCAGTTAAAACTCAAGGGAGGTTTCTTGGACTCTTTCAAGCAATTCACCGATGAGGGCAAATACACTTATCATCCTGGTACATATTCAACAGTCTACGTTTATGCCCAAAATTCTGACTTCCTTCGTGATTTTCAGGCCAACGCCCCTGGACTCTTCTTTCCAAAGTCCATATTGCTCTTCCCGGTGCAACTCAGAATGAAGTCTCCGCCGCCGAAGCAGAGGCTTTGGTTAAATCCGGTGTCAGAATTGTAGCGGAAGGATCCAACATGGTACGGCAAACTCTGGCAAATGCCAAATCAACCTCTCATTTATTTTCCTTACCACCTTATTGAAATTCCAGGGATGCACGAAAGAAGCTATCACCATCTTTGAAGCCTCCCGCAAGAATGGTGGTGCGGGCGTTTGGTACGCTCCCGGAAGTGAGTCGATCGAATATATATATCTCTACTATATTGACAACCATTTCATTTCATCTTCTACGTTCTACCCTGTGTCCATGCAGAAGCATCCAACTGCGGAGGTGTAGCTGTCTCCGGTCTCGAAATGGCGCAGAACAGCCAGAGATTGACCTGGTCTCCTGAGGAGGTGGATACAAAGTTGAAGAATATCATGAAGGATTGTTACAATGTGAGCTTCTGCAGCCCTGTCTTCAGTTTGCAATTGACTGACTGGAAATGATCCAACTTTTTTTCCACATTGTCGTTTTTCAATCTGTAGACATGTCTTGGTGCAGGTGAACAATGGTCCGGTGAAGAGAATACGGGAAACGATGTCCTTCCCAGCTTGTTAGCAGGTGCCAACGTCGCTGGATTCATCAAAGTCGCGGATGCCATGAAGGCTCAAGGTGATTGGTGGTAGATCATTAGAAAGCAATCACCGTTTGAAGTCAGACGAAAGTCTTCTGTAGAATCTTCTGTATCGTTGCTGTATTCCTAGACCTCAGTGTTATTTGTACACTATGTAGTAGAAGATTATCGTTATGGGTGATTTATTGCGAGCGAAACTAAGCAGAACCGGCTAGAAGGTGGAACCAGGGAGTCTTCCCGCGGATGTGTGCAGATGTCAGCGCACAGTCCTAGTAAGCAATTTTTTTGTGATGGAGGTGCGCCAGCACCGACAAAACCCCCCAGCTGGAATTTCGAAGTAAGCACATGTGAACTGTCCTTGGGATTGAAAAGGGGTTCACCAAATGCATGTTATGGAATTGTTGCACACCAGCTCAATCGTCCATCGACATCGCTCGTGGATGAAATCTCCTGATTTAATATGATACTACGAACTACTAACAATGTGATTAACATACCGCAATCCATATATACAGATTTGCCTGTCCAGAAGAGGCTCACTCGACCTCATTCCATGGCCGATCAATATTATGATCAACGTCCTGATCCTCATCTTCCCCGTCCTCAAGCGCCTGTACTCCATTGAGCGTTAGGGCCTCGATCATCCTCGTGAACTCATTCATGTCAGCTTGTGCAGCACTCCGCACACTAACATCGTATTTTCCGTTATCATCAACAGGTGCACGGGTATCCCAGGTGGGCGGAGGGCCCTTCCAACCACCATTCTTGTGGATGTAGTTCAAAAAGTTACGCCAAAGGGGATCGAGCGAGAGGACAGAAGGATCGCCGACGACGTATAGAAGAGCTTGAGCGCGGGTGACAGCAACTATGCAAGGTGTTGAATGTCAGCAATGAATCCGAGTTGTTCTTGGATCGTCTTAAAGCCTACCATTGAACCGTCGAGGGTTTGCAACAAACCCGAGTGTATGTTTAAGGTCATACTCTACAAATTCCTTGCTACTTCGCACGGTTGATATGATGATGACCCGTCGTTCCTGCGATACTCATGAGCATTAGATTCAACCAAAGTAAGGGTAATCCTCACCTGCCCTTGGAACTCCTCAACGCTTCCGACTTTTACAGCGTCTGCGATGGGTCGCAGCGCCACTCGAAGCTTCCGGACTTGCGCATGGTAAGGAGCAATAACACCAATATCATTATCCGCTAGGAAACCAAGGACATCAGCCAACAGGAAACCACCTTTTGGACTATTCTAAGAAAACTCACTGATCCTCTGGTTCCTATCCGACCGCAACTTCGCTATCAATGTCTTGACCTGTGTCACTTCATCGATATTGAAGAACGACGGTGATGAAGCCTCCCGATCGTCCTTTCCAGAAATCGAGTGGAATACAATCGGAAAATTCTTCTTCACGAGATGCTGAGAGTTGATGTAGAAGTTGATTGTCTTGGGGTCCCCACAGCATTGGAGGTCCCCGCGATAGAACTTTTCGTTAGGAAACTTCAAGATGGCGCTGTGCGAACGGAAGTTTTTGACGAGTTTCACAACCCTACAAAAAAAATTAGGTGTGTCTATGAAGTCAAAAAGAGAAAGGAACAGAGACAGAGGAAGTGAACTATAGAACAGCAGAGATACTTACGATTTACCATATCCTCCGACCTCATCATAAATGTCCCTGTTCATCAATCTTTCAATATAACTCATCTCCAAACCTAGCACCCTTGCCACACTCGACCTGATGATCGGACCTAGCTGCTTAGGATCTCCAGAAAGTATGATATTTGTACTATTATCACTCATTGACTTGATCCCAATCATCACCTCCGGCTCCGTCGCCTGTCCCGCCTCATCCACAAATATGTGACTGAAATGCCCTCTAGGCATCCCGATTCCAGAAAGGATACTTGCAGAAACGCAAGTTGTGACTATCACTCTGAAATTGAGCATATCTCGCATGGGATACACAGTGAAGTGCCCATCGCGATTCTGACGGGTATGGGGAAGAATCGTGATCGGAACGTCATCTTTGCTACGAGATGGGGCGTAAGCCCTGAAGAGTTCAGTGACCTTCAGATGAGCAGATGCAAGTCGTGAAGTGATAAGATCCGCGGCGGAATTGGATGGCGCACAAGCAAATATTCGAGAGGTGGAATTCGTCGCAAGGACTTGAAGTATCGCTTCGACCATCGTCACCGTTTTCCCCGTTCCAGGACTACAGACATACGTCAGAAACAAAGATAACCTCGAGAAATATGGACTCACGGTCCAAATATAATAAACGGCATCGAGCCAGGTTCTCGGTACGTAATCGAAAGTACAGCTTGCTTCTGAGGTGGATTACCCGCGATGAGGGTGTTATACCACCTCAGTGTTGAAGGTGTAATCGTACGAGGTATTGACTTGAACAAATGTAATTTACCAGGAAATAGAACGCGATCCTGGGAGAATGCCGAGTCGAGTGCTTGGTGCTGTCTACGCATGGGGAAGCGGTTCAATTTGAATCGGACGAAGAATCTCTCTCCTGCAGATGCGACAAATGATCGGTGAAACCTTAAACCAACTTCGTCTCTACGAACAACGTGAACACCGCCTTCATACCAGTGGCCTGGAGGACCACTTGGTCGACGAACTATGATACGGTCACCTGAAAGATTCATGCCAACAAGTGAGCAGAGTGTGAGCAGGTGCATTGCACGACAATTACACACCGACTAGGACACTGGGTCGTTTCTCAGCTAAACCAGGGACAGTCAAGCTGAGGGAGAAACTGAGTTTCGGCGATAGAGAGAAAACTATGATACACCTTACTAATAGTATGAGTTGTGTTGCTTCAGTTGGGCATCGTTAATGTCATAGTATTGCAAGTCTCGGCTGATTATACTGTCAGAGCACATACAGAATTGGCGAAAGGGTAAGCTTACTCCATTTGAAACTCTTCAACCCAAATCAGATGCTTAAAGTGCTTGCTGTATGTTTCACTGTCCAAGACTGGAGGAAGATACATCCTCCGAAGACGCGCGAGCACTTCTTTCGTAGACCCAGTCGACAAAGTATTAGACAAGTGTCCGGGTATAATTGCCAGAGGGAGCCTTCCGACGTAAGGGATGGCCTGAGTGGAAGGCGGAGCTATACCTTCTACTACGTTGGTCTCAGGATGTCTCTGGGTACGCTTACGTGGAGCGTACGGGACTCTAGGTCTAAGCAGGTCATGGTCGGCTCGGGAACCGACTATGACGAGCAATGGACGTGTTATTATGAAGCGAGATTGAAGTCGAACGTCTTCAAACAGAAGTTCAACACGATCCTCAGCTCGACCAAGATGATTTTGGGTCATTTTAACGGAAAATTGAAGGCTGTTACGAGAGCTCAACGTGCGAATAGAGTTGTTGAGGGTGACAGTGAAGCTATACGACTAATTAGAACAAGTCTTCGAGAAAGAAAGCAAGGATGTATGTACTTACGGAGAAAGTGTTGCTTTCCCCTTTGCAGAAGCAAGCCTGATATCCATTAAGCTCATACGTGTTGCTGGAATTTGGCACTGTATCGTCCCAGCTCGCACAACCCCAGACGCAGCTTCTTCAAGCTCGATAATCTTGAAGTCGAAGTCCCCAATCACGCTGACGCCGTTCTTGTCTTTCTCTGTGTCTTCCACAGCTGACGTGAATTTGAGAAACTGCTCGCGTTCCTTGTGCTGAGCCTGCATCGGATGCCTAGCCCAAGATCGACTGGGAATGTGCCGATTGCATACGACACACAACTGATGTCCTGGGACCTGTTCAGGTTCTTCGGGAGGCACGTCAGGAGACATGCCTTTCGCAATGGCCTTTGACGCATGCTTCGCGCCAGAGACGTGACCTTGCCAGTTCTTCATTCCTGACACGTATTTTTCACAGACGATGCAAAAAAGAAGGAGCCCAGTCTCTCCAGCAGTTTTATTGATATGGGTCTTGGATGATAGATGGTCGTTATAAGCTATTTGATTGGCGAATACATTCGCACAAAGGGTACAATTGTACACATTGTGCTCGTATTGACATGAATGGTCTGAGCAGGTTCCTTGAGTAAGAACGTTGGGACAGGTTATTTGAGCCATTATGAGAGAAGAACAAGGGAGACAGAAAGGATTCCAAACTTTGAACGATGGGCCCTACTCAGTCATGATAATAGCCGATCCATTCGCGCCTCGAGGCGGTCTGCTGTTGGACTTCCATTCTTCGAATAACTACGCCAGTTGAGTTTCAGTCAACCTCGCAGTAGCTTGCAAGTCCACACACACCTGCACAGAAGACAGACTGCTCCAGATGGATTATAGAATTCTCTATGAGGCGCCGAATCTTCATTCGAGCTGGTGGCGTATTGATGGATCGTGGTAACTTAGTTCAAGGAATTTCCCACGTTCAATTATCGCAGCCATGCATGTGCAGGCTAGGACTGCGTTCAATCCATGCAGTGTTCAACCTCAGCCTTTGGATGTTCACCCCTCCTTATTGGTCTAGCACTGTTGCGCTAAGCTGTCGCTATATTCACGAAACAATCCTCTCCTACTACTACTACTACGAACATAGTTACTAAACCTGGGCTGACCACAGTCTATGAATCTACGTGGGGTGGCTTGTTACTACTGCGCCCTAGTCAGAATCTCTTTGACTGAAAATAACAGGAAACATGACTTACAGCCCGGGTCCAGAGAACCTTTTGATCTTTTCTTTTCTTTGGTCCATTTTTAATAGTCCCCTTTCCCCCTGCTGTGGCTTCACCTTCACATGTGCCTGTGCCTCCGCTACCACAGACAGGATCCTGGAAGGTGAACTCAACCTTTCCAAGGAACGAGTTCGGCCAATAATTGGTAAACTTAACCTCGAGCTCTGATCCTTGACCCATTTTCAGCTTTCTAGCCGCATTTTTTAGGGTCGCTTTGACCATTTCCTGTGCCTCCTTCTCTGTTTCTTCGGTAGGGTTGACCCCACCCTCTTGCTTGAAGGTAACTGTGACGGTGTACTCTCGGCGCTCCAAGTCGGCAGCCCTCAAGCCAACTCCAATGTCGCGAGCATTCAAGCTGGGGGAACCAGATGCGGACGCATCAACAGCGTTGACTCCCACACCTGAATTAGTTTGGGCTGTAGGATCCTGTTAAATAAGTGAGCATGAGTGGTCATATTGGAAAAAAGAACTCGGCTTACTGGTACAGGGGGGACGTTGACTGGTACCGCAGAAACAACAGCAGCGAGTCCGAGAACGATAAAGGAATTATTGAAACGCATGGCAACGGAGAGTGGAAAGTATGAGAGTTATGAGAAAGCGAGGTGAGCAAGCTTGAAACTAACGTTCTTTGACCAGCAAAGAATGTAGGTGAATCTAACCAGTAGTTGGGGGAAAGATTTTCGAGGAACGGACTTCTTATATACACTCCTGGGGCGCTCTGGGTCTCAGAATCAAGCAAAATTTGTACAAAACTATGCGAAAAGAACGGTTTGTTATCGGAATCGCAAGAATTCATTCTTGAAACGAGCACCGCCCGAATACTTTATTTCCCGTCAAGGAATTCACGGAGTTCGGAAGGATAGAATAATCTAATACTCGGGTGAGCCACCTGGCTGTATCTACGTAGTGAATTTTGCCTTGTACATCGTCTACAGTAGCAGGGTCATGAGAGGTCCTGGTCTATAGACAGAGTCGTTGCGGGTGAATTACCAGTACATAATTATGTCCATAACACACAAGTAAGTAAGCATCGTATTATCATTGGCCCCTTGGGGCACATTTACATTGAACTCCGGGTCAATTCGAAAGCGGAAAGAATATCCACGCTTTGAGATGTGATATCAAGTTTTCAAAACTTGGTATTTTTGCAAAAAGAAATGTGTCTCCCTTACTTAGAGCTCGCCTGAGGTAAGTACTTTGCCCTACTCAAATGTAGATCACCCCTTGACCGCTTGATGCCCGATATCACTCCCTTACTTTATATACTCGCCTTTTAGAGCAAATACGAGTGATATTTGCGCACCTGCATCGTATGCATTTGTTCCCGTATTTGTATACTGATTGACAATGAATGCTATGTATATACTACTGCCATCAGTACTGAGACCAAAATCGCTCAGTAAATACATAGTTCTTTCACTGGTGCTCTTCGACTTGCGTTCAGTCCCCATAAACGCTCTGATTTTCGTTCATGTTGATGTCAATCCCCAGCTTCTCTTAAGAGTGTCATGGGGATGACATATGTAACTGCCAGTGTGTTCATCCCACATCTCTGCTTATTCCGGACCCTGAGACAAAATGAGTACCCGTAATAAGTTATACCTGAATTATACTCCTTTTGACTGTCAGCGAAACTCTGGATCAAACTCGATTCACCCCACTTCGTGACAAGGAACGGGAGCTAAACCTCGCCATTTTTATCAACACAAGCGGCTCTTCCCCGGATCCTGTGCGAACCTTGCTAAGGGACTTACCTTCACCACGCAGTTCTCATACGTCGATAATGAAAAGTTCTTGACTCGGATTCGGAAATTGTTTGCGTTGGGTGGCATTCCGGATTTGCATAAACATGAGGCAACTTATACCTTTGGTAATACGCAAGCGCGATGGTTATACAATGAATATGTTACAGTTCAATATTGATAGCAAAGGTCAAGATGCTCGGAAGCGCAAATTCAAGGCACGATAGCGACGGGGGAACGAAATCCAACGACATTTGCGGAAGATATTCCCCCCCTCCCCCTCCCCATGCAATATTCAAGAAAATACCGGCCCTTCATCAACGAAATTCACATCGTCGACGTCTTCGGTCGTGGATGGCAGCGTAAGCGACGGCCCCTGACTGTGACTCCCCGCACGACTTCTAGCCAAACTTCCAGTTTCCGCCACACGAGCACCTCGCTCAAGACTCTCCCTTCGACTGTGACTCCGACTAGCACTTATGCTCCTTAAATTTCCACTCTCCGCCACCCGGTAATCTCCTCTCCTTGCCCCGGTAAGTCCTGCACTGGAGTTCCGCCGACTCAAAGGCTCTACAGGGGAAAGTGACGGTTCACGATGTCCCATGTGATATGAGACAGTTGGGGACCCAAATGAAGATGATAGTGAAGGTGGTGGGACCGACGGGTACGAAAGTGCGCGTGGGCCAACGCCCAATGTACCGTACACGCCGTTATATTGCATAAGATTATGCAGGGAAGCAGAAGAAGGTGGGGTGGTCAGGTTGCTCATGAGACTCGTCGGTCCTCCCGACATTAGGACAGGAGAAGATATTGCGTACGGAGATTCGGAAGAGGAGGCAGAGGTTGGGGAATGTGACAAGGGCGTGTTCCCTTCTGAAATGTTATTATTTGGACGACGAATTTGAGATGGTGGTCGAGGTATTGGTACTCCATTGTGTGGCCGGGAAGCCGTGTGTGTAGAAGAGTACATCGTCGAGTGAGGAGAGACCGAGGAACTTGACATACTCGACATACTCGAAGAAGATCGATGATGTGTGTGCTGGGAGTGAGATTCTAAGGATGACATTCCAATTAGATTGTCTACGGGTTGTCCAATCTGTACACCACAAAAATGATAGATTAGGACCCATTTTACGCAAAAAGGGGGAATGTGGCAAAGGGTGAAGGGTGTGTTGAAATGGGTTGTACGTAGATCCAAAATAATTGTCTGAATGTACTAACCCGGTTCCTATGATCTATCAGCTCTTCACGATAAATCTCATTTAATCTTGACATTCGAATATAATCGCGCTCAATATCTGCAAGCCTGTTACGCAGTTGCTCGTTTTCGCGGCGTAAAGCTTCCAGCATGACTTCAGTTGTAGGATCATTACCCGATAATGCATGATGCGCATGACCATTGACGCTCCCGACGCTGTCTCCATTTGCTTGCTGTTGTTGAGCAGCTCGAAGTGTAGCAAGTTCTCGGCTTAGTCGATTGACGTGATTTTCCGATTCGGCCTCTAGTACGTTTTCCAGTTGTATTTTTTCGACTCGGAGCTGAACATTAACCATGTCAGGACGGAGTCTCAATCGACTTTTGGGCACACCTGTTCCAACTTTCTTGACAAGACGTTTGTGATCCTTTCTTCCTCGGCTTCATACGCGTTGATTAATTCTTCTTGTTCTTTGCTCGCAGAAATTGCTGAAGATAATCGCCGCATAGAGATGGGAGGTGATATAGACATTGCAGATCTAGATATTCACTGCTGCCTTCAACTTAATGCCAGGAAGAAAGTCGTCAATAATGAAAAAAGCGACTAGTCTTGAACGTAAACATGAGAGAATATTCGGCTTCTCCGGCATTACCATATCGGCCGCGGCTATTCGACTACCGTTTGGGCGTATGTACAGTACATAATTTCTCGCCGCAAGTGAATTTCCTGATAATGTATAATGTTATACCTACGTGACAGTAGGTTACTAAAGGGACTCCATTGTATGGATAGAAAAGTAACAGAAAGTGGATACTGGGTCGTAGAGAAAAAGCCAAAGGAAGCCTTGGCAAGGGAAAGCAATGCCAAACATCACGGTTAAGAAATTAAAAATCATATCCTTCAACTTTGAACGTCTTCCCGTACTGTAAGTAGCTATCCATAATCTTCAAGATCGAGTCGGGAAGACCCATACTCATAAGTGTATATGATATCTTTGCATGTCCGTGGAGCTGGCCAAGCTTGAAGAAAGCCCGAGCGATTTGAGTTGGATACTATAAGGAGAATACCATTAGCATTCAGACTTCAGAAATGCATATGAGGCGCAAACCGTACCGTCATCTCGGTATAATCTGCCCATTGATACGCTGCTACACGGATTGCTGTCTGTATACAACGCTGGATATCGCCTTCCTCAGCATACATGTCCATAAGCTTTGCCCATGGTTTTTGTGAGTACCGCGGTGTATCCAGACAACGTTGGTAAGCCTGGACAATTAGTTATATGAGATGGAAGGATTGGATACCTAAAGACGATTGAAAGATACCTCTTTTGCCTCTTCCTTATGATGCAACCTCATCCCCAAATCCCCGAGGATCTCCCATTCCAAACCCGTTTTCCTATACGCTACATGCTGTGTCTTGAAATGCGCAACCTCTGCGCGAAAGATCGTCCACACCCTCAAATCTTCGTACAACACCATGAATAAGTTATCCAACCACCGTTCGCATAACCTCTTGTTACTGAACGAGAATGATTCTGATCCGGATTGGGTTTGCGTGGAAGGTAAAGGAGACTCATGTAATGACTCTTTATCCTTATCATCACCAAGACCACCTTCCTCAGTCCCCGCCGCTGCCTGTGCGGGTTTCTCCAATCCAAATTCAGATACATCCCTTGAATTATCAAAACCATTTGTAGTTGCCTTGGGGGCGTCGCCATTGACATCCTTTCCCTTTGGTGAAGCGTCAGTAGCGTTCCCATCCTCATCAAAGTCCCGATCAGACTCGGTCGAGATTCGGATAGTGGGAATTGTTGCGGTTAATGAAGCCCCTCCGTTGGGATCCAGTCCCAGCCCGACTTTCGTTATGGATGAGGCGATAGAGACGGTACTCCCATTGGCAAAGGCACCAGGACTGACATCCAACGACCCAGATTTACGCGGACTATGTGGCGACACCATTCCCCTCGTTGACGCGTTGTCATCATCAATCCCTTGATCCCCAAGCGTGGCACTGTCCGACGATATCATCGAATCTCGAACTGTACCGTCTTCGTGAATAGCCTTGCCAGCTCCATTGGCAACAGCTGAGATATCTCCATGTGCTTTCTGCATGCGATACTCTTCCTCCATCACGAAAACGCAGCTCCGGGTTTTCAGAAGTTCATCCCAGCCAATTTGAGATACGAGTCGGGTAAGCAGGGCGTACGCACGAGCCCAAGTACCGCGAAGACCTGGCGCTGGGAGGCGGAGGAGAGCAGGATCTGCCTATAGAAATAAGGGTATTCAGCTTGGTGGAAAAAAGAATACCACTAAGCAGCGCATACCTCATCATCTTCCGTCTTCGCCCTTTCTGGTAAAATCTCTCCAATCGGCCTTGCAAATGGTAGATGAACCCTCGCGGGAGTCAAGTTCCTGTGAACATCCCTTCCGTTGAAGGTAAACATCGGACAGGAATTGAGCGTTAACAGTGCCGACTCAAATTCGCCCAAATCGATCCAACATTCTGTGAGCTTTTCCCATGTAACGAATTCGGACGGAGCGCAGTTGACTGCTTGTCGAGCGAGTTTGACGGCCCAATCGTTTTTTCCTTTGGATCGGAGGAGGTCACATTGGGCATGTAGGAGTGTGTATGAAGAGGGTGTTTGGCGGATAGAGGAGGTCATAATTTGGACAGCCTTTACTTCTTCGTCTAATGAAAGCAAGCGAGCGTTGATTACATATATGGAAGAGAACAAACATGGATAACACACTCATTCCAATGTAACTCCGGGCTAAGAGACTAGCCACCTCTGGTTCTCTGATGGCAATTTTTTCGAATAAATTAGCAGCAGGTTGATATCTCCCGCTGTCACCGAAATACTTCATGATTCCTGCTGTTAGATGGTTGGATACGACGGTAGCGACCTGGATTTCTGGGTCAGAACCAACTTGCCAGCCTGAAATTTGTTTCAATGATCAGATGCCTTGCATTGAATGAAGACAACAACGAGCCTTTCATGAAAAGCGCCTCAGCGGCTTGTAGAAATCGTATTTCGCTGTCGGGACTAGTGATTGGATCGAGCTTGCGGTACGCGTCGAGCCAGTAGTTGGGGTCATCGGAGTACAGGATCGAACGCAGTAGAGCAGAAACGTAGGTTTCTTGCCATAGTTCTTGCGTAGCTTCATGTCGTTCTCCTCTGAGATCAATGGCGTACGCGTTGACACCACCAGGTATCTTCACGTCCACTCGGATATCGACACGCGAAAAGGCATTGAAGCAGCTATATAGGATTCGAGTTAACCAATGAACACGGTAAATGTTCACGACGCGCACCAGTAACAACCGTTTTTGACTTTCCAGGAACTCCCTTTGCTGAACCAGGCAGAGTTGTCTTCAATGGCGTATGTGAGTGAATTGATGTAAGCCGCAAGGGAGGCTGAGGAGGAGGCATCGACGCCAGAGATATAATGATACGAGCCAAGCTGCGACAAGATATGAATAATGTCTTGGTATTGAAAATCGGACAACACACGTCTCGCTGTCCACTTCGCCCTGTACTCTTTACAACATGACACAAGTCTGGCGGTCCCAGTTCACGAAATGTAGCTGAATAATTCATGCTGTTTAGAACAATATTCGTCGAAAATTTCAATCCTACGCACAGAGTGCTTCCGTCCGCGCTGTTAATGATTCGCCTAAATCAACCTATTCACCAGATGATGAATCAGTCTCTTCACATCGAACTTCATGTAGGCACACACCTCAAATAGCTCTGGAATGTCCTTAAATGACGCTTCGGCCATTCAGCTATAGATTGGCTGTATAGAGCAAGATGATTTTGTAGAGTAATTTGGGGTGCAGGAAGCGATACAAGCCGTAATCTTATTTGGCCTTGCTTGGTCTTTCATATTTGTTCTTGCGAAGTTGCTTCCCGGTTCTGTACTTATTTCAATTATCTGACTTGCGACGAAAGCTCTTTGTTTTACTTAACGTCCAAAATCACCCAACTTACAAGTGGTTGACCACTACCACTGTTCACCGGGGTCCGGTAACTTCGAGAGCATAGACTGACCCGTGTCACGATCCGGAGCTTCCGTTCTAGCCTCATGACCTTTTTCAGCCTCTCGCTGCTGTCCTCCAGAAGAACCATCACAGTCTTAAGGGCCAGTTATCGACAACGACTCTTTACTTCATCTTCTCAGGAAAACATGACTGTTCAAACGACAGAAAGGCTCGTTAAACTCCGAGAGTTAATGAAAAAACCTGAAAACAATGTAGACGCCTATGTTGTCCCAAGTGAAGATCAACGTGAGTGGCGACGTAATAAGGCTTGGTTTCGAACGATTCCGATGGAACATCTGTAGACGGTAGCGAGTACATTGCCTCTTGCGACGAACGACGAGCATGGATATCTGGATTCAACGGATCTGCTGGTGCGGTACTTGCCAAGTATCATGAATTGGTATTGATAACTTGTAGGCTGCGCAATAATAACACTGGATAAGGCTCTTATGTTCACGGATGGTCGATATTTCCTTCAAGCTTCTCAGCAAATGGATAGAAATTGGGAACTCATGAAGCAGGGTTTGCCAGGGGTTCCGACATGGCAAGATTATCTTACCAATAACCTACCTGCGTCTTCCCGTATCGGCATCGACCCAACCCTCATCGCGGAAAATGACTCCAAGTCGCTTTCTGGCTCAAGGAAACAAGCCGAATCAAAAGGCAGCCAAACTCTTGTTCCACTCACTACCAATCTCGTCGATCTCATTTGGGGCTCTGATCGTCCTCCTCGGCCGAAAAATGCTGTCGTACCTTTAGACGAAAAGTACTCAGGTGAATCTGTCACCAGCAAACTCAATCGACTGGCTTCTGCCGTCTCTTCGAATACACCAGCACCCCTTGCTTTCGTTCTAACTGCCTTGGACGACATCGCCTGGTTGTTCAACCTCCGTGGATCAGATATCGCATATAATCCCGTATTCTTCTCATATGCCGTGGTTCATTTCGAACCTTCGGAGGCGGATGGCTCGAAAAATCCCACCGCGGTCTTATTTCTCCAACGCGACGCCGTAGAGCACGATGCGGATCTGAAATATGCATTAGGGTCTCAAGTCGAAATTCGTCCGTACGAAGACATTTGGGAGTACCTGAAGGATTTGGGAAATCAAGTACGTTCCACGTTCGCAGACAAGGGACAGGAAAAGCTAGTCTTGATTCCGGATAAAGCTAGCTTGGCTATTGTGCAAGCTGTGGGTGTGGTACGTGTATTTGACCTTCTTGTTTTATCCACTTATCAACATATCTGTCGCTCTTTTTTAAAGGATATTTCGAATATCGCCCCTTCACCCATAACCGTTCTTAAGGCAATCAAAAACTCTACGGAGTTGGAAGGGTTTAGGCAGAGTCATATCAGGGATGGAATTGCTTTGGCCAGGTATTTTTCGTGGCTGGAAGAGAAGCTCGGTGAAGAGGGCAATGAATTGACAGAGTGGCAAGGGGCGGAGCAATTGGAGAAGTTTAGAAGGTGCGGCTGTTCATGTATGGCGGCTTGCACTAACTAACTCCATTATTGGCATGCTCTAGTGAACTTCCATTATTCAAGGGACTAAGTTTCGATACCATCTCGTCGACTGGCCCAAACGGTGGTATGTTCCTGACTGCTACCGCTTCACTTTCGGGTAATGATATTTGCCTCCTTCCCTTCTTTGTTTAGCCATTATTCACTATTCCCCGAATCCGAAAGACTGTGCGGTCATTAAGCAGGATCAGGTCCGCATTATTCCATCAATGACCATTATCTAGGAGATTTCAGTTTGATAAATGAAATTCTTAGATTTACTTGTGTGACTCTGGAGGTGAGCTTCCGCAAGAGTTTCGTGGTCATTCTCTCTTTTAACCGCTTCCCCAGCTCAATTTCTTGATGGAACAACCGATGTCACGCGAACATGGGTAAGATATCAAAATTTCCTTCTACCTAGACACTCATGTACTAATGTGTCTCAGCACTTCGGTACCCCGACAGAGGAAGAAAAGCGGACAGCAACGCGAGTGCTACAAGGGCACATCGCTATCGATTCTGCGATTTTCCCGAATGGGACTACTGGTGTGTTTGGTATTTTTGGATGCTATTCGATCCACTAATTCGTTTCCAGGGTACATAATGTGAATTACAGTATCCGCGCTGTACGCGTGCGTTGCGCTAATTGGCAATGCTTCTTAGTGACTCTTGGGCAAGGAAAGCGTTATGGATGGATGGACTTGGTGAGTGATTCGTACGCGTACCTGAAAAGAAATTAATGATACAAATGTGTAGATTTCCGGTTCGTGATCGCTCGCCTTTCTCCCTTGTTTCTTGAGGTTCAATCGTGATACACAGGCATGGTACGGGTCATGGTGTAGGTCATTATCTCAACGTCCATGAAGGTCCTCATGGGATTGGTACCCGGATAAGTGCATATGTTCACTATCGGCTTCTCATTCTCCTCACGAATCCTGACCTCCCTCTTTTCCTCCTCCTCTCAAGCGTCCAACGCAAGTCCCCTGAAGGCTGGTATGATCGTCACTAATGAACCTGGATACTACGCCGACGGTAAATATGGTGTCCGCATTGAAAATGTGTTAATCATCAACGAGGTCGAAACACCTTGGAACTTTGGTGATAAAGGTTTCTTGAGTTTCGAATGTGTTACAATGTATGTGCTTTTTGTGTTTTTCTTCTGCTTCTTTTTTGATTCCACTTCCGAAATCATCTTGCTGTCCCGGGCCTCAATGTGTTATGTTTATCAGGTGTCCTATCCAAACGAAGTTAGTTGATCATAGCCTGATTTCTGTCGATGGTGGGTGTTTATTTGCTCTTGATCGAGGTATTTGAGTTCGGAGGACGTTCTTCAGAAAAAAGGTGGCTGAACAACTACAATCACAAAGTTTGGGAAAAAATTTCTCCTTTATTGAGGAATGACGATAGGGCACTGAAGTGGCTCGAAAGGGAATGTCAATCTATTTAACCATGAATTAGGAGAGGGTGGTAGCGATTCTCTATTTTTATGCTCTATATTGCCGTTCGAACCAGCAAATTGAATGGATAAAAGAGATCATAGAGTACAGACTTGTATATCCAGGCCTGGGGCATTTCCTACCAAGCGCGATAGCCAATGTACATCTTCCAAACTCCTTCAAGGCGAACCAAACTATCGTTGTATTCGATGTGTTGATTGTAGCCTAATCTGACAACGCAGTACTGTCGACCTCTCTCGACCTCTTCGTTACCGAACAGTTTCTAAATTTAAACATCTGTCAAACTGTTGACAATATGAAGGGCTTAGTGGTACGTCACGGTTTTTCTATTGCACCCTCCTCTATGTTTATCTTCTGGTAGCTTTGTTAACGCCATGGCCGTGCAAAATTCTCTCGGTGAGCGTTGGTGAGCCTGAGTGAAAACCATCGATGTCATTTTCTCCAAAATTTCAATGTCAAGTGATTGGTATGAATATCCTTAGCTCGGGTGACTGTTCTGCGCGTGTATCAAAAAAGAATTCTGGGCCGTTGTGGAGTATGTAATGCATGGATACCACGGATTGAGAGCGGCAGCTTTCCGCTAGGCAAGTGTTCGCGATTCAAGCTCCAAAATTCAAGTCCTGACTTTACCCACTCTATGTTCTATATAATCTACATCGCTCTACCTCCATTCTCCCCGCAACTTGAATTCAAGAACCATGTAGTTGCAGGCAGTTCTGCGTTTGCATGGAAGTCGTTGATAATCCTCATCTCCTTTGGGCACACTGTTCGTGGGCGATTTATCAAGTTCTACCAACAACTTCAAATATCTGACTCCGAAATAAAGCCACCATCCCTGATATAGATATCATTGAGTCAGTCCCGACACGACTTAGGCCAAAGTGCTGCCGATTTCGTTCTTTGTTGCTTACCTGCTGCAGTCTGGTTTTAGACTCAAATCGTTGTTGATGAGTCCTTCCTTCGATTCTCGCGCTCGAGGATGACAGGAACCAGGAGCAGCGACACATACAAGTTACCCAATTTTAGACAAATCTGGTTAAAATGTCTTTTTATGTCCGCGAAAAATCAATGGCAACAGTTTCTTCCGAATTGCTGGGGCAGAATCCTGTATTATTACGGCCTACGCATCAAGCTGTTCTGAGCGATTTCATAAACGTGCTAAGCATATACGTTTAAATATCTTCCCTCATTTCCATCGAGGACTCTTCAGTCCCAGTCCCTCCTCGTTGTTTGGGTTCTCGATCCTTCCGCCAGTGCCGCAACGCCATGCAGTCACTAAGCGTTTACCGCCTTCATAAACTTCTGGTTGTCGTTGGTCTTCTTCACGTCCGTGTAAATGCCCAAACCTCTACGGCCGATCGGACGACGGAAACTGGAGAGGCTGCTATCACTGGTGCGTTGAAAACCGTTAAGTGTTCCAGGCTATATTCCCTTATTTGCATTGAGTCATTCGCGAACACTCCTAAAACCCGAGACATTGATTTATATTGTTTATTTTATCATGCAGACCCGAACGAGGAATGCTCGCCTTATAGTTATCCTCCTGTCGTGAATCAACTGAGTGCTTTTCCTTCGATATGGGAAGCTGCTTCTATCCTATCAGATGATTCAGCGGCGCAAGCTAAGTGGGATTCAATATCAGCTAATATCCCTTCAAACATTAGCGTGAAGGTACTATTACTTTTCAAGTATCCAGTTATTTTTATACGTCGGTACTGATAATTTCAACGTCTTATAGACCCAGCCTCCGGCGAGCAATTATTCTTCTGATGATCCAGATTGTTGGTGGACATACAGCCTCTGCACAGAGCCAAAACTATCTGGCCTTCCCGTCGATATTTCTGCCGCTCCGGAGGTTCGTCAATATTTACTAACCCAATCTACGTCGAGGCGAGGATTTCTTTGACACATATCCAAAGCCTTCAACTCTTGGTTATGGTTTTGACGATGGACCAAATTGCTCGCACAATGCGTTTTACGATTTTCTCCTAAATCAAAATCAAAAAGCGAGTACGTAAATCCTGTTCTCTCCCCCACCTTCTTGGATTGACCCATCATACGCGCCTATCTTTTGCGACAGCATTCTACTACATTGGCTCTAATGTGGCAGATTGGCCCCTAGAGGCCCAGCGCGCTCTCGCCGACGGTATGTCGCGGCATTGTTGAATATCAGAAACTAACGACATATTATATACAATGACATTAGGCCATGAGATATGTGCTCGTAAGTGGCTCGATGACTGCTCTTCGAACAATCTGACCTTCAGCTTGTTGACAGATACGTGGTCGCATCCATACAGTATGTACCACGCAGCTTCGATTGATTTAGCTCATTTAATTTTTCGGATTTCCCAGTGACCACTTTCTCTAGCGAGGCTGCTTTTGCTGAATTGTGGTATTGTGAGTTCCATATCCTCGATATCGAAATAGTACCAGAGATAATTACGAGTTGTAGCTGTGCGTCTTCTTGTATGCATATCTTTTGGGACTGGACTGGACTAGGAGAATACTGCTGTAGATGCAAATGATCAAGCTTGCTGTTGGCGTAACGCCTACCTGTTGGAGAGTAAGCATAGGCTCAACCCCCGCAGTAGCTACAGAAGTACTGATTTTTTTCAAACAGCCCCCCTATGGAGATGTCGACGATCGAATTCGCTCAATCGCCCATGCATTGGGACTGCAAACTATCATGTGGGGATATGATAGTGAAGACGCCGATATCAATGGTCAAAGCATCACTGATCAAACCGTGGTTACGAACTACAACAACTTCATCACAACGGCTAGCAATGGCACCTTCAACTTTGTGTGTTCACTTTGGCTCTACTTTAAAAAAAAGATTGACTTGATGGACTTTAGACTGGTGCAATCATATTGACACATGAGTTGAACAATTTTACTATGTCAGAAGCGGTACAGTTTTATCCGCAACTCAAAAGTTCCTTTCAGGTAGGCTACTGGTAGCTCGTTACGAAGATGAAAGGATCTTACAAGAACGATTGAAGCATATTGTCCCGGTCGGAGTGTCACTGAACAAGACACAGCCATACGTGGAAACCAATTACTCCTTACCAACATTTGAGCAGTGTAAGTGGCCTTCTTGAAGTCGGTTTGAAGGACTGGAATTTTAGTTCAATCCATTGTTCATGTAGACATTGCCGGTGCGGTGTCGGTGAACGGTACCAGAGTCTCCCCTAATTCTACCAGCTCATTTCAGTCTGAGTCATCAACTTCGTCGATTTCGAGTTCTTCCACCCCCCCTGCAACTACCTCTGCATCAAATGCGGCTAACAGAGTGGCAATCTACAGAGGTTTCCTGTTATTAATGTTTTTCGGCTTGATACGTTACCCCCTTTGACATTTGAACAAAACCGAGAGACTATTTTAAATGATACACTTTCAAAGAACTTTTCGCTCTGAACTTTATTTTGTATCTAGGGACTCCTAGTATTGGCTTACAGCTACTGCTACTTACATTCATTCGAGCTGTTCGCTTATAGTACATTCTTTTCTGTTGTCTATATCTTCCCTCAAATCCGGACTTGATACTGGCAGAAGGAATTCCTGTCCTGGCAACCTTGCGGTGGAGAACTTGAGTTCAGGATAGTACATTTGTTTTTATAATAATATTGTCAGACTGTATGGTCTCCTTCACCTGCAAAACCTGTAAAAAACAGGTTAAACGTTTTGCAGATGTTTGGGACGAGAATCACTTTCCGGAATTACTAACGGCGTCCGCCGCCACTCCGACCTTTGCTTCTTTTCTTTCAACCACTACATATCTCGCTGGTCGAGGTTGACATCCTCTTTTATATTCGCGCTGGCAGCTCTTTATTAGCTCTACATTGCTATGACTGGTACTCACCTTCCTATCAATCAACACGCTGTTCATCACATTCACGCTCGTATCATGTCTAACGTCGTTATTGGCCCTGGAGGTCAAGCAACCCTTGTCGCTCCCACCCAGCCAGAGTCTAGTAACGCTATTGTCAGCTCAATGTCCGTTATCAATATAGCATCTGCGACACAACAAGCAGTATTTACTTCACCTTCAACAGCCACAAGCGACATCTCGCTCACGAGTATTATATCTTCCTCTTCTGCGACACCCACTACATCTGGCCTCGTGGAGGTATCGACAACTGTGGTTGTCACAAGCGAAGTCGTCGAAACCTCTACTACAAGTTCATCGAGTCCGACAACGTCGAACGCTTCAAGTGATTCAGAATCGGCAACGCCTACGACTTTTGTTGATCTATCGACCACCTCTCTCGCTACAATTCCGCCTACTACTTCTGTTGATTCGACGACTGCATCTCTCGCCAGCACTTCAACCTCCGATGCTTCAACGAACTTGTTGTCCACCGTGTCGAGCTCTTCTTCTACTACAGCTTCACCTAGCAGTTTGGCAGCCGCGACCACAAGTTCGGCGACCAATACCTCGGCAACCAAGGAATCCACGCTGTATATTGGAATCGTATTGGGCACTATCATCGTGATTGCTTGCTTTGCTGCCCTCATAGCTTGGTGGTTCCGTCTCCGTACGCACAACCGAAGACGCAAGAAATCTGTTGCTGTGCCTTGGGCGAATCGGCCGGAGTCCTCCCTATCTTCATTCACGGATTCTGACTTACTTGAAAAAGGCGAGCCACCAGATCCTCACCGGCACACTTGGGAGCCCCGGGGTGATCGTGATGCTGGCGAACCGAAGCGTACAAAGAGCTATCTTGAAGATATCGGTTCTCCAGTAAAGAGACAGTCTCTTCCTATTTTGAGCCTTCCTTCTCCTCCGCCGGCCATTTATCCGTTCCGTGATCATCCGCTTCCACAATACCCAACGTCCTGTTCGTCTTTGTTCCCCTCGGTATCTCTTTCGTCGGTGGAGCCACTACAAGAGAGTGTTGCGTATCCCTTACCGAGCTCTTCCGGCTCACGATTCACTATGAACATACACCCCAATCCTTCCTCGGTACACATGCAGTTTTTGACGGACCCGGAATTTGGGACGCCACGGGAATCAAAGATCAAGCCAAGATATCTGAGTTTGAATCAAGGCCTGGAAGTCCCGTGGAATACTGAAGCACCTGCACTTGCTCTGGCAACCTATCCTCTTCCCGTCCCTTCCGAGAATGTCCCGAGCTCCCCAGCGTCTTTATCTGAAAAGCACCCTCAAACGCAAGAGATTACACCCTTTGCTGATGTTCCTGCCTCGGTTTCTTCAAGTCAGGCTGGAACGTGGTCTTCAACTTTCAAAGCTAACCTCGTATTTGCATTCAATGCTGTTGCCAAAGCTGCGGGCGGGATACGTTCAGATGAGGAGTATGACAAGTTATCCCCGCTGCCTTCCAGAAACGCAAGCCGTAACTGCAAAAATATCATTCGACGTGATAAAAGCACCAGTGCACCAGTACCAGAGACCGTCTGGGTAGAGTACCTCGGTGGGGAGCTAGTTGGAAAGGCCCCTGCGCTAATAACGTCTACCACTTCGGAGGCGAGTCAGGCTGATGAAGGGATAGGCACTGTCCATGTCCGCACGTCGTTTTCGAGAGATGGTTTGCTTCCCTTTCCTGGTACCGTCGATTCAGCGTTAACGACTCTTGGTCCCGCGTTCGGGACAGGGATGGGGTTAGAAAGCTACAGAGGGAACGATAATGCATTCTCGTCTTTGCCTTCTACACAACGCTCAATGACTCCTTCGAGGCAGATTTCGAATACTTCGTATACATCAACTGCAGCGTTGGTTGTGAAGAAGAAAAGCAGGTCTACAGGGACGACGCGATCTAGCGCGAACGCCCATTCCAGAATTTCCGGTAGTCAGAGAAGGCCCAGATATGCCTATAGTGGAGAGATGACAGCGGTGTCGCGGCGAGGTAGTCTGGCATCTAGCAGAGCGCCCGAGTTGCCTGCTCTCCCATCCTTTTCACACTCCAGGTCGCGGTCAATGGCATCATCACTTTCGAGAATTTCGACTACGAGGTCGATGAAGTCGACGCGATCGATACTGACAAACAGGGAAGAAAGGGCGAGGAAGGCGTTGATCGAGAGGCAGAGGAAAGGTAATGCTATGTGTTAAAATACCATAGAATCTTCTCGCAGCGAGTGCTCCATGAAACTATCTGTAACATGTTGTTGTAGACTCTGAGAATAAGATCCATACTACTGAGATTGGTGGGACAAAGTGGTAAGAGGTGGTAAGTAGTCGCCGGTAGTCGCCCCATCGCTTCAGTAGCTCAAGCCTCCGACGGTGATTGCTCTGTTCCATCGGGTACTCCCTCCCAACATATACTCTCATATACTTAAGTAAACCCTGATCATCGCCTTCTTTCCCCACCCCCAGCAACCCCCTCAGACCTTTCCTCTGCTGGTCAGAGGAACATCCTAGTACCAATAATTTCTCTCGTCCAATACATTGCCGAAAGATATGTTCAAGCTTCCTACTTCGATTTATTTCTCCCTCTTTATCTTCGGGTCTTTCTACCTTGTCTCTTCTATTTCTCCCGCATGTGCTGCTCCACTCCCTGGGAGTGCTACTCCGGTCATCTACAATATCACAAGTCTCTCGAATTCCGTGAACTCTTCCAACGAATATGGCCTCACATCCGTTACTCAAATTATCGACCGTCGTTCGAAGGGTAATTTGAACCCTGTCGAGGAAATGTGGGGTCAGGAAGGTTACAATCTCTACGTATGCCACAGTTTCGGGTTTTCACAAATGGAAATCATGCTGAATATCGTCTCACCAGCGAAACTGGATGACCAGCTTCTTCCCCGAAGGACTCACCCGTAAAAATATAGCCAAATATTTTGGTGAGTTCCATTACAACGAAAATATCAATTACGCGAGTAGAAGTGACTGAAGGATACCTTTAGCGGGAGGCGATTTCACGAAATACCTTGGAGTGAATTTGGCTACTGGTGAGAGTGGTAAAAAAGGGAACTATAACGCTGGAGTGTACAAGTACACTGGACGTCCGTATCGCGACAATCACCCAGATGATTTGGTCGTGAAAATTATCTCGCGGGCTAGAAGAGGGGAAAGGGTTGACATCAATGCGTATGGCGAAGCCATGGCTCTTGATCTTGTTGGACAATACGTTGATTCTGGGAAAGTTCCATGGACAATTATGACTAAGGTTACGAACCGGCGAACGGGAACAGTTCAGATAGTTCCTGAAAATTTCGACCTCTACGCAATCATCATGAAGCGAGTTGAAGGAGCACCGATAGAGGAGACACCTGAGTGGAAGGGTGCTAGGACTGAGGCAAGGAATCGAATGATGGCGCACATGAAGAAGTTAATTAAGCCACAAGTCATGGACCTTTGGAGTAAACATCGATTAATTGATGCGTACGGGAGTTTTCTCTGTGCCAGAAAAGACCTCATCTCACCTTCCATTCGCAGCGATATCAATAGGAATAACATCCACGTTGTCTTCGATTCCAGCGGATGTATAACGTCTGCCCGTCTCTTTGACTTTGGCTATCCTGGGATCATTTCTGTGAGACCTACGACAAGCGATCAAGACATTGTGAGCTCGTATTTTTGCTCTCACTGGTTCATAACTGAAAAACTTTCTGCGATGTAGGAGGATTGGTTTGACCAATGCTGGAAGTTTTTTTGGGCATAACACTAATCATTTGTGAGCAGAGTAGCAGAGCTGTATGTCGGGTATTGGTCTGTTGTATTGGTCTGTTACTGTACTGGGTTTCAAAACGAGCCGTCGGGATATCCGGATTGAATGAGTTGAGATGAGATAGCGCTGAGATAGCGTAGATTATTTGACTAGGGTATTTCCCTACTTGAAGCGTGTGGCCACTGGCGATCACCTTGAAACAGGGGAGAATTTATGAGGACATCGTAGGACATCGTTCGTTCATGGCACCCAAATCCATTACATTCGCGCCGCATCGCCCTCGGAATCCGTGGGAAATTTTAGACCAGCGGCAATTTTCACGATCATCATCATGACTCCGAGTTTTAACTTTTGCTCCAGCCTCAATGCCTTATAAAGTCCAATAGTGCCTCGCTCTTTCTCGTTATATATATATATATATATATATACTACTTTGAGCAGTAACAAAAATTCGATGTCCACCTCATCATCGCCTTCATCATCTTCCTCTTCTTCTGAACGCTCTTCTTCACCGCCAAAGACGCCTCCTAATCTGCATCAGAATAGTATAGATCCAGAATCAAAATGGCTTGTACAGAAGTTTGGAGGCACCAGTGTTGGAAAGTTTCCAGTCCAGATCGCCTCAGAGGTCGTGGCGTGCGTTATATCGTACCTCCATATCTACTGTTGCTCATCGTACTTTCAGAAAATACATTGACTCTAACAAGGTCGCTGTGGTATGTTCAGCACGCTCTGGAACCTCGAAAGCTCTTGGCACAACGAATTTGTTACTTCGGGCAGCTTCTGAAGCTTTGGTACGGCGTCCAAAACCGCCAACGTCGGTCCTCAATTCCCCGGATGGCACTATGAGCCCCTACCCCTTGGGTTTGTTTGGTCAAATCAAAGACATGCCCCACTCCCCACCAGAAACTCCACGACGAAGCAGGTCTTCCTCAGCGGAAGATGCTAATGCTTTATCATTGACGCCGCTTACTGTCCCGCAACGTGGACAGATAATGCCGACATTCAATACCACTGTCGATTTAATACGTCAGGAGCATTTCAAAGCTGCGGCAGACTTTATTTCGGATCCTGATATCAGGCAAGAACTTGAGGAGGAGGTGGATAAAGACTGTGATTGGTTGCGCAGTTTCTTGTTCGCTTCTCAAGTAATCAACGAGGTATCTCCACGATCCAAGGACAGTATCATCGGTCTAGGCGAAAGGCTGGCATGCAAGTTTATGACGGCTGTATTACGGGATCAGGTCGGCATCTGCCTCATTTCTTCTTTCCTTTTTGTGCACCAAGATCGGCTTAACATTGCTTTCTCATCTTCAATAGGGTATTGATGCAGAATACGTGTCACTTGAAGATGTAGTGCCTGAAGAGGATGATGCAGTTTTCGAAAATGACACCCTCGACCAGAGCTTCTATGACAAAGTCGCTCAAGCCGTTGGAGAACGCGTCAAGCAATGCGGTAGAAGAGTACCTGTCGTCACTGGTGAACAATTCCCTATCCAGTGTTAGTCTGTAGGATTGACCGAGGTCAATGCTCTAGGTTTCTTTGGGCCCATACCTGGCTCCCTATTGACTCAAGTAGGACGCGGTTACACGGATCTTTTGTCAGCACTCCTTTCTGTAGGCCTTGAAGCCAGTGAACTGCAGATCTGGAAAGAAGTCGACGGCATATTCACCGCCGATCCACGTAAAGTCCCCACCGCTAGACTTTTACCCATTATTTCACCCGATGAAGCCGCTGAACTGACATACTACGGGAGTGAGGTGGTGCATCCATTCACAATGGAGCAGGTATACTCCACCCTTCGTGCCATTCTTATTCACTCACGTACCCTCGGCGCTAGGCCATTCGCTGTAAAATCCCCATCCGCATTAAAAACGTGGAAAATCCCACCGGCAGCGGCACTCTCATATTCCCAGATTCCGAACACGACTCGGACCTCTTAGAAGTGTCGCAGGAGCTAGACGCAAATAAAAGCGGAATTCCGGAACCAATATCACACTCACAGCTACACGAAATGGCACAGCAAGCTGCCCACCGCCATGCTCACAATGGTGCGCTTTATCACCATAAAAAGTTTCCTACAGCAGTAACAATCAAGGAGCGCATTGTTGTGATCAACGTCAACTCGAATCGAAAAAGCGTCTCGCACGGGTTTCTGGCGGGTATTTTTGGGACACTGGATCGATTCGGGGTTGTGGTGGATTTGATCAGTACCAGTGAAGTACATGTGAGTATGGCAATTGAGGATGCTTTGGCGCAAAAGCTGCTGGATCGCCTGATCATGGAGTTGAAAAAAAGCGGATCGGTGAGTAGAGTTCTTATTTTTTGGGTACCGCCGCTTATTCTTTGTTATCAAAAGGTTTCCGTACATCGGCACATGGCCATCCTTTCCCTCGTTGGGCGGGAGATGCGCCACCTTGTCGGAATTGCTGGCCGGATGTTCACCACGCTCGGAAACGGAAATGTTAACATCGAGATGATCAGCCAGGGTGCAAGTGAAATCAATATCTCATGTGTTATAGAGGGGAAAGACGCTGTGAAGGCGTTGAATCTTATACATCAGAGCTGTTTGCAGTTACCTACGCCCGGGAAGAGTAAGTCAATCATTTTCGATGAAGCAGCATTAAATTGACTATTGCTGCAGTGGGGCCCTGGCTCTTCTAGAAGACTAAGGTGCTAGAATTAAAATGAAACCCTTGTATTAGGTACAGTATTGTCGCGTGGAACTATCTTGAATATGTACGATCAAGTTGAGTCCTGCTCGTCTAATGATGAATATTGCTCCATGAACCGCGTAATATATGCCCCATGGCTGAGTTGGTTACAGCGTCCGACTGTTATTTAGACTGTATCGGAAGGTCGAGAGTTCGAGCCTCTCTGGGGCAGGTTTCTGTGGAGATGTGATTCCAATTTGTTTTTGAATTTGGCAGGTAAGAAATCATGATTCCGAGCGAAGCGAAGCAAAACTGGCTAGAGGGCTGAGCGCTGAACCGGGAAGTAAAAAAAATACAAACTGTTGTCGCGCAAACTCCCACGGAGTCGGAATACCCGCGGATGTGTACGGATGAGCGGATGCTGGGGCGGGGAGCTGTTCCTTTTTAAGTAGTGCTCTGTAGTGCCCCGTGACAAAAACAATCATATAATTAATCATGATTAAACATAGTGCGGAGGTGCGCCAGCACTGACCAAGACTGTTGGATGTAGCACGCACCCCATGTGAGCCGTATTTGAATCGGAGGGGCCTTCGGCCCCTCCGAGCCGGACAAAGGAGGCTCAAATGCATGTTAAATCTACAGTACATATGTAGTATGTACAGTATATATAGTCCTTCGAATTAGAAGGGTAAATGCAAATGTGGGTGAGTACCCAGTGTACATATGTAGTGCATGAAAAAATAAACTGAAATAAATACAACCTTCGTCATAGATTTTTTGACTGTCAGTGCCTATTGATCAAATGCTCTGTCTCTCATGTCACTTGAACTCCAACAACAACTATCGTCACTATTGTAGAGTGCGCTGTGTCTCCGCACTATCCCTTCATTTCCATGATTAACAGTTAGCTTAGCACTTCATGATCAAATGTCTTCCAACAATCAGGTGTCCACTGTCTCGGAAAAGTATACTTTGAGTCGAGATGTTGAGAAAGGCCCAGGAAATAATGGGGATTATCAAAACGAAGTGATAGGACAAGGATCTTCACAAGACGAGCCCGTTCTTGACGACGATGAGGTCGAATTTGAAGAGGACGACGAACATGAACCGATTTCAGCAATTTCAGCAGTCACAGACTACTCTCTACAACATCGAGGCTCATTATCAGGCCTTTCTCTCTTCTCCACTGCGTCTATCGACTTGCGCTATCGCTCTAGATCCGGCCCTCCCCAGTGGTGGATCAAGCTTAAAGCATTCTTGTACCCGCCAGACCCACAGAAGGATCCTTCTGGGTCCTCCTTTATTCCAAATTACCGCTACACACCGATCTTTTCTGCTGTCATCATTCCATTTTCGATTCTGCTCGAGATTCCTGGCTTAACCGGCAATTGGTATATCAAAACCATTGACAATCAAACCGTAGAGAAGAGATCGAACCCAGTGCTTTTAGATGTTGCGTTAGGGATTAGCATGGGATGTGCTCTGGTGGCGAATGTAGCGTTAATTGTCAGGTTTTTGGAGAAAAACGTCAAGTTGATGACAATCGTCTGTGTGGTATTTCTTACTTTGCACGGTGAGTCAAATCTATTTATACTAACATGAAGTATAACTCCCAGCATCTGCTTCATAGATTTAATCAACATCATTGCCGTTACGACGTTCGGCGTGGAGAATCGTTTTGACGACGGGTTCACCTACGGACAATCATTCTGGATGACATTGTGTTCGACAATAGCATCTACATTCACCAATGCTAGCCTCATTACTGATTTCGTCCGAACTCCCGATTTTTCAAGCAGCGGTATGCTCCTCAACGACATACTTTCAGAATCCGATATTCTTACTATGTTTTTCTTTCTGATCATACTGATCAGGTAGCGGCTTAACTCGGAAACAGCGTTCCCTGGTGATCATGGTGATCGTTCTCCTGGTATATATCGCATTTGGCGCGTTGATTGAGAGTATCCTTCTGAAACTCAACTTTATCGATGCATTGTACTTTACGATTTGTTCCATCGAAGCTATTGGTGCGTTTATGCTTTCTCCGGATTGCGTCATCCTGTTTATGCTCTCTCAGGTTTTGGAGACATTCCTCCTGTCACAACCGGCTCCAAGGTTTTCATCTGCTTTTATGCCATCTTCGGCATCGTCAATCTCGCACTAGCAGTCAGCCTAACTCGCGAAACTGTGCTTGAGGCTCTCGAAGTTGGGTACCGAAAACGTGTCCATGCCGCACGGGTCAAGAGGAAAAACCTTCGCTGGCGGAAACGTGTTGCTCATCGATGGCGAGAGGCAGTAGAATGGCGGTTAAGGGAGAAAGGGCATCCGATCTGGGCTATGGACACCACTAGGGTATCAGGCATTTCGGGCTTTGTTCGTCACTGGGTCCTTTTGTTCGTTGACAAGACCTTTCCTCAATGGACATGGAGGTCAAAGTGGAAAGGATTGGGAGCAGTTGCTCATCCCAAGGGGATGCATTTAAACCTGGAGGCTTTGGAAGGACTTGCGTTGGAGAGTGCGGCGATGGAAGCGGGCGTACCGTTAAGTGAACTGTTACCTCCAGGGTTCGCGAGGAGATGGGCAGATAGGCATCCATCTACCTCAGGAGAGGAAGATATCTGTTCTACGCGGGTATCGAGTGCATCTTCTGCCCTGCCTCCACTACCGACGTCAGTTGCACGGGAAAATTCCAACTTTGGTCCACCCCCATCTCGACTCGAAACTTGGATGACCCGCTTGCAGAATGCTCAGAAAAACTACACTCAAGGAACAGATGACATTGCGCTTACCCACGCGAGGCTTGGAAGGATGGTGGCTATGCTGGGTGGATTTGCACTCGCTGTGAACAGACCGGGTACTCTGAAATGTTCCGCCCCAAGGTCTTCAGCTAAGCCGATGAAGGCCGCTAATTACCCTTCGAACGCCTCACCCTCCATCAATGAAACAAGGTCCCTCTCGCAACAATATGATGCCTACCGCATTGTGATGGAAAGAGAAGAAGTTAAGGCGTTCTACGCCAGGTTGATCGTTGTCTGGACACTGTTCTTAGTTTTCTGGCTGGTACGTATATCGTCGACAATCATCATTTGGCTGTACTTCACTCATACGTGTGTCTCCAGGTCGGGTCCGGAGTTTTCATGGTGACAGAAGGCTGGAGTTTTGGAATCGCGATGTATTTTTGTAAGAGACTATCAGTTTATCGCTGTACCGCTGTCTTCATACCTCGTCATAGGTGTCATTGCATTCACAACCATTGGATTTGGTGATTATTCTCCAAAGACACCAGCCGGACGGTCTATCTTTGTCGGTTGGGCTCTCTTGGGCGTGGCGACCATGACAATCCTGATTTCAGGTTAGGGAAACGGTTTGCTTTAGGGTTCCTAGTCGCTAATCCATTGGCTGTTGCCTCCGCAGTTGTTGCAGAAGCCTACACCTCTCGCTATAAGAATGTCCTTCAGTCTACTAAAATTTTCGATCGTGCGGTTGCCAGATACAAAACGAGGGAAAAAGCGAAAGCCTTGGCAAAATCACAACGAAAATCTAATGCCTTATCTTCCGCAGCAGCCCTATCCCCTCTTCCTCCGCTTCCATCTATCTCTACCAATATATCCAAGACGCCTTCAGAAGAGGTTAACGCCGACTCTTCACCTCGTCCGCAGCCGCATGCCAAATCAGATACTCAGCTACACAATAAAGGAGGTGGATTCGCAAACACCGTACGACATGTTGACAAGAAGCTAGAGGAGCTACCCCGGAGTATCCTTGCACATGCGCGCCTCTTCAGTGAGCACTTGCAGTATTTTGTCGGGCCGGGAAGTGTCGGTGCCAATGGTGGACCATCTAGTGGACAGGAAATTCCCCCGAGCCTGAAGAAACTGATGGATGATATTGCTGGCGCGTCCAAGTTTGGGGAAAGGATTCAAACGGAGATCTTGCAGGATGCAGAGGCAAGGCAGACGTTATTTACATTGAGTATTGAAAGTGAGTCATGACTCTCAGCCAGTCTTTCAATATACTGATCGCATCGAATTGTTCTCTCCGCCTTGCAGAGGCTTTACGAAAAATGATTGAAACAGCGGAAGATGCGATCCAGTCTTTGGAAGAACGCGATCGACTTTTAGAGTTGAATGTTCAAGAATACAATAATATTAACAACGATGACCAGGCTGAGACGCCGTCACTGATACGATCTTCGGACATACGATTTACGAACAACAACGAAGGACTGGCATCAAGGCAGAATGAATGATTCGTGTTTCTGCTTCGTTGCTTGCTCTGTGGACATTTACCTAACATCCAATGTATATTGTACAATGCTTCAACCTAATTTACTTGATTTTTGTGATTCTAGGTTAATTATTACAAGTACAGTCATGTGCCAGGAAATCTATGACCCAGGTTGGCGCTAATATTATTTCACTGGGCGTCTGAGGGCGTCTGTCGCGTTATCCTTCACCGCCGAGCGGCGAGGCGTTACCAACTTTTGAATCAAGATGCCACGACCACTCAATTCGCTGCTTAGACGGTGGCACGCAATGTTAGGCCTACAACGGCAATCGCCCCCATCCTGGTACAAAGACCGCGTCCGCGAAGAACTCCAAGAACGACGAGCCGCCACAACCTCCCTGCAAAAGCTCAGCGAGACATCTGACGTGTTCTTCGCTATCATACGAGCTAATTACGATGGATTCGCCGTCAGAAAAATGCCCCCCTTTGTCGCCTCCCGGCACATTCTGGTGTACGCGTACATGCTGGGCAAGTATACTTCGCGTTGGGGGTTCTATCGCACGGCGGCAATTCTCTGCAGGGTTCCCCACTCTCATTCAGTGCGCGAGGTCGTGAATCCTGGAAAAGATTCTAAGCTTCACGAGGTTGCTTTGCGACACCAGATTGACCCAGTAGAATTCAAGCGAGTTGGTCGAAAGCTTCGACGAGTTTGGCCTCTTCTTCCTTAGGCCAAGGATGTTATAGAGATGGAGGATCAAAACCGCAGCCGCAGTTTAGCAGCAGCCGGATGTTCAGTTATAGCGCTTGTACGAAGAACGGCCTATACATTATCCATCTATCTATCTTTCCACCCATGTTCATATATCAATAATTGTACGTGGGTAGAGTGCATCTTGACCAGGACAGCGGCCAGGCGTGCTCGTGTAGGACAGTATGTCTTCCTCCCGAATAGGAATCCTTTCTTTACCTTACGACAAAATCTAAAGAATGTCAGAACCCCTCGTTTAGCTATACATACATACATTGTTACTGCGCTCGAGCATCATACTCAAAATACGAGTAAGAATGTTTGTAGAAGCTGCGGTCTGAACATCGATGGCTTCTATTCTACAGCACCTATAGTAGTTCGATAGATTTTAGGTTTAAAAAGGTGTTTGACATACTGTTATGTACTACCCTAGCGCTAATTCTCAAAGATCCCCGTTGGACTCTTGACAACGCCGCCATGGATTGCATGATCACCGCCATTTTCGACTCCCCAATAGTGACATAAAAGTTGAAGCGCTTACTAGTATGTACACATTCAAAAGCTTCTCCAGAATAATTTAAGAAATAAATCTACCGATACAACTCTAGCTTTTGGGACCAAGAAGCGTTCGACGTAGGCTTTCAAGGCTTAAGAATGACGAGATCCACAGTGTACTCGTATTCTATCAGATTACAGGCCAAGCATGCCAAGTTTCCTATTTGATCTATATTGGTATCAAGTCTGTGCTGGATCTCGCAGCTCATCAGTCTTCCTGAAATATCTGTGCGTTGACTATTGACATCTCGTGCTGGTCCGGTACTGTACCGCAACCGCCAATAAATACCTTGTCTGCCGCCTGGTCACCCTGCCATATTCTCTTGCAATTTCTCTCTCAGCTTTCACGATGTCCTGTCATATCGACAACATACCGACAGGTCGTATTCCTGCGTCCGTGCTCAAGAAGCCAACAGTTGTGGGACTGTATGGAGTCTCCGGCTGTGGAAAAAGCTTCCTGCTCAAAGAGCTCAAGGAAGAACTTGGTGAACAAGAATTCGATTATCACGAAGGCGCGGCCGTGATTTCACGCCTCGTTCCCGGAGGCCTCAGTGCTTTCCAGAAGATGGAATATCGCGAGAAAACTGTCTGGCGCGAACGCGCTATTGACCAGATCCAGGAGGACTGCACAATCAGTGGACGAGTCGCATTAGTTGCAGGACACTTCATGTTTTGGGATGAATATGATAAGACCCCACAGTTAGGTTGGACAGAGCACGACCAAACAACGTTCACTCACATCCTATATCTCCATGTTCCTCCCGACGTTATTGCACAGCGCCGGATGAACGACTCTAATCGAGCTCGCTCGTCCATCTCAGATGAGCATCTAAGAAAATGGCAGCAGGCCGAATGTGATCAATTACGTCTGGTTTGCCTTGAGCATAAAATCTTGTTCTCGATCGTGCCTCCGAGTCGTCACAAAATCGCGAAGCTCTTGCGGAATTTTCAACGCAATACGGAGGAGTACAATCTCTCTTGTGCTCGAGACAGGCTGGACGAAGTTGTTCGAGAAGTTGCTGGCCCAGGGAAGCTGAAGACGACGCTAGTGATGGACGGTGACCGGACATTAATTGCTGAAGACACTGGCGCGCTTTTCTGGCGCCTATTCAACAAAACGGTCAAAGATGCCACTGAAAACACAGGGGGAGGGAAAGATCCTTTGAAGGAATTATTCAGTGGTCCATTTGGGTACTCGTACGCTGCCTTTGTTCAGGCAGCCCTGCTTTACGAAGAAGTGGACGAGAAACAATTCGACGATTTTTGCGAAGAAGTTGCTTCTGCTGTGACTGTGCACCCAGAGTTTGTGTCATTGTTGGTGCAAGCGGCAGAGTGCAAAGTGGGAGCGGTGATTATCACGTGTGGGTTAGGACTGATTTGGGAAAAAATTCTGAAGAAAACAGGACTCTCGGAGACGGTGAAGGTAATCGGCGGCGGTCGCATCAGGGACCATCTTATTATCACTGGTGAAGTAAAGGCCGCATTGGTGGCCCGATTGAGGACGGCGCATGGCATGTATGTCTGTGCATTTGGGGATAGTGTATTAGATTTGCCGATGCTTAAGGGAGCTAGTCAAGCCATCGTAGTGGTTGGAGAGGAACGACACAGGAGTCACAGAATGGACGACGCATTGCTGAAGGCTATCGACGATGAAGGGCTTCAAGCATGCCAGGTGTTGCTGCCCAAGACAGCATCAGCACGACTTGATGTTGTAAAGCTTCCACTAGTGAGCATAACCGAGGGCCGCTTTCTGGACTCCCTTGTATCTCGCCTTCCTTGCCGGATCCATATTCTTCATGCGACAAACAAAAATCCAGCGAAGCTTCTCATGTCTGGAATGCGGGATGCGCGAGTTGCCGGACCTGCCTTGCGCGAAGTACACCGTCGTGTCGGCTGGTATCTGACAACAGAGTTTGTATCTGAGTTGATCGGACTAGAAGAGTACCCAATCCCACATGTGCAGGGCCCTCAAACACAGGCGAATGGACATCGGCTTCGCGACGAAAATAGAATTTTGATTGTAGCACTCATGCGAGGCGGTGAGCCCATGGCTCTTGGTGTCAGTGAAGCTCTACCACTTGCTCCTTTGTGAGCCTCCTACTCGTTAATTCTTCTTCCGATCTTCACTAAATCTATGAAATGTAGTCTCCATGCGAAATACCCAGAGGATGTCGAGAACCGTCATGTGGAAGACCAAAAAACCGTAATTCTAGTCGACTCGGTAGTCAACAGTGGAAAGACAGTGGTAGAATTTGTGCGACACATTCGCAAACTGCATGCAACTATTCGCATTCTTGTGGTCGCCGGTGTGATACAGGCCGACTCCCTTGCCCCAGGTGGCGCTCTTGCCCAGATACCGACCACAGAAATTGGTTTCATTTCTCTTCGGCTGTCGGACAACAAGTTCACTGGAAAAGGAACTACGGACACTGGCAATCGCTTATTCAATACAACCTACTTGCAGTAACATAGGAACTGGCCCGCTGTCAAATCTCATATTTCGTATCAAGTAACACCGAGTTGGGCATGTATTTGTATCTGTTTCTTGTCGGACAGTAGAGCTTCTCTGATCACAGACAAAATGTACAAGAGGTCGTTCGCTACCCAGATGACCGACCTATGATTTAGTAAAATTGTGAGGTTCTTAGATACTGTACTATATAATATCGACCAACGTTTTGAGTTACAGTTGATCATTCAGGGGAGAGTCTCCAAGAAGCTTTTTGGCAACTTTCACTTCAATCTTCTTCCCTGAACACGGCTCCTTCACCGAATCCAAAATGACCTGTCTCCTCGTCGCTGTCGTCCAGTTCAAACTGGAACCCATCCTCAATTTCTCCATTCTTCCTGGTTATAAGCGCCTTTAATCTAGCAATAGTCTCTTCAGCTTCTCCTGCTGCCCTTTGGCGCGTCTCCCCGTCATAACCCTGTTCACTGAAGGGATCGACTGCACCTGCAGGGTCCCACGAAATCGTCTTTCCTCGCCATCCCCCACCTCGATAGACGTAATTGAGGAAAGCACGCCAAAGTGGATCTAGAGAAAGCACCATAGGGTTTCCGATAACAATCAACAAAGCTTGAGCTCGAGTGATCGCGACTGCATTTGGAAATTCAAAAATGGGTCAAGTCTCTGTAAGTGATTTTGATGGCTGAAACATACCATTGAAACGATGCGGGCTCGCTACGAAACCCAACATCCGGTTGATGTCAGCTCCAATAAAGTCGGTGTTACTCCTCACGGTCGAAATGATTACAATTCGACGTTCCTTGGGGAGTAATGAGCTGACTGAGTAGTTACTGTGAATCATTGTATACGCACCTGCCCTTGGAATTCTTCTACGCTGCCCACTTTAATCTCCCGTGTTGTGTGGTCACGGCTGAGAAGGTTCAGAATTTTTATTCTCTGGGCGTGATATGGTGTAATGACAGCAATGTGTTCAGCACCTACGCACAAACAAACATAGATCAGATATCAAGCAATGAAAAAGAGAAGTAGATATACGTACGGATGCCATTCTTCCTATCAGATATTAGATTGATACAATATTTCTTCACCTGCGAGGCTTCCTCGATATTGAAGAAAGACGGAGAAGATGCTTCTCGTTGGTCCTTTCCGATTATGCCATGGAAAATCAATGGAAATTTCTTCTTTGGGAGCTCATTTGAGTCTTGAAGACTTCGAGTGAGTATTGGGTTACCACAGTATTGCAATTCGTTGTTGTAGAAGTGTTCGTTGGAAAACTCGAGGATGGCGGGATGAGATCGGAAGTTTCGGACGAGCTTGACGATTCTAGCAATAACGATATTGAAACCGGTGAAATCGAGAAGTAGGGAAATAACTCACGTTACACCTCGGCCGCCAACACTCGATTTACCGTCAAGGTCATAAATCTCTCTATCCATGATCCTCGCCAAGTAACTGGTCTTCAATCCCAGCACCGATGCCAGCCCAGAGTGCACAATCGGGCCCAGCTGCTTGTTATCTCCGGCCAGCACAACATTTGTCTTATCATCGGCAAGCTCCTTCAAAGGCACCATCACCGTAGGCTCCATGGCTTGACCAGCTTCGTCTACGAAGATGTGACTATAGTATCCACGCTCAATCCCAAGGCTAGCAGGAACTCCTGCAGTTATACACGTCGAGACTACAACACGATATTTGCGGATATCCTGTGCAGTCGGCATAGCAAACACTTCATTGTCGTTGATGATGGCGAAACGATGTAAAGATTTGGGTAGCTCGGAGAGTTTCCTAGACAGAGAATTGAGCCGTAGAACTACAGAGGGCCCAAGCGTCGAAAGCTTCTGCGTAAGAAGGTCGGCAGCAGAGTTGTTTGGCGCACAAACAAGAAGACGAGTTGTATTGTCATTCGCAAGAAGTTGATGCATAGATTCAACTAGCGTGACAGTCTTGCCTGTTCCAGGCCTGTGAAATGATATAAATATGTGTGATCAAAGAGAAATGGGATTGCAATACGTACGGGCCAAATATAACGAATGGAGGGCTTCCTGGAGGCATATTGACGATGGCAGCAACCGCCTCCAACTGTTCTGGGTCTCCTCCGATATCTCGATTAATGGGTGAAATTTTATCGATTAACCCAGAAGACATTCTTCGCAGATTTCTGATATGTTCTGGTCCAGGAAACAGAAGTCGAACGGGGTTGTTTTTGTTGATGAGAGCGGCATGCATCCGTCGCAAGGAAAGGCGATTCAAAACAAAACGAACTTCGAAAGAGTTGCCGCGATAGGTGCTAAAACTATCATCAAAGCGAAGGCTGACATAGTTTTCGTAAACCTGGTGGACACGCCCTTGAAACCAAGTTCTATCCGTAGCGTGGTCCTGGCGGACAAGAATGAAGTCTCCTACGAGAACTGAAGGTCTGTTCTCTGCTAGACCCTGAACTTCGAGTCTAAAATGGCTCTACATCAACTTCGGGAAGTTCAGGGAAAAGAAGACATACTCATAACGTGGATGCTTCGGTCTGAGGGAAACTCCCTCCATGGCATAAGCATCAAGATCCTGTCTGGAAGGATCTGTCAAGAACACGATTCGAAGATTAAGAAACCGCTACCCACTTCATCTGTTCCTCTTCAAGATGTAGTAACAACTGGAAACGTGATCCATACGTTCTTAAATTGAGATCAGGAGACAAGAACCCTTTGAGAAGCGCAAGTACGTCTTTTCTGGACTGAGCACCGCGCTTGTACAAGATATCTGTGATCTGGCGAGGCACATCGAAATTGGGAAGTACGTTGACCCATCTTGTCTTAGTCCAAGTTGGAGGCCTCAGACCACGCCGGATGGGTCCGTCTATATTGAGTGGAACACGTTTCCGTCGCGTGTAGGGGGCCGTGGGTTGGAGCTGCTCATGGTCACTCTGGTCTCCAACTGTAGCGAAGAGTCGGCGATGAATGACAAAACGAGCTTTCGTAGCCAGGTTCATAAATACGAGTTCTAGCCTATCCTCGTAGCGACCGGCGTATGAGGGTTGAAATGTAACACGCAAAATTCGTGGACGTCCGGGAAAAATATAGGGAGAACCGACCAACTCAACTGAGAACCTGAGATGATACAAAAAATTGAGTGTCTGGATTGTCTCTTGAAAAAAGTCGATGAAAGGCCAACCTGTCGCTATGCTGGTCGTTCCTGCTTGATGAAAGCAAACGACACTTGGAAAGACGAATATGAGTGGGTTGAGGTTCACTTTCCCTTATGATCCTGAGGCGGACAACAGGCTTTTGCTCTTCCCCTACAATCCCGAAATCAACGCCCCCAAGGCCATCAATCGTGAATCCGCATTTATTACTCTCAGCGAACTCGAGTGCAGAGTCTAAGCGTTCTTGAAGATCATGGGTTTTCAAATGATCTTGCAACTGCGACTGTGGAACATGTTTTCTGCATCGAGTGCAACGAGTGCTAGATGCAGATTCAGAGGGAGAGGCGCTAGCATTCGGAGCAGGTCCTGTCTCTTCAACGATGGGAGGCACTGAACGACCACTACTGGCAGCTTGACGAGAGAGTTGGGAATGTCGCTTGCCTTTGACATGACTGCGAAAGTCAAGCTGTCGTAGTATCAAGCCGCAAGAACACTTAACGATATCGTGTCGTAACTTGCAAGCTGATCCTCGAGGACATACTCGTCCTTCGAGTGAGTCGTTGCAGATTTTCGTTGGTGAGGGAGCCATCGTGGTTTTGAGTCAAGCCTGTTGAACACGCAGCATACGTTCACCACTCAAAAGCCTCGAACTCAAAGTCAAGCTCGAGAATTCAAAAATGATTTTAAGTTCGCCGGCCGGCACTTTTTGATAAGGCCATTCGAATTTCGAAGGAATTATGGTACGTATGTATACTGAGATACGTGTGTAGTACACCATTAAACTATCCGAGACGTCCAGTCCTTCCCTCCCAATGTCCTCCAATCTCTTCCTCAGCTCATCGAATGGTCCCAGTTGCACGCTTTAGGCTGAATTTGCGTAGACGTGCTCTCTTCGTTTTCGCATCGGCCTCCGAGAATAGATCGAATGTGGTAGTCAGAAGCCTCCATCTGGACTGAATCATATCGATGAGTACATCATCATTGAACGCCGGCTCGACGTCCAGTGCAGGAACCAAGGCTGGAAGGAGGATTTGATGCTGAAGTAGAAGGGGAGGAGCTAGGAGTATGGTCCGCCTAGTTATTCCTGTTGGAAAAAGGAACATTTGCAGAATCGGATGCGCTGGGGATATTCAGCGTCTGAAGGACCTCATCTGTTATTATTGGTTTCCTGACGTGCTCCCGGATTTCGAGATGGGTGGCGATCAAAGCACAGTGGAGGAGGTCAAGAAGTTTATCTTCCTGCAGCCAAGTGTTGATTGAGAGACACTTTAGGCGGCTCGAGCTTCGATGGAGTAGGGAAATGATAGGCGCAATGTTGTATATTGACATTCTGGTGCCACTGTCAAGAAGCAGAAGATTCTTTAGGCGTGATAAGGTCAATCCCTGGAAGGTCAGGTCCTCTGCAGCCCCAGAATCCGCACATAAATCCAGCTTGAGCGGATGGAGGTGCATCGACTGACTCTGCAAATATGTCAAATGATGTGGAGTATGAGTATAGCAATATCGAAGAGCCAAAACCTTTAAGTTCGGGCTATTTTCAACCCGATGACATATTCGTGCTGAGGAGAGAGGTCGATAAGATCTAGCGACTTTATCGAAGGACGAGAGCGCAATCAATTCAGGTTGAACCCATTCAGAGACATTGCCCAAAACTTATTGCAGATTGCGGCCAAGAGGCAACACCGACTCTGCCTTTTCAGGCCGTAAGATCAAGTGTCTGGGAGATGCGACTTTGAGATAACTAGGTTCAGGTCCATCTTTGAGAGCGCCGAACACGTCCTTGCCTACACGGTTATGAAAGGTAGCAAAGGAAACACTACGCCACCGACTAGGATACATCAACAAGACGATATCTTCCTCGTAAATGAACCGGTAATCTAGAATGAGATCAAGTGGGGTAGCGTGGCACGCAGCAAAGGAGACTTTGACCAATAACCGGATTCAGTTGTTGAGGCAAGCTGCAGTGTTATGGAAGACCAAAGTGACAAGGTGGAATTGACGATCTTCCTGTCCATCTAGTACAGACGTGATCCAACTTCACAGTCAGCAGCGACATATCGTGCTTGGAAAGGCTTGGAAATACAGTTTATACCGGCGTAGATAGAGAACACAGTGTGAGATTTCTCTGATAATGTCTCAGGAGGGAGTCGCCGAATGGGGGATGTTGCACAACGAAGGTCACCGATGTACGCCTCAAGCGTTTTCTGCTTATCCGCTACTCTAACAGGCAATCCAACTCCTCGTTGTAACACGCCAGGTCCTCTTCGGTATAATCGATGTGATATGAAAGATGCGTCAGATGAGGTTTGGAGGTATCTAGACCGAAATTTTTTGGGGTTTTCGGTAGAGCGAGCCCGAGCCTTTGTCTTTAAAGCATGTCCACATTGACGACAGAGAACGAGTGTAGTTGTGGTGCGTAACGCTACCTACTGTGTAGTCTTTAGGCTCTAGATTTAGTTGTCCCCACGTGTAGGAGAGTTGAAGAACCCTCAAAGGACGCTCCTATGGGTGTCGATGACATGGGAGTCCAGATAAAGAAATTTGAAGATGGGAAGCTTAGCATCACAGCCACTTACGGAATACGCAATCTCTTGCTTTGACCAACTCAACAATCACCACCCATGACTCTCTCATATTCTTCAGCATCACTTCCGCACTCACATAGCAGTGAGCACAGAGCTGAGAAAAGAGCATCCCGATTTGACTATGATAATAATGCTGTAGATTTCGGCAGACCGGAAACCCAGGTCTAGACCTTGGATTTAGGGCCTGGATTCAACAATCGGGCAGAACATCTGACGGCCAAAATGGACATTTGTATGCTGAAGTTCATGCATAAAAGTTGCAACATTCCGACTTCCTTTCCGTCGATCGAGGACCACAACCAGTCTCTTCAGCCGTGTTATCATCTGTCTTTCCTATAGAACTTATTATTTTTTGTGAGCGATTGCTCTTCTTCTCAAGTTCCATTCACTGAATGACGACGTTCGCAAAGGATATTCGTCCTTAGACTCAGTGTTCTTCGATTGCTCAATGATGTCTTCTTTGCAAGTCGTCTCCGTGTGTAACAATCTTCTGTGAATTACCCCATAAATTCATGCAACATTTATAAACAGAACTCTTCGCCCAAGTATGCCCAAACTAACAGTCTCAATGGAATACCTCCAAACCTTGTACTGAAGTCCAGCGATTCCGAGCTATTCTATGTTCACACCCACCGACTAAACTCTGCATCGACCAACAAATTTCAAGGCCGTACAGCTGCGACCAATGACTCAGTTGTTGACGTACCAGAAAATTCTCAAATTCTTACCATCATCCTTGACATCATATATCGTAACGCCAGTGCTGCCGAAGATTTTGCTCCCCCCTTTCCTTTTGATATTCTTGCGGCAGCAATTAGTCGTCTGCCCGTCTATGGCGTTGATGTCCAAGCTCAACTCAACCTGGATCGATTCAATGTTGACCCTACTGTGCCTGCGCAACCTATCTTTCAAGCTTTATATTCACATGCAATGACACATCCGCTTCAATTATACATACTCGCTGCTCACTATAACCTGGAATCCCTCGCGATCGCGGCTTCTTCGCACCTTCTCGGGTTACACATCACCGAACTCACAGACGAACAGGCTGAAGTTATGGGTCCTGTGTATTTGCGCCGACTCATCTTGATGCAGACCCAACGAGAGGAGGCTTTGAAAAAAGTGAAATCATCCCTTTACACTGTTATATCTAGATGCTGAATTTGGTATAGATTCTACTTCAACCACCGTACCCACATCCTTCCACACCCGAATGCGACGTTCTGAATCAGAAGACACTCACGAGAGCTTGGCCGGTTATTGCTGCTAACTTTGCCGGGGACATTCGAGCTGGTCTGATATTCGTTGTCTTCGTTCTATGTATATGTTCTATGTATACTCATGGTTTACGTTTTATCCTTAGATTTGCCTTCGACTGCTCTGGAACGCATCCTCAGTTCATTGGCTGGGTACGTCTCATGTGAGCAGTGCAAGTCCTCCATCGAAGAACAAGTTGCCAGAATCATTATCGAGTGGGAATCAGTCAAGGTACGTGTATTTGTTTTAGCAGAATGCACGTTTGAACACATATTTTCTGTAGGTCACGATCTGATTGCATTATCACTTACAACCCGACCGCACATATGTACCCATAGTACCACTCTCATACTAGTGTCATATTATTACCCTTTACTGTATTTTTTGCTGATAGATTTATCCATGTATGTATCTTACATACGCCTACCAACGATCATGAATGAATATCTGATTTTTGCCGCTCGGAATCTTATCGGAGGAGCTACGTAATATCTTGGAATCTTTTCTCTTTCACCCACCACCACGAACAAGATGTCGGTCCCTCCTCAGGCTGCTGCTCTGCGTAGTCCCCTGTAAGTTACTGTTCAATCTATGATAAATATGGTGGCAAGCTCAATATTTTCTAGTGCTGCCGTCTTCCTGCTACATATCGCACTGGAAATGCCTATCGCCGTACAAGGACTCTTCTCTCCCATGTCATTGCCATTCATCCAGTTGAACAACACATCCATAGTGTTGCTCAAACTTTACGCTTCGCTTGCTTTGGGGATCTCATTAACCTCCCTCCTCGCATACTCTCTTCCGGATTTCCTTCCGGCTAAGCGCGCGTTGGCCATAGGACTTTGTGTGTATCACAGTGCGGTGAGCACAGTGTTGTTCCAGGCGCCTAGATTCATTCCGCATTCGTTCGGGGCGCTCGCCGAGGCGAACAATGTGACGCCAGAAGTTGTGTGGGGAACGGCACATGGTATTATTGGATTGGGTGAGTATTCTCAACGACTTGGGGGAAGGAAACATATTCATAGGTCGTTTTGTAGGGATGATTTTTTGGTGGCAGTCTACAGTGGGATTGACTCAACAATTAGCTGCATTACAGAGAAGGACATAGAACTTATCACCCATAGAAGCTATGCATGAATATCATGAATATGTATACCTCAGTATTTAGTTTTGTTGTAAATCCATTCTACCACTCAACACTGGGATACTTCGATGAAAGATTCAGCGCGCCGAAATGGATCGATACACGAACCAATCAAGTTTTGAGTAACAAGATAATATACTTTCGAGAATTACAAACGACCACAAGTTGAAAAATAGAAACGCAGTACCAAAAAGCTCATGGATGAGCTCCTGCTCCTCTTCCTCCTCGACCTCTTCGTGGTTTACCACTCCTCCTTCGAGGCTTTTTCCCGACTACGCCATCATCCATGTCAATGTCCCCATTGAAGGAACCACCATCTCTCATCAGTTCCTCCCTATCTCTTTTCGCGGGAATTTGTACTCGATCACGTAGTGGAGGAACTTGGTCACCGACTGAGATCGAAAGACGGTCAAGAAGTGAACCACCCCTTCGACCAACTGGGGGGCGCTCGTGATGGTTGTCCGTTTGGTCACGCTTGCCTTGATCATTGTGCTGGCGAGGGGGAACGTCATCAACATCCATATCTGCCGGCTCACGAATGTCGGGGGCTCGACGACGATTATCTGGAGGTTTTGGTGAATACTCCGATGAATAACGCGCCTCGTTCCTGTGTGGCGGAGGAAATTGGACATCTGCTGGGCGTCGACGTGGCCCACGGGCTTCAGGAGAACCTGTGCGTTTAGGCGGTGTCCGGTCGCGTTGAGGAGACGGAGCACGTCGTGAGCCACGAAATTCAATTGGAGAGACTAATTGTCTGGGCGGTGACCAGTGTTGGGGAGAGAGATCACGTCGTTGTCGACGAGAATCTACTGGAGACTCCGGTCGTTTAGGCGGCTCCCAGTGGCGCTGAGGACTGGGACCACGACGAGGTCGGTTTTCCGTTGATACTGGCCGCCAATCACGCTGCGGAGATGCGCGTAATCTATGCGTCCGGTCATAATCTGGTGCAAAAGGTAAAACAGGCTTTGGAGGTAGACTGTAAGGTAGAACAGTGCTGGAAAGAGGAGAAGGAGGATGATAGCCATTCGCACTACGATGAGGTTCTGGTTGACTTTGATCACGTCGATTGCGCTCGTGATGAGCGGGAGCATTTCGGGAAGGGTACTCTGTCAATGGATTGGAAGGTTCAAGAGATCTATCGTGCGTTGAACGTCCTCCGCGGTCTGAATCCTGTTCCCATCTGGGGGAAGTTGTGACTTCTCGCGAGATTGGTGGAGGTGAAGCTTCCTCCGGGTGACGTTGAAGAGAATTCGAGCGGTGACTGGGTGGAATAGAGGGTGCCTTCGCCTGCAGAAGAACTATTAGCCATTGTGATATCGGATATCTGAAGCCACTCACAACATCGCGAACAGGGGCACGACCACGACTATCAGAAGTGTCTCGTTCATGCGGCTACGCCAGACATGAGCCCAACAAGTTGATAGGGACATGAGAGCTTACCGTTGTTCCAGAAGCGGAGTGCGGAGTCCTTGTCTCTCCATTTCGAACATCAATAGGACTTCTTGTTTCCTGTCATGGCGAGATGAGTTGCCATCAGAATTGAAACTGAAAAATAGTTACTTTGCTGGACTCTGTGTATCGATTATTCGTCACAGGAATCTGATTCACACTACTCAATGGGACTCGTGAAACGTTACTTGATGCCCTAGCCGGACCATTTGGTATACCATCGGCACTAATGCGGCTGCCAACTGGTACGTTGTTGGTTCCAGATAGATGGGGAGTGGGACGTCCTCTTGGTCCTCTACCACGTCCCTAGCGTAATCGCATATGAGTGGTAGGAAACACTACATCCAGGAAGCCTTACCTGGCCAGCTGAATCTTCCTTCCACCCATGCGAAGGTCCAAGCTCGCGAGCGTCCCGATCAGATACACGGGGAGAACGCTCGCGCACAGAGCTCAAACGTGGAGCGGTAGGAGCCGCATCATCCCTACCCATAGCTCTGGGAGCCTTAGGGGGCTGACTAGCAGGATCATCTTCCCCTTGTCCCCTATCAAGATACACGGTTGAGCTCTGGCGTGTGATATTGTCGGCGCTAGCAGCAGAATCAACTCTAGGGGTGAGTGAAGATGAATCGTCAGTAGGCTTAGTAAAACCTGTACTGTCCGATACAATATTACGCTCTTGATAACGCGCTGGCGGAGATTGGTGACGGTAACGAGCAGACGGAGCAATAGAGTCATCATTTGTAGGCGGTCCGGGCTTCGAAAGTCTTTGGTGCGGTGGAAGATCACGGTCCAATGTCGGTGGAGGTTGCGATCGTGCTGCCAGGGGTGGAGGGGCTTGTACTTGCTCTTGAGCTGTTAGCGTAGGGACGTTTGTTTGACTCGGCGGGAGATTATTTCTTGATACTTCGCGGAAACGTGCGGATTGTGGGGGCAACGGGGCTCTTTTTCGACCTGTACCGATGGAGATTCAGAAGCGGAAAGTTGAGTTCAATAACGATGAACGCACGTGGAAGCTGTTGAGGTTCAGAAGCAGGCTCAAATTGCTGAACTGGCGAATTCGGGCGGACTGAATCGTGTGCAATACCATTGTCAGCAATTTTTTCGCGTGAGCGGGTGTGATCCATAGAATGTTCAACTCTGAATTCATCTGGGACCCAATCTTCATGATCACTGCCTAGAGCGACGCCAGGAGGAGTACCGAAGCGGGTCGGTCGTTTTCGAGTGGTTGAAGTAGAAGAATTTCGGTCGTTGGGTTGCCGTTCGCGGATGGGTGGTGGTGACCTGTGTCCTAAAGAGACAAGAAAGGATACATGGAATGGAGAGAATAGGTGTTACATGCGAAACAGGCAGGGCAATGGGGAAAAAAAAGAAGTCCATGATGAGCGTCCTTGAGTTGATCAAAGAGAAGTAGGAGGAAAGCTGGAGCCGAAACCAAGAAGATATCTGCGACGTAACATGTCCAGAATATAAGACAAATAGTCTTTTTCTAGCTTCCAAGAGCGCGGATTGCGTCACAGCACATTGGGACGGATAGCATTGTATGAGGCTGATGAACGTACTGTGAATGGTGTTATGGTTTGTTGGTTCATGCAGATCTTGCACGCTGTCTTCCCGGGCACCCCACCTGTTAGGCGCGGAAGTCCTATAAGTAGGTTGTTCATCTTGAGAGCGAGAATCATTCGATTGTGCTTCATTAGGGTGTTCTTGCATTCGCTGACGTTGACGAGGGCGGGACTTCGAGCCTTCGAAATCCTGAGGTGAAGGGGGAGACCAGCGACGGTCAGAACTAACATTTTGAATGGTATCCCTGTCTCTGTTAGCAATATGGGATTCCTTCGCGGAGGTAGGCTGGACCGGACGGCCACGCCTCCCAGACACTCTGCCACGTTCGGGTGAAATAGAACGAGGGCGACGGATAGCAAAAGGAGAAGGGTCCCTGCTTGGGCTACGACGATGGCTCGTAGCAGGACCTGGAGGGGCATAACGGTCACTGCGCTCGTTAAGATCACCTGGAGAGTCGTTACGACGGTCAGCGGGGCGATAGTACCTGTCCTCGAGAGAAGGGCTGTCTTGAGATAGATACGCTGAATCACTAGGAGGTCCGCGAGAAGATTGGACAGTAGACTGTTTGAGAAAAGAGGTATGGTTAGACCCCGCTGTGAAAATGGATATAAGGGAAGGACAAGGACAAAGGGAAGTATGAAGGGTGTCGAGACTGATACTCTGGTGGAGACACCATGATAGAGGCCGCCCTTTCAACGAGGCGGATGGGTGGGTGCGGAGGAAAGATGCTCACGGGATGGATCCAGGTCGATTCGTGAGTTCGATTGTTATAGTAATAGACCTGTTTTCCGCCACTTCGCGGGTGGCGTATTTCCCAATTCGGCGGCAAAGAGTCAATTTCGTCCTTGTAAACCGGCTTTGCAACGGTATTTTTGTTGCTGCCACCTCCGCTTTTACCTTTGGCAGTCTCTCTCGCCACCATCGCAGTCGCTTCGGTCAAAGACGACTGAGACGAGGGCAAAAATGAAACAGCAGAAGTAACGGGTTTGGGTGGCAAGCCATGTAGCATCATCTGTGCGGAAGAAAGAGGCTTTGATTTGGAACGCTGTGAGCGGTGTTGGTTTTTTGGAGAGTCTACGAGAACGGTATGCATGGGTTTCGTTGTTCTCGATGAGCTATAAGAGTCTTTGCGCTGCAAAGAAGTCAAAGAGTTGGGTGAAGCAGGTCTTGAGGCAGTGTTCGCTTCCTGTATGGGAGGGGAAGTAATACGGCTGGGAGCAGAGCCTTCCTCAACAAAAGGCGCTGCATTTTCGTTCTCATCTCCAGAATCAGACCCTAAAGAAACACCATCCGCGTCGTCGATAGGCCCTGAGGCAGCAGGAGCTTGGTCTTCTCCGTCATCCCAATCTAGTACCTCGTCGTCCATGAGTTGAATTCAGTGTGGTAAGGAAAATAACTGCAGTGAGGTATGTCGAAGGGAAGTTGTCAAGAAGAAAGATCACCGAATGAAGGCGATTACTTAATCTCATTCGAAGTCCGATAGCCGCGCGCTTACAACGTTACCGTACGCCTCAAAAAACTCTCTAAGCAGTATATAGATACGTATTGAAACGGTTTACGAGCCAAAATATACTGCTAGTACATGTTTCGCGACGTTAAATCCTAGTAAAGAGATTATGTATGACGTAAAGAGTGGTAAAAGAGGTGAAAGGAGCAATTCGGAACGTATCAGGAATGGGAGCGCTAGATGAAAGTTAAGTTGAGATTCATGGACGGGAGGAGAAGGTTTTACCGTTGAGACCGAGATATACACCGTACGTATACTGTGCGAGCCTGTGGGTCGATGAATTTAGATTCAGTCACAACGACAGGCGCGATGCGTACCCAGCAAGATACAAAGTGTTCCCCAAGAAAAGACACACCCAATTATCTTTGAGGACGACAGGAAGGACGAACAGTTGCGCAATATAGAGTGTGAGGAAAAATGGAAAAAACGCGTTGGTGTGTACGTCAAATGCGTAGGCCCATTCGACAACGGAGTCCGCAGGAGAAGAATGTGAAGGTGGCGCGATGAGGAGACGGTTTGAAACGAACCTATGAAAAAGTGTGAAAGGCAATGCACATTGGGTGAAAGATCAGAAAGTACTCACCATAACACTGTCGCGACGACCAAGCCTGTCAGAAGATAATCCCGCACTATCATGAACAAGGCAAGCTTCAAAGCCTGCCTCGCGGTGTACGAGTATGCAAATGACCAAGCAATTGCAGACACTGTAAGAGAGTGTTGAACGAGCATCCGGGTGTGACTAGAACGATACTTACCAAAGAGGCACGCTGCAATGAGCACGAGAATGGCCGGGTCATCTCGAGCCCAGGTATTTTTTGTCTCTATAAGAAGAGTCTTCAGTAGCACATTCGACAGAGAACGCAGCACTAACGCTTATGGAAGTATACATTCCGATACCTTGAAATTGTTCAGTTCAATTACAGACACGCATTGACCAGTACACTCACACTCACACTCTCCGTGGGGCCAGACACAGATAACCAAGCTGCCAGATAGCTTGTTCGAAGTCCTAGGAAGAGTAAAAGCCATTAAGCGTAGTTCTGTGGCATTTGCCAAAACGTCAAACCATTTGATTAAAACGATGCAGCCGCCGGAAAATCAAGGGAAGACGTTGCGAGATGGGCGCTGGAGAGCGAACTTGGCTGCCTGAATAGCTTGGAAGATCCATATTGGCATCGATTTGAACCTTCGGACGAGAACGACGAAATGCCAGCTTGCGATCTGAGCTTTCGGTGAGGATAGAAACGTGGAACGGAAAAGCTATGTGTGACGAATAAGAGATACCCGTCATGTGAGCTATTAAAAGTCCGACAACTCGTCACGGTCACGCGCCGTCCTTTAGTCCTTCGGTGTTATCTTTCCACCAACCTGCATGGCGTCTGCTCAAAACCCGTCGTCTATGAATACGCCCATGGCCATGGTATGCGCTGACTTTCACGAAACCACATTTAAAGTTTTAAGCCTAGCCCCGCAGGAGCCCACTGCTACAATGGACCGTTTCTCAGGTTCTGGACGTACAGATTCAACTATCGACGACTCGCCTTTTGGATCAACCCTGAACACGCCTGCGGACGAAGATGTGCGAGAACCCTTCGAAGCAATTGGGCAGAGATTAAAAGAACTTCAAGCACATCGCGCCGTTAACAACCTGGAGAAACAGTACGAACAAATGGACAACCTCGGAACGTGCGAAGTACTCGCTCCGGAGGTCAGGAACTCACTTCTACATCCACTCAGCATTAACATGATTGGGATAGGCCTCTTCGCAGCAAGACTCAGCTGACATCGACGTGGATTCAGAACGACATGACTTGGCCTCAATCTCGCCTAGTCAAGAAGAAATCATTCAATCTCGAGTACAAGACGAACATAAACCAATAACTGAATCACTCTCTGTGGTCAACATGTCTCGTGTCGCAGCGGAAGAGAACTTTGACGAATCGTTCATCAACCGATCCGATATCTCTATGATATCAGACCAGCTCCTTTCTTCATTTCCTACAGTGCCTTTCTCCTCACCCGAAATACCAAATGATGATACTATGGCTGTTTCTCCAGCTCCGTTCTCAAACGAACTTTCCCGATCTCTGTACAACATTCAAACACAATCTGTCCGATCTTCTCCTGAAATGACCGTATCAAGTCCAAGTATTCAAAACAGTAACAGCCCTGCCAATAGTTCAATGTTCTTTTCCCCGGATCTGGATCAAGGCTTCAGTGCTCACTCGCGCGCATCCGTGAGCCCTCTCGATTCTAGAATTTTATTACTCACATCTCGAACATGAGAGCCTTCGCAGAGCCTTTACAACCTTCCTAATGCACCTATAACCATATCTCCTTCATTAGCTATCGCTGAATCGGAATGTTCATACTATAGTGAGATGGAGGTCCGTGACACTCAGCCTTGGATTTTTTCTGATTAACCAAATCAAGCAGGCCGTAGCTGCAAATTCGGTAGCCCAGGATATTACAGTTCTAGACCCTGCAAAGGAGCACAAGGCGGTTAATCATCTCACTCTCAACTCAGAGCCCGAATACACCTTCTCAGTTCTACATTCGCTGGATCTCTCTCCTGCAAATCTTCCTGTCGTTTTTTTCAAATTAGCTTGCTTCGTGCCTTGGTGTGCTCTTGTCGGTGGTACCATTCTTCTCTCCCCGGTCAACATCGAAAAAGTCACGTTTAGCCCTGGGATCGGTGTGGGGAAATTTCGCTTGGACTACGTATCCCCTCCGCCCAGGAACATTCATCGATTTGCCCATTGGACAGAGTGTGCAATTCCACAGCTCATGACCTTCCTGGCTGCGTTCGGTATTGGATTGTGGTGTCTCGCTGGAACCGGGACAGGTTTGATTTTGGCGCTGACTGTGGTGGCCGTTGTTCTCGGACAGATGGTCATTGCTTGGCAGGACTTTGACTTCCGTCTGGGCGGAACTGGAAGAGTTGGAGACAAATCCCTTGGAGAGGATGATAGAGAATCGATCTGGATGGTGTTTAGGTTGTATGTGATGGCGGAAGAGAGTACGACATGGTTTACCGGGAGGCTGGAGGCAGGAATCTTTGTGGAACGAGGGTCTCAGATGCATCGACATTCGAGTTGAGTTATGAACCTTTTGTTATTGTGTAAGCAATCTTCGTTTTGTACAAGTTTCTGTAAACGCCTTTGCCCTTTTAATTCAAAGCTGCCTTCCTAAACTCGAGTTGGCATTCATGTTTACCTGTAGTTTACCAACTTCCTTCAAATGTACATCATCAACATCCTAGAATTCCCTCTATGCAGGCTTACCTATCCTCGACGTTTCGAAATAATAGTCTGGTCTATCCTATTGCAGTAAGTGTCCTTTCCAGCGCTGAGACTCTGGCCCTGGACATCCCGGTCCGATTCCAGCTGCAGTAGGTTAGAATCCAGCATCACACGATGGTCCGAAATTTCCGAAGAATGATCGCTTTCGGAATTCATGTTCTGGGGTTATGTAGTACGTCCTCAGAGTAGCTGAGCGAAACTCTCATGTATGTATACAATCTTCGACCACTGAATGAGACAAATAAAAATTGTTTAGTGCTCATTGTGGTCTCATGTGCAACTACACACAATATGAAGGATAGTGCACGCACGCACTCATGAATAAATCTTACAGACCCCTTCTTTTCACCGGGATCGTTTTCTGTCCGAAATAAACCCGAACGCATAGATGCCCACAGCACGGAGATAGAAATGTTCGAGTTCGTCATCCACTATATAAGTATGCAGAGCCAGACTGGGATACTGAGTGCATAGGTCCATCTGGATGGACTGAATTCTTCCTTTCTCCTTCCTTCCTTCCTTCCTTCCTTCCGAACTTACAAAGGACTAGGCTGTATGATATAAGCCGTAACAGCCCGCATCATTTGAAAGCATGTCAAAGACGGCCCCTGCGAGATTCCTATCATAAGAATCACTAGGTTGGTGGACAAGTTCGACGAATCGATGGAGGTATAAAAAGGTCAGCAAATATACTTCTTGTTCCAACGGAATCCTCCTACGCTCCGCGCAAATCTTCTACTCGATGGTTCTCTATTTTTCCAAACCTCCCGTCCTTACCAGACTTCTCGCCTTCCTACTCCTCACATCTTACACATCCTGGCCCACCGGTGCACTTAACCCCTCCTGCGCTCCAGGGGGGAACTTCGACCTTTCCCCCTGGGAGCTGCAGCTTCCAATCGGTTCTACTGGTTCCCCGGAGACAATATCGAGCGCATCCCTTCAAGGGTGCTCCGGCTGGGAGAACTTCGATTATTTCTTCACCGAAAGTGGAGATGGTGCGCTTGTCATGAAGGTTCCTGGCTCTCCCGCCTCCGCCGGCTGTGTGACTACTCCCAATTCACTTCACTGTCGCACCGAGTTGCGCGAGGTTGATCCATCGACCGGCGCTGCAGCGAGTTGGAGTCCTAACGCTGCTACGAATCGGTTGATCGTCGAGCTTGTTGTTACCGTAGCCGACAATAGTGCGCGCGGGACAGTCATTGGACAAATACACATCGATGACTCGATTTCGTCCAAGCCCGTATGTGAGTTGTACTACAACTCCAATGGCGATATCTCGATCGGGGTGGAACAAACACGGAGTGGAGGAGATGAAGTTTTCACATCCCTTGGAAATATTCCAATTGGGACTGTGTTTACCTATGAATTGGAGTACTACACAGGACTGTTGAAGGTTGCCATAAATGGGAACTTCCAAACTCTGGATACTTACGAATTGGATGCGCCGAACAGCTATTTCAAGGTTGGGAATTATAATCAGGGTTCCAGTGCGTCAGATGTTCATGTCTTCTCCATTTATCTCGAGCATTAGGTCTTTTATTATTGCTTGATTTGTGATACGCGTCGAATTGTTTGTATAAGCCAGTGTAAACCTCTACTTTGTCCAGGCTGTTATCAATTTATCTGTCACGTTCATCAGCGACAATAATGATAGGCAGTCATGATCATCGATGTCCTTTCGCCACTTGAGCGCTTAATTTGTGATGCTCTTCCAGTCTTAGACTCTCTCTCCAGACGATCACTCCCGATTTATCAATCTCAACCTTCACAGTCACCACTCATCGCAACTGCCTGAAACTCCAGTATTCCTCACGCTCAGCATTCAGTTCACGGAACAACTGTTATCTAGCCGTTCACAACTCAAGTCGTGAAGAGTACAAGAATCATGAGAAGACGGGATATTATGCTTCGTCAGTCTCGAATATATACATTTCACGCTTGGTAAAACCTTATTACATATTCCCTTGGCCTTGATATATAAATCGGCCTTCTTTTCTGGATGTCTCTCTGTCTATCTTCGCCTGATACCGAGGATTCTTCATTAATTCTGGCTCGAACCATGTAGACGAAAACTACAGTAGTCCTGACGTCCCTTCCGCGTTTGACTCTGAGCCTGGTACATTACAGCAGCGGCCGCATTCTACTCCCTCTGTTCCACAGAACTCAAAAATCTCCCACCTTACTTTCCCCCTCGTCCGCATAACATTTGCCTTTCTCGCTTTCACCGAAATGTCTTTCGGCGTGCTCTTTACTCTACCTCTAACCCAGCCGGTAGTCTCGGGATCTCTTCGTATCAACTGGCTTTTATCATGGAAGTGGATAGTTTTGGCGGTGGATTCTTCGACATTCTGGTGCTGAGTCATATCTTGAAAAGATTAGGACCGAGGAAGATGTACAATTCAATGGCGTCAGGTGGGCGTTGATCGCCGCACAGTTGGTTTTTTCAAAATTTGTCAATTCGATGCGGAAGGCGATACTTAGGTTCACATGTCCTTCCTCTTATTGTCGCGCTTTGTAGACTCGATGGCCCTCATCATCATCATGCATACCCAGTGTACCGCCAGGCACCCAAGGCGCCACCAACGGTTTAGCACAAATGGTTTCCTCAGGAATGCGTTGTCTAGCACCTTCTCATTCTCTCTAGGGACTAGATTACTTCGGGGTTATTTGGTGGAAGTTGTCATGTTGGGAATCACGTTAGTCGGAGTAGTTTCGTCGTTGAGGTTACCGAAGACGTCGAAATAACTCTCATGACTATAGGAGCTGCAGAATTCCGACTAGCGACTAGGAATTCGTGTGTACTCTTTTAATATATGAATGACGCTTTTTGTTAAACGTCATCAAGATACAAAACGTCTCGGGGCCGTGAACTAATTCATGGACGGCGAATTCGTTGCTCGCGAGACCATTCTGCTTGGGACTGGATAGGACGTAGACAACTGCGGCGTGTAACTCAAACTTTATGAAGATCACAAACTCAAATGTCAAAGCTTTGCGTGCTTGAGTACTCATTGCCAGTGAAAAATGATGTGAAGGTATGGGTTGGTGGCAGTAGTCATGGATGTGGTGAGTCCCTTCGAGCTCAGAACGAATGTTTTCCTACTAATAGTTCCTATTGGTCTCTCTCTCTCGCACAATCTTTGATATACAGTGCAACCGCATTCCGCTATATGCACACGACCATGCTAGGCGCCCTCGGATCGAGCAGGATCACCGAAGTCAAACTTGCAAAGCGTGGATTTCATATCTGAATAACTCCCTGCAAATGCAGCGCGTAGACCACAAAGTGGGCTTAGGGTCCAAGGCCGAATATTATACCTTTCAGACCCAAATTTGTGTCCATAAATCTTCATATGCTACTCGCTTGACTGTCTCGACCCCGCTGTTGCCTCGAGTTCGGACGCTTTCTGCGGCATGCCAAAGGTTGATCCCCGTATCGTTCAACGACCTTCACCATTTTGGATTGGCATTGGAGCTCGAACGTGCTACAAGTATTTAACAAACAACGAGAAGAACAATGCTACCCAACGAACGTTCTACTACATATACCTCGAAGCACTCCAACGCTCTTGCTTCTTTTTCACCGACAAGATGCCGAACAAACTTCGGCAAATGAAAGGCCAAATCTAAATGTGCGTCAGCCGAGTTAAACACCATGCCGCACGGCATTCGCATTATTGGTCGTACGACCATTATAGTCAAGCTACAGTGGCGCTTTAGAGTAATGTAGCTCTGAAGGTAACATCATATGGTATCAGTCCTAACAATAATACACCTTGTACAGGTTGGGAACAAGCATATCGGAGTCGCTAACCAAATCAGCGTTCTCTCCTTCATCCTCTTATCTAGTCAGAACCCTTGGTTAAACTCTACTCCTGAATCAAGGATCAAGGGAGCATGGATTTCTGTTCTCATCGATCCTTGAACAGTGATGAACAACCTGGCACATTACTCCCGTCCGCTCAAACATGCTGTTGGACTTAAACTCGACCCCGACATGCCTCGATCGAATAACAACACACCCTCTCGCTTGCATGTTCGCATATCGAGCGTCATTGCAATAAGCCTGCCGAATCTTTCCGAAGTCGATTCAATCCCTCGATAACTCAAGAAATAGGTATAAATTGTGCCAGTTCTCACAATGAGATGGCTGCAGGAAACTCTGCGCTCCCGGTGGCTTGTCTGCTAATTAACTGTTAGGTTACTAATCTATCTTCTTCTCCTATGGCCTCCCGAGATTATTCTGAACGTCAGGAGCGTCCCCCCTACGTTCCTACGCCTGACTCGCTGTCATACGATGAAGGGGCTTTCAAAGATATCGAAAAGTCGTTGCCCATCGAAAAATGCACTGCCATCCCGACTTTACAAGAATCCACACCAATTGACGATACTCCCGATGGAGGACTTCATGCGTGGCTGGTTTTATTCGGTGTAAGCTTTTTCCGCGTTGTCCAACTTGTCATATTCTTACCGTATTCCATAGGCCATGTGCATTGCCTTCACGACGTGCGAACAGCGCTTTCCCCTCTTTCCATTCTTCGCTTCGTTACTAACTAGCCTTTCTAGTTCAGGATATATGAGTGCATGGGGGGTCAGTTATATTCTCCGCGATTGAGCTTGGAAACTTACTGAGGACGCATCATCTAGGTCTTCCAGGCATATTATGAACACAGTATCTTGCAGGACTCTTCACCATCCACTATGTACGTCCTTTTATTCTCCGTCTCAACCACATCGTCTCATGTCTCGAGTTAGTGCATGGATCGGATCAATTCAGGTTCCTGGTTTCATTAGCATTTCTGCGCTTGATCCAAGCTTAACGAGCTTGTTTATGTTTAATAGCAATCCTTCCTCTACATTCCGACCTTAATATTCAGCCGACTTCTAGATATGGGATACTTCCGTACCATGCTTACCTCTGCTAGCGTGGTTTTCATTGTTGCTACATTCCTTATTGCCCAATGTCATGTATATTGGCAATTTCTTCTCTGTCAGGGTCTCCTTACTGGGGTAGGTTTTCAATCGGGTCATCTTCAAAAATCACTGACCGCTTTGTGCAGGTCGCCGCAGGTGTATTTTCAGGACCCGTCATTGCCATCCTTTCACAATGGTTCCGGAAGCGGAGAGGTCTTGCTCTCGGCCTATATGCTGCCGGTGCATCGCTCGGCGGTACCGTCCTTCCTATCACTGCCAAAGCTCTTATCCCGACCATTGGGTACGTTCCAGTACTCTCCTTCAGCCTCACAGGAAAATTCTCATGGCCTTCTAGATTTCCGTGGACAATACGCGTGATCGCCTTGATCATAATGTTCGGCCTTGCCCTGGGTAATCTGGTTAGTTCTTGAACTTGCTGTACAGACTACGAGCTCATGGAAATAACAGACCATCAAACAAAGAAGGTCTTCCTCGCTAGTGAAGGGATCGCTATTCGATTTTTCTCCCATGCGATCGCATGCTTTCCTTGTCTATTGCTTTGCCGCATTTTTCGTCTACCTTGGCTACTATTCTTGTAAGCCAAACCTTGTTTCAAATTGGCCGCATCTAACACACGCAAAAGTCACCACATATGTTGCAGCCTTAGCAATCAACATCGGCGTTTCTACTAGCTTCTCCTTCTATCTAGTGTCCATCTGCAATGCTTGCAGCGGTGTGAGCAGAATAACGTCAGGACTCACTGCGGATAGAACAGGTCAGGATTTTCCTTTTGTGCATATGCTGTATTCTTGTTTACCATGCTGTAGGGGCAATGAACCTAATGATACCTTTCATCACGCTATCTGTGGTGGTGTATTGCGTCTGGCCTTTTGCTCGCGCTGAAGTATCACTTGTCATCATCTCAGTTTTGTATGGGTGCGTGTTATATTCCCTAATCATTTTCAAATCACTAAGGACTCCACGTACAGTGTTTCCATTGGACCATTTGCTTCTTTGTTCTCGAGTCCTGTTTTGGACCTTGGGGAAAAAGATCAATTAGGACGTAGAATTGGTATCCTCATGTCCATGGTCGGTATCGCAATGCTCGTTGGAGCACCGATAACTGGCGCAGTTGACAAAAGTCGTGGACCAATTGCAATGGGGCTGTACGCAGGTTCGTAAATTAACTGTTGTTACTTACCACCGAGAGGGATTTGAAACTTTCACTGCAGGAAGCATGATGCTCTTTGGAGCGATACTGATGATGATTGTTCGACACATGAAAGTTAAGAGCAAGCCGAGCTACTGGAGCAAGATATAATATCAAGGTGTTGATTGTTTAAGGATATCCTAAATATTTATGTAAATATAGTCTATCACAGTACACCTGAATGTCCCTCTGGTAGGCATATATGGTAATGTGATTCTTACGCGATTCATGCTTGTGGATCTGATGGTGTTCGAGGATCCAATCGTCAACATATTCATCTGCAAGTTCCTGTATCAATTTTAGCAGGTATCTGATAGTATAGAGGTCCGGGGTCGTCAACAGATTGAATGTAAAATACAGTCCTGTCCTATCATCCGAGCCTACGACTCATCTGCACCATCAACGATGTATCCGACACTTGTCAATCTTTATCCAAGTAAACTTGGTTTCGATGGGCATGACAACTTGAAGAGGAAATAAGAGATATTGATGTGTCATTTTACCCTGCAGTTTCGGCTGTGATCCTTCACAAAATTTGAGTAAAATTATCAGTTAGCTTCAAGTGCAAGAGCAGACGGATCAACCACACAAGATGTGATCTTATCCAATGAAGACCCGCGAGTCGTGCTGTCGAATGAAGACTGTGAAAGGAACATCATTTCTACTCGTCCATCTAGGTTTTGCCGGTTGCGTTTTTTGTTTTACCTTTTTTTAGACAGACGAGTCTATCTCTTGTTATGCGTCGTGCGAACCAGGTGTGTGAACTCGGCATCAAGTCCGAAGTTGAACCTTCTTTTGCTTCGCTCCCGCACTCATCTCGCCGTCATTTGCCGTCGTTGCGTGGTCGTTGCAGTCTCGCAGTTCCGCCTTGTCATCGAGGTACTCGCTAGTTCCTTTCCTTTCCTTGAAGCTGTGTCGAATTTCAAGAACGTATGGGACCTGGATCAACACAAGTCTAATTGTAGTTCACAGTCACGGTATGCTCGGAGCATCAAGGGGACACTGCCGGTCAGCGTAGGGTAGCGTAGGGTGAATCCTGGAAAATGATAAATTAGTGACTGATGGTAAGCTAACTCTAAACTCTTGATAGATGCGCAGGCTGATCGCAACTTTCGTACTCTTGTATCACAATGGTCGACACCCTACACCAAAGGCCTTTGAATGGTGCAATCTTAATGTACTTTCTCCATCTGGCGCCCTCTGTTTCTCCATCCTTTTCCCTGACGGGCTTTAATAATAAAGAGTTAGGCTTGAAGACTTCAACAGTTGATCGTGATCAACAAAGTCAGAGGCGGCAGATATCAGAGATTTTTGGGCCCTCCGTCATCTCTCCATCATGTGCGGGACACTGATTGGCCACAGTCATCCTCTGAGTAGGATGATGCTATTTCACCAAGATGACCTAAGATCCAGCCCCTCAACAAAACCATACTATGCTTAGAACGTAGAGAAGTGAATAAAAGATAGAAAGTCTAGAGGAATTGTCCATTGACTGAGTGTTTAAGCGGCGTTCTTCGAAAGCTTCAAGACTGCCTAATGGAATTACAACATCACTCGAGGCCTATGGTTCTGACTATTCCTTCTTCTACATCTACGCTCTCTATTGCTGAGAAATCAATTGTTACCGGGAAGCATCCATCGTCCATTCTTCCTACTGATAATGACTCCCCGGATGAAGCCCCTCGCGCTTGGATAGTTTTATTTGGTGTATGTCTTTCATGTCCGATTCTTGCTTTATATCTGCCAAAATGTTAGTCCTTTAGGCAATGTGCATTGCGTTCACAACGTAAACTTTCCAGAGGGATTTGCATGATTCAATGGTAAACAGGTTATCAAATTCTAGGTCAGGATACATGAGTACATGGGGGGTATGTTACCCTTCCATACTTTCAGGGATCTAGTACGCTATCAAAAGTGTTTTCTTTATTCAGGTATTCCAGGCGCACTATGAACAAAGTCTCTTGAAAGACATATTGCCATCTAGCATGTAAGTTAATCTTTCTTTGATTGATGAGTTCGAGTGTTCATTTGATGATAGTGCATGGATCGGATCCATTCAGGTTGCCGAATCTTCCTTTTGCTTTCACGATGCCTGATAAGGCAAGTTCCATATTGAGGTGTAGAGGGAGGAACAGGAAGTGGAGAGTAGTATGACTTTGTATATGTATTCTTGAATATAAGCATGACGATTTGAAGCTATGAACATTTTCTCATTCATTGAATGAGGTCTTTGCGGATGGAATTGACGCCGCTTGCGGCCGGTGTCAGCATCATCTCCGAGGATGGAGGAGTGCTGGAGACCCTGGAAGCAATTCCAGTACACAAGGTAAATCGGGTCTAGTAAGGAAACGATTCGGAGGAGACCCAAACATACCAAGCGTTAGCAGTGAATAGGGAAGAGGAGGGTGGGCCTAAATTTCCACGAAGCGAGGGATGGAGGAGAGGAGAAATGCGAGTAGCGGCTCAGTGAGCGCGACAAGCAGAAAAGAATACAGGCACGTGTTTACTACGCGACTCGTAGACTGATTGAAGATGACACCTTTCATTCGCATTCCTCTTTCCTTATCTTACACTTAGGCTAGCCGTTCGTAAACTCACGTAGCTTCAGCTGGCACTTATTACCAAATTTTGCTAGCAATCCTGCTTGTATATTCCGACGTTGATATTCACACGGCTTCTGGACATGGGTTATTTTCGTAGCATGCTCACATCTGCTAGCTTGATCTTTGTCTCCGCCACTTTCTTGGTTGCGCAATGTCGTACCTATTGGCAGTTTCTCCTGTGCCAAGGAATTCTGACTGGGGTATGTATTGTTGTAGTTCTTCACCACAAGAGACGAAAGTAGTTCGCAGATTACTGCTGGGATATTCACAGGACCCGTTACTGCAATACTATCGCAATGGTTTATTCGACGCCGAGGGCTGGCTCTGGGCCTGTACGCTGCAGGATCATCTATGGGCGGTACCGTTCTACCCATTACTGCTAGGGCGTTAATTCCACTGATTGGGTGGGTGGATTGATGACACAATATCATGACAATTTTTTCACTGTTCTAGATTAGCTTTCCATGGACAATACGGGTGTTCGCTTCAATCATCTTGTTCGGACTGGCAATGGGAAATCTAGTAAATCTCCATCCTCTATTGCGCTTGTATGCAGATTAATTACAAAAATAGACAATCAAACAACGAAAATCTTTGATTGTAAAAGGACATCTGCTCGACTTTTCTCCTATGCAATCTAGTGTTTTCCTTCTGTATTGTTCCGCATCGTTTTCCATATATCTAGGATATTACACATGTAAGTGTCTGCACAATCTGCTGCTCATGCTGAGGCCGCTGAACGATATACAAAGTCACGACATACATAGCAACCTCCGCAATTTCTAATGGTGTCCCAGTCAGTTTTTCATTCTACTTAGTCGCCATCTGTAATGCCTGCAGTGGTCTAAGTAGATTAACATCCGGTTTTATTGCGGACAGACTAGGTGACTTCTCTCTGCTCTACCCGGAACTGTCCTCACTTCCCTGCCTTCAGGTGCTCTCAATCTCATGGTCCCCGCTACTTGCCTATCTGCTGCAATATACTACATCTGGCCCTTTTCCCACTCGCAAGTAGGCCTCATCTTCCTTTCTGTCTTTTATGGGTAAGTTGCATCCTCTCCAAAGTAGGCTGCAATTTGAAAGATTCACGTGAATAAAATAGTATCTCTATAGGGCCATTTGCTTCCTTAGTCTCAGGTCCTGTGCTGGACCTTGGAGACAGAAACCAATTAGGACAGAGGATTGGTATTCTCATGTCCATGGTTGGTGTTGCAATGCTTGCTGGAGCACCTATATCCGGTGCTATAAATACAAGTCAAGGATCTGTTTCGATGGGGTTGTTTGCAGGTACAGTTGCACAAATTCTTTTCCATTTCCAGAACATATGAACAAAAAGCATGAGAACAGGAAGCATGATGCTCTTTGGTGCGATCCTCATGGCGACAGTTTGGTACTATGTTTCTACTGTAAACTTCAATCTCCACCCAAATCAATAAATTTTGAAGTAAGAGTGCATACTATTGTTGCTACTATACCCACAGACCTGCTCAGTTTCGCGCATACACAAGATACTAAGGCCAACTTCCTTTCCTTTTATTAAAATGATATGATCTGAGGTACTAAATTTGATCAGTGACAGCTGTACACATAAGGAACTATATTTGTGTGGGGGTAGTGATACTTTCCAACTTCATATACCAGAAACATAAATATGAGTAGTTCACTAAATCCTGAAACATGGCCTTATTAATTACTTAAACCTGATCCCCTACTACTAGGCTAACATCACTGGCCTCAACCGCTGTTATGTCTAGCATGTCCTTTGTTCGTGCCACAGGGTCATCTCCAAATTCATTCATGACAGAATCAATGACCCGACGAAAGGTAGACTCAGTTGGCATTCCCTCCCCATTCTCACCAGCAACTGCTCTGAACGTGGATGTCCCAGTGGTTGATGAAGAAAGAGCATCACGATCTGCAAATTGGACTGTGCTGCAGATGCCCGCAGTACGAAGTGTACCACTACTTGGATTGAGATTTTCCTGAGCGGCACGGAGACGTAGAAGGAAGCGAGCAATCAAGAGTCCAGAAACCCTGATGTAGGATTTAAATTATGGCAGCAGGTATATCTTAGCAGTAAGGAACTCACGGCACAGAAAATGCATTAATTTGGCCAATGAATGCCTGCACCATACTTCAGGGGATTTTGTTTAAGGACCAGAACAGATTGACATACCACTCCTCCTGCAGGATTGACGGGATGCTAGTTTTGATTTTTATTAGGAGAAGCATACTTGCTCAGGCATGAGAAGTGACTCACGAAGCTACTAATGGATTGCGTGATTGTGATTGCAGAGATAGCTCTGAAATAGGAATTCAGATTTTAGAGCAGAACAGTTAACGAAGCTATCACTTACAGGAAATATATGATACCTATGGAACTTCGGATGAGCAAAGCTATAAAGGGGAATGGGAAGTATAGATCATACCCTGTTCAACCAACAAGTAATAAACCGAGTCCTGCAATGTGGCGGTTCGAGGCATTTTCTTCAGAGCCTGTATGCCACGAGTGATAGTGAATGTAGCAGCAATAAAATCATAGATGGGAATCATGATGGACAACAAATTGCCCTCTATGTGCATGTTATAGCTACAAGGCACATTCTGAGGAAATTGAAAGGCCTACCACTAACAAAGGATACATCATCAGTTAGTAGGGTTTGCAGGAAAGTACACAAATGTCTTACAGTTGATATTTTTGAGAATCCAGATCATGGGCTTGACCATCACTACACGATAGGTTCAAGTTTTGAATCTAGTGATTCATCAGCTCTAGCAGTCGTTCTTGAAAGTACCAAGTACTCACTATATCAAGGATAGGAATCAAAAGACCAAGAGGCAACAACACCAGAAGAACGAATTTGTTTTGTGCGCACATGGCATATGCTCGCATACCTAAGACAGCTTAGGAAGGGCAGTATAAAGCTATAAGTAAAAAAGCCTCCAAATCCGAGTAGGAGTAGAATGCTTACTGATGACTGAAGCCCTTCCCATGACACTCAAAGCAGCAATGATTCTATACCAGGTATTACAGCGGTCAATACCACCGAGTACGCCAGCATTTGCCAGAAGATACATCAAGTTTCCTGGAATAGCATAACGACAGCAGATATAGAGCAGCGTCGATATTTGGGTCAAGGAACGAAGGCGCCACATATAGTGGATCTGTACCCGACTATAGTAGAAGCATAACACCATATTACAGTGGTCCACTCACTTCGTCTGCGAAGGTGAGGACGTAGTCATAATAAAGTATAGCTGTGTTTTTTTGATTAGTCAGGAGAATATGAGGTGCAGAATGGGAAGGACTTCACCAAGACTCGAATACTGCATTCTGAATTTGATGAAGCTGTGGATGATAGAATTCATCAGCAGTGCCTAGCAAAAGAACAAACCAGACTGACTGTTCATAAGCAGCCGTGGCTGCTGCGGCATTGGATGTAATAGGCATGAAGATACAGCTCGGACAATGGGGGTCACAGGAGCGGATATGAAGCTTTTATAGCATACCATCACAGCGGAGAAACGGCGATGGGGAAATCTAGGGCATCTGCGGTACCGCAGGCATTACACAACGAAGATGGTACAAAGTGACGGAAGAAGTAGATCAAACTTTGTCTGGTCTGTAATTAGGTGTCTGCAATGTTTCCATCGTCAGAGCTCCACATATGCTGACAGTGGTGGAGAAAAAGAATTCGTGCATAGTATGTATCAATGGGTGCCTTCTGTTGTGTCAACTTTACTCACTTGATCTATGCTCAGCGCCCAGAGACACTGTTTACATCTATCCATATATTGCCTTCTTGGAACGTGCGTCAACTGGGGTTTGAAATCATTGTTGATTCTGAATAAGGTAGAAAGCTAGATAGATAGATATTGTTACATACGTACGGCTTCACCCAACGGCATTGCTTCGGCCTTAATTAAACTTGTCAATGAACCTGAGGGGGGGGGGGGGGGGGGGGGAAGATATCAGGAAGTTATGACAAGACTCGCATACACTGCCTAGCACAGCGAGAAATTCTTTTGGGTGCCTTCATACGCTTGAACCTGGGTAAAGGGTCAACAGAGGGATACTATTCGGTCTAAGTCCGTAAGCTATCCCAACGTATCAAATACTGTCAGATGGGAGCGTGAGGGGGAGTTGTCACAGACTTCTTGAAAGTATCGCACTGATTGCGTGAATTGTGATTTTGTTATGGTGAATTTCTTGTAGATAACGTAAGGATATTACGGTCAAGTATCGAACTGCCTATCGTGATCACAGGCATTTTCTTGTCCATATCAAAGGAGTAGCCTACTCTTGGGAGCTGAACGATGGGATCGAGTCCCCTAATCAAGGCCTACATCGGCCTTCTTGGGCAAGTCCCTCACGCTGCTTGAAGTGATCATCTATCATAACGTTAGCTTGCACCGTTCAGTGCCTCTTTTATTTTTGTACGTCTTCTAAGGCAGTCACGCATGATGCAGTGGGAGGTCTTTTTCGACCTGTAATCTTTGATAGAATCTTTGTGATATAGATTGGCTAGAGAACTGACCGGTCCAGATTAACATTGACGTCGAGCAGAGGTTCTGTTCGGCGACTCTTGAAAATGGAGTTTATAAACGGTCTTGAAAGTTGAGCGCAGCATCTGGGTATCGCTACAGTGCTCGCTGGAGCCTGTTACGAAGTAAAGTCGGTAATTACTTGGCCATATCTGTATGTTTTTCGATAGATTTCGGTCTACTGGCTGAGAGAGATGTTTTTTTGAGGGCTTCGTAGGGCATCCAGGTCAATTCAGCTCAAAGGCCCCTCGTTCTGATCATTAGCCAACTACTTTGAAGAGCACTGCGTGATCCGTCCAAGAAACCATCAGCTCGTAGGTAGGAAAGATATATCATCTCTTTCACTCACCAATAAAATTTCAACAATGAGGGATAATAAGGAATAAGAAAACGAAGAAGGGTTTCCGGCGCCGCTCCTGAGAGCCACCGGCAAGACACAGCCTGGGATTATTGATCAACATTGTACAGCGCGATCGCGATTCATCCTTTCTTCTCTTCCACAATCACGACCACCACGGCGGCACACGACTGTATACGATGAGCACACATCTTGCACGGGCCATAGAACAAATCTCTGTAAAGCCACCGCTTCCCGATATCGACTTCACCCAGCATACTCTTGACGATGGCACTACCGTCAGCACCCAGGAGCGGGTCATTAAAGACGTTCGTATAACCATAGACTTTATCAATATATTTTTTAACTTCTCTCTACACTTTCTCTTCTTTTTCTTATCGAACACCTACAAAGGTTCAAGCACCGGCAATGCAAATACCAACTCCCGAACAGTTTTTTGCTAATCACGGTCAGGACCGGTCAAAACCTGACGTTGGTTTCCTCAAGAATCACTTCTATCGAGAGGGAAGGTTAAGCGAGGAGCAAGCTTTGTGGATATTGGAAAAAGGCACAGAAATATTGAGCAAAGAGCCAAACGTGCTTAACGTGGATGCGCCTATCACTGGTACGTTTCTGCGGAATCTTTCTTTCTAAATGGTAGTTATTGATATCTCATTTGGTTTAGTCTGTGGTGATATCCATGGCCAATATGTGCGTAACGATCTCTGAACACCGTCGCGTGAGGCTGACTGGATAGTTCCAGTATGATCTGATGAAATTGTTCGAGGTGGGAGGAAGTCCTGCCGACACGCGTTATCTTTTCCTTGGAGATTATGTGGATCGGGGTTATTTCAGTATTGAGGTGTGCTCTCCGTCAATCGTCGCTCATCTTGACCCTGAATGTGGCATTTTAGTGTGTACTCTATCTGTGGTCTCTCAAAATATGGTATCCCGAAACCCTCTTCCTGCTGCGAGGAAACCACGAATGCCGGCACTTGACAGATTATTTTACCTTTAAACTAGAATGCAAGTTGTTCGTTGATCGTTCAAAGCTTGCCACATCGTGCTGAATGTTCGCTCGTAGGCAAACACAAGTATTCCGAGCGCATCTATGACGCTTGCATGGAGTCATTCTGTGCCCTTCCACTTGCTGCAGTCATGAACAAACAATTCCTCTGTATTCACGGTGGTCTCTCCCCTGAGCTTAACACCCTCGATGACATACGTGTTCTGGATCGCTTCCGTGAACCACCAACGCATGGTTTGATGTGTGATATTCTTTGGGCCGATCCGGTGGAGGACTTTGGTACCGAAAAAATTACTGACAGTTTTGTTCACAACCACGTCCGTGGTTGCTCCTACTTTTTCACGTAATCTTACTCTTATCATCTTTTGCGACGTATATTGACGCATTCTTCAGGTATCAGGCTGCTTGTCAGTTCCTGGAAAGAAATAATTTACTCTCCATCATTCGGGCACATGAAGCACAAGACGCGGGATACCGGATGTATCGCAAGACCAAGTCCACTGGATTCCCTTCCGTCATGACGATATTTTCAGCACCCAATTATCTCGATGTTTATAATAACAAGGCTGCCGTCCTCAAATATGAGAGCAACGTCATGAACATCCGGCAATTCAATTGCACTCCCCACCCGTACTGGCTTCCTAACTTTATGGACGTATTCACGTGGAGTTTACCATTCGTTGGCGAAAAGAGTTTGTGTTGTCCTCCTTTCTTTAATCCTATGACTCATGGCTCCCAGTTACGGATATGCTGGTTGCTGTTCTAAATACCTGCACAAAAGAAGAACTCGAGGAAAGCGATGAAGAAGAGGAAGTTGTTTCGCCGATGACATCCGCTGTACCAGCACCAGAAGAATCTGACCAACGCAGGAAGGTGATTAAGAACAAGATCATGGCAGTTGGCCGGGTGGCGAGGGTGTTTGCATTGCTTCGGTACGTGATGCCTGTCGATGTCCTTCAAACAATTAATCGATCATCATCACAGAGAGGACGCCGAAAAGGTCTCCGAACTCAAAAGCATATCCGGCTCGAGCAAGCTGCCATATGGTACTCTGGCTTCAGGATCCGAAGGTATCAAGAATGCCATCAAAGGCTTCGAGGACGCGTACGTGCTCCTTCCTCCGTACCGCGTAGCACCAATCATCTTACCCGTTTTACAGCCGGAAATCCGATATCGAGAATGAGAGACTTCCACCAGACCTCTATGATGCCGAATCCGAAGAAGGCAAAGCCATCATCGCCTCAGGTTCCCTACCTTCCACTCCTGCAGAAGGGCAAGAAGCTCCTACCCCTATTACCGCTAACGGCGTAGCCGCCAGCCTCGCAGCCGCCATATCAAGCGGTGCAATACCCTCTTCCCCATCACCCGCAAGCCCGTCATCCGCCTCGCCGGTCAGCCCAACGTCGCCTGTCTCTGGCGGAGGTGCATTCAGGAGAGGCCACGGCCGCCAAGCTAGCCTCGGTACCACGATGACAAGTCCTAGTACGAGGAGGAGAAGCTTGGAAAGCACGATGAGTTTAATTCAGGGTGTATTGGACGGGAAGGACGGGACGATTCCTGAAAACGATGAGACGGTAGAAGGATTAGCGGCTCAGCTGGCTGGGTCGTCTGTTAATAATGGTGCGACGGCGGCGGGGTTTAAGTCAAACACATAGGTCGTTGTTCAAAGATATGGATAGTCTAACCATTAATTCGTAGTTGTTTACATATGGCTTCTATTCATGGTATTCAGGTTGTAGTGTATCTTTCTTATCTGCTTGTCTCTTCCTTCTCATCACTCAATTGACGGTATGAGACATATGCTATTAGTAGGGTAACTGCATGGTCGTTCAAATCGAAACCTCAATTTCCATTAGAATCACTTCAAATTTATACATGTTAAGTACATATAGGGAGGCTTACTGGCATAGTCCCATCAGGTCCGCGTTGCACACAAAGCACCCGAGCAAGGAGTGATATGCCACTAAACACGCTAGAGGATGTTAAAACAGTAGGACGGTACGCCGATTTTCTGTCGACTACAAGTAAGCATGTAGAACGCGTGGACAGTATAGTATGAAAGAATCAGACAGAACAATTTCCTCCGTCATAAATAGTTCGGACATATGCTTGTATTTTTGGATATAGCATCATGAATAGGAAATGAAAAAAGAGACTCACTATCACGCCAGGAATACATCTCGACAAGGCCTCTCTCGTCTCCCTATTCTAGTCCCAGACAACACATTACCACATCGCGTGAAGGTAATTAAAGTTTCAGTGAGTAGTGCGTGTCAGCAGAAGACCTATTCTGTACTACATTGTCGCCCGCCAGCGAGTCTCGTTACATGCCTGCATGGAGAAGAGACATTGACCTAGGTGAATAAAAGTCAGAACGGCAAACTAATCACAAGTTGAAAGTAAGTCAGTTGGTGATGCATGTTGCGAGTGTGGATCATCGATGAACGTCACCAACTCGAAATGGAGAAATATCATCAGTAAAGAAATTCATAGCCAAGGCTTACCTTCGACGTTCAAAACAATCCGCAATGGAGGTAGGTGCAGGTTGAAAGAAAACAACTACACCAAATTGGGAATTTAAAGCCACGAGACCTGTACAGTCAGCTTCCCACGCTATGATTGCGTATAAAAAGTTGGATTGAGCGCTGCTGTGTCGTGACGGTGTTGTTGCTGCTACGTCGTCCTCTTATTTTTCGGCATTTTGGTGAGTTCTTTTCTGGTTCTTCCAATGATGAATTTTCAGTTCTGCTTCCGAAAGAGACAACTCTTGTGGACAACACTGTATACCAAAAACTCTTCCTGACTCTAATTTCGTTTTGTTGTCTGTTCTTCACTGACTTCGTTCTTCTTTATTCCGTCAGGGTCTTTCGTGGATGATTGCTCAGGTGGTTTGGGATGGGATCTGTGGTATGGGTGAGTAACCGTTCACACTTGGTCGTTGATGGGATGAAAACCAAGTTCATCCATTCTTTGAGTCCTTGCGCGCGACCTGACCTCTGGGGTCACTCTTTATTCAAGAGGTGTTCACTCTACATCGTTCTGCTGTAGTTGTGACGATTCCGGGGTCTGTGTTTCGTCAAGGGGCAAGAAAACCACGGCTTCTCTGACTCTTTCATTCGGTTCTTACTTCCTACACTGTGCTTACTTTTCCCTCCCAGTCTTTACATTCAATGTATACAATATGTATGCCTATGGACGAATATTCCAATATCACAGTCAATAACATAAATTACAACTTTGAAACTGAAGAAACCATGGTCACTGATCTTTTCGTTATCTTTTTTTGCTCTGCTGCGACTTACCATTGTTACTCTTCGTAGTTCAATTCATTGCACATTCCATGTAACCTTCTAGATATTAGTTGTTGAGTAGGTACAGTAGCAGGAATCTCTGAAAATTGAAATTTTCATTTGTTCATCCACTCCGTGTCATTTTGATTCTTATAAAGTGTTTTTAGTATTCATCATCTGGAAGCTGGATGCCAATTCCCTGTTATGCAGCAATGTCTTGACGGTAGCAGCGATAACATCTAGGATTCCGGATTTCTGGTATGGGTACATATTTGGCATGTAATCATCCAAGCGCAAGGCTGGTCAGTGTGCTATCTCAAATTTCAGGCGGTCGACCGTTGCTTGTGAGGTAAAGGGACGGCGAATCAGCTAAGTACTGTCTTAGATTTGCTTCGATGAATTGGCCATCTGTCAAGTTATCTCTTTCCATTCCATCTCATCATTACCGCGCCTCTCCGCCTTCTCGTGCTTGTACCTGGGAAACCCATCAAGCGTTATCCGATTTGGGCTGTTTCGTCCTGTTCCCTTGCATTTGTCTCATCATTTGACTATATCATGGGTTCAATTCAAGAATCAAAATACTCCTATGGGAATGCAAGCACCACAGTCTCTATATAGACACGAACGGGACCAAGAACGAATATCGAAGGTAGCATTCAAACGCCCGCATCTATCGCGTTCACGGTGCAGCTCGAAATGGACTTCGCAAACATGGTCGAAGATGATAAAGACGACAGTCATGAATATATCGAAAACGGTGAAAACTCTGCTCGTCCTCGCAAAAACTTGACACTAACATCGGGCCGTTATAGCTGAACTCAAGGGAGCGGTGAAGCTAAAAGTGGACAAGCATGGTGTTCCACTGAGCCCTCAGCCTTCGGATAACCCAGAAGACCCCCGTACGTTTTCGTCTGACCTTCAACCGACAGTCGCTTATGTCTTAGGATCACAAAGTGAATTGGTCTGGATTATACCGTGTATGGCCTTATATCTTTTCTGTTTTAAACCTCAAGGTCTCATCGTGCACATTCCAGACTTTCATACTCCTTCAAGTCAGTATCCTATCCGCGTTAGGATCATACAATACCGCTATTATCAACCCTGCGTATAATGAACTATCTGCGGAATTCGGTGTATCAATTGTTACCGCTTCATACCAGACGTGAGTACTATTTACATTGCCAATGCAACCCTCAATTTTTGGTCATTTTCAATAGGACCGTCACTATTGCAGTCAATGGTCTTGGGCCATTCCTTTTCATACCCTTTGCGCATGTCTACGGCCGTCGACCTGTTTATCTTGTAACAACACTCATAGGAGTTCTATCTGCGCTGGGATGCGCCTATGTGCACAATTTTGGTCAACTCGTTGGGCTTAGAGTCTTGAACGGAATTTTCCCTGTCGGGTACATACAATCGTCTTAGTGAACGTCGATATCTTGTGCTGAACATGTTTTTGCTGTAGCACCGCTTTGGGAGTAGCAACGGTACGTAGACTCTTCGTTCCTGATTGACCAAGAACGTACCGACTGAACTCACGGTAATTATAGGCGAATGATTTGTTTTGTCTTCACGAACGTGGGAGGGCACTTGGGGTATACACTGTCTTATCAAGTAAAGTGCTTTTCGACTCAATACACCGTTCTCACTGACTATTTCAAACCTTTTCCAGCCACAGGAGCCCATTTTGCGCCGATCCCAGGAGGCTTAATAGGTCAATATCTGGGTTGGCAGTGGATCTTCAAATTTGCTGCCATTACGAACGGTTTCTGCCTACTGTTCACTTTTTTCTTTCTTCCTGAAACACTTTACATCCGCGAACAAACTGCTGGCGCAGTAGAAAACTTGAGGTCAAGTTCAGAGAACTTCTTCAGCAGATACTTGGCGAGAATGAACATGGGTAAACGTTTTCCTGGACGGAGACTACGCTTGTCGGATTTCTTTTGGCCGTACATCAAGATGATTCGATATGTGCGTCTTTCAATTTTTTATGGAGTCCCTCTCCTGTGAATTTTGTCTTTGAAGCCCTCAGTTGTATTTCCCGCGATCTACTATGGAACACAAGTGAGTACGCTCCGCATATCCTTTTGTGGCTGGTTGTACTAAAGGTTTTTAGTACGGTCTAGGAAGTACCTTGCCAGCGGTGACAGTGTCCCACATCTTCGCTCAAGAGTTCGGTTCGCTATGATCCCTTTGAGCATGATAGTGTATGTTGATAAGGCTCTCGTGATGACCATAGGATGGGACACTCTCCAAATTGGGTTGGCCTATGGCACTGCACTGTTGATCGGGGCATTTCTGGGAGAAACTGCTGGCGGCTGGGTTGTTGATTCTATCATGGTATGTAGAAGATTGCGGGATTGAAGCTTCTGCTTATACTACATCAACAGAATCGAGCGCGTAGGAAAGCGTTGACAGGGCCATCTGCGCCTAGTGAGATTCGGTTGAAGGCCATATGGACAGGAGAAATCATTGTACCTGTGCGCAATTCAGCTTAGGTATAATGCTTGCTCGCTGTATGTTCTGACACGAGTCTCGAATATAGATAGGACTCTTGTGGTATGGTTTTTCCATCCAATTTGGAGCACCCTGGATTGTACCGATCCTTGGAATGGGCGTGGCGTGCTTTGGTGTTCAATGTATCACCACTGTGATGTAAATGCAATCGGTTGAATGACGATGTCTGGTTCACTGACCGACGTGCGTTATAAAGGTATACATATAGTGCAGATTGTCATTTGACCAAATCAGCGGAAGTCGCCCAAGTCTTCAATTTTGTACGGTACGTTTCTAAATCCGTACTTCGTTGGCACGATCCTCAGTTACATAGACAGGAGATCGGTATGACTTTTGCATTCTACGCAATTGTTCTAGGAGAAGCTCTTGGAGGTCAGTGCTTTGCGGCTAACGATGAACGGAATTCATTTAACCATGATTAGGGTACCACTTCTTATTCATATTCTTTGCTTGTGTGGGAAGCATCCTTGCATTCATCCCAATATTGGTCCTTATGTGGAAGGGGGAAGCTATTCGAGCTGCGGAACGACGAATATTTGTTGATTGAGGTTGTTTTGAAGCAATTGAGAACCTTTGAGATCTCGTAGCACTGGTCCATATAATTAGTCTATGTAGTACTTATCCAAGTTCACAACATGATATACGTCCTAGATGGACTTCGACTATGTAAGGCCTAAGGAGTTTAGCGTTGTGCAACCGTGTGAAAATCGAACCTCGATCGTTATTATATACAGAAATAAATTTGCCACGACGCAGTTACTTACATTCTTCAACACCGGTCGTCCAATTTGGCCTCTGGCCCTTTTTCCGCTCTTTTTCGACGAACAACGACCATTACACAAAAATGACAGTCGACGACAAATGGATAGGCTTAGCGCTCGCTGTTTCTAGCTCTATGGCCATCGGGATGAGTTCAATCATCACAAAGAAGGGATTAAATGCTGCTGCTGGGGAAGGAACATACGGTGCAGCTGCCTCGGACAATCTTTCTTACCTCAAGAACGGCGTCTGGCAAGTACACTTATCCCGGTAGCCCCATGAAATGTTGAAAGTAATCCCTTCGTGCAGGTGGGCAGGAATTTCGACTTGTACGTCCGTCTGTCTCGGTGTCTGTAATTTCGTTCACTCATTCATTCCATCAATTTTAGTAATATTGGGAGAAGGTATTTATTAATTCTGTCTGGCTGGAGCTGTAGTATTACACTTCACGATCGAATTCGACCTATTCGTCCAAATACATGCCCTCCCATGAATATCCTACACAGGTCAATAACTGAATCTCTTCTCCTAGTCGCCAATTTCGCTGCCTATACCTTTGCACCTCCCATCCTCGTTACTCCCCTGGGCGCTCTCAGTGTCTTAATTGGGTATGATCATTGTGAATACAATCTACTTCACGCATTGACGTCTTTTGAAGTGCTGTTTTGGCATCTTTCTTGCTGAATGAAGAACTGGGGCATCTTGGACGGGTTGGATGTGCCCTTTCTTTGATTGGCTCTCTGATCATCGTCCTTCATGCACCTGAGGACAAGGAAGTAGAAACCGTGGATGAAATTTTAGGATACGCAGTGCAACCCGGTACGTAAAAAGAGTCATAATTTCGCTCCCAGAAACCGATTCTTGCCCGTAGGCTTCTTGCTCTATGTCTTCACTGTGCTTGTGTTTTCCATGGTAATGATATACGTGGTCGCGCCTCGTTATGGGAAATCAAATCCTCTCGTCTTCATTTCAATATGCTCCGTAGTCGGCTCAGTTTCAGTAATGTCAATCAAAGGCTTTGGAATAGCTGTCAAGTTAACTTTCGGAGGAAAAAACCAATTTACGCGTCCCAGCACCTACTTGTTCGCGATCGTCTCAACATTCTGTATCCTTGTTCAAATGAATTACTTTAACAAAGCGCTAGACGCGTTTTCTGTTAATATGTGAGTGTCTCTGTCGTCTCGCCCGAGTGCCTGCTGAGGAATACTTGTAGTGTAAATCCCATGTATTACGTCGGTTTCTCCACCGCCACAATTGTGGCTTCCCTCATCCTTTTCCAAGGATTCAACACCACGGACACTACGAATACAGTTTCTCTTCTATGTGGTTTCGTCGTCATATTTTTAGGAGTTCACATCCTCAACCTCTCTCGTCGGTCAAACGATGATGCTCTTCTCTCAACAGACGCAGGCGTCCTCGATCGACCACTTAATTTCACCGGAAGACTATCTCTAGACGGATGGCATGGTATTGTCGAAGGTGGACGGCCGGAAGGTGGTTCACATCGAATGACTCATGGTCGCCAAAGCTCTCTGTACCGTTCACAAACTTCTACGCTATTCAATGCATTTGAAGGTGAAGAAGATACGAGTAGGCACGAGCATGTTGGACTACATCAACTTCGGGAGGAAGACGAGTCTGATGACGATGACGCGAATGAGTTGACTCGTTTGCGCAGCGTACCCGAAAGGCAGGTGGATCCCAGGAGAAGTGCGTCAAGAAGTCACAGTAATTCGCCGCAACCTCCTAATCATCGGTCGCTAGCCGACGTGCGCCCATCTCCAAGGCAGGTTTAGGTCCGAGAGGGGTGCATAGACCTAAATTACTTATCGTAGATCATATCCGTATTTTGTAAAATCAGACCTTTTGGACATTGTAATTCCTTTATGTATCTTTCGGGGTTATGTATTTTCGTGTGCCCGATCCTGATTCATCTAAGGATATATACCGGAAGGACTCCTAAGGACACCATTGATGAAGCAAGGCTTCTTGGACCCCTTACCATAGCCTACTATGTAGTATGTGACTGCAATTTTGTATGTATTGTATGTAGTCTGCCGAGCTCGTAAAAAGAAAAGAAGATGAGCTACCCACCATTATATTTCTAATCACAGTAGAAAAAAAACTCATAAGAACTAGTTCAATTTTCGCGAGAGGTACTTAACAACAGGTACCAGGTCGAGCCGTGTGCAAGGGCTATCGATCTTTTTCGCGTCGGCGACTCGGATAAACAACCGTGTAGAAGCGTGTAGATTTTGGAGCGTAAGTTGAAAAGAAGACGAACAAGAGGAAGTAGCATGGGGAGGAACGCAAATCCACAGTCTATTGCTTTCGAGCCACGGAGTTGCGTCATAGTCAAAGCTAGTCAAAGGGGATTGTACGTCCCGCGAACTCGAATCTCTGTTAATTGAACGCTTTGACGTCCTGTTACCTTCGCTATTTCTTGAAGGAGTATTCCTCGCTGAACCTGCTGCTACTTCGAACCAGAGGGTATGAGATTGGTATTCATGTTGCACGGCCATGTTTTTTCATCTGAACACGGGTATATTCATACTCATACACTACATTGAATACACAGAATATTGTTTAAAGAGTTATTGCATGTAAAATAATGTAAAATGTGGCAGTATCATTACGATGTATGTAGCGAGAGATGGCGCGCGTAGTGCTGAAATTGTTATAGAAATATGTATGTATGTACATGTACGTAGCACAAAACGAAGAAAAAAGATGGAAGAGAGGCATTTGCGGGCATTGAATGGATAAAAAACGCAAAAATGAAAGAGTTCAACGGACCGACCACAACCTGATTGCAACACCCTATTCTACGACCAAATCTGGTGGTTGACAATCACCAGTAAGATTCACTTTGCCCTTTTCATTCATCTCAGCATCTTTGGTGCTAATATCAATACCCTTGTCGCGACACGCAATCTCCTCCTCTTGGGCCAAACCCAAACGATCTTTTGGAATCCACACGGTTCTCTGTGGTCGGGATGCCGCGGGATGTGAGAACCCATACGATTCCTCTGCACGAGGAGCGACTCGATCGGGCGTGGGTTTGGTAGAATCTTCACCGTTCGATTGCCGGTCGTTATCTGAAGCTTGCAACTTGAGACGGTCATCATCGACGCTAGCACCGCGTACGCCTTTACTTTCGACCCTGTCCATAGGATATCCCTGATCTTTCGCGCTCGCACTTGATTCATCTTGTACGGCGGGAGTAACATCTTCTTCGTGGTACATCTTTTCAGACATTGAGAGGGGAAGGGCATGTTTCAGCGGATTATACATGTTGTTCAAGATGATTTGGAAGAATGCCTGAAAAACATCTCGATCAAAGATAATGAGTGGAAAGGAGAATATAAACTCACGGTAAAGATGAGTAACACAATCATCAATGCTCCTTCAGGAATCGCACTGGCCGCGTTGTTTTCGTCCCGAGCCAAAAAGAATAGCGCAGCCAAGCAGACTTGTTCCACGTACAACCCCACAAACAAATGCTGTATCGCTTTAGGGAAAAACAAACCCCCAGTATCGGTGCTAAGGTCTTGTTGATAAGCCCAAAGGAACAAGTATTTGTAGAGCATGTAAAAGGCGAAGAATGTGGCGCAGACCAGACCATTGATAATCGGTGCAATGACGGAATAACCGAGTGCTGGACAAAAAAAAGCCAATCTCAATTGCTGTGAGGTGAAACCACGCGAAACTAACACACCAATAACGGTAAGAAGGGTGGTGTTCGGGAACAGGGTGCCCCAAGCTACACTTCTCTTGCCATACTTGATACCCCAGACGCTCCTGGGAGTGCTGCCGAGTAGGAAAAGCTTCACATAGTAGATAGCGAGGGGAACTATCTGCAGGAATCCACCAGCTGTGCCAGAAAGACCTTGAAGGATGATATATCTGTACCTTGATCAGCCAAATGCATATACGTAAAAGGTCCAAATCTCACGTGAGGAAAAAGATGGACGCCTGAGGAAGACTACTCGCTAATGTCGATGGAATGCTAGTGGGATTCGAAGTAAGAGTCTGGAGTGAAGCGATAATGCCTGAGGATAGGGTGACGATTAGGAACGAATGCTAATGTTAAGGTTAAAAATTATAACTATCGGCCGAAACTCAGGAAAAGTGCTTACAATAACTTGGAATATGAAATATCTGGTCATCAAACTAAGCTCAACGCCGCTGCGTTTAGGAATCCCTTCAAATTTGGCAAGCAAACGCAAGAATATCGGTAGCAGCATCATCAAAACTGCGAGTAACACTGGCGGTAAAATACCCTTGGTATGATGTTAATGCAACTCAATACGGTTGTATGATTGAATTGCTTACCTGGATGATTCCAACGACGGGGGAAGGAAGGCTACATAACCAGGCAAGCCATTTCTCTTTCTGGCAAACAGATTGAATGTTCGAGATGGTACCAATGAAGGCAACTGCATCCGAATTATTAGCTAAAAATAGACAATGGGCTAAACGAATGCAAACCTGGAAGCGCCCAAAAGACGATCAGCGCAATGGTGATAGCCCAACTAATAGCGATTCGTATTTTGATCTCGAAAGGATTCAAAGACAGATTACTCCAAATGACATCGGAAGGCGCGACTTCAATATATCTAGAGCTCATCCTGTACGGTTCGTGATGAATCAAAGATTGTCCAGCCAAATGCGCGGATATCTGTTTGCGGAATGTGATGAAGGCGCTGTTGCTGACGGGGTAAGGGTCGTCTATGGCGGCTGCTGCATCTACCGACTGCTCCTCTGCACGAGCTTCCTGGGGCTCACGCTCGGTTTTCTTGTTCTTCCGTTTGACAACGTTACCGACTTTTCCAACTGTTCCAATGATGCCTCCTTGCCCACCAAAATCATCGTCGCCATCATCGTCGAAGTCGGGGTGGAAACTGAGACGGGAGGTTTGCGCATTGTACCCAGGAATCTTAGCACGGCCGGCTTCAAGGAGCTCATTGCAAACTCGTATGTCCGAACGCGCCCATTCGATAGAGTCAACCTTTTCACCAAAGAGGCCGAGGAAACCAAGTTTATGGGTGGGTCGCTCATCTTCAGGCACAACGGCAGACGGTTGAGCTTCCGGATCTAGTCGCCAGGGCATGAGCATTCCGCATTAAATCAATTTATGATACGATATAATTACCTTTCTCTTTGCTAGATTGTTTATCCGCCTTGAGTCGTCGTTTGGCCACGATGCTTAGAAGCTTGTTCTCTGCACTTTCGAGTTTGTTGCAAGCTTTCAAACGACGATCGTATATGTCTGGCAATTCCTTAAGGTCCCTAACCGAATATGATCAACGCTGTGAACCAGAAACGGTTAATCGGTTCCATGGCAATTACCTATTGATCCAGATGTTCTTGACGCCACCAGGAAGTATGTCGAACACTTTGTGTAATGCGGCGTGGGTAAGATACTTCTGAGGAATGCCGGTGATAAGAACCGTGTTCGCCTGGACACTTTTCGAGTGCGTGGAGTCAATAAGATGATATTGACGAGTGTACAGCCAATGCCTCATTTCGCGCCAGATGATGAAAAATATCCAGCCTGAAATGGATAGATATGAATTCACTGGATCAGAAGATCAAAAAAAATCAACTTACCAGTGAAGACCCAGGCCATGATGATATGTGCAGCGTATCGCGCCGATTTATCGGGGGCGACGTTTCCAAAGATGAACCTGTTGAGTTTGGTGTTCCCACTGACCTGCGTGTTTACGCTAGTCACAGGAAGGAGGACGACCCAAGAAAGGATCCAAATGGGAAGAAAGATGACAACCATCATCCGCAGGTACCGCACGAAAAAATATGCATCAAGCCCATTAGCAAGCTTGATATCCTGATGATTTGATTGGAATACTGCGAGTGGCCACGAAAGAGCGTTTTTAAGACCAAATGCTCGCTTTCCACCTGAGGTGAGGGATTGAATTCGTCTAGCTTTTGGTGGAACATAGGTTCGTGGTTCGTAGATTGCCTTAAAATAAGGTCGTATGAGCGTGAATATTGCGATTTCGATACCGAATACAGCGCCATTGAAAACCAGCGCAGTTATGAAGGTCGCAGTGGACGCGGACGTCGCACTGGATATGCTGGACATGGCGGCAGAAGGAAAAGATTACACGCTGTCTAACAATGGATGGGTCTATAAAACGAAAAAAGTTTTAGTTCAACGTCATAAATGGAGCGTCATTAAGGGGAACGAGAAGGGGGCGGGCACGTGGGAAATAATACGTAATTTCACTGATCAACCCTTGTTCTTCCGCTGTTCATCATACGTGCTTCTACAGCCGCGGAGCTCTAGAGAGCTCTCCTGGACTAGAATCTATCGTTCACCAGCGTGTACCCCTTGTGCTTATCATCAGAGTGCTTTTTGCCCCTCTTCCAACCTTTCTGAAGTACTTTCAACTTTCATTACTTTCAACATCAATAATATGCCTTCGCTTGTATACCGGCTATCCTCAACCCGTCTTCAACCTGTCAGACTCCGAAAGTCGGGGCAAGCCTTCAAAAAGTTGTTCTAATTCTAACATTATACTTGTCACACACACATACACCCTTTTGACGGGAAACTGCCGCGGAAGCCTACAACGCCGACCGCTGCGAAGTTGAAATCCTCCTTACTCGTAGGCATAACATTCAAGGGAATGCAAACACAGCTTGCATCGAATTCGGTGCTACATTATCGCTGCTGTGTATATATGTTCATCCCCACAAAAACAAATTCCAGTTAATATTTCAACATGCTCTCTGTCACAGAGATACGACGGAGAATATTAGGAGACCGAGAGAGGTGTCATACAATGTCATACTGACACTTGCTATGTGTGAAATTCCAAGTCCGTGCGAGTTGACGTTGAATGCTATCAGTCAAAGCGTACTTTATTCACCTTCAATTCAGGCGGCATGGCTGTGCAATTCAGATACCAGAGTCACAGTGCACGGTGATTATAGAGGGATAAGTCACGCCTTCCGAAACTCCTCCCGACCGGGGGCATCCTTCTTGACCCAGACACTAACGCTCTGCGCCGAGCACATGAATTCGGCCCAGCCGTCCTCGCCGATGATCACTTCTCCCTTGTGCCATCCCAGCACATCAGTCCATTTCTCATTCGCGTGTTCCTAGTTTGTGCGTAAGTCTGCGTCGATCGAATTCGGGAAAAAACAAAAAACTGTCAACACACCTTTCCAACTTCCATTCGCTTGAATCTAGAAAATATATTTGTAGGAGCGAAGAGAGTTGATTAGACTTTGGCGAAAGCATTGCAGTTAACACATACCCTTCACCGCCATTGCAAAGGACTACAGCACATCCTGGCCGTGTCTCATCACCAGTACGGACCCAACTGTCAATGGTGGCAATCAGTATGCTGTTCGAAGAAAAATTGCTTTGTAGCTTACCCTACGCAATTCTTATGGTCCCAATAGTCTCTGATCTCGCCATACGCATAGAGCTTCCTCGCACGAATCAAATCTCCAAGCTGGGCAACTGGTTGTTGGGGATTGCCCTCTGGCCCAGCAGTACCGTAGAGATCGCCCCAGAATACGCACCTAGAGCGGCGGTTAACATTAATCGACCCGGAACATAGCAAATTATAAAGATATCAAAGTCGTACGGGTATCCAGATGGCCTGAGCAATATCAATGCATACGCGAGAGGTTTGAAGGCGGGCGAAACCCAGCTTTCCAAGGCTTGACCGACTTGCTGTTGTCAACAATGGAGATATAATTTTTATTAGTGCGATGTCAAAGTGCATGCAGTCAGCTAGAACCATGCGAACCGTGCTGGAAAAAGGGCCGTGTCAGTAATACTCTGGTAGCGTCGATAGAGAGAAAGCATACTCGTGATTATCGACCAAGGTGACAGCATCGATGGGCCTCTTCTGCACGACCGTCCCATCCCAGATCGCTCTCATATCGTATTCACCTCCGCGATCTCCCGCTTCTTTGAAGTTATAATGAAGTGGCGCATCAAAAACGCTAAACTATGAAAGTAGGCCAACGGTTCAAGCGCTCGGTGAGTATTTTGACACTAAAAAATCTCACCTGTGTCCCCAGTGCGCCTAGATACTCTTCCAAGTCCTCTATCGAATCCTTCCAGAACTCTCCAACTGCAAACATCTTGGGTCTGTTCACGTCCTCATCGGCACGGATACTCTTGACGAAATCTGCAATGAAACTTCGATCTATATGCTATCGGATGGAGCAACAGACAACTCGAGGTGAGGGTAGGAGACAAAAAAAAGATTCCTTATCAACCTTCACAGCGTCAAACCGGAAACCTGCTGCTCCAGGACCAAGCTCCTTCAAGATCCATTTTCCCCAATTAATGATATCTTCCCGTGCCTCGGGATGCTTGTGATCGATATCCGCCCCCACTGAGGATCGGGGGTAATGTCAGTATTGAGGGGACATCGTGATTTCAAGTTGCGAATGACATACTCAGATAATCATAATTTTTATTCTCCTTATCAACACCCTTGGCCCAGCTTTTTCCGTCTCCTTGAATGCGATAGATAGAAGTCTTTTTGTTTTCGTCGTTGTAGTCCACGCCGGTGAAGTGATTGAAGTTCCATTTGAGAGAGCTGTACTAGATGAAAATGAGCAACTTGCTGACAGGATCCACGATGAATGTTTACCTTCTTGTCACGACCAGGGAAGTCAAAGCCAGTCCATCCCTAAACATTTTAGAAGAGAAAGAGATGAGCAAGTTATTTGACCCTGCGCAGGCTACGCATTTTGACATGCCTTGATATCATACAAATCCGAAATTTCCTTTGTCCTATCGTTTGTGTCGACTTCAACGACTCCAAAAGTCTCTATTCTGTCTGCTCCAAATCTGTAAGGAAATATGACATTAGTAAAGCAGCTCTTTATGCGGATAATACATACCTATGGTTCAATACCGCATCTACATACGTGACAATTCCATTCTCTTTCGCTGTCTTCACAGCCTTTAACAACTCCTCCTTCGTTCCGTAGTTGGTTCGTTTTCCGCCTTTCTGGTCAAACTCACCCAGATCATACAAGTCGTAAACGTCATATCCGACTGAGTCCTGTCCGGCGGCCTTGGTTGGAGCTGTAGTGACGCGCATATAGTCATTCATTAAGAGTCGCAAAGAGCGATGCGTCTTACGTGGAAACCACATCGCTGTAAAGCCTGTCGTTGTAGTTCTATTAGTGTACATCTGATTTATTGCAGAGAGTCATACCCATATCAGCCAATTCAGGCGCGATTTTGGCAAGTTTGTTCCAATGAACGCCTCCACCTTCAGAATACCATTCAAACGCTTGAATCTGATGAAGTGTTCAACGGAGAGCATAGAAAAGAAGACATGAATATCACCATGGTGTAGTTATGATCCTTGCCAGAATATGCGGCGTTTGCGTCTCCAGACATGGCTCAAGTAATGATGATAGTGGGTGAAAAAGATGAAAAGATTTAGAATATTAATCTTTTGGCGAAGAATCGATCACGATGACGTCGTGGTACATATGAAATTCCACTATCATGGACCACACCTTGCTTGGCAAAGGCTTCCTAAGACAAGAAATATGGTATTTGAGTATAACTACTGTATCAAATGTTTACCTCTCTCCATTGCTCGTCCTCATATATCCACTTCCGTTTGTGAAACTGTATTCACACCAAAGATGGACAAAGCTCATTCAAACCATTGAATGCATGATCTACTTCCAAATCATGAGCATTGATACCTGGGATAGTTATCATTTGGACTGACCTAGATGTAAGAGTGACTGATACACAATATGAAATTGCAAGCATGTACAACACTGCAATGTGTGTGAAGGACAGATCCAACATGAATTTCAATGTGAATCAAGCATTGGTGATCCCTAGCTATCCCAGCTATATGGGACCCGGAGATGAGCACATCTACAAAACCTGGGTAATGTTCGCCAGCTCTTGGGAGCATTTCCCAGCATTTCCCAGCATTCCCAGCCCCTAAAGCAGTGAAAGAAAGGGTACTGACTGGAGAGCACTGGAGAGCACTGGGAAGTGCTGGGAAAAGCTTCAAAAATTTTGAGCTCTTTTAACGTAATTCACCCAACTATTCCACAGCTGGGAACAAAATACTTTCAAATGCGCAATCATTGCTTTATCAGATCCATATTGGGTAATATTTACAAATATTGGGATGATTACGTATTTACTGTCCTGGTTATATCTGCACCCGCTATCCCGATCCCGCACCCGTTATTGCGCACCTGCTATCCCGCTATCCCGCTATCCCGCACCCGCTATCCTGCTCCTGCTATCCCACTATCCCGCTACCCCGCTACCCTGCCATCCCCACCGTACCCGCCATTCATCTCACTATGCTTGTCATCTTGCCAGACCACGCCTGCCTGCCACTGTACGCATCCACATAACTACTAGGCTGATAACAAGATATCGACAAAAATTGGTGAAAGTCTTGCAAAAGGAGCACATATAAACAAATTTCTATAGGGAATCTAGTTTATTAGTCTGTGAAAGGGCGATTATTAGTTGTTGGTTACCTTCCAAGGTTATGAAAGGTCGATATGATCTGTTTGAGTCTTCCCTCTCTCCAAATTCGCCTCCAAACTGAAGCATTTTGTTAGCATCAAATTATCAACATCTTCGAAACCAACCTGAAACTAAAAGCCCAAGATCTCATATTCACGTTAAACTTAGAAGCATGATAAGGCTCCCTGAGCATGTTTATAATCATATCACTGTATAGCTTGTGGTACTCGAGGTTTGAGGCTGTAGTAAAATCGATATTCTTGGCTTTTGGACCATCTTCGTACTTGGAGATACAATATCGTATCTGTAATATCAATAGTGAATTCAAAGTTGAAGCGACTATAGGCAGATTCAACTCAACAAGCATAGAAGCTAAAACAATTGCTCCATGAGGAACCTCCGCCTTGAAATCATCTGGAAAGGTTTTTGCTAATGCTTTGTTACTTGTATAAAACAAAACCTTCACGACTTCTTTGAGACAGGGATGTGCAAAATTATTAACCCGTCCCTAGTAATTTTAAAATCAGGTATCACTTGAGACAAATATTGAGAAATTTTACATTGGCATCCCGTCCATCTTGCAAGAAAAAACTTTTCTCCAAAAGCTTGTTCACATAAGCTACAGTTAAATCGTTAAGTTGAGAGGCATTGAAACCAGTAGTTGGCTCTTGTTCTTTTGGCAACGGTAAACCATAGTGGCTAACCACCATAGGTTCCACAAGTCTCTTCAGAGTATTTCTGAAACTACTCTGGCTTTTGTACAGCTAGGCGGTAGTCAATAAACTTGAGATGAAGATCAACGAGAAGACTTGCAAAAGTTATTATATCTTCGCGGTGCTCTTTGATGTAACCTGAAATACAAGGGATCAAAATTATAGAAAACCGACAAAAAAGTTTACAATAACTCACCTGCTTCAACATGAAGGCCCTTTTCTCCTCTTTCCTCTATTGATCGGTCTAGACAATTCGCAAGTAGTGTTTCATGATCCTCCATCGTCAAAAAAGGTCCTTGAAGAACCATAGTTCTATGCATAAATAATTGTGAGCCCGCAATTACTTTTTTCACTTGTGGCGTATAGAAAGAGAGCTTTGTTGGATCTTTTGTAGAGTTAGACCTGCGTCCTAGACAAGATAGCCCATTCAGCATAGAGGTCAAAAACCTCGATAAACATACCTTTAGAAGCCTTCGCAGTGTTTGAAGTATCCTGGTCTATTATGTCCAGCCAAAATTATTTCCAGATTAAAAATAATTGATATAATAGAAACAAACCTTTCGATGATGAAGGAATAGCCAAAATAGGTGAAACAGGATGAGCTGGCAGATGAGATACTAGACGAGAAGGAGATACTGGGCGAGAAACTGGACGAGAAGCTTGACGGGAAACTGGACGAGAAGCTTGACGAGAAGCTTGACGAGAAACTGGACGAGAAACTGGACGAGAAACTGGGCGAGAAACTGGGCGAGAAACTATACGCGATACTGGTCGCGAAATAGATCCTAATACTGTGTAAGTTACTTGTCATCAACCTGGTCAAGAAGAGAGTGCAAACTTTTATGAGCGTTGAATTCAGATTGGGGTACTGTAGAAGCATAGCCTATAGTAGGAAACATCAGAACACAAACTCAAGAAGAGCAAAACTACCTGCATTTATATTCCCGAGATGTTAGAGTGACATCTTCTCCGTTATTATCGGCATCCTCATCCTCAGCGTCTGCATTCTCATCATCCTCATCATCTGCATAATGGTCATGTTCAAACTCAGCCAGTTCTTCGTTAATAAAGTCCTCTTCTGTAGTAAGAACATGGCTTTTTGAGTGAATCTTAAGAATTGCAGGGTTCGGAGGCTTTGGAAGATTTCGCTTTCTCTTCTTGAGGACTTCGGTTTCTCCCTCCACCTAGAGTTTATATTAGATAACTGGTTTAGACAGGCCAAAGCAAAAACGTACAACAGGTTCTGGCACCTTTTGGGTATCTGAGTGGGGGCTGTAAGCTTTCGTACTCAAAAATCAAAAAGAAACACATTCCTTTAGTTGCTTTTGAACCTGTTCCCTCTGAATGGAAACTCATTTGAGATTGTTCTTGACTTGGTATGTTGTCCACCGAAGAACTAGCATAGCCGACTTCTTTGTGAACCCCAACCAGAGCTTCCATATTCACACCATCTGCATGAGAAAAGGTGGAACCATCCCGCCGATATTCGTATCCACCTCCGTATCCACTTCTGAATCCACCTCCGTATCCACCTCCGTAGTCACCTCTGTATCCACCTCCATATTCACCTCCGTATCCACCTCCATATCCACCAGTATATCCCCCTCTATATCCTCCCCGATAACCTTCTCCATAGCCTTGTACACCAGAAAGACTTCTTCCGAAGCTCATATTATGTCCAGCAATATATCCACCGTCATCAACCTTATCGCTTCTCCCTCCCTGACCATAGCTGTTTTCGTAGCCTCTATTATAATCTCCAGAATACGCTCCATAGTTTCTGCCATGGCCCCCTCCATAACCGTCAAGATTTGCGTTACCACTACCAAAACCCACTACGGAGCCTGGTTGTGAGCCATAGTAATGGCTTCCACCGCTAGAAGCTGTAGATCCTCGTCCCATGTTACCGTTATAGTCAAAATCTCCTACATCATTTCCAGTGCGTATATCTTCGGGAAGTCTAAGGATCTGACTGTGATTGATACTTGTCGCTCTTTCATTCAACTGTGAGTCAACGTCGAAAGAGTCACCTCCTTGTCCTAAGTAAACAAAATGACCGCTGCTTGATCCTTGAGTAATTTGCTTACCCACGACAAAGGAAGTATGAGCTTGACTTTGATTCTATATCGAAACCGGTATAAGCTATGGTTTTCTTTCTGAAATTGGTATATTTCTACCGTATGGTGTTGTTCTCGAGCAATAACTTCTGCAATAGGTACTTTGGATGGTAGCGGAACTTGACGACTAGACAAAGGAGCAGGCGGAGGATAACCAGATGTTGGAGAAACCAAAGGCAGCATATTTGCAACAGAGGAAGAGGAAGAAGAGGCTGACGGTATTTCGTTAATTTTTTTTTGGCCCTTAGTTTGAGTGCTAGCCTTCTTGTTTCTTCCTTGTTTCTAGAGGAAGAAGTATTAGCTTTTTAAGAGAAATTCATTATAGTTATCTAAACAAACTGGTTTTTCTGGTGGAGGTGCCATAGGATTGGTTACAGCGTCCTCGGGAAAAATAGTATTGGCCCCTTGAAGAGATAATCGTTGAGAAAGCAACATCTTATCAGCTGTTTCCAGCATTTGATTTGCATGCCCCCCCTTCCCTTTGTTTGTGCGGCTGCTTGACCTCTGGATATAGTAAGAATTTAAAAAAACAATTGGAAGAAATCGTTTTCACCTCTATTTGAAAATGTTCAAAAATGAATGATAAATCAATAGAAAAACATACGAGGCAAAGGGGGGCCTGCGTTACTATCAGGTCTCCTACTCATAAGCAAATAATTGAGCAACAAAGAAATGCAAAGACCAGTAAGAAGATGGGTCGCAAAGCAATGGTAGGTCCACAAAGGTAACGTGCTTTTTGGGACCCACTGTTTCTTTCCTAAGGCCGGATCTTCTCGAAATGCCGCCTTTTATGCCCAGAGAAATGTTCGACACAACTGCCTCTGACTTTCAGATCCACAAGTACAAAATAACTCTCCTATTGTAGAATAAGAACAAAATTTCTTTCAAAATACTATAGTTGATCCCGCCTCATTTTCTTCAATCCAATACGAGACCTCCTGTAGCGCCTCCAAAGCGATAAACTCTGACTCCTAAAAACCTTGTTAGAATGGGAAGCAAACAAAGGGCAGAAATAGACAACCTTCGTCAAAGTAGCGAATTTTGGTATTTTGATCTTTGAGACCCTCAGTAGTAGGTGGGTGGGGTTCGGCATCGTCTTCCCAGGGCTCACATATATCATCCTCATCGTCGTAGGTATCGTTGTAATCTAGCTCCATAGAGGGAGGAGTGTTAGGAGTTGCAGGGCAAGCTCCAACA